CATGATGCAAGGAAAAACTTCAGGCACATTTTGGTTTGCAAACTTAATAGTCCAATCGGGCTATGACCTCAAATATTTGGTGCGTCTTCATTACCTGGTAACTGCCTACCTTAGGTGGGGCAATCCAAAAAAGGTGGTGGTCGAGAATATTCGTGGATTCGTCAGCTGAACTGGTAGTTTCGCTGTTAACATGTTTGATGTGGTCTTAATTGTTTGATCTAGCTAAGACAACAAGCTATTGATATTTCGGTAGTTATGAGCAAAGCCCAGACGGATCTAGTTCTTTTATAACATCCAACATAGAATACTTAGACTTCAGCAATCGGATTCGGGTTGTTGAGGATATAAGCTCACGAGTACTCGAGTTTGTATAATTCTATAACGTATATACGTATATAACGGGAACTCTGTTATTTTGGGGCTCTGTTGGTGTCTTGTAAGAATTTATAGCTATAGGCAGTTTCGATATGCGCTGTGGGTCAGCCGGCGCTGGAGACCCGTTTTCGAGATTCCAACAAAATGTTTAACGCATACTGCCGTGTATTTCTTCAGAACCCATGCGACAGTTAGACATCGTAGCGTTGTCGGTACACACTACAATACGATTGTAGCTGAATAGACAAAGTGATTGATTTTTCTAGTTCCTAGCTCTTTTGAACTAAGTTTCAGTGACTAGGAGCTCATCGCCGTAGACTTTCTCACTCTTGGAAATCCTACCAACGTTAACGCCTTAACAATGCGAGGCCAGGTCATCACGAGAGAGAAATCCCCGAAACCCAAATGCCCCAACATTTCTGCATCTCTCTGGCACAAGAATTCTCAAGTTATGACGAAATGAGTTTAAACCAAACTCCAAAGGTTGCAGCGTCGACCGCTATTGGTGGGCTAGTTTCTTGGTTGTTGGTATTTGGCCAGGGTCCATCGTCTTTTAGAAGCCATTCCATGGTGTCTACATAGCATGGGACTCAATTGGCCGGACTCGCGAAATTAGATCATAGTTGTTAGATCATTTGAGGATCTGAATACAAGTTGGATTTTGTTCCGGGTATATTGACGTCTTGTTGAGGATAAATCGCAGAAAATGTGCTTTTGTAGGGAGGAGCTATTCGATCGATCGAAAGATAATGTGATATCGAAAACCCGGCTGGGAATTAAGGGATGGGCTCGGAAATCGACAGGCAAATTTCCCAGGTACTAGAACTCTCGGAGATAGAAATTGTCCGGGTAGAATAATACCCCGGTAATGTAAGCACTGCTACCTGATGTACGTTCGTTGGCGTATCGTATAATATACTGGTGTTTTCATTCCATTCCGGTTAGAAGATCCTACGGCTGCGCGCATGTTGGTATGAATCTGCGGTTCGGCAGGCTTTAGACGGCTGTATGTGCCCCATGTAAATTTCTCTTATGAAAATGTCTCGTCGCAAAGAGTGACATCGAGTCCGGGTATATCGTTTGGAAATACATGCATCCGAATCGAATGCTTCTCATGATTCCTTTTTTTTTTTTTTTTTTTGAATTCCGTTGCGATCCTGGCCCAGAATCCTTGTGTTACACGGATTTGCGCACGGGCGATCCGGGCTTCTTTCGTCAGGGGCTAAGCGCAGTTTTCCGGCGGGCAACAGCAGGTGATTTCCCCGTCTCTTATGCCTACTGTGGTATGGCCTCGGCCCGTTTCTGGACTATGGTCTCGGATGCATTCACCCAGCTCAGTTTTAATATCATGAGTGATAGCCAAAAAAAAATTTAACATTTGGGAAAGCTGAATCAAAAAGAATCCCGAATCTTGAAGGGTTGGGTGTTAAAATTCACCGGATATGGCAAGCGAATACTTACGTGGTTATCGGGTAATACATCTCGTGATTGGCTGGTCCGCCTACCCGCTACAACGGTTCGGCCGCCCTCTCATGGACCGGACTCCATCCTGAACCAGGAGAATTTCCCACCAAACTTGAGCATTACAGCACCATGGCTGTACGAAAGAGAGGCAAATTTTAGAGTCGGAAAGAAAAACTGATACGGAGCAGTATTTGAAGGCCACTGCAGGCAGGCCCCCATACTATATCTGTGTTCTTTTCTTTGCTATTAAGTGCATGAAGTGGATGCTGAGGGATTCTGCAGACTGAGACACAAGGTGATAAACGAGAATGAACGGGTGAAAATACGACTTGATTCATATCAGCCGGCGGAGAATGTGGAGACTATGAATGCCAGCAGACCCTTGCTCATGCAGGCTCACTGCATTCCTTTTCGGCAGCAGACAAGACGCACCTCAGCGGCACGGCGTCTCCAGTGGCCACGAACCCCCCGTGCTGTGGAAGTGTGCTACCGAAAAAATACTTTTGACGCAGGTTAATTCGCACGAAGAGAGCTAGGACTTGCAAGTTTTGGAAATTGCCCGCGCGGGAAATGAGCACACTTGGTGGGCGAGAACCGTCTCGTCTAGGATGCAAGCAAGCTTTCATTTCCTCGAATTTGATATTAAGGCAGCTAGTAGACCTGAGAAATGATTTGGCAATATTCAAACGGGTGCGCACACTGTGCCATGAATATGTTTGGCAGGTAAAGGATGCTTCAGAGGTGTGCTATGGCGGCAAAGTCATGTAAGATACATACGCGCCTGCTCAGTCAGAAAGATTTAAAGGTTTCATCATTGGCACGAATTGTAATCCGCAGCACTCCGGAAAATGGTTGCCGAGGGCTTATGACGATAGTACTACTAGAGAGAGAGCTTCGGCGAAGGTTGATAGCGTAGTTAAACTATTATTCTGATAAGGACATGCACCTGACAATACTTTCTAGTCGCTGAAAATTTCCTTTGAAAAGTCCGGTCTATCAAGCGTATACATGCACATGTATATGTCTTACATGCGTATGTTAGAACTTGTGCCGATACTGCCCTAAATTATCAGGAGCTCAGAGTACTGCTCTACTGGACAGGATCCGAGTTCTACATTGCTCGTTTCAGGATGAACATATTCTAAGACTTTACACACCGGGCAAAGAGCCAAGATCGTCGAAATTTTTATTTTATTTTGTTTTATTTTCCCTTCCCGAGTTTCTCAGCGGGAGGCCTCGGGAGACTAGGAATCAGTACGGTTAAAGAGTTTCAATTGTGGATACAACCCGACCACACCCAGGCTTCCAGTCGATGCTCAGCTCGTAGGGCATCCAAAGCAGATGTTTGATTGTGGTCCGATTGACGAATTGGTTCAGTATGGGTGGGTGTTTATGAACCACTCCACAACCCCTTGACCCTTGAATTCGAAGCGCATGAAAATACGAGGAATCGCAACTATGACCACCTTACACTGCGGTTATATTACCCCGCGACAAATTTGCAAAATGTTCAAAATTCCATGATTACGAGGGTTCGATGGGGAACCCAGCAGTATAGGCTATAGAACTACATATCTGCTTCGCTCAGAAATGTCGGCGAGAGATCGGGCTGGCCGATACCACTAAAATATCGACGCATGTGGGTTGGTTCTGGCTAGTCGAATTCAACAAGATATTCATATGGTGCTCGATTTATTCGTTTGATTTGAGCTAGCTAGCTTCGCTCAGTGCATTGAATCCTTTAAAGCTCTAAGTTAACGGAACGCACAGCAACTGGTGGTTTAACTCTGATACAAGTAGCTTGATTCCAGATCGAGGGATCTTATAGCAAGGCTTATACCTCTGTTGGAATGTATAGCCCTCCTGATGTGAGTTCGCGGCACGGTACGGAACTGGGAGGGAAAAGCTGGACGTACTCGGAACCCCAGAGATCTGGGCAACTGGCCAACCTGAATTTGGTGGAATGTCAAAGAGGTGCCTTACAAACATGTCAACCCAATATTGCAATTGTCCAAGCACATCTTAAGCACATGGTAGGGATATGAGCCAGGACCAGATATACTAATCGATTTATTATTGTTCTTTAAGTAATTATCTGCATTGAAATTTTAAACTAAATAAAAGCGTTGACCAGCGCGATGAGGAAGGTTGCAAAAAAAAAAAAAAGTATCTCGGGCCAGCAAAAGACACAAGGATAACACTTGCGAGAGTCCTTTCTATTTGAAAGGTCTTTATGGGTATCTTACTATACGAGCAGTTGGGCGGGAATTAAAGAGTGGAAAGGTTGTCCAAAAATTCAGAACTGCGTACCGATCGAGTCGCAACATCGAACAGGGGCGTTGGGACCGGATCGATAGATCGGTAACAAGGCGAAGAACTTCTTAGAAACAAATACACCCCGAAAAGAATTGTGCATGAAAGAGAAAATCAAGATCTGGAACGAAATGTAAATGAAATAAACATCAAACGAGGAATAAATGAAATAAAAATAAAAAACAAAACATGTTTTCATGGTGAAAGTTAGTAGCCGTTTGAGCGCACCATTGCGGTCCACGATCGAATGAAATAAACGAACCCAAGCAAGAACAATCCGTAAAACTAGAAGCGCTTCGAAGTAAATTAACCTCCAAACATTTTTTAAACAGGAACTAGAAAGCCTCCCATGCAAACTTCAAGTACGACACGAACAAAAAAGAAAGCCAGTCCCATGATATTTTCAGTGTAAATGCAAACAGAAGCAGAGTATTTATTTAATATAAAAAAAAGAGAGGAAATTTTGCCGCAGCCACGCGGGAGGCGAGATGATCATTGAAATGACGGGTTTTGAAATGATGCATGAACTCATATAAGGAAGCATATATACTCCAAGGAGAGCGAGCGAGCGTCCCCACGAGTGGAAAAAATAAATAGTAAAACATTATTAAAGAGATAGAGACTTAGTGGTGTATAACCTTTGGAGGGTGAAAGAGGAGTCAATTCTGTCGCACCCTTAAACCAAGGAAACTCGTAACAAGGAAACTCGTGAAGCTCGAGGGTTCGAGACCGTGATCTGAAACTCGATGTTGGAAATCGAAGATATGGCGTTAGAGAAAATGTTAGAGGCCCGGCAAAAACTTTTTGAAAAAAATAGAAAGAGATAGATTGTTGGAGAGTAGTGGCGATCATATTAAAAGGCTCGCGACAGCCATAGGGTTCTTATTTGTGGGACGGAAGGGTGTAACGCCGGGTTTTTCTCTTCCAGGTCGCTGTAGAGTTTCAACTCGATCCTGCCATCGAATAATGTTGGTGTCCCTTTTTTTGCCCCGATCAGCAAGGCCCCACAAGCTTTTAAATGGTGGAAGTATATTGGATTGATTCTTAAGATCCTCTGACAGGCGTCGAGAGGCCTTAGCTTCGAAATCAAAGCCTTCGAAGGGGCTTGTTGGTGTAGATGTATGGGAGGAAGGCGGCGGGGCGATGCTAGAAGTATCATACCCATCAACATCTGAGATTGAATTCTGGTCGAAGCTGTCTCCAGTGGAGGAGTCACTATCAGAGTCGTTCGCGCAGTTCTTCTCAACTTCCATGCACTTCGGCTCCTCAAGCGCAGCTTGTATAACCTTTGAAAGGTGAGGTACCATGGTTTCTTTCGAGTGTTCGACAATCGATCGTCGAGTAAGCTTACGTTGTCGTCGCCCTTCTCTTTGGGCTTCGCGCCTTAATCTTCGGATGTTCTGCTTCTGAAGAATCTTCATTTGTTCTGGTGTCCGTACAACTCCGGTAAGGATATCGGGTCGATCACTATAAACCCACCAATAACGACGATTGGTTGCTTTAAGGAGACCAATATCGGGATTTGGGGCGGAGGAGCGACGTCCATGTGACTTGTCAATTCCAAGCATTCGATAGTAGTGAGATTGGAGGCCGGAAATTGTTCTTGGTCCCCATCTTTTACCAGTGCGAGCGTCAAAAAGTAAGTTCCATAGTTCAACGACTTTCTTCCAGGGTAGTCCAACGCTATCACGTAAATATAAAATAGCATCGGCTTCCTCCTGTGAATACATAGGCCGATGGTCCCTTGGTGTCCTTTTGGCAGGCTTAATAGGTTGTCGTCGAGGGCTGCCACGGCTGGGCGCCATATGAACTATCGATGGGGGAGGTGTAGTTGCGCGAAGGTAAGTGGGTGGATAAGAGAATGCGGCTGCCGACAGTAACTGCATACCCTCTGCATCTTTGATGCTCGGGATATAGTATTTCGCGTTCGGTGCCATCATTGGGTATTCAATTTCTTCTGGTTTGACTAAAGGGAACATTCCTGCTACCGTAATCTTCTGCAGACAAGCTTCCCGCTCTTGCTTCTGAGGGATATGTGCTAAATCAGAGCTCATAACCATGATCTAACTTAAAGTAATTAAGGCCTATTGCGGCGGCGTTTTTGCCTATCTAGTAGATAGCGGCTCAACTTTCGAGGAGTGCCTGATATAAATTGAAAAAGGGTCTGAATGGTTTAAATGTTTGTAGTCCGCGTTGTATTGTCTGGAGAGAAGACGGCACGGCTGAAGAAGAAGAAGAAGAAGAAGAAGAAGAAGACTGTTTCTATTCGGTCCTCTATGAAAAAAGAAGGTCCTTGGGGGGAAGAAGAAGAGTAGTGATGCTTCAAATCGTGGATATTGTCAAGCTTTCTCGATTATCGTTTTCCGAGTGCTGTGTGGTATCAATTGAGGAAGCATTTCTGTCAAAGTGGAACGGCCCAGGTTGTTATATAATCTGGACGCCGGACACTGACACCTGCGCCAAATGCAATGGATCCATAGGTCCTAACTGATTAGCCCTCTTAGCAGGGCTCATCACTGCACCTTTTCTCCCCTTTTGCTTTTTGTTCCCATGTGTAGATGCGGCTACTACGTTACGAGAACCTGCTGTTTGAACATTCAAACGGCTTTTGGTGGAGCCCAGTCCCATGCATGCCATCGTGCGATACGGGGCCGAAAAGAAGGTGGACAGGACCAAACTATCGCATTGGGGACACCTACCTGCGGCGGGCTTCGCATACTAGTTCAAGGCCATATTTGCCCGATTTTCGCTCACGCTCGTAGCCGCCAATTATTTGACGCAGCCCACTCAACCCTTCGAAAAATGGACGAGTGCTATATTTTGACTAGTTCCAACGACCAACTTTTTTTTTCTTTTCGAAGTGGCCTGTGGGCCAGGTTTTGATAGGATCTTCGAATCCATGTTGGAATGTGTATCCTCACTACCCTAGCTGGCCCTCGCAGGAGATGCTTCTGAGGGCGTCGAGGAGAGGGTGTGGTGCTTGAAAAGTGCCTCGCGACTATGCAATCCCCGGTCGAGGTTTGCTTCTTCGAAGGTATCACGGGCTGGGGAGTTCCCTGTAAAGGGTGTCGAGGTCTCGGGAAGTGTCCCTTAGACCACTGAGCCTGAGCTGTTGCGGGCAGGAAGGTGCGCTAATGTCGGTGTTTCGAGAAGCATAGCAGGCATGTTGGCGCAACATTCGCACAGAGTGACCTTGGCTGGCAAACCTGCCCACGATATCCTTGCATTGAGCAGGCGGATATAGCCTCTGGCGGTCCACAAGCCGTGGAAGGGCCGAAAGGTGATGACAGTTTTCGCCTTAGACCCTGTGCCTCATCGATACATGCGCATGCTCCTATGCTTTGGTCTCACAAATTCTGTTCTCCACCTTGTCAGTCCAGAAACATGATAGTATCCGGACTGGACGAAATTCCGAGTATACTGCTGGCGATTGCAACACCATGTGCATGTCCAAGGATAAGCGTTTGAAAATCCTAGAAGATTTCAGGTCCAAGAAAACGTATTTCTTTCAAATTTACATACCCATGATGATATATTACACTATAGAGTAAAGTGTAATTATTCAGAGCAGGGGTTGATCTGAAATGTCTAACTTTAACTGATAAGAAGACTCAAGGATTTCCCTGATCTCGAATTTCCATGATCTGAGTCGGATTCCGCAGGTCAGTTCAACTCATTTCGCTAACCCCCAAGTTCAGGTCCTCTCGCTCCGATTTCCCCAATCAAGCCCGAAAAGTCGCATGTCACTCGCTCGCGGTTTCTGCGTCTCGGAACAACGAAATTGGCAGCAAGTCACCCTCCAAGCCGCCATGCCACAACGAGTATCGTTCGACAACGAACGAGTACCCGGCAGTTTGGTCGCATAATTTTAGCTGGCAGCATCCTCGAGCGCGATTAGTTCAAGAACCCGTGCTCAGGTGGAGGTCGTTCTAGCCTATTTTTGGCGACACGGGTCAAGCAAACCATTCCAACCAAGATAAAAACATCGTTTTGAGCACCGTTTGGATGACCATACATAGAGAATTTGAATACGTTCCCCGCTGCTACCGCGGACACGTCTATGCCGGCCTATTTTCGTCGAAAGCTGCAGGAAGTGACGGGATAGTTCGTAGACGCACTCCGGGCTCAAGACCAATCAAATCAAAATACAAATTCAGTTCTCGTGCAATTTGACACTTGCCCAGAACAATAGTTCATTGTCGACATTTCGAAATCCTTGAGATACTAGACATTTTCGTATTCCCCATATAGGACTAAAATTAACAGACCACCGTTGTCAGAACACGTGATAGCATTCAGGCTCTGGCCTTTAGCGCCAACATTAAAAGGTTTGACACAAGCATAAGTCGAGTATCCCATCGATGTCAAGATTTCGTGATGTTGTCGCTGTCAAATTTTAGATCGTACCTTGCAGATTTAGAAACACAGAATTATCTTTGAATGTTTCATATGTTGCGTGTTCGTCCAAATATAGTTGACGTCGATGGTTGTATTTGGGAGCCGACTTTTCTCTGTCTAAGCTAGGTCCGGTCCTCCGAAATACGTCTGTATGACCAGTGATATTTTGGAGAAAGAGTTTGTTGGGATAACTGGACGGGGATAACCTGCTCGATGATCGAAATGAAAAAAACAAAACAAGAAATGCTAGAACCCCAAAGTTGGTACTCCCGGGTATTGGAAATTATATCGTCGGGAAAGATTTCCTACGCTGAAAACCGAAAACGAAATTCTCAAGTCACCCCGGAACTAACATATTTTAACAATGGGGCGTTTTATCAAGGTCAATCTGTTCTTTGGGACTACTTTGAAGAGATTTTCCAACAGGACGGCAAAAGTCCAACTGCACAACATTCGCGACCCTCGCTACCATCTCCTTGACGTTGGATACCTCAAACAATATGAGATTCGGGTAACCTTGTAGACATGTGGTCGTATGCATGGCTTTCGGTGTAGGATTAGGTGAAAAATCGATTTTATTTTATTTTATTTCATTTTTTTACTTGAAATTTGGATGTCGACACCCCACCAGTCAATGTGCGGGAGTATCCCAGAAGATTTTTGATAAAACTGTCGACCCAGGAATTCCTGTGAGCTTAATGCAATGCCACCACGTAAAAAATAAAAATAAATCGACGACAGGAATATCAGTGCCCGCATCTCATCTTAGATAAAAAATACCACTGCACATGATTCGATGGGCACTGAGCCTCTGAGGCGTGAGATGCTCATGTTTCAGGTTGGCCCGAGACCGTGGTTCGAATGTTCATGATATGCACTTAAGCGCTGAATTCATGAAAACATCGTTTCACACCACACACTCCAACACGATGCATATGCCCGTCGGAATAGGCATGACTAAACCACGATTTGCCTTGACAGCAGCCCATACCGCAGCAGTATTCGCATTATCCATGCTTTATAATTTAGAGAGAGAAAAAAAATCTTTCGTATGAGTACTAACTGCGCGGGGGCGGGGTGCTCGTTTTTCAGTACCTTGCATGGCGTGCCCCAGAATCAGTACTATCAATTGGTCATCTCATGTCTCCGCATTGTGATATAACATTGCTGACGGTCCATTGTCTTAGAATTACAAGGTACCCCGAAGAAATAAAGTCACTATCATCAAATTAGGCCTTAGGATTGACAGGTATGGCGATATTGGCAGATTAGGAGCAGGGCCTGTTCCCAGGGTATTATTTGCAATCTCAGACTTGATCCCGTTATCTTTGACACATTTCTAAGAGAAGCGCGGTGGCGACTCTCGGGCGGATCCCGTACATCGCCTCGCCCCACCCAGTCCGAGATTTCAGACTAGTTTCGCAATTATTTAACGAGCGAGCTTGCTCCGAGCTCACCTGCTAGTGAGCTGCAGCGCATCTTTCAAATTCTGATTATGTGGCAAAGTGGGACCCGGATCACAGGCGCAGCATTTTTCCATGCACTCGTGCCGCACTTATGATGGGATATAATCCGGAATCACTTCGTGGGAATTCCAAGGTAGTCTACATGGAGCCTTGAAATGCCTCGAAACGGTCTACGGTTACCGTTCGACGTCTACGGTCGAATTAGGCAGTAGATAGACAACGGGAAGTCAATGCAGGAAGGTGGCGACTTTTTCTTCTGTTATACCTGTTGTCCTAGTCATGTGCACTTCGATGGTAGCGAGCTGTCAGGGAGGCCAACCTTCGATGTTAAATTATATTTGACATTGCAACAGAGCCGGGGGCTAACAACTGCTAAGAGACGGCATGTGGTTTCGACATCGCGAACAATTGCAACATTTGTTGGCCCAACCTATATCATACTGGATCTAGCGGCGGAAATCGCACAAATATGACGGCAAAGTTTCGGACGACCTAGCTAGGTATAGTTTACAGATTCGACTATATCTTTGCCATGTGTTTTGATAACATGTATCATATAGGGGCTAGGGTTACATAAGATATCCAATCTCGATACTAGTATGCTAGGAGGAGGAGAGAAAGATCGAAAATCGGGCCTTTTTGTGTTAATTAATTTTATGACCTGCGAGATTTTTATCTATTCCTGCACCCTTCCTTTGTCCCAGGAACTCAATTTACAATTAATTGTTATTATTCAGCCACATAAACAAGCATAATTGTAGGCGTTTTCCCAACGTTATGTTTCGTAGATGCATCTGAGTAGTACCTTCTCCTGACAAAATTGACAGATATTTGATAAACCTACAGGAGGCAAAGACTTTTTTCTCGAGAAGGATGAAGCTTAGAGCTCTCTGCTGAAGAGCGACATACCCCGTGAAACTTTGCCTCTCCCTAAAGCAACGGTTGTGCAGCTAGCTGTAAATTGCGCATAGTGAGCAAAATTTTTTGACTGTGAGGGTAGACATGCCGATATCGAGTCCCGTCATGACTCAAAGTGTCCTCTGCGGGGTATTCTGTGAACATGGCATATAATCAATTCAAGAACAAAATTATCTTAATTGGGTGGTCGTAGCGTGGGTAAATAGCTTGTTGGAGAGCCAAATGGTTGGCTCCATTTCACACTCCATTCAATTTGTAAAATCGGATCGCGGTCTTTACGTTTCTAGACTTCGAACTCTTAATCATCAGGCATGAGAAACGGTTCGCCCAGTGGTGTGTGTTCCTGATGCATCGATTTCAATATTTTGTTTCTCAAATTACCCCGCATCACTACCACATCAGTACCAACTCTCTCGCAACTACTTGCAGCTAGGAGCGCTTGAATAATTTAGTCTTGTGGTGTGCATGGCTATGTGGGGTGGCGGCATCTCCGATAAATCTAGTTTTTGGGAGGACAAGCTTGCGCTAGGAGCCGCATGCACATATACGCCAAATTAATTATGCCTTCAATGCGGGTGTGTGTGCGGTGTTACGATATTTGGCTGAGAAACTACCAACCCAACTGCATATAGCAAGCGCACAGACCCATCTACGTCCTCGTTTTTTTTTTTACTCATCGATGCCTACATACAAGATCGCAATTTGTAAAGTCTATAACGTTTAGATAACCTTTTTTTTTGACCGGATGTTAAACGATGGGATCTGACGCCATCGAATAAATGCTCCATGCTCTCCGATCGGTGTAAAATGCTTGGCTTTTTCATAAATCGTCTGCCGTTTTTGAAGCATAAAATGCGCCCCTTACGGCATATGTTGTTGCATGTTATGTCCGGTACACACCATCTAAATCTGCAATTCAACACAGCCACGTGAGCTCGTGAGCCAATTAGAAGAAAAAAAGTCACCTCCAAGCTACAGATGTGCCTAACAAACCTACCGATGATCGGGATATATTTTTAAAAGAACTATCTAATCTGTTGGTTCTCCGGAGCATTGCAAAAAGTTGCACCTGACATTTAAAGGTCTATATATCGTAGACGCTTATCCAACCGTCGATATCATACGTCTCGTTATCGGCGCAGTTATCGGCGCAGTTATCGATACTGTTATCAGTAGGACACCCTCTTTGGCGACTTTTACGAAGTACTTGATATCATACCATTTGGATTACATTACTGTTATGATCCCATTAGGAGGACAAAGCGTCGAAAGCATAGATATCTAGATCTTCGAATGTGAGAAGTTATTCTTGGTATCATAACTATAACATTACCTTTCAGCGCTACCGCCGGGTGCATCTGATCAAAAGTTATATGCCGGATTTGTATATACGGGTAAATAATTATACTAAGTACCAAACAGTCTGAAGACCGAGATCGAGAGATCGAATTGATGCAATTCATTAATCCAGGGAATTTAGTTCCGGCCAGTGTGTATCATATTTCAGGCTCCTTGTTGTCGTTGAACGAGCTCCGCCGCGATCTTGTTTCGTCAATTTGTCATTTTCACACATCCTCATAGAAACTGAGAGCTCACAAGTTATGAATATGAATCTAACTCTGGCAAACTTGAAATCTGTCAAAGTTTGAAATTCGATGTGATATTTCGATGTGATATGGGGATGGGGGCTAACTCTAGCTCGATGTTCCGATTGACTTCGAGACCTGTGTTGTTATGGTTTGGAATATGTGTTGACAACGTTGTATTTCCTGTTAAGGTCAGCCCGAAGTTAGCAGTTGAATGGATGTGTGTAACACGAGCATCAAGACGTATATTCTGCCCCTCAAGACTAAGCTAAGATTCCTCATAGACTGGTACACTAGTCCACTCTTGCGATGTTGAAGTTTCATGTATAAGATACTGATGTTGATGATTATCGAATTCGAATATTCCATCCAAAGTCTTGGAGCCAGTTGGAGCTTTGATCATACGACCAGCCAGATGCCGCCTATCCCCGAAATGATTCAGGTCGGCTTGGCTAAAGCGATCAACCAATCGGACGGCCGTTCCGAGGCCGGTTTTATGCCGCGACCACCAAGCCAGCGAACGAGATGCTTGTTTGGCTTGTCCACGCTCGAGTGACGTACCCCACGTTCTCAATCCGCGACAAAGGCAGCACGAAACGTGAAGAGCTTGCAGGGAATAAGAGGCGAATTGCTCAATGCAATCGCGATGGCGGGTTTCGAACGTTTTTTTGGGGGGCGGGATATTTAGCGTTTTCGCCAGTTTCTGCCCGTTTTCTGTCCTTTCTCTCGAATTCCTCATATCCAGCGTGTACATTACATTCTCGAACTTTGGACGGTCGTTTCTCGCATTTTGAATGCTTTGCAATTTCAGTCGTTTTCGATGTCGACAATATCCCAGGCTTAAGACATTCGTTGCTGCTAGATCATATTCTTTCAAGTCTCTTTGATCAATTTATATTAATATTCGACTTGTCACCGTTCGTTTGTTCAGGCTGCTTTGGAAGGCTTCTGGTGCCCCTAATTGTCCAACATTCCATATAACAACACGTCTACAGCGACTTGGTAATAATTCAATCATCTCAACGGCTTCAAGTTAACGCCTAGTGTCGGTCGCCATTGTTCTCTCTTGATCTTGATTAAGAGAAGAGAAGAGAGATATATATATAAACTTGCTGGATCTGGAAACACCAGCCGATTTTACTCAACTCTGTATCGCGGTCTAGCCTGCAAGTCGACAAGTCCTGCTAGCTATATACAGCCAGCGTAACTAACCTGACTCAACTTCGCCTCGCGTGTCATCTGGCGATATCGATATCGCAACCTTTTCAGCTATAATGAAGGCAATTGGTCTCCCAATCCTTGCTGCCAGTCTTCTGGCGACAAGCTCACTCGCTCTCGAACCAATTACTATAAAAGGTTCCAAATTCTTCCATGCGGATGGTTCTCAATACTTCATGAAAGGTAATTCTGTTATCCAGCTATTTCGATTAAGGATATTTATTTCCGTGAAGGCAAAAGGTGTACTGATACTTTGTCATATATGGATAGGAATTGCGTACCAACGTTCTCCATTTGATCCACTTCTTGACAAGAAGCAATGTCAGTTGGATGCCGACCTCATGAAACAGCTTGGTGCGAATGCAATTCGTGTCTACCACGTCGATCCGGATGGGAACCACGATGACTGTATGAAGATATTCGAGGATATTGGTGTTTATGCCTTTATCGACCTTGACACTTTCCATACCTATATCGAGCAGGTTAGAACACTACTACCCATATTAGCCGAATGTCGGAGCAAGACGCTGACAAGATACGAAATAGGATGGACCTCCACACTGGAACGAAACCCAGTTGACCGAATACACCAAAGTTTTGGATAATCTCGCTGGTTATTCAAACCTTGGAGGTGTCTTCGTTGGTAACGAGATCATCACCAGGTCTAATGGATCTTTTGCTGCCCCGTATATCAAAGCCGCTGTGCGAGATATCAAAGCGTACATGGAAGAAAAGAAGTTCGCTCGAAAAATTCCGACTGGGTATTCAGCAGCAGATATCGCTGAGTTGGTAGGTTCTACTCACTATATAAAGCATTGGTTGGAGAAAGTTTCATGAATGTCGTTAACGAAGGCTCTAAATACAGCGTCCCAATCTCCAAAACTACCTTGCTTGTGGAGATGACTCGTCCGTCAACGTCGACTTCTTCGGCCTTAATGCCTATGAATGGTGTGGTGAAGCTACTGACTACCATGTCTCCGGCTATGACATGCTCAATAAGAACGCTACCGACTATCCCGTACCCATTTTCTTCTCTGAGACCGGCTGCAATGTTCCGACACCAAGAGATTTCAAGGATCAATTCGCAATCTTTGGTCCCGAAATGCGAGACGTTTGGTCCGGTGCGATAATCTACGAATGGATTCAAGAAGACAATAACTACGTTAGTATATATCCGGCTTAAACCATCCTAACGAATGAACCATCTAACTAAATTCAATTAGGGCCTCGTCGACTATGGTCGAGCAGACCCCAAGACAGCGATCGGCGGTGATACTTGGGCTCGCGGTGGAAAACCCACCCCTCTCCCAGACTTCACCGTTCTAAAATCCGTCTGGTCCTCTGTTACCCCATCCGGAATCTCAAAGGACAAATACACTTCTACTAACGGTCCAATATCTTGTCCTGCATCCACATCCGGTATCTGGAACGTCGACCCTACCTCTGCATTGCCGACATTGGGACAAACAGCTGTCTTCGCCGAAGCCTCTGGGGACCCGGTAGAGAGGGACAGTACCGCGACCACTAGTACCGGAGCTCCTGCGGAGACTTCGAGGCCCAATTCCGCGGGTAAAGTGGTGGTTGTCTTGAATAGTTGCTTTATGGCCGCAGTTCTTGCTGTGGCTGTATTGCTCTGATTCACTAGATAACGTCTAAGGATTTATTTGACGTGCGGCCTGATACATGAAATTTTAATAACTTATTTGTTGTTTTTCTCATTTTAATTATATTTTTCTTTCTTTTATTAAAGAAGAAGGGACTATTCAAGCAGGATTGCTATTGTGGGTCTCGCCCTTCTCTGGTTTCTACAACCATGCGAACTTTGCTTTTTCGACCTGAGGTCCTTATACATACGCCTTTTTTTATGTTTATCATCACGTTTCATAATTTTTTTGGCCCTTGGGAGTTTTCGTCTGTTGGTACATACTTTGGTGATAGAAACATACATTGGTTGCATCATATATCTCTATGAATTCCTGAATAGTCCTCGCCCTCTTATTAGCTGGCATGGAGTTAACACCACTATAGATAGCAAGTGCTTCTACTTTCTTACGAGTCAATTGTGCAGATATTACACCGAAGCTATGATGGCTAAATTTGGAGCATCTTCGGATGGTATCTTGATATTAATACAGCTTCGAAGTTTCTTTTTTGAAATATTCCATTCGGCTGGAAAATATACAATGGTTTCAGATTGGAATTTATCTTTGTTTCTTTTGTACAAAATGCCAAATGAACATTTATAATATATGCCACTAATACTCCATTACCCAGTATAAAATAAAAAGGAAACCTATTAATTAAACCAAAAAAGGTCAAAGAGTGGAGTTTTCGATTAATATCACTCGAAAGCCACGGTTACCCAACATCAAGAGCTAGATGACTTTTCCTAGCCTATTTCCTCCTGTTACCGCCACCCTGTAATATATAAACCATCCTTATAAAGATGTTGATGAAGTCCAATTCGAGTGAGATGGCTTCGTTGACTGTATCCCTCTTCTTCAAGCCGGCTTCGGACATTCGGCTATGGTACAAGACCTTTTGGATATCATACAGTGTGATACCGCCAAAAACTGCGAGACCACCATAGAGCCAAAGGTTCTCGGTGAAGGCTAGGGTACGGGCGGCAGTAGCGGGAATAACGAGCGGTGCAAAGCCAGAGAGGGCGACGACAGTGAGACCGGCAAGAAGAGGGCCACCGAGGTAAAGGTATTGGTCAGTCTGTAAGGTCGTTCCGTTAGCATCCTGTACACAAGCCGATAAAATTATTGAGGTTAGAGAAAATATACCTTTGCTGTAGCACCGACATATGAAATAGCACCCATCATTCCGACAGTGTACAATCCAGCTCTAGCGAGAATAGCTGGGTTAAAGAACAATAGAGGGCTTAAAACAGCTGCCTGAGAGACATTGAAAGCCGACCATAGAGCATGTTTGGCCACGTAGTTCTCTGGTGGACACGCGTACGTCGCCATCATAGTTCCGATACCACCAACTAACGATATACCGGCAAACACCCATGGGTTCATTGCCATCAATCGATAACTCCATCCCACATTGTGAAGGCCTTTCGCCACAACACCGATCATTCCGACACCAAGGCCAGTGTACATGAATGTCTCATGGAGATATTCCCGTTGGTAAGCTGGAATAGGTCCTTCACGGGTTTCTCGGTTGAAGATGAAGTTGATGGCAAATGCCGTACCACCAAAGACGGCGACAGCATAGAGACCTTTGTATAGAGCCGACTGGTTCGGACGGGCCACCGCGGGTTCAGTGGCGAATGAAGAATTGCGAGCTTGTTGGAAACGGGAGAACGGATTCGACGATTTGGAGAACTTCGAGAAAGTTGTCAGAACGGACTGACGAGATGCAGTAGGTCGGGAGCTGGAGAATGCAGCGGTGAATGTCCGCGGTTTGAGAATGGTGGCGGTCTGTTTTTTCGCGATAGATGTGAAGGCGACAGCTGGCCTGGCAGCGCAGCCGACGAGAGGACGTCGTAGAGACATCATAATGAGGTTATTTGGTGCTGTTCTGTATGATCAATGAAGTGTAATGTTGAAACTGGTGGAGTTGTTCGGGATGACGATGGAAGGTTTAAGAATGGCGACGGAGTTGGATGGACTGGATGGTGGGGTGGAAGACGATTATGTCACCGCCCACAACACAAAGCAGACATCGAATGTTGTAGAAAGAAGCCACTCACCGGACTTAAACATTCTCAACTCCGGCTTCACATGCGCAATGCATGCTAGCTGGTTACGAGACTGCATGCTAGCCTCCAATTATGACTTAACTTGTATTGGAACGCAATCCAAACGATGACAGAACCGGAACAGAAGAACGACCCCGGAATCGAACGAACGAATGAAAGGAATGTTCGTGAAATGAAATATCATCCCGAACAAGAAAATGGCTTAGTCATTGCACTGCACTGACAGCACTGGAAAATGTGCACCTACATACCCGAGAGTCAAAATCCAACAACGGTCCAGGGCCAGCCCATGGCACGCAGCGCTTGGGCAGGATACACACTACTAAGGCTTCCAAAACTAGCTATGGCGGACCTTCGATCGGATGCTTCCACTGCTGCCAGGAAATCCATGCTTGAAAGCCGCCTAGCCCCAATGTCACAAGTCCAAAAATGAGTGCAATGATAACGGCAATAATCGTCGCAATATTGGCGTGTCCGGCACCCTTGCGTTTGGCCCAGCGGGATATTAGCCCTCGAGGGGTTGGATTTTCCAATTCGTCATATATGTCGGCGAGTCTAGCGCCGAAGTAGAGATACCGAGTGTTAGTTTCATGCGGTTCTCGTATGGCAGATGCCTCAAATCGAAGGCAGTCTTCGTCGAATCCCTTCTCGATAACAAGCCTTTGGAGTAAAGTGACGGCCGATGGATCAGAAAGTGGGAATATAATTTTTTGGATTGAGTCGAGAGCTTCAAGAGCAAGCTGGCGAGGTAGTGCGCCTCTATGTTGATAATATTAATGAACCTTTCGCACCGTATTCACGGGTTTAGGAGGTAAGATATACTAACAAACGAAGGCTTCCCTCTACACCCATTGGCCCTTCCATGCATCTTGTGATTCTGAGGTTCTCTTTCAGGAAAGCCGTGTGGTGAAATATCTCTATCACACCAGTCTTCCTATTAAGTTTAAGATGATTGCTGAGGTCTTCCGTAGGTGAAAACGACAACCCTCCTTTCCGAATGAGTTTACTTCCAGTAATACTACTTTTCATCTCCCAGAATGAAGCGGAAGCGTCTTCACCAAATCCAGGATGGTCTATCATTGGAAATAAACCCTCAAGAAAAGCATGGAAAGGGGTATCCTTTAGCCAGTTAGGCGATACCAAGTCTCCGTTATCATGTTCTGCATTCTGATTAAGCCAATGGGTGGAATATACCATTGTAAGAGCTTTGACAGCTAATCCGATAACATGCTCTTGCTCGGATTCTATTCCCATATTATTGGCGTTCCCAAAAACCTGTTTCGCAAGTGCACCTCGAGTAATATTTGGGGTTTCCTTTAAAACCCTGATAAGATGGAATATCTCTTCGTGAGAGCTAACGACAGCGTCCATTCTATGATTTTCGAGATCATGGCTATATGAGCAAACGAGCTCTTTATAATGTCCGAAGTATCTTTCCAGAGAAGGCATTCGATTGCCAGGACATGTCACGAGGGTGCAGATTCCGGTATATCTACAGCCGTCGCAGAAGCTCCATCCCCACAAAACGTTGTAAAGCCCATTACGGTTTTCATCCGCCCTTTTTGCTAAAGAGGATGTCGATGGAGTATGAAGAGCCTGGAGAGATATCACAGCGATAGATATCCCCGTCATAGCCGAAAACTGTAATAGAAAAGAAAAGTATCTTGATGCGGATCGGTGCGGTGGTTCACTCTCATGGTTACAAGATAAGCTTATAAAAGTTGCTCTAGTACTAGTGTAATATATTCCAATCACTTTAAAACTACTATAATTGGCCTGCGGATGTAGGATTCGATGCACGATGTACCCATGCTCATGCAAGGTTTGAGGCGGAGTTTCGTCAACAACACGGCACGAATTAGCTATGTCGCTTAGATGCCTGGGGCGCCCTCGATCAATCAATTCTATCAGCCTCGGATCATGCTGGTGAACCAGATGGTCTGGCCTGACGTTACAGGGCTGGGTATAGGTTTAACTGTTCGGAGTCAGCTGTTGTTTATTTTCCGATCTTACATGATAACGAATTTCGAGGCACATCAACCTTCTCGGACTAACGTTGAGTCGACAGCTTGCAGTATGATTGCCTGAATTCCGAAACTTTAAGCACAAGATCGATTTGATACATATTCGATGAATCAGGATGGACCCGGAGCAAGAGTCGTGCAAGGGAGACACCGAAGAGTTACCGATAGAGCCAGTGGCTTCGCAGAGCGAACTCGATTCCGGCTACTTCTCGCGAGACAGGGCGATAACTTTAGAAATACCCTCGCAGGATCGACTAATTAACATCAATGACCCAGTTTCTCGAGCCCCAAAAACGTTCTCTGGAAAAAGTTTCTTCGCCAAGTCGAAGCAACCCGAGTTATTATTATTCCGCGATGCCCATATTCCGGATGAATTCTATTCTCGGTTCCAGGATCTTGTTCAACTATACGACCGTCCCTTGAAGAGCAAACTTAAGCCAAAGTTTATGTCTTGGAAAGTTAAGGTATTCGGAGAGAATGAAAACACAAAGCGGCCATATATTGTTATCCTGTGCGACGCGGCATCGACGAAGAAACTTGCAAAGTTTTTCTCAAAAAAGGAAATCAAACAACAATGTGAGGGTACAGAAGGGTTACCTCCATTACCTGTTTTAGTCATCACATCAGAGCCTAGAAAGGTTGACGCTGATAGCGATATACCCAGTGTTTTTGGCAGAGAGGATGTTCTGCCAGAAAGCTCTTCAAGTTGTGGTGAGAGCATAAAGATCGTTCATGGAGGGAAGGCAAAGATGGCGACCCTAGGGGGTATTGTGAAGGTTACCATTGGCGGAGAAGTAAAGCTCTATGGTATTACAGCGGGCCACATTCTTGACGAGGACCAAGTCGATGACGATGCATCTATTGGGGATCTTTCAGAATCATCTGAGCCTGATACCGAGTCTGAGGACGAAAGCTCTAGCGAAATGGATTCGATATTCACAACTGCATCATCGCCCGAAATACATGTACCAACGGAAGATGGGGGGTGTAACTTTGGATGGACAAAAATTGGACAAGTCATGAAGCCAATGGCCGCTACTCAAACCTCGGAAGATCGCAATCTAGATTGGTGTCTTGTTGAATTGGCTGATGAGGCTAAAAAGAGAATGAATATTGTTAAAATACTATTGGATCAAGATGGAATAGGCTCCGACGAATATTCGGTGTCTAACAGAATAGACACAGTATATCTTCGGGAATTAGGAGATGTCGTCGACAAACCAGTTTTATATCAACCAGGAACTGAGCCAGGGTATCTCAGAGGCACCATAAACACTATGCCTGCGTTCATGCATCAATCGCCGTCTAATAAGATGGCGAGGGTGTATAACATGACCTGGAACTCAGAATGGGATCGTGAGTCAATCGCAACATTATTGATTGAAAGAACTTTCTATCCGCTTCGGTCATTTTGCTAACTTAGCTTTCAGAGGTTTCCGCAGGGGATTGTGGCTCGTGGGTGGTGGACCTGAATGTTGGTTCATTTGGACGTGGAAATCACTCTCTTTATGGCCACATAGTCGCTGTTGACATCTTCGACGAAGCTTACGTAGTCCCGTTTGAGGATACAATGGAGCAATTAGCGAAGTACCTCGGGGCTGAAGCTGTTGGGCTACCCTTATGTGAGGATTTTATGAGTACCTCATCCGTGAGCCACAAGACACTCGACGGCAAACTCGCCACAGAGCCATCTAGTACAATCCTTCGCGAAATATTTGGCTATCAAAACGATAATGACTCCCCGCGCGATTCATTTCATGGAAGAGGAATACTCCGGAGTGATACCCGTATAGATACACTCGAGCCTTCAACAAAGTCCAAGCCACTCAGCGAATTCGAGTCTGCACTTCTAGGAAGTAAACTTGAATTCGGTTTCCATTCTAAAACAGCCCTTTGGAGAGGCTTTGGTACCTGGCGAGGCCCACCAGATTCACCCAGGCTGTTATCGGATGCCAAGGGAACTCCTCTCTTACCTTATGACTTTGATTACAATGTCAAACTCCATGAATATTGCCAGAATCACGGTTTGCAACCTCCAATCTATGGGGAAAATGAGATGGTCATCCCGAACAATCTGGGTTTGCGTTCTAAGTCTATAGTAGCCATAGGGGGCATACTCTATGGCGCATCGTTATGGAAGGAAATGCATCCCACTGCACTAGATGCAGACCAACTTGCTAGCCGTGAAGCACTTCGGAACTTGATCATTCATCATCGGCGAACTTTGGATATAAAGCCAGGGGATACAAAGCCCAAGCTCGAAAAGCCTACCACCCTTGTAAGCGAAGAGGTTCTGAATCAATTCCGGCAGAAGCAGCTTGAGCTGCTACTGCCCAAGATTCTGGGAAGTCAGGCGGTGACGCAACCATCAGCTAGTAACGCAACACTGGTGCCCGCGGCCAATATAAACCCAACAATAGGACCTAAGGAAAGAAATCATGAATTCAGCATGTTTCAAGAGCAAGATACACCTGCTGCTGTTCGGCTCAAGGAATGGTTTGTCGCCGCTAGGAAAAGACACCCCGCAGAAACCATCGACGCCCTCCTAAACAAGCAATGCGACCTTGAAGACGAAATGAACGACGCTAAATATGCGCAAGAGTCGATACAAAAAGAGATCCAAAAAGTTGAGGAAGTCTTCCTAGAGACTTCGATCGAAAGACAACTAGTGTTGACTGAGAGAAGACGTCTGGTACGGGAAATAGAATTTCTAAGCAGAAGGCTTGCGGCGACACTCCTGAAAATACATAAAGAGCGTGTGTATCTAAAGACCAACGGCATGTCCCGGGCCGCGATGTTCAGAGAACCTCTAAATGGACAATTGCACCTATAGCGCATGCGCACATACGGGGTGGTACTTTAGCATAAGATTTATAAAGTATTGAATATATCCCTAAGCCTTAGCTACATATTGTATCGAAGTAATATTCAAATATAACAATATGAGCCAGTCGATTTAGAATATTAATCTTCGATAATTAAAGAAAAACCTGGGCTCCCGTTGGATTTTATTAGCCCGTCCCGGTAGAGTCCCCTGGGTTTGATGTTGTTGTGGAAACCGGATTTTAGGCTGGTGCCATGCCCAGCCCGAATTGAGCCCCTTGAATTGGGCTCCCTGGTCCCTGCCTGCATGCACCTGTCGTGGAACCATGGCTCCGGCTGCTTTATCTCTATCGTTATCATATCGATACCGCCGCCGGGTCCAGGTCTGCAGTACGTGCACATACAGTGCAGCTCTGTGTATCTTATTCATCGATCGTCTTACATACGTCCTAAGCGGATACATATAGAAAAATGCGTACCTCGGACATACATCACATTCCCACGGCTGTGCTCCCTGTAGGGACTCAAGCGGCATTATCTGCTAGTCAAGCCCCAACGTTAGAAATGCGCGTTATCGCGTTGGAAACCAAACTTCGTCACCATAAGCCAGAGCACCCATGCGATTGTAAATACGAACTTTCACTACTCGAAGAGAAATTGGGAGGCCTTGATGAACACCCTTGGGAACTTCGAATTTTAGAAGTTGAACGAAAACAACGACGCGATGCGAAGGATGTCTCCAGGCTATGGAAGGAACTACGCGAATGTCAGGATCGGACGGAGACCGTCATTGCGGAGCATCGTTGGGCCTCCAAGCAAAAGGAAGGGACCAATCGAGTAGTCAAATCCTCGAATGCTTTATATCTGGTGGAACAGACAATCGAAAGGCTACGAGAATTTGAAAGATTTCAAGAGGAACTTGCGGCCTGCTTAGTGGTTTTAAAAAAGCGTTGTGACGAAATGGAAGGCGATATCCGACGCGTACAGCCCTGGATGATTAACGAAATGGTGGAGAAGCAAGAGGATGTTGCAGACAAGATCGTTCGATTGGATGGCAATGCAAAGACATTGCAAAGTCGAGTGGGCGAATTGATGACATTGAAGGGGATTGTTTCTAAAATATCCGACATAATACCCGACGATGTCAGTTCCAAAGTTAAAGAGGGAAAAAACACACCAATGGAGAAACTGAATTTAGAGCCCACGAAGGATGATTTTTTGTTGGAGACAAAACCTGAAACCCAAGCATCAAGGGCAGCAGGAAATCAAATACCCTATTCTGGCAACAATTCTGAACGGAGTATATGGGTGCCGCCTACATCGGTGGAGCCAACTCATACTCCATACATACACGGCATTCCGATGGTTCTAGAACAACCGGAAGGATGGGGGGATGTTCGGGCAGAGATATGCCGGGAGTTAGAAGAGAGTCAAAAGGCTTATTTTTCTTCACAGCCAGAGCCCCTAGAAACGAAAGAAAAACCCGAGGCTCCGGACGGTGAGATTGTTGGGATATCTGTAGCTGAGGCTCTGCAGGAAGACTCACCGAGCGATCCAGATATCTTGAAAAGGAAGAGGAGACGAAGAAGAAAGCGATCAAAGAGTGCAAGTCCAGCCTTCGCTGTCATGAACGAAGAAAGTAAGCCAGAAATAAAAATTGAGGGTGAGCAGTCGGACAAAAAGATTAATATCGAGCATGAGACATCAGCCGCCAGAGAATATCTCCACCCCTTGGACTCATATCAATCTACCGCTTTTGCCCCTGCCACTATGAACTGTGGCTATGCAATTGAGGATATCGATCCGGAAACGAGAGTGCCTACACTTTTTAAAAAACAATTTTCTGCTAGGAAGACGCGACCATCATTGCGAAAATCAAAATCGAGAAACATCGTCAAGAGCAAGGACAAGCTGAAACATATTCACATGAGCGAACTTTTTAAGCAGGGCAAAGGATTCAGCAGTGGAAGGAGTGCTGGCAAAACTGTACTGGATAGTGGAGCGATATCTGGCATCGAAGCTATAGTGCTGCGATAAAAATTCGTGCGAGATAATATATTATCATTTGGGTTTCAGTAGTGTTTCGAGGGGTTGGGAATAATTCAATTACTAGTTTTTAGCATTCCATATCTTGTATTTTAGATACCCTGTACCGACTCTCCGCATATTAGCGTTCTTTTTAGCCCTTAGACCTAGCGCACGCATCAATACATCCATCAATTTTTGGACGATAATGACACCATTCCAGGAGAAGCCCAGCGTTGTTCTTGTGGTATTTCGAAAACTCGCCCAAACAGGCAAGGTCCAAGCCAAGATGTTGCCGAACCCCGTAACACAGGATTCGGGCCACCAACGACGCGTCCAATCTTGATTTGATTTCATCAACGCGAGGATACACGAAGAAGGGGATCATGATAACATTCCTTCTCTTGTCCCCTTCTCTTTCCTTCACTATTTATCAGCGACCTTTCGAGTACTATCCCCCCTGATATCGCGGTTAACTTCCAATCACTCGTTCGCATTTGACATTTATTTCGAGGGTTTGTGAGTCCCCACATTATTCCGGACAGTTTTCTTTTTTTTTTTTTCTTCTCCGAAGGGATCAGTTTTTAATTGGCGGCTTTACCAGAACCCATTCAAGCAAGCCAGTTTATATTCGACATATCTAGTTTTTGCAAGATTCTTCAAGAGAGGGATGGATTTAACTGAACAGGCCATGGAGGGGTCGACTGGAAGAGGAAGGCGGGCATCAAGCCGTATCCAAAAGCTCGTCGAGGAACCTGTAGTTCCAGGCACACAAGAGGAATCTGATATCCCTTCCGAAGTCGTCGAGGAAGCTTCAAATGTCGAGGATGCATTGGATGAACCTTCAGAACCGAAAGCGGTTCTCCCATCGGAAGATTCTTCCATGGAGACTAGTCCCTATTTCGCGGAGTCGACACCGCAAACATCTACTCGGCGCCTTAGGCCCAGGACATTTCGCAGTCCAATAAAGGTACCACCATTACTACTGAGTAGAAGAGTAACACGTAGCGCTTCTACAACTACCCCTCGTGCACGGAAACAAGACGAGATGGCGACCACAAATGAAGAAACGCCTCAAAAGTCGAAAAGTGATAAATCTTTAAAAACCCCTAAGACCGCTTCATCGAAGAAACCACCAAAGGAGAACTCTGAAAAGTCTCCAAAGGACGCCTCAAAACCATCATCAAAGACCCCGGCCAAGACTCCAGCTAAGGTTTTAGCTAAAGCTGCAGCTAAAACGCCATCAACAACGGCAAAGACTCCAGCAAAGACTCCAGCAAAGACGACGGAGCCGACATCATCTGAGAACCCTACCAAAAGTTCCACTCGCAAATCAAATGCTTCTACTGCCACTGGTAGCGAGCCAGATCTAATCCTGAAGTACGGAGAGAATTTTGACTGGGAAGAGTACGCCAAATTTTGCATGCGACGAACCCGGTTGCCTACAGACCCATCTGTTACATCCGTTATCGAAAATATCAAGCTTTACGGAAACTGGAAAGGCGAAAATCAAAAGTCATCAGGAAAAGCTTCTGGTGCCTCGAAGAAAAAACAGAGCGTCGCAGAATCATCCACCGCGGCTGCAAGTGAGCCCAAAGAGGAGAAAAAGCGCACTAAGGAGGAAAGAAAGGTCGAAAGGGAACTGAAAAAACAGCGTAGGGAGGAGCGAAGGCGTAGAAAGGAAGAAAAGAAGAGTAAAAAGGAGCGTGAGGGGGAAACGAAAAAGAAGCATAAACACAAGAAGAAATCTCAGGAAGAAGAAGAAGACAAAGACGCAGGGACAGACGCTTCATCTGAAGGTGCAACTCCAAGAGACCAACAATCTTCGTCCAGCCCTGAGGCCAGTGGGAATACAAGTGCCGATTCTGCCCAGCCAACTAAATCTCGAAAACGGAAATCAGACGATTCGGAAACTCCAAAGCCCAAGAAAGCCAGGAAAGCAGACCCAGAAGCCGTTGATGCTGAAAGCACAGCTGCTGTTGAAGAACCTAAATCAACGACCAAACAGAGGAAATCTCCAGCCAAGCAGGATATCCCAAGCACAGCGCTAGAGACAGTTTCCGAAAGTGTTTTGAACCTTGGATCGAGCTCACCTTCCAAACGAGCTCCAGCGGGCACCTCAGTCATCGTTCCACCACCTGTCGACGCGGTTAGCTTTGGGCTAATCCAAGAAGAGGTCTGCCACAATCCTGTGGGTACCGCCTCTTGATCACCCCAAATTTCTCGCTGAGAGGACCCCTACATACTTATATATATGGCCAAAAAATGGTCTAACATTTCCTTTATTTTGGGTAGTACTATCTTTTAATCGCAACTGTTTTTCTCCAAAAGACTAAGGGTTCTTCAGCCATACCTGTTTTTCGAGAGTTTCTTAGGCGCTGGCCCACCCCACAAGATCTTCTTGCCAGTTCCATGGATCAAGTAAAAGAATTGTTTAACCCCCTCGGTTTACATACTGTTAGGGCAAAGACTGTATGGATGATGGCACACCATTTTCATCTGCTAGATCCCTACAAAAAGCCTCGTGGTCCCCAGTCTTGGAAAGTTCGAGCGGATTACAAACCACAAGATCCAACAGGTCTCAACCGAAAGTGGGGCTGCATCATCGGAGACGTCTACGGGTGTGGCACCTATGTTATCGACAGCTGGCGAATATTCTGCATGAAACCTGGTGAAGGGGGCTTCATTGATGGCACCACAGTGGGAAAGCCTCAAAAACGTAAAACGGTTTATGACGACACGCTTGCCTTACCTGTGGCTGCCTATCCGAGCGACTTTAACCCTGGGGATGAGGAGTGGCGGAAGATCTCTCCGGATCGCGAGGTGCTTGATAAGGAACTACAGGCATATATACGGTGGATGCATGCGAAAGATGCGGCTGGGTTCGGTACTGTGATATACAATCCATGAGTTCTTCCAGATTCCGAACTTCCTTATCTTTTTTGCTCTTCCATTCATTTATAGGCCGTTTCTTTCAAATTTTCATTTTTTTTTTTAGCTTAAAAAACATCGAATTATTTCCGGACCTGTATGCATTTCTTTGCTTCAACTTTTACCTTTAAGTGTACCTTGCATCTTTTTTGTGCCGACGATTTTGTCTCCTCGTTCGATGGCCACTATTACTAGTGTGTCCATCTCAATCTCATTTGCGGTTGAACTAGTCTTTGTTTCGCCTTTGTCTCACAGACTTTCCTGCATTCTCCTCTCTTCTTTTTTCATTTCTAAGTTTGTCAATAATACTGGCTGGTTATCTGTTTTTCCGTGCTATCGCGAGAGTACGTTTGTTAGGGGTATATCATATTGATCATTATTCCATCTGGAAACTTAAATCCGAGTTAAACATAAAGGACTGTATACAAATGGCTTCCTTGCCAATGTATCCCTAAGGACCCCGGATCCTGGCCAAAATCTTGAACGTGGTACACACAAGTTCATGGGTTGGGTCCTCAGAGACGAGTCCCAGGAACCGGAAACTAGTTGACGCAAAGCGGGCAATGTTACTAGGAATGCATGTCGAGGCTCGCGATTGAACATTGAATACATACTAGCTAAAGGTATAAGAGCAATCCTAGTTCCTAGCGTTAGTTGTGAGCATGGGCGTCTGTACACTACGGCTGTAATACAGCGGTGAGTCTTTCGGTCTATAGTATATTAGAGCTCAGTTTAGAGGGGAGATCCAGAGATATTAGTTTCTTTCTATGGATCTAAGACCGGGCCCAGATATTGAATTCAGTTTTGTATACTAGGATACGCTAATATATTTGCTAGGAGGCCTTGGACAGATATAATATTTGAGACCCGCTGTATGTGCGCCAACCATAGGGCGAGGACTACGAAATTAAAGATAAATTTTGCATTTGTCAACCATAATATCAGAGGCCTTGTAAAAGCCCTCTTGGCTAGAGCACTTCGAAGCTGTCTCTACTGTCCTGTCCAATAGCTAGCGGCAGCTTACCGACGGAAAAACATCTCCAAGTTTATTGCTATGCATGTGTAATAACTGTTGGGCTAACTGTCGAAGCATGAAAGCCTGGACCAAGACGGAAGATCTATGGCATTCTAGCTCGACAACCAAGTTTACACACCCTTGCTAGCTTCGGACTTACTCCTCTCGTCAGATGCACATACGGACCCCTTCCAGCTGCAGTTGTATCGTGATGACCGTACGCGTTGCGTTGAATGTATTTCCAAGAACTATCCAAGAATTGACCAAGACGGATATTCGACAGCCATCTCTGGGCTTCTTTGCTGCCGAACTCCGGCCGCGGCGAAATCTTGACTTCTCTTCGCATTTTCTTGGATTTCTCGGCTTCATGGACATGGAAACCTACAGATACAACGCATCGCCTCTCGGATTCCAACAGGATGGGCGCTCAGTAATTTTAATAACTGACATCTAACATATATATCTATTCTTACGGCGAGTTATGGGCTGTTCGCAAGCGGTTTAATTTTATACCTAAGGGAACTTGATTAAACTCTTGTCCGGTAACTTTGAGAGACTCGATTTCTCTATTATATTGCGGAAAGAAGGACGAGGTTTGTTTTGAATTTGTGCAACTGGTACGAGACTGACGCAAGATGGTGGAGAGCATGAGATAAGGTTATAACCAACGCTAAACTAGACCAGCCACATCGGACCGCTTCTCCATACAGGAAACCCCAGTGGGGTTTTCGGAGAATCTTTATCATTGGCTTTGGTGGTAGTTCCCCGAGGCGTACATCCACCACTTTCATAATTAGAATTGAATGAATCGATTCAAATCATAAGTGGATCATAGCCCATGGGGATCATACCGTGATCTAATTGACCGGCAAGTTCGCCTGTGGCCTAGGCAGTAAAGCGAGAGATCTCCACAACTCCAACTGCATGAAGCCAGTTCGTTTTGGATGGAATTTTGTTCCCCCGAGGTCATAGCTTTCCTTGCAGATATTGCCAAGAACACCTTACCCCAGGATCTTGTGCCCTCGGGACAGACCGTAACGGTAGCTCTGATTTCCACCAATGAAAGACGCCATGACAAGCCAGGGCTTTGCCAGGAAGTGCTTGTCATGAACAAGATTTCTTCTGCATTCTTAGGAATTCTTGAGGGGGTATCGATAGATGCAGGGATCTTTATCCGAAATGCACCCCGGGATTCGAACAGGCCAACGCTTCTCAAAATGCAGCTCTTCAACTTCCAGATTACTACCGCTTGAATATACCCTTGCCAACTTGTCGGGCGCAGGTAGAACTGGTGCGAACCTTGGATCTACGATATCTTGGAAGTACCACTGGAACGGTGGAACCAATGATGAAAGAAATTCGAAATGGTCTCGGATAGCGATATTACGGAGAAAATAGCAACCGTGCCCCGCAAAGTTCACCTATCCATAGCGATATGTGGAGAATCTTTCAATCGCGCGCGCTCACATTTACCTGGATGGGCTTTAGCTAGCTTCTCTATCTTAATGATCAGTTCCTCTAGCCCGTAATGATATAAATATGCTGTGAACTCCCTGAAACGTCAAAGGTTTCCTCCAATTCAGAGACCAGCCCAGTACGCTCCTGATTCTAGACGACATCGTCCTACTCCTCCCTGAGACGCAAAGATGAAGTTTGCTCGATTTGCAGCTCTTGCTGGTGTTATCACCACTGCTCTCGCAGTTGCTCTCCCAGAGTACTCCGAGCTCGATGCTCTTGACGACTCCTTTGAGCTAGAAAAGAGGACCACCAAGACCAAGGAATACCTAGAGAAATTCCCCAACTCTCTAATTGTGAATCGTGGAAAGGACAAGCATTGGGTCAAATATACTAGGCCACATTTCTCTCACAGGAAGAAGGTCTACATCCGTGCTTCTCAAAACGAGACGGATGATGTCTCTGCTGAATTCCTGCAGGGTCTGAAGGATGCCAACAATGGTGGTACCCTCGTTCTCGAGAGAGAAACTACCTATGTGATTGGCAAGAAGCTCGATCTGACATTTTTGAACAATGTCCATGTTGAGCTTCTTGGTGAGATTTTGTTCACCAATAATATCACCTATTGGCAAAACAACTATTTCTACCATCCATTCCAAAAGTCAATTACGTTCTGGAAGTGGGGAGGAAAGGACATTCTTATCTACGGAAATGGTATCCTGAATGGTAACGGCCAAGCATGGTACGACGGTTTCGCAGGCCTCGAGATTTTGGTACGTATCAATTCTGATATCAATTGTTGCATTTTAACGTCTACAACACGAAACTAACAGCTTCTAATTCTTAGGATCCCTCGAACACTTATTACCGCCCAATTCTATTCTACGCCGAAAACGCTACCAACCTCCGCATCGAGGGTATCGAATTCAGGAATTCTCCATGCTGGACCAACTTTGTCGTCACCTCTAAGAACGTCGAGTATGACAACGTCATCATTGACAACCAGTCCAAGAATAAGAACCTCCCCAAGAACACTGACGGCTTCGACTCGCTTAACCTCGACGGCATTTCTTTCACAAACTCCTATGTTAACATTGGTGACGATTGCTTCTCACCAAAGCCAAATACCTCCAATATCTTTGTTAAGAATCTTTGGTGCAATGGTACTCACGGCATTTCCATGGGATCTATTGGTCAATATCCTGGCGTCAAGGATTACATTGAGAACGTCCATGTTGAGGATATTATCATGTTGAACGCACAATGCGGTGCTAGGTATGATACTGATATTTGACTTATCAATGAAGGGATAATTGCTAATATTGAATGTGAAAAATTTAGACTCAAAGCTTGGGCCGGTCGATCAGCAGGATACGGTTACATCCGAAATGTCACCTTCAAGAACTTCTACAACTACAATACCGACCAGCCAATTGTTCTTGATCAGTGCTACTTCAACATAAATGCTACCGAATGCGCTGGCTACCCATCCCGCGTTGATATCTCTAACATCAACTTCATCAACTTCACTGGTTCTAGCTCTGGAAAGAAGGGCAAAGTTGTTGTTGATCTTAAGTGCTCTCCAGGTATGATTAACCATATTTATCTGAAAAACCGGAGGCTTTTATTAACAAAGAATTTTAGGCGCTGTATGCGAGAAGATCCACCTCGAGGATATTGAAACAACATCACCGAAGGGAAGCCCACCATTGGCTGTCTGCCAAAACATCGTTGGAGATGTTGGTATTCCATGCACTCCTGCAGGTGCTGCATTGTAAATAATTTTGAAAGTGGAATAACGGAAGCGAAAGAGCTATGAGATTAGTCTCTTTCGACAGAATCATACGCTATATAATTGTGGGTTTGATTGGGGGTTTAATGTATCATAGTAGCGATATTTTAGACTTTATACACTGGACGATTAACTATCAGTTATCTAATGGTCTTGAAATAAGCTTATGTACGTGTGCTATTCAAAATTTTGCCAGTGGTATTTATAAATTGCGCTACGCATAGCTAGTACTCACACATGATTTTGCGCTTTATAAATTTCTTAAGAGAATATGACAATTAATCCCTGATGTAATAGGAATAGAGTCCAGTCACAATAGCGTTGCATCTAGATAATAATAAACTCACCATACATCGGAATTTTATTTATCTATTATGTCTTCTTTTTTCTTGGTACAAGGGGCGAATAGTATAGGTTGAGAACTGCATTATTTGTAAATTGAATTTATATACAAGGGGTCTTATTGACAACTATATATGTAGAATGAAATTAAGGTCAAGGAATTAAGAGCTTAAGTTCTCCTGTGTCCAGAGTATCAACACGCTCAAGGGCTATAGTTCTATAACTAGCGGAAGCCATAATATCCATCTATATCTTACAAACATTGCGAGTAATCTAGAGATTTTCAAGATCAATCCGTTAGTAAATGCATCTAAGCAACCGTTGTAGTAGGGTTACACTTACAAGCATTCGATACTTTGCAGGTGTATCCGTGAGGGCAAGCCTTTGGACCGTTAAATCCTTGGCCGCCACACTGTCCATAAGCATCTGCGGCAGTAGGGACGGGAGAAGTTGCGGATGCGTCTCCATAGAAGGTACCGCGGCCGTTAGTTCCGATGTAAATACGGCCGTATGTTCGGGGATCTGCTGCGTAGATGTTATTTCCCGGTGTACCGAAGCCGTTCGAGTCGTCTGAGATGAGTGTCCAGGTATAGCCGCCACTGAAAATTGTTAGTATTACCAGAAATAAAATTTCGTTCTTGATATTAGAAGAGTTAATAATGGTATGGTACTTACTCGTCGCTTCGGTAATGGCCAGCCCAACCTTGGATAGTGGCTGCGGCAAAAATGGCGGGGTATCCATTGCTTGTTGCAGACTTGCCCAATTGAACATGATAAGCATCAGTAGCGGGTCCAACCCTGCTAATGGTGTTACCAGAGTCGATACTATGCCAGATACCGGTATCGGTAGCGATCCAGACATCACCGGCTCTGAATGGGTTAACACCAATCTCTCTGATGTAGCCGATCGAAGAGGTCTTCTTGGTGTAGGTGGTACCCGCATTGGTCGAGACATAGAAGTTGCTATTCTCAGCAGCATAGAAGAGACCGTTGTGGTTTCGGTCATTAGCGGTGGTATAACTGCCAGATGGGATATTTGGGACCTTCTCGAATGGATATTCATTGGCAGAGACATAAAGACCGTTGTTGACGGCCCAGACAACGAAATCACCGTTGGAAGAGAGCTGGGCACGGCCTCCGTTCCATGATCCGGCGCTGGCGTGAATGTGCCATGTAGCACCGGTATCGTTGGAAAGAGCGAGACCTCCTTCGCCATCTCCGGAACGAACAACAATGTTTGGTCTGGAGCCAGCATGGTCAATGGAGCGTGTAGTGCCCCAAGATGGTGTTAGGAAAGCTTTACTAGGAGCAACATCAAGATTATCGTGTCTCCAGCCGCCAACGTCGCCAACGACAGACAGAAGATGTGGACCCTGTGGAGGTGAGGTGAGGCCTAATACTGCGGTTTCTTCCATTCCGTAGGACAGAGAAGACAAAGTGAACTTTTCATTCTTATCCCAGTTGGTGAGCTTGTGGGAGCCGAAGATAGTAGCACCAGTACCGTAGAGGAAGTGATCAGAATCGAAGGGATTGATTGCAATGCTTCCCATCATCCACTAAAATACTTATATGTTAGAAGACGAGGACTTTGAGTATATATCCGTTGGTGGAGATTCTTACCCCGGTAGTCTTATCGCCGGTAATTTCTGGAAGCCAGGTTGCTTGGCTAATATCCCAGTCATATCTTCTCTTGACTGGTGGTTGAACACCGCTCCAGTCGAAGTCCCAGATAGTTGTCCATGTTGCTCCACCATCCAAAGACCTATAGATGTTCCCATCAGGCCACCATTGATGGTATGTAGTCACCATAACAGTTCCGTTCTTCTGGGGATCCAGAGTCAGACCACCAAATCCAAAACCGGTACCATTGTCGTCGAGAATCTTGACCCAGGTCTTCGATTCTACGTAGTACTTGTAGACATAACCGTCACCACCTCCGTATGTATTAGCGTTGTCAACATAGCTAACGTACAAGGCCTTCTCCGTTGGCGAGTATTTTCCGGTGTGGGAAAGGAAACCAGTTGGTTGACCAGAGATTGCGGACCCTATTGATTATTTTAGCTATGCACATCTCCTCCCAAAATCAGTGCCCAGGTACTTACAAGTGGCGCCGGAGTCTTCGGACATATAAACGGTGGCGGAAGAATCGGCAGTTCCGACAAAGATTCGCTTTGAAGCAGTTCCAGCAGCACTGCTAGTGCTATCAAAAGCAATGAAAGTAAGACCGATGATATCGCCATTCTGACCGCTATCACCAGGGTCCACAATGTGTGTTCCTAAATCCAAAAGCCGTTAACGTACAACCCTTTGCATGCTTAGTATAGATATAAAAGATTATAGGTGACCCACCAACAGCGGTATAGCTTGTGACCTTTGCCCATGTCTTTCCATAATCGGAACTCTTCCACAATCCATTTCCACTTCTCGCACCGAAGTACAAGATACTACCCTTGTTAGGGTCAACAGCTAGCCTCTCACCCATTTGTCTGCCAGCCATATTACCGCCAAACTTGAAAGGGAAATTTGCCCTGCTCCATGTCTTGCCGTAATCCGTGGACGACATGATTTTGCCATTGTATGGATCCCACGAGTTAGTGTAGATACCAGCGGCAATGTAGACTCTAGATGCATCATTAGGGTCGAGAGCGACTGCGTCAACACCATGTTCATTCCAGAGGGTATTGTTGACATAGTCTTGGAGAGGAGCCCATGAATCATCCGAATTGAGACGGTAGAGACCGCCAATGTCGGTTCTGGCGTAGGCAACTCCCTTTTGCTTCGGGCTGAAGACGATACCAGTAACGAAACCTAATGCAACGCAATACAATATGTTAGGAATCACACCCTATATTATATCGACAATCCCAATTACGTTGGATTCAAGTACATACCACCGCTAGCACCAGTTCTAACGTTTTTCCATGTGTAATGCTGGGTATAATTTACTGGGGCAGCAGCACGAACGCCGGAGAGAGCGGCTAGGACAATGCCCACCGCGGCTGTCTTCTTCATTTTGGAAAATATTCGTGTTGCTCTAACAAAAATACCACAAAGTAACCCGTCGACGCACACAATCCAGGCACGTTAGAAAGTGGAAAAGATGGCAATGGCATGGCTTCGAAATATATAGTCTACTTTTGGACGACTACTAGTCATGTATCGAGATCGGGATTAATTGTTCCTGAACTACGTGATATTGCCAAGCTGATAGTCAGGTACAGAACCCGGGTCTGGGACCCTTGTAGACGACTGGGGGGCCAGATTATCCGACGGTGCAGATTCCCGACAACCACAACTTTTATCCATCCGATATACTCGCGACAGTCGAGAATGGTGCGTATAGTAAAACACGTGGGGCAACTGGTTTGCATGGTTCCGTATTGTGAACTATGGCTTCGATGTCGCAATGCAGAAGTTCACATGGTTCCGAATACGAGTTTCCCTCCACGGGCTGCTGGCCAAGTGGGGACGAGTCTTCTGGAAACCATACCCATTGCATAATTGTAACATTGTTTCCGTATGCATGCGAGGTTCATCCCTTATAGGCTGTGGACTTGTAAACTTTAAGAGGTTAAATTTCGTGGATGAGCAAATTCGGAGGAGTGTCTCCGCGATTGAAGGGTACCTGCTTCGAATAGATCCCCGCCATCCGAGACGCCATTATGGGGTTTAGGGCGGATTGTCGCTCCGCCAGTCCCGAGATGACTATGGCTAAATTAATTGGCGAATTTGTTTTATAAGGCATTATAAATCGTGGAGCCGAGGATTGATTGAAATTTTGTGGAGGTGTAAGTAGTTTTGAGAAAGATATATCGCTGAAACGCTCGATTCAAAAGAAGAAAACTTATAGCCTGAATCCACAGATACGAGCTGCATATTATGATTCTAGGAAGGTTCGAACCATGGAATTACTCTGAGTAGTCCTGGATTCTGAAATCATGATCCGTAGGATCAATTTTGGTTTTAAAAGGGATCGTTCGGCGAGAGCATGCATACACCCTGAACGCAAGGCGGAACGAGGACGGGGCATCCCAGACATGTAGACATCAAGCCTCAAGTTCAGAGAAGCCTTCTGGAACTCCCTTCCTGCTCAATAGTCTTCTCGAAAAGAACCTATAGTGTATTAGTTTCAAGATAATGTTAGGCGGGCAAATACCAAATCAACTTACTGCATTACAGGGAGCGCTTCCTTCGCGTCATTCATCATACCGTCACCCTCACGATCCCATTTCACGACTTGGACATCCTTGAAGAAGCTCTTCACCCGATCCGCTGCCCTTGCTGTGAGTAGTCCGTTTCTCCCACCGCAGACTACAACCGGTGTATTACTCTTCTTCGCAACATCTGTCACCACAGTCTTCACTTCGGATCCGATAATGCCACCAATGCTGACGACTCCCCCAAATTCACTCGTCATGCCGGTCCACTCGGTCCCCTCGCGGCAAAGGTAGTCAAAAACACAGATAGCTCCTTGTCCCCATCCGAAGAAGAATATCTCTCTCGGTTTCCATCCATCAGCTATCAACTTCTCGACAACTGTTTTTAAAGTTTTAAACCCAGCTTTTGCGAATTTTACGTCAAGACTTAGATCTTGGCCCTGGAATACGACATCTTCGCCCCATTGATAACCTGGTAAACCGAATGGTAAGTTGTTCGGCGCGCATAGTGAGATGCAAGTAGTTTCTGGGAGATTTAGATTTCGCGCGAGATTTGCAAAATTCTCTGGTCCATCGCCAATGGAGTGGAGTAGAAGGAGGACATTGGCTGGCGAGTCTGTTTTCGGTGGGATGACAGTGTGGGATTTGAAAGTGGCTGATGTTGGCGGGGTGCCTGGCATGTTTTGAGTCTAGCTATACTAGCGTTGTACATAAGATCTAACCGATCTTAGCTATGAATTGATGTAGTTCGATATATCCTTCGAGATACCTAAACGAGACAGGGCTAGAAGTTCTTCGGTATGAAGTTGTAGTGTGTTTATATCGCAGCTGTTGGTGGTCAGATGTGGGATGTGCCGAGGCTGGTGGGATGTTGAAAGTTCCAAGCCTTAAGCTACCCTGGCAAATGTTGGTAGGTCAGCAACACCACGCCAAAACACCGTTGTCCTCGAACTCTCCCTCAACTTCCACCTTCTAATCGCGCGACCATGGCAGCAAAAGCAGTGCGCCGGCTTCTCTCCGAGTATCGGGAACTCATTAACAATGAAACCGAAGGCATCTATGCTGGTCCCGTCTCGGAAGACAATTTCATGCTCTGGGAGTGCTTGATCGCCGGCCCACCCGACACTCCCTTCGAAGGTGGAATGTTCAGTGCCACCCTCAAGTTTCCGGATGTATGAGACCTCTTTTCACAGAAAACTCACTAGCAGCGTCTATAAATATCTATGACTTCTCCCCTTTGGGCGGCATAGCTAACATTTTTGTGCTTTAGGACTACCCTCTATCTCCACCGGAACTAAAATTCACCTGCGAGATCCTCCACCCGAACGTTTACCCGGACGGCACGGTCTGCATATCCATCTTACACCCTCCAGGCGATGATCCGAATATGTACGAGTCCGCTAGTGAGCGGTGGTCGCCCATACAGTCGGTAGAAAAGGTCCTGTTGAGCGTGATGAGCATGTTGGCAGAACCGAACGACGAAAGCGGTGCCAACGTCGACGCGAGCAAAATGTTTCGAGAGGATAGAGCACAGTATGAAAATATCGTACGGCGGTGTGCCAGAAAAACCGTAGGATTATAGTGTCTGCTGGAGGAAAAATAATTTCTGGAACCTAGGGCAATTTTTATAGAATTGGTGGGTACATGCGGTTTTTGGACTATGATGATGGCGAGATGTATAATAGAATATGCTTTTTTTGCCTTCTTCTGCTGTCTTTAGCACGGTGTCTTGGGGGCAAGTTATTCATGGTATAGCAACCAATGTATTATCTCATTTCAAGTTCTTTGTACACTATTGACGATTGGGTTATATACGCAGCCCATGTACCACCAGAGCTCAGCTCCCAGTTTCTTCTAAGCTCCGGGTTTCCTCAGGCGAAGGCGAAGGACTCTGCCATTCTGGGAACTGGGATCGAAGGGACGGGGCTAGCTTTAGCAACAGTTCTCTTGCCTCTGAAACTTCTTTGCGTATCAGAAGTATCTCCTCCATATCCATTTCGTATCGTTTGAGATCCGTCTCGCGATCGGGGATTGTATACCGCATGAAAAAGGTATGCAAATCATCTAAAAGTTTGCGAGCCATAACTGCCGATTGCTTTTCATAAGAATACCATAATTCTCTAGTCTCGGATCTGAATCTCTTCAAAGAAACCGCCACGATGAGCGCGAAAATAGATAGCGCAATAGTTGGATCGATGCTGTAATTTACCAAGAGCCCCGTAGCTGCTGCCCCCCAGCCGCACGAAGAAAAGAAGTCCCATCGATGATTTCTTACATGTGAGCTTAGTGATTCTCCAAGTTGTAAGATCTGTGACCTAAACTTGGGGAAGAACTGGTATTCTGGACTCAAGGAACTATTACCGGAAGACTCGGATGATTGACACTTGTTAAACAGATAATATAGTTCCTGGAATCTAATTTCTGAAGTGGATAGAATACCGCTCTCAACGGAATTGCGTATCTTTCGGGTTTGGGGGTGCACTGTGAATGGGTTTGGACGACCGGTTTGGACGGTTAAGCTGCCAATATCGTTTAGGATTTCCAAAACAGCACTCTTAACCTCTTCATCGATCCATTCTTTCTTTGTCGTTTCAAGCTCCCCAAAATACGTATCGAAGTCAACTACTCTGCAGCGCTCCAGTATGTCCGTTGACAGAAGCCCGGCTAAGGAATCTCGAACGTGAAGGGGTATTTGATCGGAGCATTGATCCCTTCTCCCAACAGCATTTAGAAGTAAACTTATTACATCCGTAATCCTCGACTGCCTCCATTCATCAGAAAGGGTGGCAGCTTTATAAGCCGAAGGATCCATAGCTGTTCCCAGGTGTTTTAGGGCAAGAAATGCACCCTCGGTACTGATTCGATGCTCTTCAGCCTCGCCACTCCCCAAAGATTCTTCTTGTAACTTTTTAAAAGGTATATCGTGAATAATTTCAATTGGCAGCTTTGCTTTCTTAGCAAGGAGGACTAGGTCATGTTTTGTTCTGGTGGGATCCTTATCGATCAGAAAAGCACGATGAACCGGCCAGAACTCTCTCTCATCCCCTTGGAGGAGTGGGCCGTAAGGTAAAAGAGGGTCTACGAGGGAGTCCTCGATAGGAGTTCGTAGGTCACCGACGTAGATAAACAGCTGGCGGTCCTCGACGGTGAACCTAGAAAAATATAAGCTATGAGTTAAACTGGTGCGTATACGCCGTTTGGTGAGGGGAGCTAACTTACGGTAACACTGCACCGAGTTTCGCAATTTTTCCTGGATCTAAAGTTGGTTCCTTACTGCCCTGGGGTGCGGGCGCGAATGGAACAACCTCGATACCTCCCTTAGTCTCCCTGGAGAAAACGTTGTAGAATGTAGAGCGTAGAGCTTGTCGCATCATTCTGGACACATCCGCCGGAGCCAGAACTAATCGAACCGGTAGAGAAACAAACATAACATTTAGCAAGCCGGATTTTTATTCAACCGCCTGAGCTTTCTGACGAAGGGGATCGGGGAGGCCAACGGGAAATTCTAACAGGAGGGTCTTCCACTTGAAGGTCTTCCAACGCCAATTGTATGTTTCTCTCAGAGAACTCCCATCTCCAAGGTTGAGACTTAGTGCCTAAGCTCAGAAGTATCCTGCTCAACTTCCGACGGTCTGGGGACCTTTCGATAATGCTGGCTTGGATTTTCGTGGATTTATGGGGCAGGTTGCCCGCACCGTCCCCTTCCGAGGTGGGCTTCACATTGCTTGCTTCAATGCGGAAAAGACGATGACTGGTAGTGTGAATCGGCCGACGACGGTAGTGGATGAAGTTCTTACGAACACACTTCAGTATACGATGGAGGCCGGGCTCTCGCATCGTGATCCGGATTCTAGCCGCATGCGCATGGATCGCGCGTGGAGGAGTGGTTGAGTTCTATGGTTGGTACCTTATATCGATATCACATTGTATCGTTATGTTAGCGTCAAACTGATTGTCACCACGAAGAAATTAGAGCCAGTCAAACATCCCAGAACGAAGCCACGTGATCAATGTAAAACTTTAAACCCATAAACTATTAGATGGTACTCCAGCAAAGTTAGAGCTTGCTTCAAAATTTGACGATATTATTACTTAGTAAGTAATAGGGTATTCTAATATCACTTGTATATCCATATACTATACTGCATACTTAAGTAGGTAAGTAGCTTATGGGTAATATTCTCAAACTTTGTTAAACTAATGCAACATTCTCAACACAGAATTAGGTAATACAGGCTTGATCTTCATTAGAAAGTGAGTGAGAAGGGGAAGAAAAGAAGGAAGAAAGAAAGGAAAGAAGGAAGAAAGAAAGAGAAAAGGAGAGAAGAAGGAGAGAAGGAGAGAAGGAGAGAAAGCAGAGAAAGCAGAGAAAACAATTAAAACAAAGGTAAAGAATAACAGCAATGAATCAAATATCTCCAATTTACTAGTCATCCGTATCTGCTGTGCTTCCTGCTTCACCTGACCATCTTTTCGACACTGCCTTGAAACATCCCGCCAGTCTAGCAGCGGGTGTTATTAATATTGATATCGATCATCATATTCAAAATTTTTAGACGGATAGTATGAAAAAGGACCTGGTAACCAGCCGGGGTCCACTCGAAACTCGGATTGAGATGAGGGACCTGCGTCAATACCCGGTTCATCGTCAGCTAATGGTAGGGACGGTCGCAATCCTGGAGGATTTATGGGGGGCCCGTACAACCAAAGGGGTGGCTCCCCTGCCGATGCGATGTTGATTCGTGGTGGGACCGGGTCCCCTGGTGTTATTGTTACCTCCTCGCCATCCGTTATTTCGGGGGGCACGGTCCAAAACCAATCCGAGTTTTCGGGCGACAAAAGCACCGAAGCTGGTATCTCATTTATTGCATGTTTGAAATCATCTGCAATGACCGGGAAGTCTATGTCCGTTAGAACCGGTTTGCGTAATGTCGTGCTGCAGTAGCAACCTACTCTGCCAGATTTATATGTCAGCTTCAATTCAATATATCTTATTGTACGAGATCTCGAGACTATCTTGGGCCATATATACTAAGTATATATATTTGATCTAGTCCTGACTGGCAACCAAACTTTGCCGGGGTAGTATTTCACCTACCGAGAATAAAGGCACAAGCAGCTGCGATGAAACGATCCCGACAGTGACTGTCTTGTCCTGGATTCGGAGGCGGTATGATCTTCCCTGTATCCTGGTCGCAGATGCAGCCGTTGTCAGCCAGACAGTCGAGTCTCCGACGCCTCTGTAGGTAATCTCTCAAATGTTTGTCTGGCCTTTCCCAATTTGGATGACCCCTAGTTCTCTTTATAAACATTTCATGTTGAATCTTGAACGGTTGAACCCCAAGCCGGAACATCCTTTCGGATGTCCCAAAGTTTGAATAGGTGAGCTGGCCATCCTGAATCGATCTCATCTGCTTGTCGAAAAGCAGCACTGGTTTGCCTTTGGCCCTTAGACAAGCAATTCGTAGTGGTTGCTGGTAGAAAAAGCTCGGCTTTAAGTATTCGTTTCGTGTCGTAACATTTGATTTTTCCATGGCAGAGATAGAGGGGCTTGATGTATTTGTACCAGCACTAGAGCTAGCTTCGTCTTCGAACTTCGATACCATGGGTATGATATCGCCCGATGCAACGGTAAGGTTGTCTTTAAGCGGTAGAGTAGTATGGTTTAAATTTGCCATGACATCGATAGGAAAAGCTGGTGGGGTATAAAAAAGAGGTGTAGTACAAGATGTAGTAGTCAATGTCGATGTCATCTCCGAGTATGAGCCGGTTACGCTACTCGAGCTCGGCCTAGGTGGAATTACGACTGAAGCGACTTGTGGCACACCTATATCTAAGAGAATGAAAAGGATGAATATGTTGAGAAATATTCGGTTCGTATAAGCACTAGGTAAAGAAGAATAGAATATCATATCTAAAGTTGATAGGCGGCATCCAGACCGAGTTCCCATTCTGGCCGGTAGTCGAGTGATGAAGTATCGATCGTCTTCAGTATAGTATACTAGTAATACACGTACAAGTATAAGTAGGTACAGTATACGTATTCAAGTGCTTAGCTATAGCTAGATCTCTGTTTGTCTTGATCATGAGCACTTAGGTAGTTTGTGCATGTAATAATATCGACCTTGCTTCAAATGGTATCATATAGAACGATACAGAGTTAACTTGGGGGAATGATGGTAAACGTATACAGGTTCGAACGTTCAGATATATAAGTAAGTATATAAGTACTTAGGTACGGAGTATATATATATAATACAGCCGGCCCCTACACCCGGTACCCGATTACATTATATGCATCTAGCTATGATCATGAATCTAAAATTGGTAGTGCAACATTCTTAACACACAAGTCTGGTTACGAGACTGCATGAATCTAGGCGCCTATTCACGCCGAAGACTTTCGGGTTGTATTGTTGTATTGTTATGTTTACGAGACCAACCAGTACAGAGTTTATGAAACCGATGAACCCAGCAGAAACATCTAGACTCTATTAGATCTACTGTACTGGAATGGGGTGTATTTTGAATACCGATGCAGCTAATATCGGTAGTACTACGTGCGTGTGGCGGAGTAGTATAGTTGATTTTATTTTCTTAAACCGAGATATCAATATAATATCTCCTGGAGTATGTTGACGGTTTGTGGCAACTGAATTTGCGTAATTTATAATTACGTGAAGTTTAAATCGAAACGTTGCATTGACGTTGAAACTTTGATACATAAGCGCTTTTGCATCTATCTTCCGGCCCAACATGCAACATCGATGTGAAATTGTTCTGCGAAAACACTTGTGGCCGGCCTGCGTTTGGCCGGGAATGATCTCGTAAACGTTTAAACCGGAATTAATTGCTGCTGCGCAGCTGGGAACGGGATTTACTTGCCGCGTGCACAACCTCCATTTATATTATGGCCAACTGGTCTCATTGTATCCCCCCAAGAACACACTATTAAGTTGTGTTCAGGACGATGCGAAACTTCAATTCTTTCGCGATGCTTTGCGATCGATGGAAAACCAACAGACCAGTCACCAACGGTAATTAAAAAAAAACCGCAACCAAAAATAATAGTTTGGCGTAAATATTACAGGGACGACTAAGTAGCTAAAAAGCTGACGCGAAAGCAAAAAAACAAAACAAAGGTAAATGTTACATCTATTGTTGAGGGTATCTCCCAAATTATGTGCTCCTCCCAATGCAAGTTCATGTCTTCAACTTCTCGTATTTCACCTGTAGGAAAACCTAGGATGAATGGCATCATGTGCTAGAAAATTCCAAGTCCACTTCTTCGTAGTGTTCGAAAAAGCCGGCGAAGATCTTGACGCCGAGGCCGGGGTCTAAACTGCCAACTGTGGCGCGGATCGAATGCATAGATAATTGTGCGATTCCCTACGGTTTTGGTTACGGTGTTAGTGATTACTATTCCCTTGAACTGTAGAAAGAGCTTCTATTTGTATTTTATTTACTTACCGCATCGATAGCTCGAACCCCCATGGCAGATGATAGCATGGGACCGACAGTTCCTCCTGATCTCGAGTCGTTTCTAATTTGGAACATTTGTAACACCGAGTCTGATTTCTCGGCGATGGACTTTAGGATAGATGTCGAAACGGCACTGTAATTCTGAGTTAGTAGGAACCTCGGAATTTTGTATTTATAAGAATGGAACATACTCAGTGGTCATGTGTCCATTACTATCTGCGGCAATGGCTAGGCCAACATTAAGGTGCGGCTTGTGGTTATCAAGATACACGTATTCGAACTACTTGAAAATCAGAACTGTTCGCTTTTTTCTAGGGAAATTGATGTATTTTGAGAACTTACATTAGGGTTAACGGCGTGGGTTACGTCTGCGCTGAGCAGGAAGCTATTGGCATACGTTCTGCCGATTGTGTTTTTCCCTGCGCTACCGAAACACTCTACAATCCGTTCGACGGTAATGGGCATATAGTTCCCTGCAGCACCTTGTCGTAACCTGCTGCCAATTTCCTCGTCATCAAAGAATCCAGCTAAAGAGACCGTGCTACCCTCAGCTACGGAGTCGGCGGCATAGATCAGTCCTTCCAAAGCGGCCCAGGAGCAGATCTTATCGTCAATTCGGCAAGCAGATAGTAACTCTTGGTCCAGACCGATGAGAGCTGCTGGTTGGCTGTCGAACAACTCGAGCTCCCAATCTACAATGTCGCTGGCGTCTTTGATGGAAAGACGTCTTGCAATCAATTCTACCAATCTTGGTGGCTGGGTAGACGCAAAAGAGTTGGCGTTAGGAGCGAGAACGTGTCCTTCTTTCGACCCGAGCTTACTCGCATCATTCGTCAATTTTTTGGCAGCCCCTTCTAAGCCGATGATTGGTACCATTTGCGTCTCTTTGTTGAATGGTCCGAGCGAAGGAGAACCGAAGTGAGGAGCCAGGGTTGGGATCTTTGCGATAGGCCAATCAAGCTTTACAAGTTGACTGGTGGACTTCCCGGAATCGGCGTTCTTGACGATAACTCTACCGCCGATACCGAGATCTCTATCCCACCATGTATTGTTCAAGGCACCAGCGTATGGTGCAACACCGAGCTGGACGTACCCGTCCCTACCTGGTTTGGTAGAAACTGGTTTTACTATTCCCCCCCTGAATTAGCAGATGTTCGGTTCAACCGAGCTATTTTAGGATACCTACACCTCGTGGTTAAAGCATCAATGTGGCCAGCACACATTGCAAACCCGTTCCCAGCTTCGTAATCCTTGCCGATCACGAAAGCCATCATACTGCTGCCATTCCTGGTCGTGAAGTACCGTCCACCGGCTTTAACTTTCTTGCTCCAATCTTCACGTTCGCTTAGTTCGGTGAACCCATTTGCCTTCAAACGTGTTCCAAATGCCTCCACAACGTGGAAAACAGTCGGATTATCTGTAATGAACTCTAAAAAGGGGTTGGTGTAATCTTCCGGGCTGATGTCGGAGGCAGTCGGTGCTTTGGCAGCTAGCGCTTTGGCAGCTACTGGTGGTGCAGTATACAGGACGGTTGTATACCCTGCCTGTGGAGGAGGAGGCGGAGGAGGAGAAGTATATGAGCCGGAAGCCGTATGGACTGTAATACCAGGACCGAAAGGTGGTCGTCCCGAGTAACTAGAGGTGCAGAAGGTGCATTCTGGGGCCTCAAAGGCGCTCGAGGAGGCGGACAGGTACCGAGAGCAAGTCGGGCAGCGCATTTGACTGGTTTCGAGGGGTTCAAAGGCTCCGTGATCGATGTTCAAACGGTACTGTTGGCCGGAGATGACACGAATGCTGCCGTTGTTGATATCCTTCATGGTCTTGTGCCGATTACGGTGAGGCGAAGTGGAAGATGGGATGGGTAAGGTACTTATGATGTAGGGAGGCGGCCTTACATAGGTCGAGATGGTGGTGTGGAGTCGTGTGGGACTAACCCAGCCATCGCTTTTTTAGGCCGAGAAACCGGCATTAGGCGGACAAACACCACTCACTTTAGGTCACTTTAAGGCCAACCAAGCGGGAAGCTGCATGAGAGGAACAAACAGCAAGGTCAAATTCCTGATTTGATGGTGCCTGAGCAAGGACGGGATGTAATGTATGTAATGGTATGTAAGGGAACCTGTGATCTTGTGCAGCTCTAGACTAATCGGTAGCCACGATGAGAAGGTGTATCCGGAAGTTACTGACATCGACAACCATCTTCTTGACGATGTTAACTTGGTACCATCGGCCGTCGAGCAGAATCACAGGCGTTCGGTTGTACGACCAATGTTCCAGACATTCGAATATTCTGCTCGATCCGACTCGGTTAATCATGCATGTTAGACAATATTTTGAAGGTTGGGATTTGGTCTCGAGGCTAGGGATTTATAAGCTGGAGATTCTTAGATGCATGCAGTTCAGCTGAATGAAGTCGAAACTTGACACCTACGGTCACTGGCTGTTCACTGGCTGTTCACTGGCGGCTAGCACGGTCGTATATGCGTATATCCTGACTTAGGTATTCAGATACTCTAAGTATATTGATCTATTGACATCTAGGCTCCTGGAATTTAAATTAACACCGTACCGGGACACCAAGCACAAAGATACCCTGCGGTCTAGTTAAAATCATATAACGCTCTTCAAGGGCAGCAGTAGCCGCTACAACTGGTGTCAGTCCACATGTATAAATCTATAGGATCTCATTTGTGACAGCGACTTACCCGTCGACAATAATATCAGAGCCGGTCATGTAACTACCAGCGTCCGAGGCCAACAGTAGATAAGCACCCTTCAGCTCGTGGGTGTATCCTTCTCGTCTGTAAATTTGAGTAGCATTGTTAGTCTCGATAGCACCTTTTTGTACATGAAATCTGTATGACTGAGAATGTGGAGACAAACCTCATAGGAGTCTTCTCATGCCACTGTTTCTTCTGCTCCAACGGTACAAAGTTACCGATCTCTGTGATGATATAACCCGGGGAAATGCTATTCGCTCGCGCGAATCCAGCCCATTCGACGGCAAGACTCCTGCAAAAGTGCACCACGGCTTATAATACTATTCATTAGTTTGTGCCCCTAAAGGTTTTGAGAGAGTAATAGCTTACCGGCTTTGGACATATTGTACACAGCCTGAAGCTGGGGGAGATTAACGATATGGCCGCTCATCGAGGCGGTGGCAATAAATGATCCTCGAAACGAAGGGTCTTCGAGGTTTTGACGTCTAAAGTGGGCACCTGCGGCCCTTGCACTATAAAAGACGCCGTCGACATTTGTCTTGATAATTCTTTCATAACATGATATGTCCGGCCTCGAGCTGGGGTCCGAAGGGTCGGTCTATCCGAAAGAATCAATTAGTTATTGCCGCTTCGGTGAAGGCTTGTCTCATAGAGATTGTTGAAGCCTACATACACCCAAGATTGGACCCTATGGAATCAAGTATCTAATTGTTAACCAGTGTCCTCATTGGTGAGAAAATGTCAAGGATGCGCAAGTACAGCTTACCTGCGTCCAAGCCACCCCGGCGTTTGCAACGAAGATATCAAGTTTCCCTCCAAACTCCTTGATTTGTTCATCAACAGCATTGATTACTTCCTGCTCGTCCGTTACCCCAACTTTATAAGCCTTGCAAACAACGCCATACTTTTTACTAATTTCTGCTGCTCTGTCGACAGCTGCGCCATTGGTATTATACCATATCGCAACATTGGCACCTTGTTCTGCAAATGCGTGGGCTACGTCTAAGCCAATACCCTGGCCTGCACCTGTGATGATAGCGAAACGACCTTTTAGATCAAAGAGTTCTTTGACGGAAGTCCGGGAAGGCGAAGGTGCAACAGACATGGTTTTGGGGCCCAAAATTTGTTGGTTGGTAGGTTTTTCTTTTTTCTTTTGCTTTGCTTTTCGAGCTGTCGGTACGAGCTTGATCAATTGAGGGTCTGGGGAATTCAACTTTTTTTGAGTGCGTGACTCGACTGGAGCTAATTATAAAGCCACCGGGATGTATAGCGGATCAGTGCAGATTTTGATTCTGGCGTTAGGATAAAAGAAGGATCAGACGAAAGTCTCTTGGGGGAACTGTGCAGGCTTTATGCAAGGTCAAAGCCTTTCCTTCAACCTTCGCGGTTTGCTAAACCCACCAATACAAATATACTGCAGCGGGGTAAGAAGCTGCATCGAGAAGCTCACGAATCTCGACCCCTCAGCGGAGAGAATCTCGGGCTCTAAAGTGACAACTCAGCACTATGCCGGAATTATAACATGGAACTTAGCAGCAATTTCTTTGTTGGTATAACTTAAGTGAAACCGAACAGGGTCTGGTGATTCATGGATACTTTTTTCCTTATCGACGAACGATGGAAACGTGACGTTGCCGGCTCCATTCGTGCATATTGGGTCCGGGGTGCTTTGTAGAAGGGTCTTTGCTTAGTGGCGGGATTGAGTTTCGGTTCTGAGATCTTTGACGTCAACCACAAAAGAACCACCATCTATTGCCCGAATTGGTACTGTGAAGTACTCGAATTGATCTCAAAGCGAACTGCTATAATCTACGTATACAACGATGGCTAAATGACTGCTGCATGCCTTCTTGTGTATGGTAAGCTAGGTTTCGAATGTCACCCAGTCCGATAATTGTCATCTCTGCTTATATATAGCGACAACGGGGATTCTAGGAATAGCAGCCTTTTGAATTCAAGATCGCGGACAACGAACGATCACTCAGTTATCATACTTACCTAGCTAGCGCTAACTAGCTCCCAAATCTAGAACAAACGAGTCGTACTAACAAAGGATCCAGGAAGACACTATAGACAAGGGACTTCTTTATCTGCCATGTTCACAAGTCCTGCAGAGTGCCTTAGGATTGACACCGTCGAAGTCAAGTGGCTTTTCCCCTGCAGAACCCAGGATCCTCCACTCTGTGATCTTGCTGAATAAGTCAGGGTTTGTGCGACCCATCGAAGTGGATGCATAGTTCCGACGAACGAACTAAGCTAGCACACCCATTCAGAAAACCGGGTTCTGCATCGAGAAGCGGCTACCCGCCGGGCCTGGGAGAAATCGACCGTACCTTTTCGCTCTCGATCCCGTGCCTAGGGTGCGGAAGGGAAGCGGGAACTTATAAAAAAAAAATTTGAATTGTGCTCACATGATATCTGAGCGGAACTACAGATGAGAGTCCCTTTCGAGGTGCACTTGCAGCAAGGCTGTTGAAAGTATTTCAGCGGCCGCCAACATGATCGGGTGCAGGCATCAAATGCAAGCATTGTGATTCGGCAGAGTTCATCACGGCTAGAGCCAAGATGTGGTCTGGTTTCAACAATCGAGATGACACGCACCGTTCTTCTCAAGGATATTTTATCTAGTAGCCTTCTGCTTATTGCAGTCTTTACACAACGGATCTGGGTTTATATAAAGACGACCCGCCTCGCCGTTGCGGACCCGGTTCAAGATTTAAACACGAGAGTCTTTCGGGCGAGGTTTAAAGATGTTTTAGTTTATGATATAAATAACGACCCACAATAGTGCCAATGGCAGATATTTCGTTCTAGTCCCAAACGAGGACATCCGTGGTCGTCCCGCCTTCCCCTTGTATTTGATTGGCACGGACCTCACACGGTACCTGGGTACCATGCACCCATACCTACTAGTACATACCTACATACAGTCAATCCGTACAGATAACAGCAGTGTGGGCCTGGCTAGTCTCAGGCAGGTTTGGCTCCGACCGCAACATTCCAGCTCGTCGCCCCGCCAACCAGCCCAACCCACCAACCAGGTCCCAAGTCACGGCGGGAAGGCCTCAGTCACTACAGGCACTGTATGAAGTGAATGCAGATTGTAAGTGACGGACTTCAGGCCTCTGTTGGTTGTCAATTTTGTTTTTAAAAAGCGGGATGATATCGACGCTAGCACTGCTGCTACGGAGTGAATACCCAGTTGTCAGCTGATTTCGAGAGGTCAATTAACACGCCTTTTTTTTTCCCACTTGATTCTTTCTTCTCCTTTTCCTTTCATCATCGTATTGTTGCTGCCGTCTCCAAATCCCCTCCACAGCCCTCCCCGGTCTAGCCTGTCAGACTTGCATCTTCAATCATCTGGGTAGTTGAGCCAGGATTAATTGTCATCCTATCATCCGAGGGGTTTCTCTCTCACAACCTTCTTGTTTGTTCGCGAAGCTATCGTTGAAGGCTTATTCTTGTTGATTCTCACCAAAGTGCATTCCGGCCTGACATTGGCGAAGACCTGAGCCCAGATTCTAACTCACCGGATAAAGCTAGCCCCAGATCTTTATTTTTATTTTTCTTCCGATTTTCCCCTTATTGGTCAAAAGGTACTTCCTGTTTCATCTGATATCCGGCAGCTTGGTTATGTCACGAACCGAACTAACTAACTAGGGCACCCGAGAACGTGGTGAAGATAGCTACCTATATCTTGGCTTAAACGTCTAACTAGAGCTTTGGTATCGAAAAGGTTCATAACTATCGATCAATTGTCAATTGGGACAGTTAAAGGTCAATCTAACTAACTGGCTATCGTAAACATATCTTTGATGTTGTTCAGCCGTGAAGAACAAGTTGGTGCGCTTTTTTGTCCTTCTCGATATCAGTAAGCTGTCTTCCCCTTCGTCTTCCTTCGTCTTCATCTTCTTTCCTCTCTTCCTCCTCATTACAGCTCATCTACACTTACCACACGAGCAATCCACTGTCGCTTCAAATTAATTCCTACAACCTCTCAATTATTTACCCTTCAATCTATCCATCTATCTACGGATCACGATGACAATGCTATGAGACTTTCAGCTAATACCTCTTCTTGCAGCTCGCCCTTTACTTCTCTTCATCGATCTCTTGCATAGAGACATGTCATCAACCTCTGATTTTACTCTCCCAGAAGATTTGAGTTTCCAAGAAGTCTTCCATGCACTAAAAAAGAAATTTGGTTTCCCATTGCCTCCTGAGGAGATTAGTATCTCTGCCTTGGGCAAAGAAAAGTTTGACTTTTTCGCTCAGAGTAAATTCTTATTAACGTACTCTAGACGCAACTTTACAGCCGCTGTTCGGGAGTTTGAAGCTTTCGCAAATCTTGATAACCTAGCTGAAGAAACGCTGTCTAGAGCCTCTGACATCGAGTCAACTGAAAGGAGACAGGCTGCCATCCAGAAACGACGTATCCGAGCGTTCAACCAGGAACTTGAGAAGCAGTTGCGGCTTTTCAATCGCGACGGCGGTAGCATTGTTACTCAGGGCAACCAAAGAAATTCAACTCTCAGTGCTGGAAGACAAACAACCACCGAGCGCTCTGACAGCATTATCAAGACATCAGACAAGACAAGAAAAAGGGTTCTGGAGTGGAGGCAGAGCACCATGGCTGCACGAAGCGGTCAGAGCAGGAACCTCGCATCGCGGTCAGGTCTACGCACGAGGGAGTCTTTTGACAACGAAATCAATGATGCATTCCCATACTTCTATGAGGAACCCACTGAGATTGATATTGAGACTGATGAGTCTGGAATGGTTAGTATTTACCCTCATTTCTGGCTCTTAATGATCTATTGGTAGCTAAAACTGTTACCGTGGTGGTGGTTTGTTGCCTATCAGATTCCCGCAAGCTCTTTTCGTGCAGAAACCCTCGCTGGAGCTATCCCTGAAGTTGGCTTTCAAGCTGTCCCTATGGGTGATTATACCGAAAACCACGAGCGATCTCGAACTGTAGCCCCCTCATCTTCAAAACCTTTGCAGCCATCTGTTCATTCACCGCCCGCCAAACCCGTCAAGTCACAGAATTGGAACTGGGGTACCTATGAGCCACCTGCAGACACTTTGACATCGCGACCTACTTTGACTCAGGTACCTAAACCTTCTATACCTGCCCTGAACTCCAACCCTAAACCTAAACCTAAACCAAATTCCTTTGCTCCTTCGGTTTCTTCCGATACCTCTGCCCGGCATCTCCATACGGAGGATACGAAGAAACGGAAGCAGAGTCATTGCTTGCGAGAAGTTATGGATCGTCCATCTAAACGCCAGTCTCCCGTTCCCCAGGACCGACAGGAGTTTATGAGTGTTCAGCCCCCGAAACCAGTCTCGGGTGGTTCATTCTCACGAGCTCCAATCAACCAATCGTCTTGGACCGAGAATCAAGCTCCGAGCTTCCAAGCCTCCAAAATCCGCAATAGTTTTGAGACGGACATAACGGAAGAGTCTATTTCGGATTCCATGCTACGATCTCGGAACGACTTTCAAGGCACCCAACCCACGTCCTTCAATAGTACGATGGAAGGGAAAATCGCCACATCTGGGAGATATGACGACATCTCGGAGGACCTCATACCCCCGCTCCATGGCTCTCGTAATGGAGGTCGCATTGGTTCAGTGTATGCTAGCCGTACAGCGTCGTCCAGTAGTGTTAGCTCCACGAATGGATCAAGGCCAGTTATGCGTGGCGGAAATAGCGGCGGAAACAGGCCTGGTGAGCTAGCCCTGTTCTCTCCTTCTTCCCTTCGTGAAACGATCTAACGATCTCTATAGTTTCACCCTCAACCCAACTCCAGTTTGAACAAGAACAGGCTTCTTCGTCCAGGGATTGCTACAGTGTGGGCGAATCAACACTTGATGAAATGTGGAGTAAGTTCTCAATGTCTCCAATGCTCTGAATTTGATGAAAGATCGTTATGATCTAATATTATATTAATATTATCTTATATGTTAGCAATGGGCCTGCCACAATCACGACGGCAAAAACCACCCTCCGGTAAATCTACTTCTGTTGCGCCGGCCCAGAGCTGTTCAAGCTCCGAGGTTGCGGTCAATACTCCTCAGCCCCGAAATGGCTTATCCCATTCAGTATCTACGAAGACCTGTCGTTTCCAATTCTACCAAACACTTACAGGTGAAAATTTCCCCGGGGATATTTATATGGAATTGTTTAAGAAGTCAAATAGTCCCTTTTGGCTTCAATGGGAAGTTGAAAGAATGATTCTTGCAACAACTGCACGAAACGCAGAAGCAGACAAAGTGCCAAAGCTATTGAAGGAGCTTCTAAAGCAATTTTTGAAGGAGCCGGATATGGGGTACGAGGCGGTTCAGGACAAATTCAAAGAGTTTTGGACTCAGTTCAAACAGGAGGAAAAGTACGACATCCCTAATCTCAAAAGGGACTCGTATGCCGCTATCTTGCGAAGTGAAAATGGCTGGGATAATAGGATTCAATTATCCGCGGAACTGTCATTCGAAAGATTCCCAGGCACAAATGGAGCCAAAAGTCTTCAAGTATTCAAACCTACTCTACGGCCACGTGCCCTAAACTTACGATCTACCACCACCCGGTTCGACCGCAAGTTTGGTTCCGATAGGTTCATGTCTTTACGTGTTCCTAAGATTGATTCGGCCTCCAAAAACATAGACCTAGACACTCACCACAACGCCCTCGCGAGGTACTTAAGCCATGAGGGATTCGAATTTTTAGGTCGCCGATGGCGCGCCATCTGCCACCGATCCTCCACGAAGGATGAGAACGGAAAGCGCATTAGTCTCGCGAAACAAGACAAAACCTTACAAGTGATCGTCATTATGTTTGCAGTTTCGGGACCGGGGCTTGAAACAGTAGACCAACGATCCGCTGTTGAATGGCTGGTCCCAATCGAAAAAAACATGGACTCTAAACAATGTAAATTATATGCACGAATTGCGCTTGGTATGGCTTATTCTTAGGTGCGGAAATAGTTTTAACTTACTAACGAATAGTTGGATTGTATAGGGTTTTCAACTACTACCCCCAGTGTCGTTTTCGACAAAAATGAGATCGATTACAGCATCAAGGATATCAAAGCAAAAGGCCTCGAATTAGGCAGAGATGGCAAACTCCCTGAATACTCACTTACAGATGGGTGCGGTCTCGCCAGTCCAGCTGTATTTCGGGCAGTTGCTCGACAGTTAGGCTTGCCGTATCCACCAAGCGCGGTACAGGCTCGTATTGGTGCGGCAAAGGGACTTTGGATCATGGACCCATCGATCCCGCTCGACTCTGAAGAATTGCGGATCAGAATTCGACGTAAGTCCTCCGATATCGCAGCCTAGACTGACTGAGCTGACATTTGGTCGGATGCATTGTTCAGCCGACCAGAACAAGTTTGATGGTATATCGTTGGAGCCAGAACATCGTACTCTGGATATTTGCAATACGTCAAAACCACTGAAGCCCTCCGCTTTAAACCTCCAATTCATCGTCATTCTGTTGCACAATGGCGTTACTGAGGCTACACTCGAACAACTCCTCCGAGAGGATATCCGTAATGAAGTTACTGAGCTTTTCAATGGCGGAAGGCTTGACGACGGCGCGTTTCTAAGGAAGTACTTGGAGAGAGTTAAGTTAAGTGGCTCCCAGCGCGATGGTAGAGCTATAGCAATGAAGGGGAGGATCCCTTTGGGGCTTGCCGAACGTGCTATAGACCTAATAAACGCTGGGTTCACCCTACAGAACCAAACTTTGAAGGACTGGTTTGAAAAGGTTTTAACCGACCATTGCGACACCCTGAAGGATAAGATGCGCATTCGAATCCCTTGGAGCTGCCAGCCTTACTGCGTACCAGATCCTTCCGGGAAACTTAAGAAAGGACAGGTATATCTGAGGTTTGGTCCCGAGTCGAAATTTATCGATCCGAAAACCATGATGGCCATCGACGTCTTAAGAGGAGGTGTTTTAGTCGGGCGGAATCCGGCACATTTTGCGTCGGATATCCAAAAAGTAACGGCGGTTGATGTCCCGGAATTACGATTCCTAACGGATGTGATCGTTTTCCCTGCCGATCCTGAAAGCAATGATCGGAGCCTGGCAGATTACCTATCAGGTGGGGACTACGACGGAGACAGAGTTTGGACATGTTGGGACCAGAGACTGGTAGGGGAGTTTAAAGGTGAACTTGTCCACGGGCCAAGCACTGTCGACATGGTAGGGTATTTCGAGCCTGAGCGCAAAATGATGTGGGAAGACTTCGGGGGCTCAGATGAATCTCCTGATGCGTTTTCAAACTTCATACAAAAGCATCTCGAAACTGCCATGGACGAAGAACTTTTGGGGCAGTGTACCTCACTTTTCGAGAAAGTTGTCTACAATAATTACGGCGATGAAAGAGGGGTTCTAAACCTTGAGATAGCGAAGAAACTGGGTGTAGCCTGTGGGATGCTTGTCGACGCTCCGAAGCAGGGGATCCGACTGAAACTCGCTTACTGGAAGATCTGGAAGAATACTTATAAAGACACACAGCTACCTTTTTACAAGTTGTCTGAAAAAGATTTGGTTACGAGAAAATTGTTCAAAAGCGCTAAGAAAAGCAGGCACCCTATCGATAGGTTGAAATTCCAGATTGCAGCAGATGAGGTTTCTTCCCTTATTGCTCAATTCAAGGAATCTTGTAAGGGGACATCATACAAAGATGAAGATTTACTCATTTACACCCGCCAATTCTTTGCTCGTTGTGCGACTGATATGGAAAGTCGTGAGCCATTTAATAAGGAGATGGCAATGGCACTGCTCGTACAAAGAAATCACCTCAATCGCGAGTTGGATGTACTTCTGGAAAAATGGCGTCGTTACTGGGCAGGCCGTGACTTTGACAAGGAGGACGAGAAGGATTCGGAAATATCCAGAAATCTTGTTGAAGAGTGTGTGCGTATTTTTGACAACATTTTGCCATACCAAGACAATTCTACGACGACAGGGAAGGCTCTTGTTGCACAATGGAAGCTTTCCGAACGGGATCCATTTTCAGAATGGAATCGAGTGAAAGCGTCCCTCCTACATGAGAAAACATCCAAGTGGAACGATTCAAAATCTTCTATTCCTTGGTTTGTCGCTGGGGACATTATGTGCTTTGAAAAATGGCGAACTGTATCCCAGGAACTTGGAAGGCGAAGCGGTTTTGTCACTCAACCGATCTCAAACTTATCTCGTATTAAAGCGTCGGCTCTTAAAAAGGCAACCGAGGATAGGGATTGGCTCTCCGGAGGGCCTGTCGACGAGGACGGCGACAACGATGATTCTGACGTCGATTTCGATGATGAATAGCGTCCGGTCGCCTCCTTATTGTTCCTTTCTTGTTTTTTTCCCTTCCTGAACCAATATCTCTATTTCGTGTTTTTTTTATAATTTGCCCTCACTCTTGCTCTCTCCAAACGTGTCGATCATGTGCTCAACCGTCGAGATTTCTATTTTGGTGTTGTATTCGGCGTTTTGGCCTTGTCTTTCTGGCGTTGGACATTATTTTCTTTATGAAATCATGTTGTTTCTCTTCTATATTATATTTCAAAAGATTGAATTCCACATTTGATAATATCATTAGAGCGATTTGTTAGATCCCAACATCTTAAGTTTGTACAAATATTTTAAGATGAAATTCAACATTGGCGTAGGGTATTCTTGAGTCAGTCAATGACCATTCCAGGAAGTATATTTCAGCATAAACTATATCTACATAAGTATTTACAACGCCCCCCCCCAGCCAAAGAATGTTGTGGCCGTATCCACAATATCGTGCTAGAGGCACTGTGAGTACCAATCGTTAGAATATTTGCAAGTACTTCCTGAAGCGCAAACTGTGCATCCAGTATATCCTTGCCCGCCGCACTAACGTGTATCTGTTAGCTATTTCTCTATACAGAAGCAAAAATAATAGGGAACTTACCTGGCCGTAGAGAGACTGAGTACACCCGCCCCCACCAGCGGCTGTTGTTTTCGTTGTAGTAGCGGCGGCAGTGGTGGTAGCCTTCGTAGTGGTGGTGGTAGTACTGCTACTAACATTGTTCCAATAATTCATATCAATCCAAGAAGTGCTGCCGATAATACCAGTGAGAGTAAGTGGGGAAGACAACTGTTTAGCCCAACTAACACGAGTGCCCTTAGATCCATCACCCGTATTTCCGTACTCTGCGTAGTAAACATTATCGAGTGCCACACTCCAAGTGGACCATCCCTCAGGTCTGACAACTGATGACATGGCAGTATTCTGGAATACAGTTCTGGCATATGCACGCCATGGACGGCCGAGATATGTTTTAACGCTGGAGCTGACGCCTGATTTTAGAGAGATGGAGGAGGAGTTTATGACGTAGTATGATGGGTTTGTGTCGCTGTCGCGACCGTTGGCGGTGATAAAGCCGGCACCGGAGATGGCGATTGTGCATTTTTCGAACCAGGCTATTGCTTGTTGGCCGAAGATGAAGTCTGTGGCACCTTCGATGTAGCATTTATTGAAGACGTTCTGTAGGTAGTTTGAAGGTATATGGTAATTGTGGTTAGTAACAATCTTCTTTTCATATTATAATACTAAAAACCCTCTTATAGGAGAGTTTTGAAGGGTTGTTTTAGAGTATTGGTTTAGTGGATGTAGATTCTCTTAGGAGAATATTACGTTCCATGTTCGAAACACTGGAACAAGTCGAAAGAGTATCATTCGATATAGATCCACGGAAATCTCTGTATGAGAAAATATATGTACTTACGGTTCCCTTATTAGCCAACAAAGTATCCTGGTATCCCAAGAGCTTGCATCCATAATATCCCTGCTGATTGCCCTGTGTGCTCAGTGCAATAGCCTGTACTCCAGAACCCCTCGAATTCTGAATATTGATATTGTAGACTTTAAAGTCCGTCGAATGGGCCCTCAATGTTCCAGAGGCATCATTGCTACCAGCGACATCCGCTCCAAGGGAGTTTACCAAGGTAACTTGGTTTTGGTTATAATCTTGGTCGTTTGTAGTGTATCCGTATATTGTGATTTTGCCTTTGACGGTGTTTGGGATGTAGACTTGACCGTTGTAGGTTCCTGGTTGGATGAAGATTGTGTAGGAGGAGGTGGAAGAGGCGGGGATTGAGTTTATGGCCGATTGGAGCTGATTGGAAGTTTTACGAGTAAGTACTTATATATATAGCCTCTAATGCAACATTGCATTCTTTTTAGAGACAGGTCGATGGAGGAACTTACGTCGGTATATTGTCCACCGGATTTTGCGACTACAATTGCTCCGGATGGTGGTGACGTGCGAGATGCCGCCTGCGCTAGGGCAGTGAATATAGAGATATAAATTATGCTAATCTTCATTTTGAAGGATTTTTATATTCACGACCGATATATGTATATACAAAGAACTATCGTTGGAAAACTGTTCTATCCAAATGTCCGATTGGGTGGGCCGCAGTGCCCTTTTATACATAGCTCGAGCTCCGAGAGCTACTTTGTGAATCGATTACACATATTGAAGAAACGTTCGAAACCAAATATTCATCCCTTAGTCAATATTGCAAATTAGAGTTTCTCTTCACCGGCTAACTAACTGGTTACGTACATCCTGCTCCGGAATTCTCGTCTGATGTTTAGCGATTTGGGGGTATAATTAGGCTAGTGGGCCTACCGAGTTCAAAGGGGGGTTCTAGGTTCACAAGGCGAAAACAATGGCGAGAATCAAGCGGACCGAAATCACCGTTTATACCTATTGGAACCATGGATAGGGTGTGTGGAGTACAGGGATATGCGTTCTGTGAATCTGCGGCCAAGCGTACGATCCAGGGTACGGGACCATCCAAAACACGTGCCAAGACGCCCACGATTTCTCCGTCTTGTTGATGCGGCAGGGTTTTAGCGGGGGAATTTTAACCTTCTTTTCTGGAAGTTGGAAAAGAGAGGGGGATATCGGATGGTGGGAACCGTGAATTTTAAACCGCGGTTTTGAGGGGCGAAAGTGAAGATGTTTTTTGCCTAAAACTGTAGTCGACTCGGGTGAAGCTTTGCCGAATATATTTTACAAGATTTTTGTCAGAGTGGTATAAAAAACCTATACAGATATTATATTATGGATGCGTATACGTTGGATACACCCCTTTTTGATATAAACTTCAATCGTGATTTAGGCGCGACTGCGGCGGTATTCCTAGCAACCGTCCCCAGCATGCGTGGTGGATCGCCCTGCAAATAAAGCCTGTTATATATAACATGCATTTTTGAGTGAACCATGGAACCATTGAGTTTCGTTCCGATATTTACATTTGGGCCCATTGATTTCCTCTAGAAGCGAGGGCCTATGGGTCGCTAGGAAGCTCTTTTCATAGGTTCGCGCGGACTGACAACAACTTATGGGATTGGTCTTCCTTCTCTAATTGCCTTTGCAAGCTCCGATTGAGCGACATTATCTGCATATCGTTTATACAACGGCAAGTAATGCTCCTTATCCGATGTTGTATCTTTTATCGCCTGCCAACCCTCGATCGCACTGACGTACTTCTCCCATCTTGCTCCGATCTCCCCATCCTTTGCGGACGGCCAATTCCCACCGTTCCCCTTAAACTCGTCAAAAACCCAGTATCTCTCCACCAATGGCCCGATGATAACATCTGGTAACGAAGGTTCCTTCCCAAGCCAAAAAGGTCCAACGGGATCAATCTGCTCTGCAAACTTTTTGATACTTTCGATGTAATCATGTCTACCCTTTTCAGAGTCTTCACCTTTGAATTGTAACCATCGGTGGAAAGCTGGGATTATATTACTCCCAACGAATTGGATCCATATTCTGGCCCTTGCACGTTCGTATGGATCTTCTGGGAGAAGTCTGGGGCCGTATTTGGTGGTGTCAGAGTAGACTTCATCGAGGTACTCACAGATCACTGAAGATTCAAACAGAGGCTTTTGAGTGCCGTCTGCTGTGGGGACTACGAGAGTTGGAACTAATCCACGTGGGTTAAGGTCTAGGAGACTCTTTGGTTTTTCGTAGGGGTTGACTTCGATGTACTGGAATGGGATGTTTTTGAGATGTAAGACCAGAAGGACTCTCTGGACATATCTGTATGTATTCAAGAAGACGTTATGTTAAACATATTAGAGAACGACAAAGTTATATTCTTATACACTTGTAACTTATAGGAGAATACGTACGGGCAAAACCATCCGGCGTATAACTTAAGCGGCTCTTCAGTTGAGTGTTCCGCGAAGTACTTGGCTGCTTGGCCTGTGGCCTCGGGGTAGATATCCACATCTGGAACCGGCATGGTTATTGATTGGCTGAATGAACTACTCAATTCACACTCAGACAATTGGCTTATAGTTTGAATATTCCGTTTGTTTCCTCGATTGATGCCCCGCGGCCTGAGAATCGAAACAAAAGTCGAGATTCCAAGACAAAAGTCTGAATTCAGAGATTAGGAGCTTTTATAACCTCTGAAACTTCCCCTCGAAGTCGAAGTTATGACTCTTCCTCATATTTCGTCTCTCCGAAACCGCTGTTATATGCACTGATTTCTGATTTGTAATTGGCCAAACCTGGCGGCTTGATGTCACGAGATTGCGTGATGTGCCAGGGAAATGAAGTCAAAGGGAAATGTGTTGTCGACGAGTGTGGTATTTTTTGTGTTGCCAAGATTTTGTGTCACCTCAAATTCCCCGTTTGATCTTTTGACGTCAACCGAGTTTCCGTCGCGAGCCAGCAGATTCCTGTTCTTGTTCTTGTCCCTCTTCCCATCCTTCATCCTTCCTTCTTCTTTTCTTCATCCTACACCCACATCTACGAACGCTGATATTGGTACTCCTAATCTCGCGACAGGATTCGCATAATGCGAGGAATCACAATTACAATTAACCATCATATCGAAAACTATATCCTCTGATCCCGTAGAAATCAAAAATGTCACAATCATCATTAACCTTAATACAAACCCCACCGGACGTGAGCGAGCTCCCCACTCTCGCCGATCACCAATCATCAACTCCCGCGTCATTTGCGCAGGAAGTTCTACACTTCCGAACCACAGGCGCCAAGATTACATTATCCTCCGACCAAAAGTTTTTACTACCAGCTTGGTTCCCAGATGCAGCTAGTAATGATATCTCGGTAGACGTCGAGGAGGCAGCACCAGCGAAGAATAAAGGTGCAGCAGAAGGAGAAGATGATGAGGATTGGGAGGACGAAGATGCGATAGTTGAGGATGTACATGTCGAAGATGTGACTATTATTGTTACTACGAAGTATGGCTTTCCTTTATTCCATCTGGTATTGTCGTTGAGGATCGTATGTTGACCATTCATTCAGACAGCTCACATTGTACTCGAATACCCATTCCGCCGGTTACCAAATCCCGTACCTTTCTATCTCGTTACACGCCATAACATCGACACCTACGACTTCGGGTATTTTCATGCAGATAAACACACATACCACCTCCTTTGACGACCATGACTACTCTTCTCTCGAGTTGACAATATACCCACCACAGACGACGGTGACAACGAGTGCAGAAGGTGGGAATGTAACAGGTAGCACGAAGGAGCTTTTTGAAGCACTAGCACAGTGTAGTGATCTACACCCAGATGTTAAACCCGGTTTCTTTGGTGGTGGAGACGAAGAAGGTGATGAGGACGGTGATGATTCTGGTGCTATTTACTTTGATCATAATGCTATGAGCGATGTCGCTGGTTCAGGCGGCATAACTTTCTTGGGCGGTGCAGATGAAGTTGGTGGAATCCCGGCCTTGGCACCTGGAGGGTGGATTACGGCTGAGAATGTGGATAGGATCCAGTGGACTATTGATGGACAGTCTGGAGTTGGGGATCCGAATGCCGCAAGTTTGGGACCTGGAGCCGGGAATGTTAGGAGAAGAGATGATGATGATGATAATGGCGGTGTTGAACTCGAAGAGGGAGTTGAAACTAATGGCTCGGAGACAAAGTGGCGGAGAACAGAGTCATGAAGCTTTTGCGCAGTTTATTCGAGCAGGACTCGCTTATATCAATGATATTACTATCGATATGTCTGTGTTTTTATTAATTAAAGTCATAGAGTTTACGAATTGGTATCACTAGCATAATAGATGGCTAAGCTCATGAAAGCTGAATTTTATTAATGTCTATTGAGTGATAACTACTTACGTAATACTAGAGAGTTTCGAGCTAAGTGTAGTATATATATATAAGGCAGAAGTCCTCCGAGCTCGAGTCGTTTATCTATCTGCTTCACCTTGACTTTGTACCCAACTTAAATAAGCTTCATGAGCCTTCTTTTGTGCGGCCCATTGCTTCTTCAAAGTTTTACCTCTGCTTTTGGCTACTGGTTCTCCATCTTTATCCTTGGTTGGAATGCCCTCTTCGTCCCATTCGCTGAACTCCGAACTACCCTCTCGCTCCTTAAACATCACAAAGGGACTAAGTTTCCCCTTTTCTAATTTTTCTAGTTCTAGTTTTTCTTTTTGTCGCCTGAGTTCTTCTTTATTACGCTCCCGTTCCGCTGCCTTTTCTTCTTTCTCGCGCTTCTCGGCGAGAAGTTGTTCGGCGGAGACAAATTTAACAAGAGCGGCACCGCCTTCTCTATCGTCGAGTGAGACCCCAAGAACGGGGAGATCGTCATTTCTGACTTTGTCGCAGAGTTGGAGTAACGTCTTACCAGCCGGGGTGGCCTTCTCTTGCATAGCGACAGCGCGAACACTGTCACGGAAAGAAGAGAGGACTCTGACGTAAGGCATGGCGATAGTCTCCTTATCGGCTTCTCCAGTAGCTACGGACTCATCACCCCATCCGATACGAGCCGAAGAGAAAGGTTGACTGTCTAGGCCAAAAGTGTGGACTTGTTTTGTAACCCAGCGAGCGATAGTGGACAAAGTTGCAACGGAGAGGTAACCTTCGCTGCTACCGATATAGATGTTTGCTTTGGAGACGATGTCAAGGATGGCGACGATAGCGTTTGCTGTGTTGATGCTGTCGCAGAGAGCGAGGTGGTAGTTTAGTTTGGCGCTATCGAATCTGTGTGTTTGTGTTAGTACGATGCTGTAATTGAGAAGGCTTTCAGTGGATCACATACTCTTTGTACAATGCCCTTTCTCGTGCTGTGAATAATTGTTCGATATTTTCACCCTTCTTTTCTCTCTCCTCCTCTTCAGCCGCTAATGATCTAACATTCGTAAAGAATTTGTTGAGAGTTGCTTCGAATCCCTTTGCTTCATTGATATTGCCTTCGCGGATTTCGATACCGTCTTTCCAGCTACCCATTAAAAATACAATACGAAGTCTTCTGCTTGTCCACCCACCTCCTCGACCGAGAGCTTCCCGTATGCTAACAAAATTCTTTAAACTCTTTGACATTTTAGCCCCAGCAATCGAAAGATGACCCATGTGGAGGAAATAGTTGACCCATTGGTGTTTCTCTGCTCCCTGGAGACCATCTGCAGCAGTGCATGGGTCCCAATACGCCTCACTCTGTGCGATTTCGTTGTCGTGGTGTGGGAATGCCAAATCGATACCGCCAGAGTGGATATCGACATTTGGACCTAGAACTTCTGAGCACATCACTGAGCACTCGATGTGCCAACCTGGGCGACCTTTACCCCAGGGACTATCCCAACCTGGTTCACCGGGTTTCGATGATTTCCAGAGGGCAAAGTCTCCTGAGTTCTTTTTGCCTGTTTGGCTGGTCAGTGCACCTTCACCGTCTTCTAGTAATGAAGTGGAAGACGCATCCCATGGCTTTAGCTTGGCGTAGTGGTGGCCAGATGCTCTATAAGCCTGGACGTCGAAATATACAGACCCGTCCGTAGTTGGGTAGGCAAAACCCTTCTTGACTAGTTTATCGACAAAATCCACATTTTCGGGAACAAACTCAGAAACACGGGTGGTAACCGTGGGTGGGAGAACGTTCAGCCGAGCCATGTCTTCATTGAAATGACGTTCCCAGTAGGCGGCCGTTTCGCGGAAGACCTTTGGATCGGTGACGGAAGCGCCATGCAAGGAATCGAGATAAGGCGCAAGAATATCCCTTACGGCTGTATAGAACAGCTCCGGGGTGGCTGCCGGGGATGTAAGGGATGCCGAAGCAGTGTAGAGAGTCTTAAGGTGCATTTTGACTTTGGCCTCTTTCTCGAGGTCATCGCCAGAGAGCTCCTCAAGGCTGTCATTGGAAATTATGGTACCATCTGCAGCGATCAGTTTGGGATATGTTGTGGAAGCCCAGGCGACAAAGGTGCTTGGGGTAGCTTCTGATTCTGGGAAGTTCTTGAGCAGGTATTTTTGCCATGCCTTCGTGACTTCCTCGAGGACCTCAGGGTCGATTGAAGGGTGCTCCTTTTGATAGATGCCAAAGAGATGGGATTGGCGGGCCCTTAGGATAATCTATATTCATTATAAACCACCGCAGGTCAACGAAGCTGTTTCTCTTTCTATATTCTCATTCTCGTCGTGCATAGATAAAATGGACCTAGCCAGGGGTAGCCAGACCAACCTTGTCATCAATATCCGTGACATTCTGCACAAATTGTACGTCGTATCCGAAATATCCTTCCAGAACTCTTCGGAGAACATCAGTGGTAACGTAATTCCTAGCGTGACCTAGATGACCAGCATCATAAACAGTCGGACCGCAGCAGTACCAGGTAACTTTCTTCCCAACCACATCAATTGGATAAAATGTGGTCTTTGACCGAGTAAGTGAGTTATAAATCTTCAGCTCAGCCTCGGGAGCAGCTATACGCATGTTATTCGCAGCGGGAGACCTCCATGGTGGCTGCTCAACCTTCTGCTTTCCAGCAATGGTAGTGGACATTTTGCGGGGAAGTGGCGTTGTTGCAATAGTTGTTGCGAATGGTGGGGCTGCTCGACGCGAAGAGCAACGGCGGATGCTAGAGAAAACAGCAAATCGAGATGAAGCAGTGTAGACGGCGGCGGTATTGAGGCCAAAGAAGAGCGTCGTCGTCGTCGTCGATGGTCGGAGGAAGAAGGAGCTGGACATTCGAATTCAGCCGCCGTCGGTTTTATACACGGTTGTCAAAGAAGACAGCTTGCAATGCTCTTGGTGTTGACTCTTACTTTCAATTGCGTCTTCGCCTACGAAAATTTCAAACCTTCCCCAAACACCCATCGTCGAAAGACTCACCATCTCGCGCCGCCGACTATTGCCGCCCATTCGACAATTCGACGGTGACAAAAATAGCACGGTTGCATTCGCCAGGCCTTTGCGATTACAGGAATCTAATTTTTATCACAAGTCATGGCTGCGGTTGTTCCGCAGACGGGCTCCCAATCGGTGTCATCCGCGTTAACCTCGTCATCGTCGACCGGGAAGACCATCACGTTTGCCGACAGCTCATTCCTCCCTGGTCCGAACTCATCGTCGACAATTGTTCCGAACTCTCGAGCGATTGCTCATCTCACCCGTGATGTTCTTCAATCGGTTATGGTCCAGCCGACCCCTTCACCATCGTCTACATCCACTCCTGACCCAGTTGCCAATCTAAAGCGGAAACAGCCGTCGACCTCATCTCTTAATACCCGTTTTGGCTCGTTTCCTCATCCTTCTCTTCTAGTTCCTGCTGGAAGTCAAGTACGGAGTGCCTCTGGTACCGGGTTCATTCACATCCTCCGACCGACACCCGAACTATGGACATTGAGCTTACCTCACCGGACCCAAGTCGTTTATACACCTGACTCGTCATATATACTACATAGACTACGAGTACGTCCTGGGAGCCGTATAATAGAAGCTGGTGCCGGTAGTGGCAGTTTTACACATGCATCGGCTAGAGCGGTTTACAACGGTATTCACGAGAACCCAGTCACTCAAAGTGTACCAACGGAGCAGACGGATGGAGTCACAAAGGGAGGTGATGAAGGAACCAATACTACATCAGACTCCGTGCCTTCGGATGGGAGTACCCAAATTCCTGCCACTTTGACCGATTCACAGGGTCGCGTGCTCTCATTTGAGTTTCACGCCGATAGAGCTTCGATACTACGCCACGAACTTCGTCAACATGGTCTCCATCAGATAGTCACCGTTACAAACCGAGATGTTTGCGCCTCTGGATTCTCCCTTCCTGAGCCCGAATTGGAAATTGGGGGTAATACATACGCTACAGCAGTTTTTCTAGATCTGCCGGCACCCTGGCTGGCGATACCACATCTGACTAGGGAGAACGGAAGCCTTTCGCAAACGAAGGCTGTGAGGATATGTTGCTTCAGCCCTTGTTTGGAGCAGGCACTCAGGACAATCGCGGTACTAAGAGAGCAGGATTGGGTCGAAGAGGACTTGGTGGAAGTTGCACATAAGCGATTGGAGGTTAGAAGAATGGGCCCGAATGGAAGAGAGATTGGAGCAAAATCCCGATCGCAAGGCGATGATGAGATTAAAGTTGCCAGCGTTGAGGACTCTGTCAGCAAACTCAAGAAACAGCTATGGCATCGTAAGGCGAAGCAAGCGAGACAGAGGGAGAGATTGGCGAAGAGGCGAAAGTTGGACGAAGATGGGAATGAAGAGGTCCAGGACGATGATAGTGATGTCGATATGGACGCTAATGATGACGAGGATGTCGAAGAAGCTCCTGAGACCGCGGAGGAAGAAGGTGGGAACGGCAGGCTACATCTATTCAATCAAGGTCGCGTGCTAGTAAGGACAGAACCGGAATTGAAAACTCATACTTCATACCTGGTCTTCGCCGTTCTTCCGCTGCCCTGGACAGAAGAGGACGAAATCGCAGCGAAAGCGAAATACACCCTACCACCACGACCTGCCCCCCAAGTTAACCCGAGGACGGGCAAGGATTACACAAGTGGAGGCAAGGCCCCAAAACCGACAACTGATGGGAAGTTAAGCAAGACTCAAGAAAAGAAACTTAGAAAGGCCCAAGAAAAGGCCGCCAAGTTAGCATCGGAGTCGAATCAGACGCCGAAGACGGAAGGAACAGATGCCTAAGGAATCATGTACTTCTATGTTTGAGCTCTAGGATATATGTGATGATATGTGTAAGATAGGGCGTTCGTCGGTCTAAATAGACTGGACTAGATTTGTATAACCACTGGATACTTGGTGATTTAGCCAAGTCGAATTTAGAATGATATGACATACTTATCGTGAAGAAGACCATTCGGATTCGGACTCCCCCTTCCAAATACAACAGACGTTAAGTGTTGTATGGCGCTCGGAAGGATCCAATTATCAATCGCAAACCTAAACATGTAAACACGAGCACTAAATGCAATGCAATGCATGCAGCCATTCGAACTAGTTCATATTCCATGCGGCACAGTAATTGGAGCTAGCTTTTATATTCTAGTTCCCCGGCACATCCCAATCCAAGGGCCACGACTGGAATTCATCTGCGAAAATACCCGAAGAAGTGAGTATACGTATCTAGATAGATATTTATTTAAAATTCCAAGTTTACTGGCTCTAAAAATTTACAGACAGTTGACAACCTTCCCGTGCTGAAGATAAAGTATATATCTAGATATCATATATATATAATTCTAAAATGGCTGAAACTGTGGAACACGAGCCACTCCGTATCATCGAAGCCATAACCCCGCCTCACCAATCAACAATAATTTTCCTCCACGGCCGTGGAGATAACGGCAATAACGTCGCTCCATTCCTTGTCTACACCCCAATTAACTCGGACCACTCCGAAACTTCCCGCCGAAACAAGGATATAACCCTCCGGCACCTGCTCCCACACACAAAGTTCATTTTCCCTACGTCATTAAAACGTCGGTTTGAACGGCTCAGAAACGACATTGTTTTCAATCAGTGGTTTGATATCGATAGTTTAGATATCACGGATTACTATGATGACGGACAGGTTGAAGGGATTAAAGAGAGTACGGACTATATCCACGAATTGATAAAAGCTGAAGTTGAAGCTGGGACTCCACCGGAGAAGATCGTGATTATGGGACTTAGTCAAGGGTGTGCCACCGGTGCTGTCGCTGTCATAAGATACCCTGTAAGACTTGGTGGTTTTGTGGGAATGAGTGGATGGTTACCGTTTATCACGGAGATTGAGGATATCTTCAAGAAAGAAGGAGAAGAAGAAGAAGGAGATGCTACGGCGGTTTTGGGATACATCGAGAAAAGACTTGGAAGTGATAAAGAGGTATCACCAGAGAATGTGAGGGAGATGCTTAAGACACCAGTATTCATTGGACACGGGGTGGGTGATACTAAGATCCGTCCGAAATGTGGAGAGAGGTTGAAGGATGTGATGAAAGCCATGAAGTTTGAGGAAGTCGTGTGGGCGACTTATAGAGTCGGACACTGGTGGTGCGATGAGGAACTTATACATATCGCTGCTTGGCTTGGGGCGAAGGGGTTCTCTGTAAATGGATTGGAGCAGTTTATGGAGGATTCTATTGGGAGTTTGAGCACCCAAGGTGTATCTTACTCGACGAATTAATTAGGTTTCAACTGTAACCAGAAGCAATAGTAATTATCCATATCTAGAAGATCTTTTTCATTTCGTTCATGCTAATTTTACCGACAGTCTGTATTGATGTCAAATAATTATAAGTAAAATTAAAAAAGAAGGACACAGGCAGATTCCAGATCCAAAATATTGAGTAAATGCAGGTATGTTAGTTATGCGACCCCAAATATTCTGAACAGATTCGGTAATGTGATGGATCCTAAACCCGTGACGGGATCCCAGCCTAAACAAATATTTATTTAGAGTAAGAGAGGGGTTCATTTATCAAACGAGACTTTGGATATATTCAACTTACCAGTGGCAGTCGGGAAGCCCGTTCTACTACATCCACCTGAGTTATTACCCACAATAATATCACTGGCAGATCGTTAGCAAGAGTTGATTCATATCAAGATATCGTCCTGGTGCTATGCCGGAAACTCCTATTTATACATCCGTGTCTGGAAACATCGGGGAAACGAAACTCACTTGAACAGAGTAGCATTTTGATACTAAAAGCGAAAAGATTGGTGGCAAAGTCAGTATCGATATATCAATGTAACCTTCGATCGAATAGATTCCTTAGCTATAAAAAGCGCAACAAGGAAAAATACCTACCAATGCAGGGTGAACAAATCCAATAGTGGGCATGTTCCGTTTCAGCCGTTCTTCGTTCACTCTAGTCAGCATAGCTGCCCATATTGGCGCTGATGCAGACGTTCCACCGACCAAAGCAGGGAAACCCCTCGTCTAAGCATCCCGTCATACGTACGTTATAAAGTTAATTTATAGGTTAAACAGAAGATAAGTTGAGATTCTTAGCGTTTATGGATACTCACGACAATCAAGATGTTATATCCTAGCTGTCAAACGATCGAACATATTCAAAGCACGTGAACCCCATTAGTTTGAAGATGCAGAATATAAATTATATATACTTTAAAAAGAGATACTCACCGCTGCCACATCAGGATAACCCCTTCCACCCCGATTATATAGGCCACCGCCACTACCAATCCTTTGGTTCGGGTCAGTTAGGTCGTAACTCCCAAATGGCAAAGTTTGTGACGCAAAGTAGCTCGCGACAGCAGCACTTTGATATGAGGGCCGTGCATGGACATTCGAAAACCCGCCCCCAGATCCGAATGCTTGGGTTGCTCGCTCTCTACCACCGTTCACATATTCTGTGCTGCCGACAGACAAAATGTATGGGCAATCTATACTGTGTTAGTTCTGTTTAACAGTTTTGAAGTGCTTATGTGTACTGTGCGCGCTGTTAATGGACTATGAACATACTTGATGGAAAATCGGGATTGAAGATTGTGCCGGGCCCGGACGTTTGCCCTGCCGGGCGAAGACAACCGTTTGGATTGTCGCCGTCTTCCCCGCCAGCTGCGACTCCAGAGTCTCCAGAAGCAACAACGTGAGTATAGCCTTGCAGAGCTAGTTTCATAAACTCTGCGCATTGTCTATTTCAGAAATTGTCAGACTAGTTAATCCTCGAGTTATCAAACTTCGAAGCAAACCACTGTACCTCAATTGATAGTTCGCCGGTAAGCCCAAGGTATTTTCCGGTCCACCATATGATATGGAGGTAACGTATGTAGGGCTTTGGGTTCCACAGTCCAGTGGACCTGGAAAGGCGCCCGGTTTACCTGCGTTCTTCGGGTTCGGATAAGGTGGGTCAAGCGGCGGGTCCGTGCTATTCGAGTTCCCCGTGATACCAAACGCCGTAAAACTACAATATGACCCATCGATACCGTCAAGGTAATTGTTCAAAAACCCGGAATAGTTGTAGTTGTTTTGTGTCGGTGGGTCATCTGTAGAGAACAATGCTTGGCCTTGTGGGTAGATGATATGATGAGATGCTTGTATGTCAAGGTTCGACTCATCTCCTACTTCGTCTGTTAGAGAGCTAGTCGAACCTCTCCCTCCATCAATGCTTCGAAGTTCTGGGTTCCCTTTACTACGAGGGATTCTGGTAAATAATCTATTAAATGTTCCAACATCATTCTGCGAGTACAGTTGGCCAAGACCCTGGAAGATACCAAGCTTATTACTAGAATTGACCCTTGTGCCTACTGGTAGTTCCGCGATTCTATATAACTCACGAATGCACCTGGGAGTTACCGCTACGCTGTTAGCCCTATCGCAAGGAACAAGAGCCCCCACTCTATCGAGGGTAGCGGAAATTAGACCGTCAACAATGTTGACGATTGGGTCCAAGCCAAATCCTAGAGGTGATGCCTGACGCTTTAGTTTACCCTTAGCAGCCCCCTCTTCTGACCGTTTTAGCTCTCGTTTTTGTCTTTTTCTTAGTTTTTCTCTTTCCGGAGAGAGAGGCCCTGAAGGCGGGAATAATTTGATACCCGGGGTGATATAATCGATGTGTTCTTGAATATGGCGTGGAATATGGTACCTTATCGTTTAATTTGATATTTAGCTGTTTAAAATCCACCTGAAGTGTAATATAGTCTTCGCTACTCTAGAAGAGAGAATATTCCTGGATACTTACTCGTCACAAGCAACATTTAGTCGTCCACTCCCTTCATGCTCATAAATATGATAGCTCGTGTGTAGCAGGGTTTGAACTTCTGACACTAGGGCATCGAATTGAACCCACTGTCGGTTCGACGAAATGGAGACACTATCTGGATGGAATCCGGAATCCTCTAACCATTTAATCACAGTACGCTCACTCTCTAGGTCTGGGGCGAACATTTCGACAACTTCGGCTTTTGAGAGGTGGTTGCCATATTTTGGAGACCCGGGGGTCGAGCTTAGGCGATGAGATAAGTGAAGTTAGTTATATTCACAATAGATTAACTCGAAAAGTAATGTATATATATCATGAAAAGAGGTCACGAAATATCATTCTTACATTTCCATAAGAAGATCATGGCCTTTATCGAGGTTTCTTTGTTTGAGTCCGATGCGCATCGGTAGGACGGATGAATGGCTCGCGGGACTTCTTTTGAACCAGGCATGGTTTTTGACAGCCCGTTTCTCGTGCACGACGTAGGTTGAAGCTATGGGATTTGCAACTATTGGGATAAACATCCCCAAAAATAAAATCAAGAGAGGCTTCATCTTTAATGAATAGTGTTGGAATTATTTATATATTGCATGAAATCAGCTACTGGAGAACTGCTTTGGTCGTGATATCGATTTATCCTTTTCCGTGGAAAGCCAGTTTATCAATATATATAGATGGATTTTCCGATAGATCTAGATACCATATGGGAAAATGACACCGCCAGTTATGTCTCGAGTAAGTTCCGCTCCTTGCCACCTTGAATTCAGTCAGCGGCAGCTGCAGTAGTTGATTCAAAGAGGGAAAACCCCTAAAAAGTCTACTACATTGGAGCATCATAAACTTGAAACTTGGGTCTAAATGGCCTCTAACCAGTTTACTACCGAAATCTATATCTAAGTACTTTAATTAAGATGCATATAGGTCTGGCGGCCGCGGCTTGAAGTTTTCTACTCAGCTGTAAGTGTCATACAGCTGTTCCCAAAAAGGTATGTATCGATGCAATCGTCCATATCCATTTAAGAAAACCCAAGAGGAGACAAAAAAAACCCGGGTTTTGGGCATAGATGCATAAGAAGTACAAAGCTACAGAAGCGGAAGGGTCGGGGGAACCGAAAACCGGAAAGAGAAGTTAACTACAAGACTAACATTGAACCCCACTCTGTGGAACACAAAGTAGCTGGACTGGGCTTCTCCATGGAGCTTACGGCTATTGATGCCGCACATGTGCCCTGACGTATCGGGCGCTCAAGTTTGGAATGAAAGTAACGGTGAAAAAAGTACTGATAGATACTACCTCGAAGGACCTTTTTTTTGTTCAAGGATACCCTGCCACAAGCCAATAAAGTTTGAAGATTGTATCATAAGGCCGACAATCCTTGCTACCCTCTCAAGTATCCTGACTTCCGTTGGACAAGCTTATTTCTTTGTGTTACAAATGTGGACTCTAGATCTAGCTAGGTCTCGGCCGCATCCCTGTGAAAAGGTGTTTTCAACCCCAATCGGCTGCCAGACAAGTTTCGAGTCCAAACTTTCCCTGCCTCGTATTTTAATATGTAATTAATATAACAAGCAGAATCTTCGATCATGCACGAGTGAGACGGCGATAACTCATGCAGTGAAAAAACTTGCTTGAAGAAGTTTTTTGTTAAATTGTTGGAGTTGTACATGAGCTGCAGGTAGAAGTATAGATTGGGATCGCATCCGATTCGGCCCTTTAAATCGAGCGAATGGGATGTGGTGTTCTTTATGCATGCGTGCCTATCATTCATTCCTACTAGTGTTACACTGCTTGGTCGAAATATGGCCTGGCCCGAGAACTGCGCATTACGACCCGCATATATATTTATATACTCAAACTTACATACATTCGTAATATTCGGTGTTTACCGCGCGCGCTGCAGGTGTGGATCAAGGCTCGTGTATGATCATCAGGTGCCTTTTGAAGATTCTCGAGTATCTATTGTTTAAAATTCCAGATTCGGGCATTTTTTAGATTCCAGTTCGGTTCAAGAACCCGCCTCTCGGATAGCTTTAATTATGTGGTAGTGGTAAAGCCCCCAGTGCAGTGCAATCATGATCAGTTGTAAAAATATGGAACAAGAATTCTGCCCGAGATTTTGAAACCAAGGAGAACAGCCAGCCCAAGTAAAACAATTCAAATAACACCAGTACCTACAAAAACTCGAAAGTCCAAATTTTCGCTGGTAGCCTAGACGCCTGACGATAATTGAACAATGCATAAGATCTTCCAAAAAGCAGCTTGAAAAAATCCAACATGATGATGCGTTGTAATGATGGTTTCACCGCATTTGCAGAATATCAATGTCCTTTCCTTCGCTAGAAAACTCCATAAAGGCATCAGATCATTTTGTTTTCTTATTTCTTGCTCGGGTTCTTTTCTTTCGCTTTAATTTCACATTGTGATGTGATGTATCCTCTTTGGATGGTGTATCTTCCGCATTGCAGTTTTCAACTTCCCACAAAAGAGTCTTCAATACTACCAGATTTAATACCAACCCAGCAAGGTTTTCCGCCGGCATCTTCAGCCTCAAATTCCATAATATCGGTTCCCTTTCTATCTTGATAGTAACTCTTGCTACCCTGTGATCTACACCGGCAACCCCTTCTTCAACACTAGAAACCAGGGTAGGATTGAAATTCCCACAACTAAGCCTTCTTGCAAGCAGAACTCCACCCATTAGGTTAAGGAATTGGATGGCCTTTATGGAAAATGTATCACGAGAATACTCCCATAGTCTGCGAACTCTGTCTGCCAAATTGGAGTTGTAGAAGTCGAGGGCATCGGCACGTGTTTCGTTAATCTCTTGCATTCTTGCGTGACTTCTTTCTCGGAATAGCCGTGCTTCTTTGGACGTAGTGAAGAGATTACTGTTTGCAACAGAATAATTGAAGCAATCCTCGAGAGTGTTATAGTTGGGTTTCCTAGAGATATTTGAATCGGTGATATATGGGGATATGTCACGCTGGAACCAGTCGTCGACTTCCTTCTGACTCGAGCAGTTGCAAATATTTATCGCTGTTCACGTATAAGTGTATACGAAGGGTGAGCTCGCAAAGCCAGAAACACATAATTGAATGCTCTATTCGATTTATAAATAAATAGTCTCTTACCTATTTGAGGCAATGTATCGTGTAAAAGGTTATTCGTGTTTATCATCCCCTGAATATCTGCTATCCTACACCCACTTCGAACAAGTGTATGAATGAATACAGTCTCTGTCCAACTAACTTCTCTTCTTAACTGCTCCATTCGATATACTCTAACCTCTTCCTCGCTCTCCTCAAAATCCCTAATAATCGCTGCTTTATCCCCACAATAGACTAAAACATCTGGATTATTGGTCCAAACCGCATCTACAACCCCCTCTTCCATCATATGCACACACTCCACAACCGGATTCGCCGCAGCATGAAACCTAACCCCCAAATCCCCCAAAATTCTAAACCACATATGTATCTTCCCATTAGCATGTTTATACCTATCCCCCAAATCACCTACATCCTCACGATCCAACGGTGAGGGGAGTATTACATAAAACTCGACCCCTAGAGCTATATAACCCATCAAACGGGTCAAAACGTTGATTTCTCGATGGAAGAGATGAGGTCTTTTGGGCACAGGGGTGTATTTTTGGGTAAACCATATCTGGGATTGGGATTTTTGAATTTGCTTTTTGAAGGCTTTACGTTGGGATTTTTGGATTTGACGTTCTTGCTGGCGGGTTAGGCCATAGTTCCAGGAGTCTTGATCTAGTGCTATACGAAGAGGTCGGTGGTGGGTTTGGAAATGGATTGTGGAGAGGTGGGCGAGGGAAGTGGGGTTCCCTTGCTTGGATTTTTGGTCGAAGAGGTTCCAGAGGTCTGCTTCGGATTTGGGGTCGCGGGCGCTCCAGCTTTTGGGAAGGCGGGCTACGGGCGCCATGCTTTGTTGGATTCTGTATTAGGAAATGGGATCTTGAAGGGATCGAAACTTGGATAAGAAGATGCTGAATGCAAAGTCAAGATATTCCAGATGCGTCATGTAGGAGTAAGAAGATTCGGGAGCCCTGGAATCTTTGCATGAAGTTTTCAGTAAATACCTATTGAAATACTAAATAGTCCACAGGTGCAAAATACCATATAATCTATATTCGCGATGCTTCAATTAAATTTCAGAAAGGGGCTTCGTAGTAGATCTAGAGTGCTTCGGACTCAATACTAAGCCCAGTCTAGACCCACTCAAAGAACTACAGATCCACGTATCTTCCTAATTTCTTTAGGGGTCCAAGCGGGGATGCGGCTCTAACGCAAAGGCTTTCGATTAATGCATTGCATTGTAGTTCATTAGCTTTTTTTTTCCATTGGTGGATGACCTATATACAAAACCCAAGAGGTATCAAGAGAAGCGTTCAATTTTCCAGCCATGAAATCGAATATCCATTCCCAAAGCGACACCCAAACACCAAATCCAACCCGACATAGATTCACAAAAAAGAGAACGCCGGCCAACGAAAAAAGATAGAGTATGAAGACATCATGAGGATGCTACATCACTCTCTATTCCTCCCTGGGATCCATCTTCTAAGCGCCACTTCTCTGATCCTATACTTCCCAAGAACTGTCTTCAACCCATCCGTTTCGCAATCCCAGCCTTTTACTTCATCGGCCGTTGGAACATCGACGTACACCAGCACAACAGTCTTTTTTACCTGACTATTCACACGAGTGATACTATGCAACCAGTACCACTCTCTTCCGACGTTTTCCTCTTTTCCTTCCCAGCGACTGTAGCTGGGTATTATCAGAATAGCAAACTCAGCGTGCGAGAACACTGGGCCGCGTTTGTAAAGGAGATAGTCAACTGAAAACTTCACACCAGACTTAACGACCCAACCGAGCGATCGGAAGTGATGATAAACCACATAGTTGATCAGGAAGGAGTTATCGGGGTTGAAGTTTGTCAGGGATATGGAAGATTCAGGAAGCGGTGGGAAAATCGAGTGGCGCAGAAAGAGCTTGAAGATCTCTGGGAGAGATAATGGCTTGGGAGAATCTGCCGTAGTCACGGAGAGTACACCCAGAGCGTACGCCAGGAAAAAGGCCTCCGAAAGCATCAATTGCAAGTGTTCCTGATTCTGAACAATAACCTTCTTCTCAACTGGAATCTCCTTTGTTGAGGTATTGCTATCGAAGCGGACGACCTTTGCGGGTTGAGCAGGTGGCGAATCAGAGGTAGGCGGAACTGAGACGGGTAGGGTCTCGGACCCAATGTTCACAATGTCCGTTTTCGACTCGCCGTCGGAAGTATTGAGTTCGTCAGACGACGGTGGAGGTGTGGGCAACCCTGCCTCCTCGGTGGGTACGCTCGGATGGGAGGGTTCAGTGACAGTCTCATCAAGTCCCTTTATCTCCGTCTCAAGCTCCACAACGACCTTTGAATCTGCAATGATAGGTTTCCCATTCGATACAGATCCAGTGTCCTCATTATTCTTCGCCTCAGCCTCTTTAATCTTTTGCAGTTCTTCTTTCTCCTTCCTTGCCCTCTCCTTTTTCATCTCTTTTCTCTGGTCTCGTCTACGTCGGGTGATTTCTTCGGACGTCTCCCCAACTTGGGTATCACCCAATCGTCGCATCTCCCGGTTAAGCCATGTAGGCTCACTCCTGCTCAAGCTACCTTTACCCCAGAACCCCTTATTCCATAGGTCCAATACCGCAGTAGGATCCCTGATCTCGACGGACATTGTAACCGGGGAGAAGACACCGATGTATGTGACTTTGTGAGATTGAACCGGAGGGAAGAAGTAAAGATAAAGATGATGTAATAGAGATATAGGATTATGGGGTATCAACGTTGGAGAGTGATACAGCACGACCGGTAGTGGGTCTGCATGGATAACATTATAATTAGGCCGTTTCGGCTTCGCCGAATGTGGAGGTTTATTCAACGGAGATCCAATAGCGGCGGTAGCAGCTGCCGTCGCTGCACCATTGGCCGACGTGTCAGCCATGATTTCACTGCAAAAGGAAAAGAAAACTTGGATTTAAATATCCTGATGTTCTAGAAAAGCTTTAGAATCGGTTAGTCGGAGGCCCTTTAAGACTTGATGCTGAGAAATTGAAAAAAAAAAAAAAAAAAAGACCTTCCAAAAGAAGAATTCAATATATGAAATATCAAATTTTCTTTGCAATCAGATACCGTTGTAGTCTATCTTGTAAAAGATGTAAGTCAAGCCAGCATGGTACATGACGGAGAAACTCGCGTCAATCATCTAGGCATTGAGAAAAAGATTGTCATCATAGCAGGAAGTGAAGGAAACCGTCGGAGAGCAATCGGAAAGGTGAATCACAATGGATGGATGGATGGATGGGTGGTGCGACAAACCTATAAGCAGACCATTGTGGCTACAGTCACACCGAAAGGGTCTCGGTAGGACAATATGGCAAAACCCGATGGCTCCACTTTTATGAAGGCTGAACAGAAGGCTGCGATATGACGTCTACAGCGACGAGGGGTACCTTTCCTGTAGACTGTTTTGCAGCAGCAGTGATGTTTGTAATGGTTTGGAGCGGTGGTTGTAGTGGTTGGAGGAAATTTGTGTGTGGGTTGAAGGAAAGAAAAATTTGGCGAGCCGCCATTGAAAGTTCTTGGATTACAATCACACTAACCTTCTACGGCACTGCAGGGTACTTTACTGACATTACAGACATCCTTCTATATTTTGACACCCTAATCCTAGACTAGGCTCCGAATGAGATATCACTGCTATTCACAGCATCTGATGCTTGCTTTGTAACAATTATATTACGACTTTTGTTAATATTTGCTGCCGGGATACATCAATATCGTACATACAATAACGAATATGCCTCCTCAAAAAACTCCTCTTGCTGATGCACACCCAGGATCATTCGTATAGACCCTACCCTCTATCATTTGTCGGAAACACACTGTGAAGATATATAAGAACCTTCTGCATTAAAGTCCTTCCTTGATTCCAATCGTACTCAAAACTGCAGACGACCGGGATGGACTACAATAATCCCTTCCGAGCCAATTCAATCTTCTTGGTGACACTGTTGGGTTTCCCAGTCTTGCTGACACAGATCGCAGAACCGTCCGACAGTTCGAACTTGACTTCGTTATTCGGAAAGGCACAGGGACAATGAGTCGCTCGATCGACACAGGAGAGGGTCCCAGGGCAGAGATATTTGCTGCAGTGAGCTATAGACGGCGAAATACATAGCAGTTAGCTACTTGTACTATTGCAAAGACTGAACGAAAGATCAATCTAGATCTAGCAATAAATGCTTACCTTGAGCGTATGTCTGCCGGTACCATGAACTATCCGACCCTACATCCTGATGTCTCTGCTGGTGATGTCCATCATGACCGCCTTGGAATAGATGTTCGAAAAAACCGCCACCGAATTGAGCAGCGACGAGGAGTGGCGCTATCAGTAGTAATAGTATCGATAGAACTGGCGAACGAGCCATTCTTGTATGTGAAATGTACCGACTTTTCGTTCGTATACGTGCAGTTTAAATCAGAAAAATAATCGGTTTAACTTATCGGTTCAATTGCGAAATCAGTTCTCTTGGAATTAGTTTTTTTTTTTTTGTGAAATGTCGTATAGAGATAAATTACAATGTTTGTCAATCAAGTAGAAAGTTATAAATATAACAGCGACGCTTGAGGCCAGCTATCGCAGACCGTGGAGCTGTTCTTAGTGCCAAGGAATACCCAAAGCCCCGCGTATTATCCGTCCCTCCGCGCCACAGCCTTGCGCAAACACCAAAACTTTCGTTATCCGAAGAACTTCAAGACGAATTCGACCAAAACGTCGACGACGACGATTGCTCTCTGCCATCTTTAAAAATGCCGCCGTCACCCGTCACACCCGTTGTGGCGCGGTCGATATCCTCTCTTCGATATTCTCTAACTCCAAAGCCGACGCCGTCTTCAATCCTTCATCCGACTTGTACTCGATACCAATCGCCTATTCTCACATTTATCAGATATGCCACTCATAAGACTTCTGGTGCTGCGAATGGTCCTGGAGACTCTGCTGGTCGAAGATTGGGTGCTAAGAAGGCTGGAGGTATGTTGGTTTTACCCTTTTTTTGCCTATAGTAAATCCAATTGGATATCAGGTAGCTAATGGATTTTTATTCTTATTACTATAGGTGAACGAGTCCGTAAAGGCATGATTCTATTCCGTCAACGAGGAACACAATGGTTCCCCGGAGAAAACGTCGGCATGGGCCGGGATCACACTCTCTATGCACTGTGTCCTGGCTTCGTACGCCACTACCTTGATCCTAATCAGCCAAAGCGAAAGTTCATCGGGATAGCAGTCGAAGAGAACCAAAAGCTCCCAAAACCACCAAATGCTGCGAGGACTAGATTATTGGGTTTGGTTCAAGTTAAGATGTCGCCGGAAGAAGTTGCACATTTGGAGAGGAAGGCTGCTGGAGAAATAAATCTGGATATTACTACTGTCGAGAAACGCCCTGGAAGTTACTTTGTTAAACCTTCAGGTTGGCGACTTGGGAAGTACATCGAGGAAAATCCCGTTTCGATACCGAAGAGGAATAAGATGAGATGGAGACGCTTGACAAGTTCGTTCGAGAAGAAGGTTGAAGCCAGATTCAAGAGATTGGCAGGCAGGACAGCCAAGGGATCTAAGAAACAGAAGAGAAAGTAAAGGGAAATGTCCACATCAAGGGATATTCATGTATATATTGGCTATGTGAGAAATGATATCTGTATAAAAAGCTATTTAAATATATAATGCGACGAGAACCCGGTCGCAAATCCGACGACAAGGAAAGAAACTGAATCGATCAAGTGCGGGGATAATGAACTAGCATAGAACGCCACCAAAGAAAAGGCCGTTAATTGTCTGTCGTGAAATCATTACTCATGTCGGGGTCATTATAGGCCGTCCCGCCCACCAGAAAATAAAAAAACTGAATGATAACTCTCATAGGACGGAAAGGATATAAAACGAAAACTGAAGCAAAGTCAATAGAGGCATGAGAACAAAAAAGGGGTCGTCAGTTTAAGAAAAAAGTGAAATTAGACAATTTAGGAATCCTATCCTATCATTCCCGATAGTATGATTCCTGGTATGCGCTCTTCTTGCGGCGTCGGCGCTGGCGCTCTTCATCTTCCTCGCGAGCGACCAGAATTGCTGCTCCGCTCTCGTCATCCGGATTTCTATAACCCAGGCCTGGAGACGAATCTCGGCAATTATAACTTCCAACTTCCTCGACTACTTGCCTTTCGTAATATCTTTCCCCGTGCTCGGGATATCTTGACGTGATGTATGCCTGCGGGCTGCCCACGCTCTCATCAAAACTTTCTTCCTCTTCAGTATGTCGAGAGTATTCTGATTTCCGACGGCGCCGAGGATCCTGATGATGTTGCACGTAGCCCCAATGCTCTCTAGGAGCATCATGTGGTATATTTTGGTGATATACCTCACTATGGGGATATTCATATCCCATGCCAGGAGCAACAGGATGATCCCTTCTGGGCTGTGTTGGATGGCCGTGCTCAGAGTACTCATCGTCGGAATATTCATTCTCGTAAAACTCATCATCCTCCTCGGGATTTTTTATACGCTCTCCAGGAGCATCCCTGGTGTATCCCCGATGGTCAAAATCACGGTAGTGGCTACGAGAGCCACCCTTTCGGTGCCTTTGCATTTCGGGTAATAGGTCTTCTTCTATCGATGATGGTAGGTTGTTAAGGCCGAGCCCAGTTCCCCGCCGTAATAAGTCCTTTTGATCGTCTTTCGATTGGTCCAAAATGAGGTAGCGTGGCCCGAGCTTCTCTTCGCTGATGTACAATTGCTCTAGTCTGAGGCTCTCCGGAATTGAGGGCGGAGTTGGTGTTCCCATGAATTCCTCTGCTGTATTATGTCTACGGGGGGGTACTGGGACGTAGTTTTCATGAGGCGGGGGCGACATCATTCTGACATCCTCATAAGGTGGTGACCCATAGTACCCTCGGTCGTTGTCGTTGTGATGTCTGAACAATTTGGAGATTTTGTGACGGCCACCACGTGAAACACTCTGCTCCTCGTGTGATCGAGAATTATACATTACCATCTGCATCTCACCGGAGTCAGCCTGCTCGCCCCCTTGGTCTGGGCCAGGGCTGAAGTTGTCGTCGTCATTGTCGCTATCTTCGTCAGCCCGATGTTCATCATCATCTGTTGCATCATCAATATGTATTTCACCGCGGGGCCAGAACCGAAAATACGAGTGATGAAGCTCGGGTCTATTCCACACTACAGCGATACGGATCTTGAGGTAAACTCCACGAGGTAGCGTCGCTGTATAGATACTAAATTAGCACATATTCACAGAAAATGAAAATAGATATACATATATGTATATGTCTGTGTATACGCACCGTTGACTGGCTGATATGGAGTAGGGTCAAAGCTTCCAGGGCGCGGCGGATCTGTCTTCAACCAGTCTCCATCATGGATAAGCGATGGTACGACCCACCAGCGGTCGAGAGACCTCAACCCCACCATTCCCCAAAAAAATCCCAACTGGGACGTCAAAGAAGCAGATTTCATGATGAGTATCTGGGTCTTCGTCCGGATCAAGTAGATCTGTCCGATGTAGGAGGTATCGAATTGGTCTTGGGCAACCAAGACCAGGCCTCCGAATAGAGTGGCCGGTTGGAGCATTTGCTCCAAATCGCATCAATATATGATGTGGGACCTGCCCAGCTCGGCCATCGGGATACCATTGCAGATAGGACCAAGGGGTACGGCCGTCCATTGGGTTTTGTTTACCCTTGTATCGAAAGACATTCCTTCCATCCGATGCGGGATCTACGACCATTTTCATTATGGTAGATGAAACATATCGCAGATCGGGAAGCCTTTCAACGTCGCTATCTTTGAGTCGCGTTAAGCGGTAGTTCTTAAACCACATGTTATGCCCTAACGGGTAGTTTCGCTGAGGGTGGTTAATGATCCGCCCCTCAGCATCTATTAGATTCCATGAAATCAAGTAATCATCCTATATATACAACATAACTTGTTAGCGAATCCTATCGCCTACGGGTTGTGTATGAACACACGATAAGAAGGTAATAATACCATGATGGCAATAAAAAGGTGCTCCAATAGAATGAAGATGAGGCTGTCCACGGTGGTGGTTGTAGAGGAATCTGGCTCTGATGATAATCCGAAGACAAGATTGAACGGTTTGAGGGCCCGTTTTTATAGACTCGCATCACCCCACAACTTCGTCTACTCGAGTGCCCAATCCGAACTGTCGACGAACTCGCCCTCCCAATTCCTCGGGACAGCAGAGCCGCATCAATCGTCACACTTAATTGGTTGGAGGAAGGTGTATGCCTTTTCTGCAGAGTTCGTCCACATTGCATTTTGTTTGTGACACCACCTCGAAGAACCAACGGGGCAAAATGTTAAGTTTTGGGACTTTTCAGACGAGAATCCAAGCCCAACATGCCGACGGCTGCAGATAAAGGCAACTAGCATCCGGGAATACGCAATATGGCTCTTATCCCCCCTCCTTCACACCACTTTAGTTTCGCCCAAGACTCCGAGGCTGGGTCCTACGAGGTATCTCGTAGAGCTGCACCTTTTGGTTGACGTTTAATATTCATGCAGCAGAATCAATCCCCAAACCCCGGTGGCAGTCGATTCCATACAAAAAAAGACACGACATCTCCGAGGCTGGGATAGGACTCACGGCCCAGCTGCTGTACGGGAACATCTGTCCGCTTTTTATTTGTCGGGAGATTGCTACATGTGATCATCCGTACGCCGATGTCACTGCTGGGGAGCCAAAGTGGATTAGCCAACAGTATCGATAAGGTGTGTTTTTCAAAGTGGGGGACGGTGAGGGGCTGCCCGTGCACTGCGTCGCTTCGGAGCGAAGATGTACTAGACACAGCTCGCTCAAAAGGATAGCTAGCTGCATGCACGAATGTTGGCTCTGTTGCAGGAGTTACTGACTGTTGTACACGGGAAATGTAACGGGAATTCGGCCCGATGACTCAAATAATCCCATTTTGTTTTCTTTCCAAGACTCAAATCATCTGCAGTCTTTGGGCATATCCTTGTTTGAAATGTATCCGAATGTTGTTGTACTTCGGGGGTTCCTCATAAAGTATCGCTGTTGTGTACCATATCCAACAGAGTACCGAACGAGCGAACAAGCTAGGGTTTTGAGCGGAACTCTTCTGCGATAACGTCTTCAAGATAGGACAAGGTTTTGGGTGCCCCATGATCCACATTCCTCTGCTCGAAGCATGCTTCTACAGCCAGGGATTCGAATATCCGTGCTGGTCCCGAATGCTGGAGTGGAAAGTCTACGCGGTGTGCATTTGGCTGGTATTGCCAAAATGCAGAGCCTCATCCAACATATTGGATAAAACAGACAAGAGCATTGTAGTCTTTGAGTATGCTTTGGCAAGAGTCAATAATGCTTCCATGCCCAAATCCCCTAAAAATCAGCAACTATCAGTCCAAAGTTCGTTTTTGTAGGAAGTTGAATTTCCCTAAGTCCGCTTTCATAAACTGGAGAGTTACCTGCTGATTAAAATCATTTGTGAAGTTGATTCTCAATTTAGATAATACTGACCGCTATGTCTCCAAAAGAAAAAAAAATACGGGGTTTACATAGTAGGTCAACGCCTAAACTAGGGGCTGAAAATTGGGAAGGTTTTAGGCGGCCTGACAGTCGTGTTGTTAAGTTGCCTTGGACGATGGTTCGTTCGCGACTAGTACGCCTGGCGCCTGCACATCGAAGGGAGAAGTCGACATTTAAGTACTTTGGCAGACCACCTCAGTCAAAGCCCAAGATAGTCTGGCAGAAGAGGGGTAGCCATAAATCCAAGTAGAGTTTTTCCCTTCCACGTCACACAAAAGCTTGAGTTTTTTTGTTTGTTTCTGTTTTTGTTTTTTAGAACGCACTTGGGTTCAGGCTCCGTGTATTAATGACTAGAGTTGCGTAGTTTTCGCGGGATTCAACTGTTCGCGGAGGTTATATTCAGGCGAACCGGCTGCAAAAACGCAAAAATGAGCAGAACCCCTAGCAGAGCCAGGGATTTAGTTCACACAAGCATGCACCTCACTCCATACAAGCACCCGGAGAGATGTATTCTATTCATCCAAAAGCCAATATGCATTTCGGAAACATGAGATTGGCATCAATTGTGCAGTGGCTTAGTTAAGTTGCACAGTGATGGCCAACCCGATTCGCGGAGGCGGGATTGTCGATTCTGAAGCACTTCTTCATGTGGCCGAAACGCAAGACGACAGCTGGCTTCACAACCTGGGCAGTAGAATAGTTGCACGATCGTGCCGATGATAGCAGCCAAAGGAGTGGCTCCCTAAGTTACATATAGGGCAATTCGCACAATGTCCGACTGTGGCCTAGCAGCTCGATATCGGTCGTCAAACGCAGCACCACAATCGGCAGACTTCCTTTTTAGTCGAGATATCGCAGCGCAGGGAGGGGTTCAAATTTCATTAGCTGTCTGTGGGCGTTGCATACGGAGCGATCCCAGACCACCGTGGGATCAATCCCGTAGTATCCAGGTTCAGATAGTCCTTTCTGAATATGCCCCACCCGCCAATAATGGTCTCGCGTTTCGGACCTCACCGAGGACGGGACATCTTTCGTTCCCAGAACGATACCGATTTCATAACTCATTTGGAGCTTCTTTGCATCAATCGCCCTGGATGTCGATTGATTTTTGATTGGATGCTGTCGGTACAAAATGTAGGTCTCATGAGCTAGATGACCTTGCATTGGTTCAAAAGCTTATTTTCGAACCTATCATAGCATCTGAGCTTCGAAGGATGGTTCCTTAGACTATTGTATCATCACGTCAGAAATTTTTTCCTGCTGTGCCCTATAATGCTGAAGAGAATGGACTCACATGTATGTTTCAACTAGTCATCAATCATTGTATTGGAAAAGCAATATAACACAGCATCCAAGCCTGTAGGTGCTGGACAGGTGTCGAGGATGAATCGTAGATTTGATATGCTGGATTGGGCCGACGCTAGATTCGAGACCAGTCCAAAAGAGGTTCTTGTATAGGATGGAGAGGAATTTGTGGTGGTTAATGTGTTGGTGCATGTCAAGCTAAACGAAGATATATGTCTACCACAAAAATTTCTGCGTCGATACTCTTTTCTCTATCCATCTCATCACCAACATACGATATGACTACAGACACTCCCAAACAAGCGTCGTCTTTCGAAAATGCTAATCAGCATGAAATCGATACCCTAATTCTTGATACGGGTCCCATCATCAAGAATGTTTGCTCACCTCAATCCCTTCTCGCCAAAGCTGGAAACCTCGTTACCCTTCCGTCCGTCGTTTCTGAAATCCGCGATGCAGCTACCCGTTCTCGCTTTGAAACACTTTGGGCGCCGTTTCTAAAATATCGTTCTCCAAAACCGGAGAGTATAAGATATATTTCCCAATTTGCGAAGAAGACAGGCGACTATGGCGTCCTTGGCGCAACTGATTTGCAGGTGCTTGCATTGACGTATGAGGTCGAATGTGAGAAGGTTGGTGGTGTCGAAGAATTTGAAAAACGGTTGAAAAAGAAGGAAGAAGAAAACAATGCGAGGAAGAATGGTAGAGCAAAGAAGAATAGACGTCGAGGCGACAGAGAGAAGGCGTCGAGCGGCGACCGAATTGACAATCAAATCGAGAGTGAAACTAGAGAAATACAAGGGGACGGCGACGAAGGATCCGGATGGACGACGATACCGACATCTCGGAAGAATAAGAAGCCAACTCCCTCTAGCTCTGTTCCCAGAAAAAATGCATCAAAGTCTGCTATTACCACAGAGCTCCAGTCTGCTGTTGTTACAGAGACCCAGCCTGCTATTGTCACGGAGTCCCAGCCTGCTCCGATAGAAGTATCTGCTACCACCCAAGCTTTGGAAGCCCTTTCCCTAGAATCGCAACCCGAACCGCAAACTATCGAAGAAATAGAACCAGAGATCACAAGTGAGTCTGAAGACGACTGGATTACTCCGGAAAATCTTGCTGTTCACCTTATTTCCGATGGCACCGTCTCAAAACCTGCTAAATCGACTAGCCAAATTATGACGGCCTGCTGTACTACCGATTTTGCAATGCAGAACGTTCTCTTACAGCTTCATATCCACCTTTTCTCTCCAACGACGATGAGTAGGATTACGTCAGTTAAATCACATGTTCTTCGCTGCCACGCTTGCTTCAAAGTTTGCAGGGAAATGTCACGGCAGTTTTGCCCGTCATGCGGTCAACCTACATTAGCCAAAGTAACTTGCTCGACTGATGCTCGAGGAGTCTTTCGAATCCATCTGAAGAAAAACTGGCAGTGGAATAATAGAGGGAATGTGTATAGTTTGGCTAAACCTCAGCACGGAACGGCGAGTATGAAGGGTGTGCGTGAGAATGTTGTCCTTTCTGAGGACCAGAGGGAATATGAGAAGGCTCTCAAGGATAGTAAAAGATATAAAGAAAGAGACTTGATGGATATGGATTACCTACCAGGCTTACTTACCGGTGAACGGCTCGGGCACGGTGGAAACCCCAAAATTGGGGCGGGAAAGAATGTTAATGCTCCAAAGAGAGGGGGTAAGTAGGGTTTAGATTTACAGCAATCCAAGAGCCTTCAAACACTACGCTACACCCACACCCACACTATATATAAAATTAATGACGATACGACAGATACCCTTAAGTAAATAAAAGTTCTTAGTTTGAAAAGTCATGTGCATTAGATAGCTCCAGTGCTCTAGGAACTAGATGCAAATATATATATATGCAGGAGAAAGCAGGATTATATTCCCAACAAAACAAATATTCTCCTCAAACGCCGTTGTGTGCCATCATAATTGGGATGTTGAGAAGGGAGATGGAATAAAGAAGGATTGAGTGAACTAAAAGGATGTCATCTCCACCAAAAAATCTGTTGTTCGAGTGCAGCTCTGAAACATGATGCTCCTACTAGAACCAACGAGTATCGTACATCGAATTGACTGTGGGCCCCACATTTTGCCGAAAGGTGTTACATCGTCTTCCAGTTTTCTGTTAAACAAGTTTGTCAGCATGACTATCCAAAGCCATTGGGTTAAGCGTATGAGGCTGTACCTTGCTGCGTCAACAGCATACCGAAGCGTTTCTTCAGAGTCACACGATGTCTGAAATGATTTCCCTATCAGCAATTGCTAAAGAAAATACCGTTCTATTGAGGCCATTCGTACCTTGAATACTTGTCATCCGGTGAAAACCTTGCTGGGTGAGCGCTTTTGGTGACTTCTCCGTGCGAAACCTTTCTTAGTGTGTAGACGCGGTTTCCTTTCGAATCGAGAGTGTACATAAGATGCATTCTGGCGATAGTTGTAAACGCAAGGCCGTAAATATGGCAGTTTTAGTTTACGCTATGCTATCGAGGAGGGGAGCTTTGAGATGGTTGTGGTTGTGGTGGTAGTAATGCGTAGGGATGAGGAGAGATGATCAATAAAAGTTATGGAAGTAAATTTTTTTTTTTTTGGCGGCGCAAAGCACTAAATTTCAAGGTCACGTGATTATAGTAGCAGCTACCAACCACACGTTTTGGGAACCAAGCAAGCATCTCTCTTCTCTCATCGCCATCGACCGACAACCAACCCTCTCTTAATACCAGGTACAAACCGCCATGACATCTAGTACAACTTCACCCGTCCCTTCACTGGATGAGCAGAATGGCTCCGAGGGCCCTAAATCGCCTTCCAAGCCGCTGGCTCGAACTCGATCTCCGACACCGCCCGTTGACGAGCCGTCGCGAAAGAGGCGGCGGCCCGAATCACCATCTTCGAAAGAATCACGTGGCCACAATTCGGAAACCACCTCTGATACTTTGGAATCCAATAAAACTGATTTGAAAGTCGAAAAGTCCGCCCTACCGGCTAGTAAGCAACTGTTGGAGGATAGCCCTAATAACGGCTCGGCTAAGGATCTACCGTCAAGGCAGGAAAACGAAGAAGAGGGAGAAGAAGAAGAAAGAGAAGAGGGGGAAGAAGAAGAAGAACAGGAGGAGGAGGAGGAGGCAGAAGAGGGTGAACTTCCCCCTCTACCGCCTGGCCCTCCACCGGAAGAACCGCCATCGGATGGCTGGGAAGCTATATGGGACCCTAGTGCTGGACAATATTACTTCTACAATCATCACACTGGCGAAACGACGTGGACAAACCCTCGTGTTCCTCCGACCGAGGTCGAATCGGCCCCGACAGAAAATGTGGAGCCCGAAAGATCTATACCATATACAGGATATGACCCCGCCGTTCATGGCGATTATGATCCCACAGCTTCATATGCTCAACGGCCAGAGAGAACTCCCTCACCAACAATAGACCCATATGTTGTTCATGCTGCATTCAATAGATTCACAGGAAAATTCCAAAACGGCCCTGGCACTGAACGACACACCGACGAGAGCCGGGCCAAACGACAGATGGAAATCTATTTTGACGTCGATGCTGCAGCCAATTGTCACGATGGTAGAAGTTTGAAGGCAGAGCGACAGGCCAAGAAGCTTACAAAGAAGGAAGTCAAGGCATTCAGGGAAAAAACTAGGTTGAAAAAGGAAGAGAAAAAGCGAGCATGGTTGAGAGATTGAATCAAAATCCCTCTATATAGCTTGATTTTGACCGAACTAACATTAGCCTCGACGTTGGGGTCTGTGCGACTATGGCGATAGAGAGATTGGGATGGAGTTACTTCTTCTTTTTTTTTTTTTTTTGTTCTTCTGGAGATGTATCATTACGCGACTGACGACTTCAGGTCCACCGAACCTTCCGTGCCTCAAACAAAGCAAGCTGGAAGCCCTGGTAGGGTAAGACGTCTTCTGGATCTTTGATTCTTCTGTTGTTTTGCATATACCGAGGCGTTTAGATAGGATTCCGCTGGTCAGCATTGTGCATCGCTTGCACACCTCAGTTATATATTAATTTCTCCCTGTTGTTACCTTTACTTTACTCCTAATGTGCATGTACAGTACGATATAAACCCTTTCTTATTACCTCTGTCTTTCGTGTCTTTTTATCTTCTCATTTGTCTTCACTTCTGTTTCTGTCCCTGCGATCCAACGCCAGCCCGGCCCACGATTTGAGGCAGTCAGTCGACTGTGTGTTGGCAAACAGCTGTGGCAACAGTTGTGCTTAGCTGGCTGAAATGCTCTTGCAACCAACGTTCCATCATTCACTCCATCCACTTCATTCCCTCTCATCGGTCATCGCGACATCATCTGGGAACAGATATCGAGCTTTCGTTATCTTTCGCTAGAACTTTTTCGGGTGCTACAGCTCGCCACTGTTCCTTTCACCAACGGGATCCGGGCAATGGATGACCTTGCTGGGCTTAACTGGACATCGTCCGCTAACCCTGCCACAAAGCAGTCCCCATTCGCTGCCACACCGTCACTTGCACCTGGAAATTACACATCATTCCGCTCGTCGCCTTCGCTCACACCCCAATCCACGACCCCAAGTAGGCCGGCATCCACTAAACCGCCTACGGCCGGGAACCTCCGAGATGACGGCTCTCGAACCTCGCCGCCCGTTGCTGGTGGCACCAATGGCATGGATAGCTTCTCCTCCTTGGTTAGCTTTGGAGCTAAAAAATCTGGCAATATGGGTAACATGAGCTTGCTGGAACAACAGAAGAAGCTACAGGAAGACCGGTTGAAGGCAGACCATCTAAAGCAGCAGAAGCTAGACCAACAGTTCAGTGGATTGGATTCTCTTGGGTCCTTAGGGGTTGGCCCTCATGGGCGGTCCGGTACTTCAACTCCAGCGCGAATTGATCCAGAGGAAGCAGACCTGCTTGCTGGATTCTCAGCAGATACCAAGGTCAACAGGGCCAGCCATTTCCCTCCTCCTTCTGCTACGCCGCCAGCGCAGACGCCTTCACCAATGCCCAGCAGACTTACTCCTAGTCCTCAACCTTATCGAAGCCAACTGAACAATTCTTCCACGGTATCTATTACCAACGATGACCCCTTTAGCTTAGACAGTTTTGGCGGTAATTTACACTCTCAGCGACCACAAGCGCCTCCTGCCGACGATGACGACGATATCCTTGGGCTGTTGGGCAAACCTGTATCAGAAGTCAGGCGGAAATCGCCGTCACCTCCTCCAAAACCTGCGCGTCCTTCGCGACGGCCTGAAAACGTCGAGGAGCTGCACAGCGTGGCCCGAACGCCGCCCCCTGGCAAAGACCCTCGAGACCCGGCAATAGCTGAGCTATTGGATATGGGGTTCTCAGTTGAAGATGCAAAACGAGCCTTGGCACAAACCGATACAGGCCTTGATGTGCGTGGTGCAATAGACTATTTATTGAATGAGGCTCATGGAAAGCCTAAGCCGAAGAACCAAGGTCCTAGTCATAGAAGGATGGGCGAAGATGAATTCGCCGGGTCGAACCGTCGGCAGACTCGAGAAAAGCAAGGGAGTACGCGGCCGACATGGCAAGGTCAAGGAGAAATGCAAGACGTCGCAGCTTTTGCGCAAGAGATTGGTGGAAACCTATTGAAATCTGCGGGAAGTTTGTGGGCGACAAGCAAGAAAAAAGTTACACAGGCGATAAATGATTTCCAAGACGATAACCCTAATGACAATACACCAAAATGGATGAAAGAAGCCCAGAGGGAGCAAAGAAGCAGTTCAGGCAGAAGACAGGAGACACGCCAAACGGATGAAGCTATGATGCTCGATATGGGGGATCCGAGGAAAGGGAAACCGTCTCCTCGCTCACATAGAGAACGCATGCCAATGTCTCGGGAAGAAGAAGAGTTTGCAGAAGAGCAGCACCGAAGACAACAGGCAAGAGAGGAGCGAGAGAGGCGTCTTGAGTCCGAGCAGAAACCTGGACCTCCAGTCGATACTAGAAGGTCAAGAATCACTCGGGAAGCCACAGAAAGCGAGCAGGTGTATATTAGCCCTTCCCGACGGCGCAAGCCTGCCGCTGCACCAGCACCTCCGCCAAAACCACAGATCACTGAAGGGGATCTACTGTTCGGTGCATCAAACTCGCAGCCTAAAGCCTCGCAGCCTAGGGCCTCTCAGCCTCCACAAACTTCATCACCATCTCGCTCGAGCAACCCATTTTCCCAGCAGAAGCCGAACCCTATCCCTCAATCCAAACCAGCTCCGGTGCCAGTCCCTCGCGTCAATCGGCAGATCCCATCGATATCTCAAGTAGCTCTCGCGAACTCAACGAACTCGAGAACCGCTGGCACAGAAGCTTTCAAGCGTGGAGATTACCCGTCAGCTCTAACTCATTATAGTTCATCTTTATCCCCTATTCCGCCGTCTCATCCTCTTCACTACCTAATTCTCACAAATCGGGCGATTGTCCATATCAAACTCGGGGACTCAAAAGCGGCCTTAGAAGATTGTGACGCTGCCATCACAGGAATAGGCAGCGGCAAGGGGGTTGGCGAGACGTTCGACATGGGAGACGGGACGACAAAGGACCTAAAGGAAACTTGGGGGAAAGCCATCACTCGAAAGGCCGAGGCACTTGAACATTTGGAAAGGTGGTCGGACGCAGCTGCTATCTGGAGCCTTGCCCTTGAAAATGGAGTAGGTGGGGCTTCTGCCAGTACTGGAAAAGCAAGGTGTGAAAAGGCTCTTGCTCCAAAGGCCCCCCCCAAACCCCGAGCGGTCCCAACGAAGAAACCACCACCGAGGGCCCCATCAAAGCCGGTTGCTGCGCAGGTCACACAAGCTGTCAAGCGTCTAAAAGACGCTAACGAAGCTGCAGAAAGAGCTGATGCCGAGAAATTGGCACTTCACGATTCTGTCGAAGCCCGGCTTTTGGCGTGGAAGGGTGGTAAAGAAACGAATCTGCGTGCTTTGATTGCGAGTCTAGATACTGTGCTATGGGAAGGCAGCGGGTGGAAGAAAGTGGGAATGCATGAGCTTGTGATGCCGAACAAAGTCAAAATTGCATACATGAAGGGTATTGCCAAAGTGCACCCTGACAAGGTCAGAACATACATAACCAAGCTTCCTTTACCTTGAACTATCTTAAGCTAAACTAACTCTTCATTTACAGATTTCACAAGATGCCACAGTGGAGCAGACCATGCTTGCTGCAGCGGTATTCAGTACTCTCAACGAGGCATGGGATGAATTCAAGAAACAAAATAATTTATGATTGTAATTTAAGGTAAGGATGGTTGGGTGGAAATGTTTCATTATTGCATTCTAGCAGGGTTTACCTGCGTTGGTTTGTATATAGCTAGGATGTATCTACTTGAGAAAGTGATTGTCAAGGCAGCCCTGACAACTTACATGAAGGGAAAGGTTAGGTGCGATATAATAGAAAAAGCTGATTAATTTCAGAATATCCGACATAGTCTCAGCCAGTCTCCTTTCTAGGCGTCACATAGTACAGAGGCCTTAGTCTCGCACAAAGAACTGGGATTCTTTATAAGGCCCTGGTCGACCGGATTTTCTAGAACTCGAACCTCGCGTTAAAAATCCTACATAGGCACTGATCATGGTGAAAAAAAGGAAGTGAAAAAAAGGAGCACTACACGTCCGAGGGCTACTGACTGATTTGAATCAGGGATCGTTCAATATTTAGCGCCCAGGGAGCCTGAATTCTCCCACGTACTGCGCTGCCACTGACTCCATAAGGGCCTAAGGAATCTCTGTAGATCTGACCAGTCATTCTCTGGTCAAAGAGTTCGGCCATATCGCTGTTCAAGGTATGAAATAACCGACCAATTCCCTTTCCTAAATGCAGCTTAGACCGCGGTCCCTTCTAGGCCTTTTATATTTTGGTCAGCTCCATGGTCAAGGAGCCGCTTTAACCCTTCTAGATTATCTACCGCCGCCGTCGCCTGTAGTGCGTTTCTATATTCTCCTCCAGTTGTATGAATTAACGCTCCATGGCTATGCAGCAATTCCATCGCTTGAACGCTCAAAGCCTCAGATGCGAGGCATTCCGCGGTGGCTTGAATTGTACCATCATACCTCGGTGATATGACATCTAACTTTGCTCCGTGCTGCAGTAAAATGGCGACTTGTTGACAGTCATGGCGTCTGGCTGCTATATGGAGGGCGGTACCAAGGTTTCACCGATGGCATTCATATCGGCCCCAGCCATTAATATTGTTAACCCTAATAGGGCACTAATGTAGGGGTCCTTTGCTACGACTAATCGAACCACTTCTTCGTCGCTACTATCAATCGCCATGCGTAATGCGCTTTTCTTATCATTATGAATACTATGAGCGTTGACGTTTGGATTTATTTCTAGCATAGTTCTCAGAAACCACGGGTTTTCCTTCCATATTCCAAATGCACCAAGGAATGCGCGATCTGAAATCAGAATATTTGCCATATCAAGCTCCTTCCTGAACAAGACAATATAGAGATTATTGCAATGCTGTAGGCCCTGTATATCCAACTTCCTCGAATCAATTATAGCTTTAAATATTTCGGAGTCCCTGCCTTCGATCGCCGCTTACAAGGCGGAACAATCCTCGCGCTAGGATCCCCTTCGAGGAGTTGATAAATCGCATGTCGAAGGAACCCCCAAATCTTTGCCTTTTGTTGTCTGAGAATTCGCAATAATAATAATAAATTATATAGTCAACGGGGGGCTTATTTTCTTTATACACTCCATCATTGTGGGGTATATGATAGTTTTCCCGGCCCCGGGGATTCCATGGATCCATAATGATTGACCGGCTTGACAAGCCCAAGATTTGAAACTTTCGAGCTGGAAAACCCAACTACAGGTCTAGGCTCATACTATTTTCGAGAAGTTTTATGATTTGGCTCTGGGTCGCTCGTTTTGTATAATTATACCAATTCAATATGTTTTAGTTTGACGACCCTCCTCGACTTTGTTGATGAAACTTTTAGTATCACTTGATTGCTCAACCATGAGTTCCCCTTGCTGCAGTGTAAAAATAGATTAAACGTCGCCTTTTGCTTTTGAAGTCTCCCTAATTTCTCCTAGATGATCCCCTTATCCAACGGCCATTTAAATCGGGTTTTGAAGCCCCCTTTTGAAAGGGGACCTTGGCTAGTCCAAGGTGTTATATACGCTAGCGACTTCTGGGGTTTTCGACTGATCATTTTCTGGCAGGACAGCACGGAATTGTGTCAATATGTCCTGCAAGTCCTTCAATTCTGAGATGACTTCTTCGATATCTTTGTCAGCAATGCAATGATGCTAGCAGTGAGGCTGAGGCGATCCATATTGTCTACCTTGTCTTTAGATTAGTCGTAGAAATGTTAAAAATCAATACCAGGTTCAATTAACTTCGTTTCGTCGGTTTTTGACCTCAATTATAATTGTTTCTAGTATTTTATTATACGGTAACATAGGTGTGGGATTCAGTGTGAAAAGTACCATATTCTCCAAAACCGGATTCCAACTCCAATAGCCTCGATTTTTTGATTTTGGAGTGGAGAAAGTCCTTATCTTTGATTTTGGAGTTACTTAACATCGGTTCCACGGGCTAATATGCAATATGATACACATGCATCACGACTGCAAGGTTTGACTACGAGCTTTCCTTGACCCTCCATGTACACATTTTGATAAATACTTATATCAATAATTCCCTAGGTACATAAGTAAAAAGCGACATTGAAAGACTATGAATACATGAATCCTAAATTTACAGCCACGGAATTGTATATTCTTATATGCAAGGGCTGCAAATTAATCCTTTCATGTCTGGGGACAAGACAAGCTGCAATCCAAGAAATCCTCTATTCCAAGCCCGCCGCGGCGAGGGCGTCTCCATCATCCAATCCATTCAAGTAGTGCACAATACCGCCGGCAGCACTAACGCCTGATACCATAGCAGTGGTTACATGCGTCAACTGAGCTCCACTATCCCCTGCTGCAAAGAGACCGGGGATGTTTGTGCCCTGGAAGGGTGCAATAACTTTGATTGCATCTCCGTGTGGTGTTTTTTCCGTCTCCACTCCCAATTCCTGGATTATACCCTGGCCATTTAGTTCAGTTCTAGGTTTATGCACGATGAATCCGAAGTGAACCTTTTCCTCTTGTCCGTTTTCGTCTTGGAGCCGCACGTTTACTCCTTCTGTTGGACTGGAGTCTTCGAGTGCAACAACTTTTCGCTGGTCGATTTTGACACCTCGAGCCATTACGGCTTTTAACTGTTTTACAACAGACGGTTCGAAATTTGCTGTTTCGAGACTGAAAGGGCCGTCTGTTAGAATAGTGACTTTCGATGATCCGTCGTTGTTCTTTTCTTTGTTCATTCCTAGGGACATGCTAGCCATCATGGAGGCTATCATTCCATTCCCCATTGGCGCTGCTAGCACAGCCTTCTCGGAATCCTTTCTCTCCCATCCGTCGCAAAACAAGCACTGATAGATATTCCGCGGCCAGTTCTCTTTATAACCTTCTATCGCCGGGAAAACATCCTTAACGCCCATAGCGAGCACTAAAGTTTTCCCTAGCCAGCTCTGGCCACTTTTGCTCTTGACCGAAAACCCCTTATGGCCGTTCCACTGCGGCAGTTCTTCTTGCTTTGCAGATACGATCTCATCTTCCGCATAGGATGCTGTTCCATAACGGTCTATCTGTTGTCGGGCTTTGGCCCATATCTCTTGAGGATGGGTATGGTCATGTCCAAGAACAGCATGTGACGCTTCTATACCATCGTTGCGGAAAACTTTGTGACTGATGACTAGACAGGTACGAGATTGGCGGCAGAGACCGAGTGCAGTGCTTAAACCGCCCGGGCCGCCGCCGATTATGATTGTATCGAAGAGGGTTTTGGACGCCATGGTGGGTGGGGTTTGTGGTATTTATATAATTTGTAATATTGGTAGTATACGGATGGTTTTCGGGACGATTTTAGTATGATTGATGATGTAGATTGGGGTTACACTCCATCGGAGCTGTATTTATAGGATTATAAGTTAGGTATGTAGACGGTGTTTGTCGATATAGATTTTGCTGGCCTTACAACTTAATTTCCGAAGAAGTCTCCGAAGTGACAAATCCGGCTTATGGGAGTGGATACTGCTTACAAACACTTGTATCGGTAGTAAGAGATCTATAGACATCTAGAACAGGGTGCAGATAGGATATCTGGAGGAGCTAGTCACTTAGGCGTGGTGTTTTGTGACTCAAACGTCCGAAGTGCGAAGGGCTGCCGCTCTCGAAGCTTCTTGATACAATTAGAGTTTTTTTTTGTTAGGATATTAAAGTTGGGACATGATAGTGAGTAGAAGCGACCACAGGATGATTAGCCTTGAAAGATGCTCAAATTGTTAATTATTAATCATAATGATATATAATCTCCAGCATGAACCGGATTTGGGGAATATGGTGGGTAGGAGGGATATGGTTCGGCTAGACCCACTGCAACCATGGTGTTGGTAGATAACGTTTACATATATTAGATGGATACGAAAAGCGACTACCACGGTACACTACACTCGTAATAATTTGCTCATGCCAAGGGAGGCGTTTGCAACTTATGACGAGTGCATAGAGCTCGGTAGTTATTCAACCCCGAGCAGCTAGGGTATTAAAGTTTTGCCCGAGATTGTAATTACCGTAGATGCTGAGATACTGTTCACTCTACTTCTATTGGGTCTTCCTTCGTTCCCTCGGTTCCATCTACTTCATCTGCTCCATCTTGATCTCCGAGTTCTTCGATTCTTCCTTCTAACCAAGCTATTATAGGTCTCCATCCCATTGATATGTCGCGAGTGACAATCTCACCACAAAAAACCTTCATTCTACCACACCACTCTAATTCCCATTCATCTTTCGATAACTTTCCAATATTTTCATTTTTGCCTGAAAGCGCTTCTTTTAACTTGGCTTGATCAATGGGACATAGATAGAACGGCTGTCGTGTATCTTCTAAAATACTCGTCGTGCCTTGCATCATACATGCGTAGTATACGCAATGATCAAGCCCAAAGCAATGAAGTAGCTCGTGAGAAGCTGTTTTGCATAGTCGAGACAACCAGATGGCTCTTAAATATTCGCGATGCTTGACACCGTCAGGATTTTCTGATCTATGCGCTGTAATAGCCCTATACATCGGCGTGTTTTCCAAAGACTGGTTTATTTTTGCCCCTTCAGCTTCCGGGGCTGATGTAGTTTTCGCTTTCTTTGTTTTTCTAGCCGGTCCCTCGGATTCCTGGCACATCTTTTGAACAAACTCTGCACAGTGACTGCCAGGCCAATCGTGCCTTTTACCGCCAAATTCCTCACTACCGACCCCGGCCAACTCCTCTGAGAAAGGATGATAGCGTGCCGAACTTACAACGCATACTCTACTTCCACCAAATGCTCGACCGATACAAAAATCGTCCTCATCGCTTTCGTATAAATCGTGATGTGTGAAAACGATGATTGCATATGCATCCTCGGGTAAAATCTCAATTGCAAAATCGAGAATATCCAATAAACTCAACTGATGAGTGTAACACGACGACTCCGGACCGTCTGGAGAGGGCCTGGTACGGAGTTGAACGCCGCTACGAGATGAAGAAGTAGATAGAACTAGGTGCTGAGATTTTGAAGACCATTTCGAGATTGTAGTTATGGAAGGGTATTCCACTAGTTCTAAGGGATGGAAGAAGGCGGAAAGGTAGTCTACTACATCTTTCCATAGGGGACTAGGAGGCCCATGAATCTGAGATTTGGTTTCCGGGTCTATTGGGGTCGCCCAACTTTGGAACTCTGGGGAATCTGAGGAGCGAACTGGTAAGTTTAAATAGTAAATTTTATTACGAAGTGAAGTTATGGCATTTCGCGCCTTTAACCGCTTCCAGCTTAGTAAAGACTGTGGCGGATATTTTGGATCAAGGGAGAGGTCGTCATCGGGAAGGACCAGAGGTGCTGGGAAAGTTGTTGGTGGAGGGTTGTGACTTGTTATTTTGCGGGCAGTTGTGGCGGCCTTGGAGAGAGCTGAGCGGGTTGGATGAGTGTAACCCGCTTCGGCAGCGTGGGGAGATGTTGTGAGGTGAAGTTTTGTGTGTTGGCAAGCTGTATTGGGTGGCATTGTTGGATTTTGTGTGTTGATCCCTGCTGTCACACAGGGCCGGTTTAGTGTCGAGACTGACACAGGGCTTGGTTCCAGATTCGGATCCGGATTTAGTTGATTTCGATATCCGGTTATCAATTTTAGAGAGTACTCCGTAACAAAACCACTAATAGTACATAAGACAAATTGCCTGAAGACTGAAGAACCGTTAGGAGACTATTGCAGTTTGGAGATATCAAAATTCCACAAAATCTTGCAATCTTAAGTGAAGTGACACCCAACAAAGGTTAACTCCGCAAACGAATATCGAATTCGTGTAAGACTGGCGAGTTGCTATAGAAAAGCGAGATTAAACTGAAACAGTCTCCAGGAACAAATCTCAGCCATTGGTATGAGGTCAGAATGAGGCTTATATCCACGGACAAGGCCCACATCAGATCACTGTCCAGGATCCTTTGCTAGCGCTTGACCCAGATCGAAGGCGTGTCAACACGTTGTAGGGCGCAACACACCGGCGTGGTTACATACGCGACCCAAAACGGAGATCAAGCGGTTGTTTCTGTGACAACTACCACGTCGCACAACAACACAGTCGGGTGCAGCCTGCCGACAGCCAAGCCAGGCCGACGACAGTAAACAATGCAAGGCGGGACGCTAGTTCAGGGCAGATAATATGTATAGACCGGCAGGCAGTCCCATGCTGCTTGATGAATGCATCTGTCCCTCGTAAGGCCGTTCCGAGAGGTTAGTATGCCCTTACTCTTGCTACCGGACTACAGATGCACTAACTCGACGTTATCGACAACAGTTGCCTTTCTCGTTCCATACATCATATCATTTTAAGATTTCATCGCTGCATTCGGGTATCGTGAAAAGTAACAAAAACATTCAAGCGTGCGCGCACATCGTCGATACATTTGATTGTATTTCGACTGCTGCGTGGCAGTATATAAACCTCGAAAATGGGGTCCGATCCTACGCCTCGTAACTCCTTTTACAGTCCCCCAACGCACATTCCGGGCTTTTCAACAGATTTCAATCCAAAGGCGGTGCAGGAAGCCGCTCAAAACCCACCTCCAAAGAAGAGGCCGATCAGTGGCCAATATATCGAATCTGTACCCTCGGGGAGATATCATGTTCCAGCAGGCATGTCGATGGAAAAACACCTCAAGCGACAAGCCAATATACAAATGGCGAAGCGCACGATCGTTGCTTTGAAGGCCTCTAGATGGATCATGCTCGCAGCAAGACTCTTACAGCTTATAGCCGCTATTGGTCTGGTTGTGCTCTTGATTACTCTCAGAGGAATGGATACTATAAATGGGTGGATTATGAGAATACCAGTAGGTCTTGAATTCCCTAATAAGCCCCCTCTGTTGCAGAATCTAATCACAATGAATAGCCTGGTGTGGCAATCCTACATATCGTCTACTCGATCTACCATAATGCAAGGGATCCAAAGGAACGGCCACCGCTGTCATCCGCCGGGTATGCTCTCTTTGCTGTTGGATCAGATTGTTGTATTATACCTTTCTATGTTTTCATCGCTCTATGGACTTGGCAGCAACGTACCGAAATGATCGCAAACCCAAATAATCCAGATAATTGGGTCAGCGTTTTCAATAAGGATAATGCAGAATTCAGTCAGCTCATGGTTTTTATTTCTTTCATCACGGCTTGTGCCGGAGGGTAAGTTTTTTCACTGTTGCGTTGAGTCTAAGTACCCTCGAACTGATTAAATTAGCGGCCTGATGGTTATGACCGTTATGCTCGGACTCTTCATTGCTATAACTTTCCGTCGTATCTCTCGTCTCCCGCCAGATATGAACCCGCTCGATGATACCACCTATACATCTTTGACTACGAGACCGTCCAGCAAGCGTTTCTCCAAATCCTCCGACTTATCTAGCGATTCTTTCGAGAAATCAGCATCTCGTGATGTCTCTCCCAAACGTGCTGTTCCATTCCTCGAAGTTCGTACTAAAAATGGGTCTCTTAATTGGGAATTTACCAAGGATTCGGACTCTTATACTAAAAGTGCTCTGGATCTCTCTGGCGCCCCAAATATCATGAGCGATGCACCTCTTCTACCACCACCTCACAAGTTTGGAGACTATGGGGATACACGCCGGAGGTCCCAGGATCAATCAAGGTCGGCTCCAAACTCACCAGGACACCGCAAGAATAAAAGCATGGGCTATTACTCCGATCATGACAACGGCCCAAGCAATCCACCACGCCAACCACGCCAGACCTATAAACAAAGACCAGCCGAATGGTGGACAGCTTCAAATCTCCAATCGAACCTCGGCAATGCCTTCCCTATCTTCAACGGTGGTCAAAATTCCAGGTACAGCGCTGTTTCCCAAGGCGAAGACACCCATAGCACCTCAACCTTTGGTGGCGACCCCCATGTCTCTCGTAACACTTTTGGCCGCGCACCATCCCATACTACTGGACAACCGGATTTGCCCCCTCAAATTGCTTCCTATGCAGGCAGTATCTCGACTGCCACGGCCCCATCCGTCGTTTCAAGTATGCCGCAATCCAACCCTAATCGCAACAGCTTCGGCGTCAACCAAATCCACATGTCTACTCCTCCCGGCGTCGCCCCAACTTTGGGTTCCTTAGGTACACTTGGAACCTTCGCCACTGATCTTACCCCTCGTCCATTGTCTTTCCCTACCAATCGTTCTGCGCCTGGTTCTCCAACAAAGAACAGCCCGAATCATCACCATAGAAATTCTGTCGGTCGCATCCCATACGCTAGACCGAATGCAGGTGGATCACCTGGAAACTCCCCTACAAAGCCTGTTAACGGTGTCCTTGGAAGCTATGCCCGTCCTCCGCCACAAACTAGTTTGACACCACCGCAAATGAGTCCCACAAAGAGTGGTGTATCTGGTACAAGGATGGCTGATAACTTTGGCCCTAACTCATATGCTAAAGGTGGAAGTCCTCAGAGCAATGGTACTGGTTTGATGACACCCATTCACTCTACGCCTTCGTCACCTACAAAGGGTACCCCTCCAAATGGCACTGCTGGTAAGAAGAAGAAGTATGAAACACTTTCGCAGAACTCTCCGGGTAGAAGCACCAGCTGGGAAAAGAAGCAGCAACAGATCCAAGCTCAATTAGCTAGGAGCCAGCAGGGAGGGTATAGCTCTGGTGAAGATAGGTCTAGAATCAAGAAGATGGATAAGGGCAGAAGGAAGAGTTTGAAAGAATTGCGCGACGAGAGGGAGAAGGAGAGAGAGCGTGAGAAGGAAGGTAAGACCAGAGTTGTTAGCAACTCAGGCGCAGATTTCGGTCACATGTTTGGTAATGCGAACGGGGGTGGGGTTAGAGGACGTGTTATCAGCGGTAGTCAAGTAGTGTAAACGACACTTCCGACGGCAGTAAGTATTTTGTTTCCATTGATGGTTTCCTTATCGTTCCGTTCTACTTTGTGAGTTTGGGTATATGTCGTATGTATAATGTACACATTTGGGTTTTGAGAGTCTTGGGATTTTATTGAGCGATTGGGCCCTGATATCTACCGAGTTTACCAAATATAAGTTCATGTATATTTATGTTGTTTCCCTTTGTTCCCCTTCCCCTTTCTTTTGTTTTGACGTCTTACTACTGCAAAGTACATAATGTATAGCTATGTGTTTATGTTATAGGTATGTTAGGAATGGAATAATGTCTACCTTCTATATATAGCATCAAGATGTAGATTCCTAAGCTTCGTGATATTACATGCTTCACATGCACAGTTGGCTTCCAAAGGGATTTTACAATAAACTTATAATTCTATCATGATATATCATAGACCTCATCAATAACCAATTCTAGGATATTTAAATTTATAAGCAGAAATGTAAACATTATTGAGCAGTCTGAATTAGCATTTATTACATGTACACACCCCCAAAATTGCGAATTTGAACAGTTAACATCAAGTATATATATTCGTGAATCTCAATTGAAATTTCAAGTATCTTGCGATCGCAGCCGCTGTCCGTATACCTCATAAAAATTCAAAATTAACATAAATGTGTGCTAAGGGAATAAAAATACGCTACGCTAGCTAGTTAAAAGACAAAAAGATCATTAGCACCCAAAACACGGTGCTAGAATAAATATACCCAAGATTTTTGAAGAAAAATAAAACTTATAAGCGACATGTGTATAATGCGCATATGTATGGGTGGAATATGCATTTAGAAACGCACGGAGTATTCAAAGATCTCCCAGTATAAGTATGAAAACCCTCTCAACTATATCACCAAAGAGCTGGAGAGCATGCCAAAGCTCGAGTAGAACGAGGTCCTTTGGTTCTTTTTCTTCCCCTTCCCCTTCTTTTGCTTCGTTTTTACCTTCATTTTCGTTCTTTTTCTTCCCACCGTCGACGTCACCGACAATCTGTTCGGTACCATCGGTTCTATGTTCTTGTTCCTTTTCCTTATTGAGAACCTCTTCTCCCCGTTTATTCCCTGCTAGCTACCGATTCGCAGACGCTCCGTCCACTACCTTGACGTCGTCAATGTGGAAAATTGCCTTCTCGACACCATCGTTACAGCTGGCCATGAGCCCGAAGATAGTATTTCCACTGGTTGCAGTAAACCTGAAAGGAACTTCAGCGTAATTCCCTGCAGCACCAGCTCGCTGTGCAATGGGGGCACCGTTAACAGTGACGAAAAACGAACAACTTGTCTGATCACCGGCGATATCAAGGTCTAGCCAAACTGCACCAGTGTATTTGCGGCCTTGGCAAGTTTTGATGGGTTGGGTCATGGTTACTGAGCTACCGCCCTTTGTGAGTTCAATTAAAACAGAATGGCTGCCCTTGTTTGGATGTGTTCCGGAGATTGAGAATTCCGGATCCTCGCCTTTTGATGATGTAGACCATTGATCGAAGTTGGATTCGAAGCTAGGGTTCTTAATGTGATTTTTTGAAGAGAAAATTGGGGTACATTGTGGAGCAGAGCCGGAGGTACTAGGGGCCACTGAGGAGGGGGCGGATGATGATGTGGCTACGGTGCTAATAGTTGAGCTTGGGATAGAAGATGAGCTTGAATCAGAAGGACGCTCTGCAGATGAAGTCGGAATCAACGATGAAGAAGGCGAAGAAGAAGAAGAGGTAGGTCTCCTTGTGGTATTAGCAGTCGAGCTTTTTGTTCCTGCGCTCGATGACGGCCCCGTAGACCCTGTGCTCGATGACGGCCTTGTAGATCCTGTGCTCGATGATGGTTTCGTAGATTTTGTGCTCGAAATTATTGAAGCACCAGAAGAGACAGTAGTGGGTTTCGAGCTTGACTGGGAAGTCTTCGACGAGCTTGACCTTGATGTAGAAGATGTTGTTTCAGAGCGTTGTGAACTTGATGATAGGCTGGATGTGGCTGTTTCTGATGACGAGCCTGATTTAGAGGTTGGGTTAGATGTCGAAGAACCAGATATACCCGAGCGGGTAGATGTACTCGAGCGTGAGGAAGCAGTAGCCCGTGTGGAAGTAGTAGACTGAGTAGAAGTAGCAGATCGGATAGATGATGAAGAGTTAGAAGACCCTGTGGAAGCAGAGGTGGTAGAGCGTAAAGAAGTACTAGAACGGACAGGTGTGCTAGAGCGGGGAGAAGTAGTGGTTTGGGCAGAAGCAGTGGACCGGGTAGTGGACCGAGCAGATGTTGAAGAATCCGAAGCACCCGAAGAAACAGATGCACTAGAACGGGAAGAAGTACTCGAACGAATAGATGTACTGGAGCGGGAAGAAGTAGTAGACCGAGCAGATGTTGAAGTATTAGGAGCGCCTGGGGAACCGGAGGCACTAGAGGTTGTAGAAGTACTAGATCGGATGGATGTACTAGAGCGAGAAGAAGTAGTATTTCGTGTAGAGGTAGTGGGCTGGGCAGACGTTGAAGAATCAACTGGAGTATCTGAGGAAGTGAACGCACTAGAACTAGAAGAAGTAGTAGACCCTATTGAACTAGTAGCTTTGATTGAACTAGCAGACTCGATTGAACTAGTCGACTTGATTGAACTAGTCGAATTGATTGAACTAGTCGACTTGATTGAGCTAGTCGGCTTGTTTGAACTAGTAGACCCGATTGAACTAGTCGACTTGATTGAGCTAGTAGACCGGGTAGATCTAGAACTAATGGACTGAGTAGAACTAGTAGGCTGGGTAGAACCGGTAGGCTGGGTAGAACTAGTGAACCGAGTAGGAGTAGTAGACCTGATTGAACTAGTTGATCGGGAGGAAGTGGTAGATAGAATTGAACTAGTAGGCCGGGTAGAACTAGTAGATCGGGCAGATGTTGAAGAATCGGAAGTGCCCGATGAAGCAGAATCAATAGATCGAGATGAAGTGGTAGAACGAACAGATGTACTAGAGCGGGGGGAAGTAGTAGATCTTGTGGGGGTGGTAGAACGGGCAGAGGTTGAGGAAACAGAATTACTTGAGGAAGCGGAGGCGCCTGGCCGGGTGGAAGAAGAAGTAGAGCGGACAGATGTATTAGACAAAGCGTTAGAATTGCTAGGGGAAGAGGCAGAATCAGTAGTACTAGAACGATTAGATGTATTACTACTGGAGCGAGCAGAAGTACTCGACAGGCCAGATGTATTTGGAGGGGTAGATTTTCTAGTACTGGAGCGAGTAGTGGTAGTAGACTGAGCAGAGGTGCTAGAACTGGACCGGACAGAAGTACTAGAGAGAGCAGAAGTATCGGGGGGAGCAGAGTTACTAGTACTAGAGCGAGCAGAAGTACTAGAGCTACGGCGGGTAGAAGTAATGGACTGGGACCCGGAAGAATTATTGGGACCAGAGCTACTAGTGCTAAGGCGACTGGATGTACTCGTACTAGAGCGAGCAGAAGTTGTAGACCGTGTAGAAGCACTAGAGCTAGAGCCCGTAGAAGCACTAGAGCTAGAGTCCGCAGAGGTACTAGAGCTAGAGCGAGAAGAATTGCTAGAGCGAGAAGAAGTGCGAGAGCGAGAAGAAGTGTTAGAGCGAGCAGAAGTGCTGGAACCGGCAGAAGTGCTAGAATCGGCAGAAGTGCCAGAACCGACAGAATTACTGGACGAAGGAGAAGTGCCGGCGCTACTAGATGTACTAGAATTGGACCGAGTAGAAGTTCTAGACCTTACAGAGGTGCTGGACCGGACAGGAGTACTAGCGCCAGCAGATGTACTGGAACCGGCAGAAGTATCAGGCTGGGAAGAGCTACTAGGGTTAGGGTTACCAGATATACTGGAGCGAACAGAAGTGCTGGAGGTGCGCCGAGTAGATGTCCTAGATCGGGAAGATATACTAGGACCGGAAGAAGTATTGGAAGAAGCAGAAGCAGTGGGCCGAGCAGATGTGCTAGAACCTACGGAAGTACTACTCGCCCGGCGAGAAGTACTAGATATGGTAGATGTATCAGAATCCGCAGAAGTATCGGGCCCGGTAGAAGTATTGGAACCAGCTCTGGAAGTTTTGGATGGGGTAGAAGTCCGAGACCTGCGAGAAGTACTAGAGCTAGTCGATGTACCAGAAGCGGCAGAAGTATCAGGCCGGTCAGAAGTATTTGAGCGAACTGAGGTACTAGAACTGGAGCGAGCAGAAGTGCTAGATCTGGGGCGAGTGGAAGTGCTTGAACGACCAGAAGTACTTGAACTAGCAGAAATGCTAGAACTAGCAGAAGTGCCAGAACGGGTGGAGGTATTGGGACGGACAGAGGTACTAGAACGAGCGGAAGTGCTAGACCTGGAGCGAGTCGAGGCGTTTGAACGACTAGAAGTACTTGAGGTAGCAGAAATGCCAGAATTGGTGGAGGTATTGGAACGGGCAGAGGTACTGGAACTAGCAGAAGTACTGGAACGAGTAGAAGTGCTAGAGCTAGCGCGAGAAGAAGTGCTAGATCTGGGGCGAGTAGAAGTACTTAAACGACCAGGAGTACTTGAACTGGCAGAAGTGCCGGAACGAGTGGAGGTATTGGAGCGAGCAGAAGTACTAGAACGACCGGAGGTAGTAGAACGACCGGAAGTGCTGGAACGACTGGAAGTACTGGAACGACTGGAAGTACCGGAACGGGTAGAAGATTTGGAAGAGACAGAGGTAGTGGAGGGATTAGAGGTATCGGTTGAAGTATTATTACCTGAGGAATCGGATGTAGTAGAGCGCGCAGGGATATCCGAGACCTCAGAGCTAGTAGAACGGGCAGGGGGGTCTGAGGAAGCAGAAGGATTAGAGGAATCAGAAGTACTGGAGCCAGCAGATTCATTCGTGAATTCTATTTTGCATCAATAAAGATGTATGTATCAGTATACTTTTCTCCCCGATATAAATTAACTCTATGGAACAAAAGCTTTACATACCAACTATCAATTCGACTTCGTCACACAAGCCATCAATCTCCCCAGAGTAGACACCGTTGACATCATAATCATCATCGACACAGTATTCTACGGTACCTTTCTTGAACCTCTTGTTGATCCACAGTAGGCGATTCGATCCCTTTTCTATCGAAAAGGTTGTACTAGGACCGGATGGTTTATTCGCAACAAGGATAGGGCCGCGAGCGTCCAGATCTTCAGAAGACGCAAACGCAAGCGCACGGCCAGAATTAGATATTCTTAGTTGTTTATTAGAGATAAAAAAGGTAGTAGTTTCAGCAGCGGACTTGGCTACCATCATTGTGTTATCGATAATCCCTACATACACTTTGTCGGATTGGCGACGGGTCAGACGTCTAGTGGGCGTAGTAGAACGGATTCTAATTCTGAAAGGAGATGCATTGGATCCGGTTTTCGGAGTTTCTGTGGGTGTAGATAAAGATTCCGAGCTAGAGCTACTAGGAGACTCGATAGATGTTACCTGGGATGGAGAAGAGGAAGTACTAGCACTGCTAGAGGAAATATCTTGTGACTCTGAGGTTGATGTTGACCTAGAAGAGATAGGATTGGAACTCCTTGATATTGATGGAGAGTTATTCCGTGTGCTTTCTGGTAAGGAAGAAGAGCTTTCCGCTGAAGAGTTTGAACGGCTTGCACTTGTAACCTGACTGTCATTATCTTCAGATTTTGATCGAATAGTCGAAGTCCTAGTTCTAGTTTTAGCTGGTCTCGTTCTGGTGATTGTTCTAGTCACCGTTTCCGCAGTCGTAATCTGAGTAGAAGTGGTACACGGCCCAGATGTGTGAACCTTAGCAGTGATAGTAACTCTTCCATGTCCTCGGATGTTTGCGCGAAGCTCGCATACATATGGCTCCTTTCCATCGCATTGGCCGGAAAACTGGGCCGCAATTACAAGCTTTTTGACTTGAGATCTGTAGCCGACAGACCAGTTTTGAACTTCAGTAGTACATACCCCATCAAGGCACGAGATATAATCAACCGCTAATTGACGAGCAATATTGCGACCCTCGTCAATCAGTTTTTGCGAACCAAGTTGGGACGCACGCTCATCGTTTTGCTGAGACCATCGGAGGTATTCTTCAGCCTTACAAACTCCAAAGCTTCGACCAACTTCTTCCTTGTATTCAATTTTAGCAGGTACGCTCTTGACATTATATGTCTTCTTCCCTAAACGTATTGTTCCAATCGTAGTTACCGTAGTAGTACGCAGGGTATACTTTGGAGGCCCTTTTGGGGGGAGAGTGACAATCTGGTCACCTCGGGAAATAAACTGCGGTTTTCCGTTGGAAGGACCAGGGATATATGTCGAGTACCAAATAAATGATGATGTTAGATACTTAACAACAGAGACAGCGCCATCTTCGCGACGTGCCACCGCTGCCGGTATATATGTTGTAACTGGCTGTCCCTGTGCGGTTATTGGAACAGGTACTGCGCCATGTGAAGGAGTCACATACCCCAAAGTGCGGCGACTGGTGCAATCAGTACTAGACGACGCCGAAGTAAGTGAGAAGATACTGAAAATTAGTGTTAAAATAAAGAGTGGACAAATCATCTTGTATCAACAGCACAGCTGAAAGACAACTCAAAGTTTGATGCTAAATTAATTAATGATAAAAATTCACACGGGAACGGAAGAATTTCAAAAAAAAAAAAAAAAACCAACTAGGTTAGAGGTTGAACCACAGAACTATCAAAGTATCTGAGGCAAAGAAGATGCAAGGAGATGCATGAACATATGCATGTAAGGAAAGATACTCACGAGCATCACGACGTTCACCTGTTGGCTTTTGTAAGTGTTGAAGCTGGCGTGATGCCAGTCAGAGTTGATGTAGACTACCACATGAACCCGAAAATTCCTCCTCGATCTGGCAAGAAATTCCGACAAGCTCGAGGGAGGAATGAAAGATCAAATATTTTGGGAATCGAAAATTTGAGGGCAGGAAGCTTGAAGAGTGTTATCTAGTCGCCCAATCTATGATGTACACCAATCAGGAGCCCTGTGTGACCTCGCGGTCCACCCCCTTGCATTAAACAGTCAGCATCTAAAACATTAAATTCTTCGCAGTGGATGAGACCAGATCGATCGTCATTTCACTTTTCCTGCAGCCTGACCAACATTCAAAATCGACAGGTAGAGCTCAGGACCCATGAATTTACACTAGTTAATTCAAGGAATAACCAAAAAAAAACGGTGATGCAATAGTAGTTTAGTCAACAGCAGTCCGCCCGTCATATGATTTTTTATAGTATGCGTGTTAGCAAGCCAGCTCACAATGCAGTATATCGCCAAGATGAAAAATATATTCTTAACTCCGTTACAATCACGAAATATTTAGGACATCAATGTACCGTATCACATTTTGCACCAAATTCTTTGCGCCTCTTATTCTGAGATAATTCTTAGTTCGTGACACGCGCAGCTGGCTCGATATTTAGTTAATAGTGGCCAACCAACCGGCAAGCGGAATTATAGCTAGAAGCTATTTGTTGATTGATCAATCGATGGACCTTGGAGCTGAGCAACAGCCAGCATAGCCTAATGATTGTTCCTTCTCGACCCTCCCACTCCTACTCTTTCTCTCGCTCGGGTTCCTCAGTCTCGAGGCTATCGATATTCCTACTCCTAGGGCCTTCATTCTACATGCGTATGTGTTACTCTTGCTGCTCCTCTTCTTCCATCCTCATCGACAGCGTATCCCCAGCTTGCTCTACCTCTCCGCTCAGTGCTATGCTCCCGCTACTTTCAGAATTTCCAACATCCCCAGCCTCTTCTTGAATTTCATTCACGGCTAGTACATTGTTTGGAGGATTCTGTGCGACGGTTATCGGTGCGTTTAGGTTATAATTTATGTAACCAACTCTAATGTCACTAGGGTCGGTTTCTTCTTCCCAGATTCGCGGCTCTGAAATGTCGGTTCCAGTGCTTGGTCCGGATTTTTTCTTTTGTATGAGTAAGCCTGGGAACATGTCGGTGCCTTGATCCCATTCCCAGCCCTTTGGTTCTCCCATCACAGTATTTCCTTCCGGTCTACTCTCAAATTCAAGCCCAACCTGGAATTCAGGCGGTGGAGTCAGCTGCTGAAGATTCTGCATTGTAGTATAGATCGGAGTAAGCCAGCATTTGAAAAGACCAGCAATCTTATACATCACTGATATAAGATTTCGATTCTGCCAAGGGCCCTCAGGAACCAATGATTCATCCACTCCTTCGGGAAATTGTAATGAGCCACTCCAAGCTACTGCTTCGTCGGACGATAAAATCACTGCTTCTTGAAGCAACTGCACAGCTTCTATAAACCTTTCCACAAATTCATCTTTTGCCTCTGTTTTGAGTTCGACAGCTAGTATGCTCTTATCGATCCCGGGTATCATTCCTGGATAACCAGTCAGCACCCTGGCCCTGTAAATATACTTCAAGAGCTCATTAGGTCCGCCCGATGTCGCATATCTTCCTGCCCATTCAAGAAATTTACGGAGACTATTGCCTGCTTCCACAAAGGATTCGGCATATCCTCTCAGCCTGTTCACAGCGTGCACAAGGCCGTCTCTTGAATTAAATCCTGTTTTTTCAAATATCGCTTTTATATCTGGATGCTCCAAGTTTATATTTATTTTCTCCATTGGAATATCCCCGGATCGTTGGAGGATTACTGAGGCTTGGTAGAGGACAGAAATCCCGAAGGCTAACGAGTTGTTTGCTGGCCCTTCCGGTGGTCGATAGGGATCGCCCAGCAAATGTATGGGGCATCTTGTCTCCCTGTTCTTAACAAGCTGGCGGAGATTTGAATTTATGACCTGAAGATAGACGCTATTATCGCTGAAAAATAATCTCCAGTAAGGATTGAGTGGGAAAATAGCGTTTATGGAATAGACTCTAGATAAATATGAAGACCAAAATGTTAGCTTTTGCGTCGCTAGATTTAGTAGCTGTAGACTGGATCTACTAAAACTGGTAGCCTTGGAATTGTAGAAGTGGGGTTTTCGCCGAAGACAATATAGTACTGGTAGAGGTATCATTGTAACGTTATAACTCACAATCCAATATTTAAATGCACGGTCAGCAACACAGACAGCACAAAACTCCCTGACAGAATCCTCATCTTGGTCTCACTCGCCGTAGAGCATGAAAGCCACGTGAGGGGTCCTTCGAAATTTTGGAACCGATGATAAGTATTTTGAAACCTTCCTAGATATGCGCATGGCTAGGGATCAACGGTTTGTTCAGTGAAGTATTGATGCACGTGTACCTCCATATTCTACGCTTGATTGCGGGAGTTAGTGGCGTTAATTTGAGCAGCCATCAGTATTTAACTATAACAAAGTTTTTGTTTGATCGCGAACACTTTCAGCACAGCTTAAAGTCATACCGCTGCTGTAACCTTGATACTTGACCGCAAGCTCAATGCTGGAAACTACCTGACGGCTACAACACAGTTTGAATCCTAGTTGTTGTATTTTAAACTTCGACCGATTAGGAAATATCCCGATTAGGATTAGACCACGCAAACTTCGAGTCAACCATGAGGCATTCATAGCCTCGTGCTGCCAACTGGTGGTCAATCATCATCGATTCGGCGTGGCCACAATTCACTCCGTTGCTCCGCTTTCTCTTACTTCTCTTAAACAATCATTGCTCCGATCATCCTTTTCATCGAATGCAAACATGAATTCGAATCGTATGGGGGCTTCGTTGCACAGCACTAAATGTCACATTTTATTGGATATATATGGATTTAACTTGACACCTTTTGGGTTTTGGAACATAAACCGCATCTACTTTGCTTCTGATCTCGTGGTGATATTAATATAATACCTCGCCATCGCACATAGGGTATAATGTTCCCTAACGGAATTAATTTGTAGTTGAGAGGTTATTGAATATAGAAGCACAATGTCGAACACCTCGGTGCCACAAACATTAAACCAACGAACAGCGATCTTGAAACGGTCGAAACAGAAATGTTAGATTCGGCTGCACTATTAACACGTTTATATGAAATAGATTTAAATTTGTACCTTAGTGTAAATAAGCATTCTCTTAAGTTCGAAAATTTGTTTAAAGAGTCCTAGGCCCTGGCCCCCAAGGTTGTGCGTATTCTCGATTGAAGGACTTCTGGTCTTACTAGGCCGAACTATCCATCTATCATCACACTTTTGGTCCCATCTCTTCTCATAATCATAATTTCCCGGTATTTGCCCACCGCTGCACGAGGGATTTACTTTATCTTCTAAAATTTACGCGGCATACGTAAAGTGCATAGGCTGGCTGGCGTGATAGACAGCTGTGACATCTATACGAGTACCAGGTACTGGTAGTATTCTATGAGCGAATTTCCGGATAAAATTCTGACACTTTGTATTACATGTCTACAGATATTAAGTTACAACGCCTTATGACCCACCATGAAGCTTAAATATTGGATTTCGGGTGTGCTCGTGCTCGCAGAAGCGGCCCTATGCGAGAGTCGGAAGGTATGTTCTGCATGATTATATCATAGGAGGGGTAAAATATCCTAGCTATATGCATTCTAATGAAAATTTCAATACTCATAATAGACCTCTGCCACCTCAACCGCCCCACCCCAGTTTACAAATGCCCTCGGTGATTTTAATCGTGCCTTAGACCCATCTGCAGTTAGTCCTTACAATCCAGAGCAGCGGTCGAAGCTTGACGTCTGGAAGCGAAGCGCCATTACCCCTCGCCAAGATGACGACCTTGCCCCGACTAACTCCAAATTTGACCGCTGGCTTCGGCCTCCCGAAGGGCCCCACCAGGTATTTGGGTGCATAAATAAGGGAAACATGGAAGGACTTTCAACGGTCGAAATGAAGAAAACGGGACGCTATCTTATGTGGCAGTTAGAGAAAAGTTTCTTGGCGTTCAAGACACAATCAACTGACTCTGAGAATCCATGCTTTCCGGTATTTTGCTACGAAGAGTTTAATGCTACCGTTGCGATGTGTAACAAACGGTCGGATATGGCGAATACGATCACTATACACGGCTATGAAATCGGAAGATTGGTGTGGGAGATGGGTGTGGCGGTAGGTTTTGATTACAGGCATCTTATCCAACCTTGGGAGGGCTCAAAACGAATCTGTGAAAATCCAGAATCGGAAGAGAACGGGAAGCTGCTTACTGGGAGCTACGTTGCTTGGACTGGCTGGTCAGAGGATGAATGGGAGGTTACTATTTCTAAAGACGCCGATGGGTGCAGGAAATGGCGTGGAAATCCGAACTGGGTGACCACTGGCAAAGGGATGATTCCGGAAGAGCTTCCTTTAGATATTTTTTAACTATAAGCCCCTTATCCCCTCACCGCTCGGTAAGTAATGTGCCGGAAATTTAGCGGGTATACGCACTTATATGTATAGTTAGTTCGAAATGGCCATGTATCACGGTGATTCTGGTAAGCTCGTGCATACTGCACCCGTGGATCGATCCCTGCTCTAATATGTATGTACATGTATGCTTGCATGGTAAAACGTCTAATCTTGCAAACTTTTCACTGTCTTTCGCCTGATTTAATATGATACACGTGGGTGCGTACATATAAAACAGTCTTTAAATATAGTTGTATAACGGGAATCCGCTGAAAACATGAATGTGCATTGCTATACATTATGCTGCGTGAATTGTCTTCGGAATCTTTATATGCGTTGATGTTGGAATCCATAGTTTGGGTTGGCGTGAAGGGATTGAGCCTCTAAAAGAATTTTGACGAGCTCCCTGACTGGCCCTGAAGGTCCGATATCCTAGCCGATCGGTAGCCTCAATTTTCTCTCGGTAATGAGAATTCGGTGTCGTGCGTCAAATTTTCAAATTTGGTTGGAGGGGTAGCGGGATAAATGCATATATGACAAGTTGCTTTGAACATCGTACAACATCTGGTTGCCAACTGTCAAAGGATGAACTGGCCAACAGCTAAGAGGTTATATCAAATGCCGGATTTGCCCGGCATCGGCAAACCTCATGCGTCCAGACCAGTCTGATCTTAGTTTCAAGATAGGTCATTTTCGTTATCCATGCTTCACACCGTTGATTTTTCTTTTCTTTCTATAGACGGTTGGTCAACGTTTTTAATATTTTTGAACTACCTGGGAAGGCGGGACCTGTCTTGGTTTTGGCGCTAGCCTTACACTCGGAATTCCCGACCCTCTGCCAGCTGCAAGCCCGGCAGGAGAACGCTTCCGTGTGTTCACGGCTGCCGTGGGGCACTTTTTCGAACTGGTTCCGATTGTCCAATTTCATCACGAGATTGTGGTGTGGAAAACATGATTGGCTAGTGGGTTTCGTCGTTTTTCCGATGCCCCACGCCCAGGAAGGAGAGGGATATGAGGCAATTCAAAGCTGAGATTTGGGAGGTGCGTCGTCGGCAGCAGCCTCGTCTTTTTTTTTTTTTTCCCTTCTCCTTAGCGAGGGGGTGTAGGGCAGTGAAGTTTATCTGCATCAAAAATGTGCGATAGACCTGCAGATTTGCTAATTGCAGAAACGAGTGGTTGGAATATCGTGCCGAATGGTTCAATATTATATTAAGGTGCGGTAGAAGTATATACCTATCTGCATGGAAGCCTTGGGTACATACAATCGAACTTTCAATCTGGTTCCTGGTACGAAATTCGAGAGGGTGGGGAACTTCGACAGCGTTTATACGCGGCCTAGACAATCGATGCCTGTCAAGTGAAAGACTTTTGCAACCTTGAGCCGAATTTGCCATCTGATTGTATCGTACTCCGTAACCTGAGCTGAATAGCTGATCCCGATACCCGATCGATAAGCCGGCCAGTTTCCAGATCGTAGTTAGTCCAGCACAAACTTTACCTCCTCGAGTCCCAAGGCTTTCCGTTTTCCTGGAAGAGTTGGGAACTAGAACCTGTTTCTGCGGGAGTACAGACTCCTCACAGCCTTCCAGTGCGCACTGAGGGATAGCTGAGACTTGATATAGATGCCATATTATATGTCACCGTCGAGCAGAAACGGAATTGATCAGCCACAAAGTGGTAATGAGATGCCGTCGACCCTCCATCATTTTTTCGGTTCAGCGAGTTTTCAGCGAGGGCTGGCCAACTTTTTTAGGAAACAATGTCGCTTGTCCCAAGCCGAGCAAGCTGAGAAAGCCCCGAACTTCGACTGGGCGTCACTTAATTTGGACCAGGGGTGGGACAGGTGGAGGGTGTGTATCACATCACCCGATTGCACACTTTCCCTTGTGTGGGATCGTGGGGACTACGATTGAGATTGCAAGGCAGGAGAGAGAGAGGAAGCGAGAGAGATTTTCTTCTTACTCTGTAAATTCTCGTCTCGTCTCTCCGAGCCCTGTTCCCGCCATCTAGTCTACTAGCACTTTCGGAGCAGTTATATTAAAAATGCGTCCGTCGGATGTGAGCTCTCTAACCGTCCTTTTTTCCGTTGTCGTCCCGTCTTTCCTATGCTCTGTGTTAGTAGTAGCTGCTTTATACTGGTCGTGGATGCTTCTCCTTCCCTTTGCTGGGCTGGAGGAGACCAAATTGCCGTTAAACCACGCCGACACTTCGGTTTGTAAAGACGAGAACACGAACGACAGCAACAGCAACAGCGTCAACACCAACAACGTCAACGACGGCAACATGACGACAGCCCAACACAACAACACTTTTGTCCCACAGTCAGTCAGCCATTGTGCTGCCCCTTCCACTCCCACTCCCACTTCTAGTTCTGCCCCTTCGACTTTGGCTCTCAAGTCGAATAAGTCTCTATCAAATACCCTTCAAGTGCCCTCCCCTTCAAATGGCACTCGTGGAAATGTTACTCCGACTGACAATCCAAGAAGCTCCTCACGGTCGAATGGGGACAATGTGGAGGTTTTCTTCAAGATGATTCCCATGGGTGGGAAGGACCGACAGAACCTTGCCAACTATAAACGGACTTCCTCGATCTTGGACTGGACCCAATCATCCTTTGGCAAAGCATACGGTAAAAGACCGTCGGTATACTCTCTCGTCGGCCAGGAGGACAATGCCGACAATGACACGGCTAGTTCTTCGTCCCGACCACGATACTCTAAATCGGAAACATTGTCTGCCTTATACGGATCGAATTATGCACGAAGCGATGTTGGATCCGATACCGAGTCGGAGAGGAGCTATGATCTTGGTCAAAGGCTCGGCCAGATTTACGCTGCCCTGGGGAACAGTGAGAATGCCGCGGCGGGCGAAGAAATTAGGAACCAGCAGATCCAGATGATTGAGCAACTACGACAAGAAATTGCGACTTTACGTTCGGAAATGCAAGAGACCAGGCAGTCGGTTTCACAAAAAGAACATGAGTGTGCTAGGTATTTGGTTGAACATTACAATCTGATCAGAGGGGATCTGGAGGAACAGGATTTGGAGGAAGTAGAGGAACTCAAGAACGAAGAAGACATCGATCACTCGCTCTTGTCCCAGAAGCTACAACCCCTCTACGAAATCCTCAGACACCAGCTCCTCGACCTTCGAGAGAAATATCAGAGCTACGATACTTTAATTCACAGCCTTAAGGCTAGGGAGCAGTCACAAGATACATCGATCTCGAATCTGGAAGCCCTTGTTACCGAGCTTCGAGAAAAGCACCAAGTCGAAATCGATAAACTCCAGAGAGCAGCAGATGAATTTGCAGACGGCCTCCAAAGGCAAGTTAGCAGCGGTCTTGAAGAGCAGGATAAATTGAAGGCGAGCATCACCCAACTAAATGAACTCCACTCCACCAATTCCAAAAAGTCTCAAAACGAGATCTCGGAAAGAGACGAACTTATTAGAGCTCTCCGAGAGGCCACAAAACAAGAAGTCGAATCTCTTAAAGCAGAGTTCGAGACAAGCAAAACTGAAGCGGATAGACTGTACCAATCTTTACGCACCGAATCCGAGGCCGAAATCAAGAGCCTTAAATCTAACCTCGAAGAGAGTCGAGAAGAAACCAATGATCTCAGAGACAGACTTCAAGCGGCTGCTACGATCGCCGACACTTTGAAGGTCCAATACATACAAGCCCAAGACGACCTGAAAAACCAGATAAGCAGTGCCGAAGCCAACATTCTCAGCCTGAGGACTGAAAGCCAGCAACGCATTGATAACCTAACAGAACAGGTACAGAAACACTCTATTTACGTCGATGAGTTGACTTTGCAACGACAAAAGGATGCCGAGTCCCACGAAGAACAACTTCGGGATAAAGATGCAATTATTGCCCAACTACGATGTGAAATAAAACAAGAAACCTCGAAACTCAAGGAACTTGAAAGAGAGCTAAGGAAGAAAGCGGATGAACTCGAGAGTCGAGAGCAGCATCTCAAGGAAGAGCTCGAAGCCTTGCTTCAAAGGGAGTCTGAGGGCCAGGAAGAAGCTGGCTCGCTTCAATCCCTGAGACAAACTTTACTGGACAGGGAAGCCGCTTTGGTTGAACGTGAGGCCTCTTGCCAAATACAAGAATCAGATTTAGACAGCCGGCGACACACCATCGAGAAGCACGAAAACAAGGTTGCTGAGTCGTTGGCCGCTGTTTCCGACCGTGAAAAGTCTTTAGATGAGCGAGATACAACCTTGACTGAGAGCGCCGCCGCTATATCCAGCCGTGAGGCCCATGCCATCCAAAAAGAGACTGAGCTCCAGGAACGGCTGGAATCCTTGACTGCCCGGGATCTGGAATTGAGTCAACAAGATGCAAAAATTCAGGAAACCTCCACACTGCTTCAGACACGGGAAATAACATTAACAACTCTCGAGGCGACAATTACTAAACGATCCGAGGAGGTCTCAACGCTCGAAAAGGAGATTGAATCTAAACAGACATCGCTCAGCGAAAGAGAAAAGGAGCTTACTCAACAACAAGAAACCCTCTCCCACCGTGAAGAGCGTTTGTCTGCAGAGGAGTCGAGGATCAGTGAGAAGGAATTAGTATTAGCATCTCAGGAAAAATCGCTTGTCTCCCGGACGGATGAGCTAACAGCGAAGGAGTCTGCCCTCTCGACAAACGAATCAGATTTCTCCGGTCGCGTAGCAGAATTTGAGCAATCTAAGCAAAAGCTAGAGTTGGAGCAGTCTAATTTGAAGGTCGTATCCGCGGAATTGGACTCTTCACGAGACGAACTTTTAAAGAAGCTCTCGTCACTCTCAACCCGCGAGGAGGAATCTAAAGCTCAGCAAGACAAGCTTGTTCAGCAAGCTGAACAATTGGGCAAGCGAAGCGATGAGCTCAAGAAACAAGAAACAGAAATTGAAGAACGTCTAGCTACGGAGACCAAGAATCTAGAATCACGCCAGCACGACATCGATACTCAATCCCGGAACATTTTCCAGCTCCAGAAGGACCTCGATGAGGAAAAGCAAAACCTGCAAAATGAGCGGAGCGCCCTTGAGCAGCAAAAATTGGAGGTGAGCGAGGCCCAAAAAAGTATCGCGCAAGAGCAGGAAGATGTTGCGGCGAAAAAGCAGGACCTTGACGAACTGCGACGAGATCTTGAACGGCAACTCCAATCGCTGGAAACAAGAAATCGGGAGCTCGAACAACAAGAGATCCTTCTTTCTCAGGGAAAGCAAGATCTTGACCAAGATAGGCACGACCTCACCACTCAGAAGGAAGCCTTTGAGCAAGAACGGAAGGAGTTCGAAAAACTCAGGCAAGATGTGGAGGGACAAAGAAATCGTCAAGACGAGCAACAGCGAACTCTTGAAGAAAAGATCACAATAACCGAATCGAAGAATCAAGAGCTTATTGAAAGGGAGCGAGTGCTTGAGGAGAAGATCTCGTTTGAGACAGCCCAGCTGGATTCGCAAAACCAAACATTACGTGAGCAACAAGTTTTGTTTGAACAACAACAGTCCGCGCTTGTCACCAAAGAGGACGATCTCGCACAGAGGGCGCAAGCGCTGGAATCGGGCACAAAGGACTTGGTATCCCAGAAAGCGGAGTTCGATACGTACAAGCAGAGCCTGCTCTCCGGAGAAGAAGAACTCAAGGGTCGCATCTCGGAGCACGAAAAGAATGTTCGAGATCAACAAACGGCTTTGGAATCAAAGCAGACAGCCCTCAAAGATCTTGAGGATGGTTTAATAGGCCGCAAATCCGAATTTGATCAACTAAAGTCTGAGCAAGAGTCAACCTTCGCTGAGAGGGATTCGTCTTTGAGCAAACTCGAGGAGGGCCTCAAGGCTCGGGTACGCGAACACGAAGAGGATGTTGCACAACGGCAATCGCAATTGAAGACCCGAGAAGATGAACTCAATGGCTTGGAGAGTACGCTTTGTAGAAGGCAGGACGATGCTGCGGCCAAGGAACAACAACTTCAAGAGCTTGATGATACCCTTAACCAACGCGCTGCTGACCATGAAGCCGCATCTAAAGAGCGCGATAATGTCCTTCAACAACGAGAGCAAGATATCACTTCGAAGGATTCTCAAATTAGGGAACTTGAAGGCGACCTCAGCAAGCGTATGGCGGAGCACAAAGCTAGCGTTGATCTCAAGAAAGAGGAATTCGAGGCGAAGGAAAAGGAAATTCTTAGCAAATCCCAAGAAGTAGATGCTCGGGTCGCCAAGCTTGACGAACAAGATTCGAAATTGAGGATCTTGGAACTAGAGCTTGGTACTCGAGTCGAGACCCTAAATGCCCAAGAGGAAAAATCCGAAAAGCTGAAACAGGAGCTTGGTACCAAGGAAAAGGAGATTCATTGTGCATCGGAGGCCCTGAAGTCAGAGAAGGACAACCTTGACGCGAAGGCCAAGCGACTTAGCGATCTAGAAGATGGCCTAAATGCTCGCAGCCACAAGCTCGAGGAGTCTGAGAGGGCTTACGAAGAAAAGGTCGCTAAGGGATCTCAAAAGGCAGAAGATGAAGCTGCTATTCAAGAAGCTCGGCTGAAAGAGTTAAATCATCTTCAGGGCTGTCTCGATAAGCAGAAACATGACCAAGAGTCAGCACAGGAAGATATAACTGCAAAACATAAAGCATTGACCGAACGGGAAAATGAAATGAAACAAAAACAAGCGGAGTTGGATGATCTTAAGGCCAAACTTATCCTTGCTATGGAAGAGCTGCGGAAGGCGGAAAGCCGTCCTTCAACAGCTGGATACAGCCTGAGTGAAGCGCCAGATACTGCAAGCGTTGTAAGTTCCTTTTTTTCTACCCAAATGATTCGTCCCTGTTGATACCAAGATGCTAACAATAAATAGAATCTCACCGCTCGGAGTTCGAGATCCAACATCCAGGAAGACCGAGCTTCAATAGTAACCAAAGATACGCTCGATCAACTTGGTCCCACACCAAACTCCGTCCCAGCAATTTCCGTGAATGAACCAAAAGTTCATTACGAGAACCAGAGCGCAACTAGCAGTTCAGGTGGTGATATGACAAGACCTTCAACCGGTGCATCCCATTTCTCTTATTCTCAAACGTCTGTGACGTCCTCTCGGAATGACCAAACGACGGCATCCGGCTCTATCCGTCCTCCTTCCGCTTATAGTACCGTCCCTTCAGTCATGGAAGACCCTCGTTATTGTCATGTGTGCCACATGATTCACGAGATACCGCCAACAAAAGGGAAACATAGCTATCGAAATAAACTCCACAAAGCCCAACCGGCCAAACGATCTGTCTTTGAGGCTTTCAAAGAGACCAACAAGAGCCTTGGTATCAAAGTTCAAAATGCCGAAGAGAAGAAGAAGAGAAGACATCGGAGCTTCCCAGTTTGGATAGATCAAGAAGTGCTCCGACATAGCCATGAAGCCCCCTCGAAGAACAAGGCGAAATAAAAGTTTCTTAAAGTATCAGATTTCTTTTGTATTTGGAGTTCCCATTGCTTTTTGCATATATGTGTATCTCATGGCGTTCTCGCCATCTCATTCACTTGGCTGGGTATATCAGGGCGTTTGGTGGGTTCTGCATTTGATACCATTTCTAAGTAGTAATTTAATAATATGCATGATTCTGTAGCTCTGAATCAATTTATGATCAACTGACCAACAAACTTTAAAATTCTTTGCTGTGATTACGAGACCATGATTCCTTAGCCTCTCTTTGACTAGCACGTCAAGCAGAGCGTATATCTCTTTCTTGCCTGTGTCTGCATTGATACCAAGCACGTGGGATAAATCTAGCCTAGCTATAGACCTGGCCGCCCGTCTACGATAAGGTCTCGCACGAAGCCGTCGATCTACCCTACGATATCGGAGACCGGGCCCAAACCCGGAGAGGTATTCCGACGAGCCATTAACCTGTTCGTACTCACCTTCTAGAAATCTATTCTGCAAACCAATGATGTTTACCCGTTTTTGCATATGTCTTGGCAGGCAACCATTTTTCTGGGCACCTAGTTTATTTTCTCGGTCCCAATGACAGGCCATCTACACAGTTTCCTTTCTAGGACCCAGCGCAGGCTAAAGCAAGCCAGCCGCCGCTTTGAAACTCGCTTGCTTCAGAACGTCTGTCAACGCAATCGATCCCGCCGGTATCTAAGCTTCCGTTCTGAGTAGGTGGCGAGGTCCTGACAAGGGTCTATTATGCAGATCCAGATATTGAGCGCTCCGCTACTCCACCAGTCAATGTCGAAGCTTCGGTTGAAAGATCAGGTATACTTCGCTGTCAATTGGCCCCAGCTTATATGAATTCTAAAGATTTGGTATTAATTGATTTTAATGATTTTAAAGTTCTCTCTAGGCACCCAAATTTCGAAATGCTGTGATTGCAACCCAAAATTTTGATATGTCGATATATCAGAAAAGGGATCCTAGCAGACGCAAACATTAAGCTCAGCTGACCAGGCGTATTGCAATTGGTGGTGAGATCAATAAGCCACGGAAAAGCCGAAACTTCAACTGTGTCGGTGTGCTAGCGGCAACACTAATTCCCAGCCGACTATAGGTTCAAGTATGTGGGAGAGTCTTTCTCAAACAAGCTACGATTCGACTTCACGCTCAAGAGAACCTGTCTACGCGTACCTACACACAAGTGGGGTATATTTCTAACATTAGCTAAGGAAAGATTCGAATCTAACTACCACGAACTTCGAAGTCTGGCCCGGCTAGTCACAACGGCTTGACAAGTCGTTCGGTTTATGAGTATTACAGAAAGTTCCCGGTGCGTGTGCTATACCCTTGTCCCTAGTTTGAGCGTTCATGCTGCCACTTTCCAGGTCTACCCACGATCGACGAATGAACTTGGGCGAACTCTTCTCCTGACCACAAGCTTCTGCCAATTAACCTAAATTGATGGGTTATAATATCTATTATATTAATTGCCCGATACTAAGGAACTCCACCTTGTGGCCTTCGTTCAAAGCTTGTCACTTCGTTAGCTGCCTGGGCAAGACATACGTAGACATTCTTGCAGAATTAGGAAGGATGAAATGGGGACTCGAGGTTCGTGGATCACCATAAGTTGTATATACCGCCACTATCAGACTGCGGTATCACGCTGGCATTTCCTGGCCCCCTGTCAGACTCCAAACAGTTCAACCTCCAACCATCCAGGCCATGCGTATGCTAGATGACGTGCGACAAGCCTTTGACTTTCTCCACACAGAAAGCTTGTCGTCTGGCCCACCCGGGTTTGCAAATCTACCAATCAACTCCCAAGAATCTTGGCCATGGTCGCTTTCCGGTAATGTTTCATGACCATAGAGAGCGGCATGCGCCACCATACTTCGGGAAGCTGGCGTCTTGCTCCTGATCATTCGTTAGTCGATGGCACTATCGTGAATATTTCACACAATTATTCCATACACATTTGCTGCAATTTCGGAACCTAAATTGCCGTCTAAACATTAGGAGGCTACGATCGGGGGGCTCGCCGTGATGGAAAAGAAATATATAAAGGGTCATATCAAGACCCTTTTCAAAATCTTCTCAAGCAGACATCTATCTATCCTCCAGTTATCAGAGTGTGGAGATCGGACTACTCCTCTACATCTTTTTGCCCTTTTTATCATATTAATAATCGGGACTGCCTCTTTGCCCTGGCTGGCAACTACGACACAATATTTCAAGAAAGCCCGTGTCTTATATATCCATTTTATATATATAACCTTAAACAGAAATAAAATTGTTTGTTTGAGATATTACAGTCAAGATGGTTTCCACAAAATCGCTTCTCATCACCGCCTCCGCCATTGGAGCAATGGCTATTCCAATCCTCCCACCACTCAATGTCTCTCCCGGTATCGATCTTAAGAACGGACCTGGACGATTCGGTCAAAGGAAAGGCGGCGAATTCGGTGTTAAAGCAATCCCAAATCCAAAATACAAGCCAAATGGCAAGCATGCGCTTCATAAAGTGCTTTCTAAATACAACTTAGAGATCCCTAGTGGTCTGCGGGATATCGTCCGACGAGACGACGGTACCGTTGAGGCTAAACCCGGCGAATATGACATACAATATGTCTGTCCCGTCACCATTGGTGGAAGCCAAAAGCTTAACTTGAACTTCGATACTGGTAGTTCTGACCTGTGGGTCTTTTCCAACCTTATGCCGAAGGCTCAACAAACCGGGCACAAGGTCTATGCACCAGGGTCTTCTGCAAAGCAAATCAAGGGGGCTACTTGGAAGATTCAATATGGTGACGGATCTAGTGCTAGTGGAACCGTTGTCAAGGATACTGTTGCAATCGGAAATACTATCGTTCAAGACCAAGCCGTCGAGCTCGCTAAGACCGTCTCCGAGAGCTTTTCTTCTGACTCTTTTGCCGATGGGCTCGTTGGTCTGGCGTTCGGATCCATCAACACTGTCAAGCCCCAGCAGCAAAAGACTTTTTTCGAGAACGCTATGGACGGACTAAGTAAAGGTGTTTTGACCGCAGATCTTCGTCATCAAGAAGCCGGGTCTTATGACTTTGGAATCATTGATAACAAGAAATTTACCGGCCAAATTCAATACACACCAATCGACAATTCTAACGGGTTCTGGGAATTTAACGCAAATTCATACACTATCGGAAACACCACCCGCAAGGACTCAGCCACTGCGATTGCCGATACTGGCACCACTCTCCTCTTGGTTTCTAACAAGATTGCCAAGGAGTACTACGCCACTGTTAAAGGATCCAAGTTGGATGAACAGCAGGGTGGATACACGATCCCATGCAACGCCCAGCTCCCAGATATCACTATCGCTGTCGGCAGTAAGAAAGCTACCGTTCCGGGGTCCTTGATCAACTATGCTCCAATTGAAGAAGGATCTAAGACCTGCTTCGGTGGCATTCAAGGATACGATGGCAATATGTACATCTATGGAGATATCTTCTTTAAAGCTTTCTTCTCTGTCTTTGACTATGAGAATGAGCAATTTGGATTTGCTTCAAAGGCCCACTAGGACTTTAAGAGACAATACTTCTGAAAAGCGTCCCTTTAGTTGAGAGCATCATCGGACGAATTCACAGTGCCTTCTTTCAACAGTTATTCATCTTTTGCTCGGGATACCACTAGCGTTTTGCTATTCACGTTTGGTGACAATCTACACCTCTAGATAGGATGTAGGGCGCACCCATGTACTTATTCAAGATACCCAAGGACCGATATACCCACGTACAAATGTTTTTGCTTTTCTTGCTATTTCCGAATTTATATTACTATCCTTACCTAACTGTACAACTATACTTTCTTCTGTAACTAAACCTAACAAAGATGTCATTTCTGATCACAGAAAAGGAAGCTTACCAATTGTTCTATACATTAGTACAGCATGGAGTATATTCTGTCAAGTACATACATATCACCGAATAGAATAAACCTTGATATGGTGGGCTGTTTATCAACCACTCCCAGCCAGACTAAAAAAAGACATAAAACTATTCGCCTTTGCAGAAGCTCCAGCGTCAAACCAACCAAAATGTACAAGATTCTTCTCACACTTTTTCAAAACCCCAACTGCACTGACCAAGATGACACTCTCTGTCAAACCACTACCCTTATCTAACGCCACGTTTGTGATCGAGATAACTATTACCCTCCTATCAGCCTTAGCAGCTGCAATCCTTGCAATCGCGGCGTCCTTATTCGTAGCGTCCTTAGACTTGTCAAGCAGCTCAAAAACACCGTCACCAGCGGACCACCAACGGTAGAGTTTCCCGTCAGGAAGTTTGATATCATAAAGTTTTGGCTGAGAATAGGTACTATACCATTCCACAGTGATACTTTCAAGTACCTTACTTCCTGGTGTTAACTCGGGAGCGTCACGGATTTCGATTTTTTGTTTCTTGAGGTAGGCCATGATTGTGAGGTTTGTCTCCTTTGGCCTTGTTGAAGCAAGTTGGAGTTTGTCGTTTACTCGGGAAATTGTGTAATCTGGGGTCTCGAGAGATGGATCGGTTGGGTAGCCTGTGGAATCGTTGTATCTGAAGATTGGGATGTTTGGGGCTTGAAATCCGAAGCCGGTGTATTTGAGGGTATACTGGCTGGTAAAATCATCATCGTCGTTTCCGTATGATGGTAAGGTATTATTGTTCGAGGTCATTATAAAAGAAGAAAAGAGAGAGCTCAGCGACGTATGGTAATAGTGATAAATTTCGGATTATAAAGGTTTATGTATATGAGCTTGGTCGAATTTTTACTCAACTGGACATAACAAATATCGAATTAATTATGGGTGCACACAGAAGCTCCATTAAAAGACGGTACTAACTTCGAGCTTATATAATTCGAGAGCTTACATTTAAGTTGCCGATCTTGGAGCTACACAGACCCACCTGAGTTTCTTTGAAATCAACTGATCACATGCACACCTTCGGATTTCATAGGCGGGGTACTTTGGTCACAGTGGAGGCTTAGCAGGACCTAGTGTCGAGACCCTAGCATGCCTGTTCGGGATATTACCAAAATTAGTGTAGGATATGGTAGATTGTTGCATTTTTTGCGTTGTCATGGGTTCGCTATCTGCGAGATCGTGATCATGCATGAGGTTCTCATAGGTTAGGGGTGTAATGATGATTTAGGCTATTGTATACAGCAAATCAGCTTCGAATGCCTAGATCGCACAGCCCACTTGATAACGAGTACGAAAATCTTGGAGTTTCGAGTTCTAATACTTTTTTTTTTGAAAATTAACGAGACTGTATACTAGTGATACCTTAGAGCTTGGCCATTGACTCCTAAACCGTTAACCTGTACCTGGCCAAATGCTAACACTCCATCATGGGGTTGTGTATGTGGAGAGGCAGCGTGATAGCTACCTGGAAGCTAGGGATAGTGCATGGGAATCTGCCGCCAGGTATCTACCGGCATTCACAGCCACGATTGACAAGTCGATTCTTAAGTTGGAATGGTTCGCGGTTGAGATGTATCAAACCTACCCCTGTACATCTTACGACTGGCCATGAGGTATCTTTGAGTCGTTCTTCCGATCTTTCAACTTTTGTGGCCAGTATAGCAAGCCAACTTGAATGAACTATGTTTTAAATTACCATTACAAAATTAAGTAAGGTGTGAAGCCTTAAAAATTATTATTACAAAGGATTTTAGGTAAGGTGTGGAGAGGTCTACAATAATTTAGAACAGAAACAAGAAAATCAGACATTTTTACGTTTCAATAGAGAATCCTAGAAAGATTTGTCTCTTCAATCGGTTTTTTCCCATAGACCAGCCGCTAAAAATCTGGGTATATGTAACTTCATTGTGTCGTGGAGGTCTTGATGTGCTCTTTCCATCACTATTCTCATATTTGGATATAGTGTACTATATGGAATATACTCATTTTGAGCCGTTTCCATCAGCGATTGTATCATATAATCTGCCGTGTAAGGGGCAGGGCTATCGATACTGGTTTTTCCAACAAATTCGTAAGTTGTGGACAGCATCTCCTCGGCGTAGGCTAGGAAGTGCACTTGTATGACATCCTGTAGGTCAAAAGTCAGTAGCCGCCCTAATAGTAATCTCTAATATTTTGCTCTCCGTATGGAAAGGAATAATGTCATACATCCCACAAGCCAGGATATTCCAGCCAATCAGTCATACCAAAACGGATATTATTGAATTGAACAATTTCGTTGTATTTTTTAGAGTCTCCGGGACTGAAGATTTGTTCATAACCCGGCTCGTTATAGTACGGCTCTGCACAAAAGATCATACTTTGAAGTGATACCAGGACTTGGAGTAGAGTCGAAGTTCTGGGCTGCCACTGTTCATGTGATGATCCGCCCCAGGTTCCAAGGATTGACAAACAAACTATAGTTATGAAAAACTGAGTTAACGATCAAACGTAAATAAGAAGATCGTGGGAGCAGATCTCGAGAATACCTTTCCCAGTTTCGTAGAGGTTAGGGTTAAAACGGACGCGACCCCCTCCTGTCGTCTTGAACGTCACCTTCGGAGGATCATTTGGATAATTGGGCGGGATAGTGAAGTCAAACTCGAACAAGCCTAGATGGTATGGCGATGATTCAGGGCCGGCAATAAGGGCTTTGAAAATTTCTGGTCGATTTTCTTGCACCCGTATATAAATCCCGGTGGGAAGAGTAGTAGACAAGACCGTCAACTCTTTGATAATCCGTTTCATGCGTCCGGGTGAAGGTGCGGCGCTAAAGATCAGACTATTATCACTGAGAAAGCGACTGCGAGGACTGACACTGCCACAATGGGTATTGACTACTTTATCTGAAAATTTTAATCGTAGATGATCGGACAATGCATGCCTGCATTCCTGTCGCACAGTAGGAGGAATGTCGAACGGATTAAATTTCTGTAGATTAGTTGAATAGGGCGTGGAGATGAAAGAGTGAGTTTGAGATGAAGAGAAGCTAGGATATGCAACAGCATCTGCAAATGAAGATGCTAAATTCAAATTTCTATAATGTAGCGGTCGCTCCGCGTTAACTTCTTTCTTCTTCAACTCCTCTACTCGCTGGTCGAGCTTGACCGCAGTTGCACCAACCTTCCTACAGAAGAGCAGAAGGTCGCCGATTTCATCGTCTTTATCTTCCCATCGAATTCGAATTGTATTGTTCATGAATGCTTGACATTGCTTGGCTAGACTCTGGAAAGAATGTATGATTGACTGGCCAATGCCGTTGGAACCTTCCACAAGTCTGAACTCCACGGGATATAAACTTCTTAAAATCCCCATATGTTTTTTATCTGGGGCGAATCCTTTCAATGGATGAGGATCGGGAACAGTTTTGATCAAGTTTGCGATCCCTGGAGATGATTTCTTCTCTTGAGGCGGGGTAACTAGAAACTCTAGTAGCGGATCATAAGTGGAGAATACTTGGAGCAGATCCAAACATTTTCCATACATCTGCCAGGTATTGCAAGCTTCAATATCCATGATCGAGCCGTTGCGTACTAGGCTTCCTAAAAGCTCTGGTAGATAGCTGACTCGTATAGTGGCAACTAGCAGGTCTTTCCTTTCCACTAGAAGGCCAGCCATGGATAGCTCCCCTGTTTTATCTGTTGCAAGCTCCACCAGGAGACCTAAAAGCTCAGTAAGATAAGCATTGTCCCCCATCTCCTGCTTTATTTTCGCCGCAGTCTTTGTAACCTTTCTTGATCCGTATTTACTCCCAGCCGCGTACCCAGTCCCACTGTATCTGATTCTGGCGCCTGTGCTTGAAAGTCGCGCCAAGTATCTGTTCGCCCGGGTGAAAGATGAGGAGGGGGCCGAAGCTGAAAAACTAGCTCTCCTCTTAGGGATGACGTTCTGAGGGCCAAATTCTTTTAGCTGCCAGCGAGCATCAATCTTTGCCAAAACAAGAACGAATGATAAAAAATAAGAGTCGATACAACTATGGGATAAATTGCTGAAAGGGACTTTAAGATTGTCAATCTTTGAGCCACAACCAGCACAAGCTATCATGCTGCAGGCAGAACATTTAAAAAGACAGGTTTTTCCAGCATGGGTGTAAGGTAAATTATTGGCTTTCTTTCTATCATCGGATTGTATGAAAGCAAATATCGAGGAAAGCGCTGATGGCCCATGCGGACACGGCAAAGAATACAACCTTTCTTCTTCTACAAATCGAGTAAAATAGTTTTGGAGCCTCTGAAGGTCTTCGACGATGGCGGAAACAAGAGGGGTCGATGTGCTCTGTGTTTGTCTTACAATAGTAGCTTAAATTTCAAGTATCCGTTAGTTATCTATGCTTTATCTTCGATCTTCAGGGACATTGCAGACTCACGAGAGCGATTAAGTCCGGGATCGGGAAATATGACCTTGTTGACCCATTCGAACCCGGATGCCGTGACGGCTTGATCTATTTTCGCGCACGTCTCTGGCTCATCAAGACTGAAAGAAGCGGTACCCAGTATCAGAGGTGATAAATCATTTGATGACCAAATATCACGTCCACTAGTAGCGCTATTGCCCCAAATCTTATTCTGATGCCGCTCGAACTGGTTACGACCTCGAAACGCTGCCTGGCTGTCAAGCGCATGAACACCAGACTGGGAAGGAAAACCTAGGTCCGCATTTGCGCCTGCCGAGGTACCGACCGCTCCAAGTGCATATGATCTTGTATCTGTATGATCGTTATATCTCTGGCTTGGGGATATAGAAAAATCTTTTAGAGCTGGAATAGAATTTGACCCTGCATCTCCATTTTCGGGATTCTGGGGAAACAGTCGAAGACGTGGCAACCGCCCAGTTAAATACATCTCTCCCTTATAGATTGTATCGTCTTCGTTGGATTCTTGTATGGTAGGGCTTGTTTGGCTTCCGCGTCCTAATTGAGGGGCTAAATATTGGGTATCGTTCTCGATCTCGGAAGAGGTGGGATTTTGCCCTGTGTCGAAGTAAGCGCTAGCAGGGTAGAAGGTTTCTGGATATCTCTCCTGGAACTTTGGATTCGTAGCGGTTGCATTGACTACTGAATACAACGAGGATAAGTCTTCTTCCTGCTGATCCAAGCACTGGAGGGCCTGCTGGAGGATTAGAAGGCCCCCTTCAGCCCTTGATCCGTGGAAAGACATTTGGGAGAGTTTGATATCTCCTATCGTTTCAAGAACAATTTCTACGAGGGCAGTGCCAAAAGGCCTCGTTGTTGTGTGATTCGTATGATTTCGCCTATCGAAATTCAAGATTTATCTAAATGTCAGCTATCATGCATCGAGATTGTCCTGACCTTAGCGCTCGAGAAACTAGAAAGGAGTAGAGCCAAGTGCGCGCCAACGTTACAAAAGGATCTTAAGTCATTTCCGACAGCGCAGCCAATCTTGGGTGCCGTTTATATCGCCATTTGTATCAAAATATAGATGATATATAGTCTCCGAACCCTTCCAAATGACTGCCTGTCATCTTGGTGGCAACAATATATTTCATACCCATGAATTGGCATGTAACCATTTAAGAAAAAACAATGATTGAACACGCCGGAAATAAAAGAAAATGAAGGGTGCGGGGTAAGAACCACGTACCTCAGTGTTCGTATCTACAGTACTTAATTAATCGGATCTAATAAAAATTAAAATATATCTGTTGGCCGAAGTCAAGCGAAATCCCTAGAGTCATTATGCTGAGCTATATCGATATCGAGCCAGATTGCACTATTCGCCAATCAACCTATTCCCTTTGTTTGAGGTGGCCCGCTAGATCCCAGTTGATCTGATTAACTGATTGAGATAGAGGTAAATGGCCATGGCCATCTGACCATGATATATGAACAGATCAGAAAATTAAAGGCCTAAAACTAGCTCCGCAACCTCCGCAGAGTTTGAAAGCTAGCACACCCTTGAACCTCTACCCTGACTAAAGAGTAAAACCATCCTATACTTTCGCGAAACTCCGGATCCGTAGTTCCGTATTTTGGTTCATGTAAATATTAGGTCTTATGCAAGGATTCTGCAGAATCTAATTCGTGTTCGCGGTTGTTGGATATCAGTCATGATCATGATCATGAATGCACTGATGCGTTGTCGCTTTCTGCAATATATTAATATCCTTCAGTCTTTCCAGATCGAAAAGGGTTCATGATCACTACGTATACATAGGTACACTTGAAGCCGGCAAATATGTATTGTTTTTACGGGACAAAAATATCAATCCGTTTTCGAAGTTAATGCAATGATGACTTGGAACGAGAGACTCGAGAGAGCGCATCCTTATCCTTATACTTTTGCTCTCGATCTGCCCCGTAAAAGGCTAGACCATAACATACCTTTCACCATACCTTGCATTGGGTCACCCAATTAGGACCCGGATGCAATGGAGCAGCATCCGAAGGCAAACCTCGCATTAGACCTAAGTCTTTCCCTTCCCCGGCTTAGAGCATTGCTGCATGCATTGTCTCGCCATATCTGCGTCTCCCACGTTGCGGTTGGAATAACTTTCACACAGCTGGCGAACCCTCACAAATAACGGGTCTGGCCGGCTTTAATGCCAAGACATCGATCTCCATAAAGAGCGCAAAGCCGTTTTCTGCCGTTGGAAACCTCCAAAAGAGCCTAGTTTACATAGTCACCAACGGCGCATATCGCGGCCCCGATTCGTACGATATCACAAAAGTTCCTCAGCGTATACCTAGCTCTACGGATACTATTAAAGCAGCTGGATGCGAAACTAATTATTTTTAAAAATGACTGTGGGGAAAATGATATCGAACTTAAGACTGAGCTCGAGACATCGAGACGGGAAGTACTAAAACAACGCAAAAAGCCCAACAAAACCCAAATGATAGACCGAGATCGCGAGAGCGTACATCCTCTGGCGCGATTGCGAACTTCGATTTACAAACTGGACTTAATTAAGCTTCTGGATCGACAAGTCCTTTGGAGAGCGATCGAAGACGATAGCATATAAGGATGAAGGAGCTTATTCTTTCGGAGTCGGCCCTATCTCGGCCTTGTAACCTTATCTCACCTTGTTAATGCCAATTCAATTAATTATATATGCAAGTAGGCATATAGAATACGCAGTCGCCAACTACCAGTTAACTTGCATCTGACATTGCGACACAACATTATATACCCCTAGATCGCACAATCAACATCATTTTGCAATATATCAAGATAAGATGTGAATTGAAAACAATAGAAAGAGCAAAGATGTCAATTCAATTTCTAAGCTACTGCGTAGCTTTACTTGGAACGTGCTCGTCGTGCTCAGCTACCCCTTTTATTTCCGCAATCTGTCTATCCAACCGACTCGAAGCATCCTTCTTCTTCCACGCCTTCCACCAACTACCCGAGAATACATCGTCCATCTCTTCCAATGTCCGTCCTTTTGTCTCCTCAGCCGTGAAGAACATATGGATCAAAGCAGCCCCATTAAAGGACGCGAAAATGAAATACATTTTCCAGTTGATAGATCGCAGTAGTGGTGGCACCGCAAAAGCTAATACGCAGTTCCAGAGCCAGTTAGACATCGTGGAAAGAGAAACTGCTTTCGCTCTAACCCGCATTGGGAAAATTTCGGCTGGATAGGTCCAGCTACAAGGGCCCCAAGTTGTAGCGAATGTCGCGACAAAGAGGTATGAGCAAGCGATGACGACACGCGCCTGTGTCTCATGATTTACCATCACCCAGGTGGTGGCAGATTCTGGGTCATCGTTACGTTGTCCATACGCCGCTTGAACAGAGCCAGTGATGAATAGGAAGGTCATCATGAAGAACGATCCGGCAAGAAGAAGCGGGCGGCGACCTATCCTATCGATGAATAGAATTGCAGGCAATGTAAGGAGTACGTTGATGACATATTGAATAGATGCGGGTAGAAGAGGATCGGTTACGCCTGCTCCTTGGAAAACATAAACGATGTAGTACCTATGTGGGCGAGTTAGTTAGCACTTTTTGTATTTCTCTTTCAAGCTTAAATTCGTCCTTTTAGTCTTGGGATCTTGGTCTTACATCAAAACATTCATTCCAGTAAGTTGGGACCAAGCCTGAATAGCGATACCTAGGATTACTCTCTTCCGAATTTTTGGCGCCATAAGATCTTGCCACGGAGTGGTTTGTTGCTCTCGCTCGAAACGAATAGCCTCCTCGATTTCGATATATTCCGCAGCAACTTTCGCATTGTTGAGATCACCGTTCCCATGTAAATCAGCTAGGACCTGCTTCGCTTCTTCCCACCGGTCTTGGGAGGCCAACCAACGAGGGGAATAAGGACAGAAGAATAGTAGCACAAACCTAAATAATGATCGTCAGTACCGCCTCTCCGGATGCTTTTTAGACAACTCACAGTATAACAGCGGGAAATATTTGAACTGCCCATGGGATCCTGAAGGCGGAAGTGCATTGATTGGGATTCTTTGCCCCACCACAAACAAAAGATGATCCGTATTGAATAAAATACTGGATCAAGATTCCCCATGTAATTGCCCACTGTTGGAGCGACACGACTCTTCCACGAATTTCCTTCGGCGCAATCTCGGATTGGTAGACCGGGACCATGGAAGAAGCCATGCCAACAGAAAATCCGGCGATAATACGGCCAGCGACTAGCATTCCGACGTTGATAGAAGCTGCTTGGATTCTAATTATAATTGAAGGATTTGAATTAGTACACCATCGGGGTATCGCCACCGCATATATGTGAATTCAAATGGAAGACTTAAACGCACATTGCGCCGATAGTCCAAATAATGCAGGCGATTTGAAGACACGTCCGTCGCGAAAATCTATCGGCAATAAAGGATGAACTAGCGGATCCTGCGAAAGAGCCAGCTGGCATCGCTGCGCTAATACCTCCTTGCTAAATTTATAAATAATATATATTCAACGTCAGTGCCTTATATATCTGAGCTTGTATATACGTAGACGTCTTATTCCCGTAACAAGATCTATACATTTCACACGACGAGACCAATCTTACCCTATAACCGAGCGGATTATCAAAGTATCTAATATAAGCCTGTGTCCCTAATACTCCTGACATCGAACTAGAATTTTGTATTAGAGGGCCGAAATCCAACAGTATTATTATTAAGCTGAAGCAAATTTGTACCTGATATCGAAACCAAAGAGGCCACCGCCAATAGAGGCGATAAAACATATCCCGTATACTATATCATAGTATTTTTAGCCACTAGCCGCCCCAGATATAGAGTCGTTCTCAAAGTACAATTGCAACTCACCATTACTAATTCTCCACATCGTGTGTAAGATTAAGTAAAATCCCAGGCCAGATGCCACAACTTGAAGACAAAATTAAAAGGTTCCCCGTCACAAAGCACGCCTTGACACTTGCTGTTAAAAGAATTCAGTTAAAATACACGCAACGACCTCAATTGATCAAGGACTCCTACACCTATATTTATACAGCCTCTGATTGAAGTGCGTTTGCGATTTTCCAAGGTACCAGGTTAATATCTATGGTTGAAATCTCTCGTCCGACAGCCTCGATTCAGTCAACATTCAAACCTGGATACTAGCATATGTATGAGAAACCATGTTTCGCGACCAGAAAAGCACTGTTTCGTGGCGGTATTCCTGCATCCTGCTCACATGCGATGTTTATCTTTTTGCAAACACTGAGTAAACCATCTATGGTTTCCAGGTTTAACCTAGTAAGTTTTGATCGACAGGTTCGAGGAGGGACGCAGAAAGAAACGGTGTGATTGCTGCCTTGAGGCTCCCAAGCAAAATCATCTACATGATAGCCCTTCGGAGGAAGCCTCTCCTCAAGCTTATCCCGATTTGTGATGTAACACTGGTGGAGAAAAAAATCTACGTAGTAACGGTACCGAGGGGATTCTCGGCTGGGATATATTTTCTGGGGTAGCGAAATTGAAAACGGGGGCACCCACGTCATAAAGCCTGGGTATTGCCATCGTGAAGCTTGTTTGCAAGCCACACCCGTTCACAAGCAGGGTATCATTTCGAATATTTCGTTGCGAATTTCTCGGCTTCTATTTCAAACTAAATCAAAGCTTCTAATTGGCGGGACTTCTGGCTCCGAGAGATTCAAAAAGACCTTCAATATAGACTGAATACGCCGCCTATATTTTTCATTTATTTATTTTCTCAAAAAATAAATTGTTTTTGCTTCTTTGCTCTAATTCTCACTCTCTATGCATATATGGCGCGCTGTTGTTGACTTGCGCGGCTTATGTCATTGCCGTGGCCTTTCGACTTGTAACTTTCAAACAAGGTTTTCGGCTTCGTAACGATATCCACATTAGAGATCTTGCTTTGGAAGTAATTCCTGAAGCATGAACATAAACCCCTCGCACTAGTATCTTTGACCTGAGATTGCACCTACCTACTCGACTCTTATTAACTTATCAGTTTGCCCAAATTCTGTATTTCAACCACTGTTGCCGCGCCGGCTGTCAGCAGCTGTAGATACGAGCCATGCACTTAAGTACTTAAGTACTTACTTAATTTACTACCCGTCTTTCGACCGTCGTACGTACTTTCAACCTGAGTGTCAACATCACAATCGTAGGATATCACTTTTTAGAATTGATAGCCCCAGTCTATCGGGTCGGGGCTACTTATACCCGGTCATCATGGAAGTACTGCCTCCGAGTGAGCTGCATGCATGCATATCAGCGCTGATAACACTTAATTGTCCCTGCCCTTTCCTACGCCTGGTCTCGAGGCTAAACTGTTGCTGGGTACTCAACTAAGCGATGAAATCCAGGGCACGTCTCTCCGAGATATAAATTTGAGACTATGCAGCTACATTCAAGCCATCGGACTCTACGTTCTCAATCTACTCAACAGGGTCAGCGCAGATGTCCAGATCTGTGCATGCATTCCAGCTACCCAAGTCTTGTTTCGGATTTAATTTTATAAGTTTGATAACAAAAACCACCCGTCCATCTTGCCATTTTCTCCAAGCCACCCCTCGAAGTAGTGATACTTCGATTTCTGTTGGAAGTACATTGCATAAGCTGCTGGTTGAAAATACATGTTCGCGAACCACATATGTACATGTGACTCTATATCGATACACATATGATCATACCTAGTCTCGTATTTGCCATATCCCCAAGATTCAAGGCCATAGGCTATAAGATACATCTATATGATAAGGTTTAATTCAATGGCGCTATATATAATTAATATAATGACAGCTATATATAAAGACCTAGGGAATATTCTTCGAATCTTCTCGAATGATATCGTAGCACTGTATTCTATACTAAGCTAAGCACATGTAAGTTGCCAAGCCCTATAGCCTAGGTCTCTTCTTTTCCCAAGCTTGTATCAGGGCTTTGATGGCTCCGTAGGTTTGATCAATTGGCTGTATACGTATGTTACAATATGTAGTATGTACTGGTAACACATTCATTTTGGTGTGCTCAGCAACGTCTTGGGACTAGACCAGTATGTAGTATGTATATGCTACAAGCCTACGTAGTGCCTGAGCTACGTAGGCCTAGTATCCCTATATAGTAGCTGGCTTAACTAAGCTTCATGTTCCACGCCGCTTCCAAGCTGGTAACACGAAGCCTTTCAACTTGTGTTACCACCTCGAAAACTGGAGGGAGCAAACATTTCCTTTTTTGGCTTGCAGCTTGGCAGACAAACATACTACTTCGGGCACAACACGCTATCAACAACAAAAGGCTGTGTTGGGCCGTGGGGGATTTCTGTATCAGAATACCTAAGTACCTAACAGCCTACGAAAATCTCATATGATCATAGCCAAAGCTTACGGGATATAGTTTGGTTACGGGACTTATCTGCCGCCGCCGTTGAACGTTGATAGGCTATGAGATATCGAGATGCGCATCGATGCGCGGGAATTTGAACCGTGCAACACAAAGAATGTCGTTTAGATTATCTAGCATACGTGCATACGAGATGAATGGGCAATTGGATGTTCTTGATAGAAGTCTGAACCTGAAAGATTGAACTTTGATCAGGTAGAAATGTCCGTATTATATACAATACCAGCAATGAATCTCTACGGCCGGCTCTTGTTTAAGAAGACTGTTGTAATTAAGTGCGGGATTTAGCCGTATTCCTCGACGGCACGAGATTGGGACTACCACAGTCAACACAAAATCTCCCATTCCACCTCCCATTATTGGCAGGTGCTTAACAAGCACACCTTGAAGAGTTAGGAAGTCGCGGATCAAATTAACCAAGACGGCCACCAACCCATGCTAAGCCTAGCCAAGGACGATCAAGCTTTAACAGCAAGTCTTGATTGATCTGTAACCGGGGTTATAATATTAATATTTGATTTTCGTCATTCTGCGATTGCAAGCTCTGATAACGCACATCTATGCCCCCTCAGGTATCTGGATTTTTCAATGGTGGGATTTCATGGAATTTACATATTAAAACGGGATAATCAATAGGCTGCATTCTTTGACCCACGCGTCTCACGCCTAGCATGCATTATCAGAATTAGGTAGGTCCATCCTCCTGTCATTACCCATCACAAGCTAGCTCTTGACCATCGGTGAGGGGTCAGTGTAGTGCTTCGAAGCTTCCATCAATGCAATTATTGTATTATTCAACCATTACAAAATATTAAGGCGTGTGATCAACTTGATCATTGACTCCGCGATGATGGACAAATGAAGAAGAAACACTCTATTCCAACTCCCTAATTAAGTGTTAGACCTGTACGCGATACGATAGGAGAGAGGAATGTGGCATAACCAACCCCCACAAAATCAACATGGCCTTCCAGGCAGCGGTTGAGCGGGGAATGCATCGATCTATAAATTGGATATAATTTCCCTTCCTTCTTCGCCTCTGAATTGTAATTTTTTATAATTTAGGGTGGAAGATCTGACCGACTCGTAACTGTACTACATCACCTACAATGCATATCTCCAAGCTTCTCCTCCTTTTCCCGGCTTTGTTGGCCAGTATTTCCGATGCCCACCCTCTCGCCCCGTATAAAACCTTCGAGGTCCTCCCTTCTGCTCCCAATGGCTGGGAGGCGGTCTCTGAAAAAGCTGTAGATCTTTCTACTCCCATCAAACTACGCATTCATTTGGCCCAGCAGAATGTCCCTCAGTTCGAAAAGGCTTTAATTGACATGAGCACTCCGGGACACCCCTCTTACGGCAATCACATGAGCCAGGCACAAATTGACGACATATTACGCCCACACGAAGACACAGCTGCCGCTGTCAGAAGTTGGCTAGAATCGAAAGGGTTCGAGAAAGATCTGAGCTTTAAAAATGACTGGATCGTTGTTTCTACAACCATTGGGAAGGCTGAGTCACTACTTGACGCGAAATACAAAGTCTTTCGAAACTCGGAAACTGGAAAGAATGTTGTTCGCACACTCTCCTACAGTGTTCCCCGTAACCTACACTCAAGTGTCACATTGATCCAACCAACTACTTTGTTCGGAAGCACAAGCGCTATGAAGAGTACCATATTAAAAGTCGAGGATCCCAGCGTTCTCAAAACAACTTTCCTTTCAAAGCCAAAGCTCGAAGGCATTGATGCAGCTTGTCAAAGCAGCATCACACCCGACTGTTTGGCGAACCTCTATAAGTACAAAGATTATAAACCTACTTTGACAAATAATAAGCTTGGTGTCAACGGTTTCCTCGAACAATACGCTCAAAACGATGATTTGGCAAAGTTCTTGGCAAAATATTTCCCAAGTTCGAAGAACGTCACGTTCACCTGCACCCCCATCAATGACGGCAAATGTACTCAACATCCAAGTGAGGATTTTACTGAAGCAAATTTGGACATCCAATACACGGTCGGCGCTAGCAATCCCATCCCTAACATTTATTACTCTACCGCCGGAAGACCACCAGTTGTCGATCTTGACCCCAATACCAACGAACCCTATCTTGAGTGGCTCGAGTATATGCTGAATCTCTCTGATGAGCAACTGCCTCAAACCATCACAACTTCGTACGGCGATAATGAACATACTGTTCCACAGTCCTATGCCATCAAAGTTTGTAATATGATCGGCCAGCTTGGAGCTCGAGGTGTTAGCGTTCTCTTCAGTTCTGGTGACTCTGGCCCAGGTGATGACTGTACTGGAAAGGACGGCAAGAAGAGATTTGTTCCAACTTTCCCGGCCACCTGCCCCTTTGTTACTTCTGTTGGCGGAACCGTTGGAGTCCAACCAGAGAAAGCCGTATCCTTCAGCTCTGGCGGCTTCTCAAACTACTTCTCACGTCCAGATTACCAGGAATCAGCCGTGAGCAACTACCTATCATCTCAAACCGATGCAACGACTTTTAAAAACTACTACAATGCATCAGGAAGAGCCTTCCCAGACATTTCAGCTCAAGGATCTCGATTCCACGTCTTTGTCCGCGGGTATGATCAGCTCGTCTCAGGAACTTCCGCTAGTTCTCCAGCTTTCGCCGCTGTCATCTCCCTTGTAAATAATGATAGGATCAGCGGAGGCAAGAAGCCATTGGGTTTCCTCAACCCATGGCTATATACAATCGCGACCGAAAAGAAAGGAATCGTCGATATTACATCCGGGGCTAGCAGGGGATGCTCTGGAAGCATTTCTGGTGCCGGTTGGAAGGCGACGACGGGGTGGGACCCCGTCACAGGCCTCGGTACCCCAGATTTCAGTGTGCTTAAGGATTTGTGAAGCATCTAAAATTGCTTTTATATACCCTAAACGTTAAATTCGTTTTTATACCCCTTGAACAGATAATTTTATTTTAGATTTCATGTTTAGATACCCGACCACATATTTGCTAGCTAAGATTATAAAATGATAATCTAAAAACCAAGACAACTTGAACTAAGATTATAGAGTTGTTAAAAGTGCGATATCCTTAGCACGTTAGTTTTAAGAATCTACTCGGAAGTCGATAAAATCAACAGTATAAGATACAAAAGTTTTTTTAGACAGCCATTCCGATATCTGGTTCCGTCTCAGAGGACCCTAGATCTGCGGCCTCGATATAGCTATCCCGGCTACTCCTCCGAATATAACCTTCTCGGCCAGATCTTCTTGTAGAATTATCCCGACTAGGCCTTCCTCTAGAGATATCCCGACGAGGTCTTCCGATAGTGTTATCCCATCCAGGCTCTATAAAGCTATCCCGACGAGACTCTCTTATGGAATCACTCTGATCGAACCTCCTTGCAGAGCTGTTCCGGTTAGGTCTTTCTATATGGTTATCCCGACTTGGTCTTTCCATAGAATGATTCCGACTAGGTCTTTCTATAAAGTGATCCTGGTCAGGCCTCTCTGTAGAATGATTCCGACTAGGTCTTTCTATAGAATGATTCCGACTAGGTCTTTCTATAAAGTGATCCTGGCCAGGCCTCTCTGTAGAATGATTGCGACTAGGTCTTTCTATAGAGTGATTCCGACTGGGTGTTGCTATAGAATGGCCCTGGCCAGGCCTTTCTATAGAATTATTGCGACTAGGCCTTTCTATAGAATTATTGCGACTAGGCCTTTCTATGGGATAATCCCGGCTCGGTCCTCTCATAGAACCATCTTGACTAGACCTTCTAACAGAGTTATCCCGTCTAACAGAGTTGTTTTGGTTAGTTCCCCTTGTAGAACCGTCGCGACTGGGCTCTCTTATGGAGTTATCTCGAGATCTACGAGATCCCCCACTAGAGCCGTTCAGGAGAGATCTTTGTTCATTCATACTCGTAGACCCCGTTCCTACCTCAGACTCCTCGTCCATATTCCTCTGACTTCCTATCCCATATATCCTCCTCAGTTCTGCCTTTCTCTTCTTTGCTCCTTTTACTCTGGCCTTTTGGATCGCTTCCTGGTGCTCCTTGTCGAAAATAAACTGAACCATTTCAAGAGGAACGTCCTGAGTTTCCGGAAAGAAAAACCAAACCACAATCATAAAGAAGGCGAGAATACCAATGTTGACCAAATAGTACCTCCATGTCATCGACTTTATTCCTACGGCGGCTATAAACTCTATAATGTAAATCAGCATACGTAGTTTATACCCGGCAAATCTATCAAGTTTCATATTCAGGGAGTCATTTTGCCTAGGCACTAGTAGCCTGTAAGGGGTCTTCGAGGAACTTACGTTGAAAAGTGCCGAATAACATCACCGAGCACCAGTTCACAGCGAGTCCAATCGAGCGCCATCGATACGGAAGAACCTCAACAACATACCCAACCTGCAATGGGGTATATGAAACATCGTAGATCGCCCAGTAAAAAAAAACAAACACCATGAGGCACAAGCCCTGAATTCGAGTTTGTTCTCCCGTCGAGCCGCTTACAGAACTCACTTGTGACAGAACCCCAGCGATACCAGCGATAGGTATCATCATTCCGAATGTTGTCGTTAACCAAAGAGTGCGGCGTCTAATCCAGAGACTCAAAAATGCACCCACAGTAGCCCAAATAAGATTCCAAACTTGTAAACCTATATTTATAATCGCTGCCTCGGTTTGATTTCGAAAACCAAGTGAGTTGAAAGTCGGGTAAAGATACCAGCCAACGACACCTACAATTTTGTAAGCTAGATTTCAATATACAAGTTTAGGATAGAACAAAAGGATGAGAACATTTTATACATACCATTTCCCGCCCATTGAATCATGGCACCGACGAACACGGCTATAAAAAACCTTTTCAAGTTTTTGGAACCTTTGAAAATTTCGCGGTATCTAACTTTTTGCTTGTGCATTCCCTCATATTTGTAATGCGCCAATTCACCAAGGTCCTCATCACCACGTTCCAGACGTGCATGGTACTCTTCACTTCGGAGGACTACTTTAATGCTTTCTATCTCCTGTAAAACTGCCAGTTTATCGGCTGAAATTTCTCTCCTCATCAAAGTCTCCCCTTGCCTCCCCCCCGCACCTTCTTCCCGCGTATTTGGTTCTTCCCTCTCTTCCCGTTCCACTTGTTTAGAAGTTGAAAATAAGCCCTTCCAAATGCGTTTGTACCACCTATCCGTCGAAACTTCGCTATCTACAAAGTCATCATCCTCACCATGATATCTTGCGACTACACGCAAGGCCTCATGGTTTTTTAATATGGAACATAAATACCTCGGACTTTCGGGGATACCGGGGTATATGGCGAAAAGGAGCTGAAGAAACGGAAAAAGTCCCTGTATAACACAAGGTACCCTCCACCCCCATATACTATCCATTCGGTAGCGTGCAGCAGCATATGTGACTATAGCTGAGATGACCGATCCCAAGTACCAAAATGCATTATAATAAATACCAACGAAGTCGCGGTGTCGGGGAATAGCGATTTCAAGGGCTAGTGTTGGTGCAGCTACTTGGCATACCCCTATCCCCGCTCCAAGAGCTACACGTGTAACGCTCACGCAAGTATAATTGGAGCAGACCAAACCTTGCATGAGTGCTGCAGCGATCATGATACCTGAGCCAAGCAGAAGGGCTGCTCGCCGGCCCTGCTTATCGCTGAACAATGCCGCTGGAAGCAATGAGCAAATAGCACCGATCGGTAGGTAGGTGATTAGTAAAAAGGTACGCATGGCAAAATGATCTGAGACCTTAGCTAGGCTTCGAACTGTGAATTTGTTAGTAGAGTTCAAATGCGGAAAAATCAAAAGCGTAGAATAATGTATCTAGTTAGGTGCAAGACGGGTGTATTTGACTTACAAGAATCAATGTTTAAAAGCCCTCCAATTACACTACTACAATACCCATTACCTACTGCGGAGAGATATAGAGTCCCAATGGTAAGGTTCAGCTTTCGAAGACCGGGTTCCTTCCACCACGGTTTCTGATATGTATTCCTGATGCCCTCATATTGACCTGAAGCTGGGTGGGTTATTAGATCCCTATATGTCACATATTGCGGCATCTCGAAATCGGGGTTGGTACCGTTCAAAATTTCAGAGGCTTCGGTCTGTGCTACCACAGTATCGTCGTTGGATACACTCCGGGTGCGTCCTCGTTCTCGGGAAGAATGTCTCGAATGGGAAGACCGCCTTGAATGAGATGAATGCCTAGGACGAGATGAATGCCTCGAGCGAGACTCTGCGATATTATCAGATGTAGACCCTGCACCCAACCCAAAGTCAAATTGGCCTCTGGAGCCAGAGTTTTGCTCTACAATATCGGCGGCAGCTATAGCCTCAATTGTTATTCTCTCCTCGGCTCGGCGTCTAGCTGTATAACTAGACTGCCCGTTGCAATAACAAGGGCCTGGGGGGCATTCGCAACTTTGACTCTCCGCAACCCCCCTCGTGTTGTAATCCGTAGACGATGTGTCAAACGTTCCAGGCAGTCTCGAGCCCGTACCGAATAAATTCTGGTTGCGAGACTGCATCTCGGGTCCATTTCTTCTTCTGACATTAGATCCACCTGTTGCCATTGTGGTCGAAAAGTGGGCACCGGTGCCTCAAAAAAAAATTTAGATATGGCGTACGGGAATGTAGCGGCATACGCATAAATCCTCCCCGATGTGGGGGCTCATTTTATTAAATAGATACTGGGAATTGGGCTATGGTGGCCGTCCAGCGTAAGTATGATTCACATCAATAGATATTCATACCTGCAGAGTAGAATCAACAGGCCGATCACAAATTAAGGTTGTAACTATAGAACGACGAATAATTACGTAAAGCAAAGGGAATAGTCGGGTTATCTCAAAAGTCTTTCGGATTTTCGTTTGTATATTTGATGATTTCCTATGCCCTCAGAGCACTAGTCTCTAGCGATCTGTATAAGCGATCTCGCGCGATCAATCTCGTGGCACTCAAGTCATATATATATATACGAATATCATGCTCATGATCATAGCTTATAGTATAAACCGTCTGGAAATGATCAGTTCCACGATCCATAATCCATGTCATGGCGGATCTGCTCTTGTAAGTACCTGGAGTGGTAGTTTGATTTGGCTCGGATAGTGACACTTCGCTCATGAGAATGATTGTACATAGTATTGTCGAAGGATTCGAACTGTAACTCGCGTTTGCATGATCTTGTATACGTACAACATTACAACGCAAATCCCAGCATCACGTTGTTGTATTCTTTGTGTTGTTCTGCGATCGGCTGGCTGGACCGGCGAGCTCTGGTCTCGTTGCGAGCTCCAAATCACATATTTATTTAGAAGGGTATTGAATAGCGGCTATCGGGAAATCCTATGATAAAGAGGCAGCAGTAAATTCGGGTATTTACCAGGGATTTCGGAAACCTTTCGGAATCATAGCGACGAAATTTCTAAATTAGCTGTCTTGGATTTCAAAACACCCTTCGTCAAACCAAGACATTTGAGGGCAGTGAGTGTTGGATATCGTGTTTCGAGAACTTGAACAGCCAACAGCGAGTTTTAATGGAAAATACACGTAAACGTAAGATACTAGTTAGAGTGTTATAATATTAATATTAATTTATTATTAGCGTATATTGCCGTATATGTAAATTGTAAGAGAGGTTTTTTTAGGGGGGGATCAAGGAGGGAAACAAAACACCATCTAACGCCAAATATATGTAAAATACATGAATGAATATGATTGAAAGTGTCGCAAATTTACAGCAGGGAAAATATCATCTTGCTTAAGGGTATCAATGAAGCCGAGAATGCCCTCAGCACTCGGCCGTGAGAAGTGAAAAAGGAAAGAAGAGAGAGTAGGGATTGAGCGTCGAAACGGAGAGCCCATGGCAGTCTACAATAAATTGACAGAACCGGAAGTCGCCACCCATAAAAAGTGTGAGCGAATATCATATTCGGTCTCTCCATATATAGCTAGACCCTTCTGAGAATCTCCTCCACCAAGCAGTAATCCCTAATGAAACTGTGCAGTAAAAAACGCTGAAAACAAAAGTCGTTGGTAGGTCGTAAGGTCATACCCAGTGGGGCCATTTCGTAGATCGCCGACCATTTGAGTAATGGGGAGAATCTGAAAGTTTTACATCTTTCCAGTTTTCGCTGCCCGATGTGAGTGGGGTCACAGAATCGGCATCTCTTTCTTTAAACGCTGTCGTGACGAACTCGAGTGGTGCTGGCGCTTCAGCTCCGGTGCGGCGTTTCCTGCGAGCGGCAGATCGTCGCTTTTTATGTAAATCTGACTCTAGATCTCCAACGGCTCTGACATTTGTTTTGGTAAACAATGGTCGAAGCGCAGGGACCGATGCGCAGACTATTCCGAGTGTGCATTCTAATGCGCTAGCAATGTATAGCCCAATACTATCCCCTGTTGCTCGCAATACTTCAGTTAGTTGGATTAAGATTAGTATCTAGAGTGGGGGAATGCATACAAGTCCAGTCATATGGGCTATCGTGGAACACGAGTTTTGTGAAATAAATCCTGATGACTCCGGCGAAACATACACTAAGTGCCATGATTTAGCGATTTCCAACAACTACTGAAAATGATGCGAGGAGTACCTACATTGCGCCTAAGGCGAAGCATGAAACCACAATCCATTTGCCCCTCCTATCAACCCTGGTTAAGCCGCATATCTCTCCTAGAGGTACAATCACACAGTAGAAATCGGTCACACTGTTTATGATTGCCGTAGCGAGATGGGCCGGGTAGGTTGGGTAACAATGGCCTTCCATGTTGTAAATCCAAAAGTGTTCGATAGGGTGGCACTGAAATATTGCTGCAACAAGGGTGGCCAACATGGCAAGAACCGTGATAGCCATGCCTGCATATATCAAACGGTGAAGGTGAACCGATACGACGCCGAGAGGAAATAGTCGTAGGTAGAAAGTTAAAATCGAGAGTTTGGTCAAGTTAATGCTAACGGTAAATACAATCTCCATCGAGAATGCAAGCTGATACCCAGTTAGCTGCATAATTCAAACGGTGAAATAGCATTCCGAACGTATAGACATACCTTGCGAGCAGGTTCAAGAAATTTATCGGCTAGGGGAGCAAAGTCCCAGAGATGGATACCCTAGAAGCAAATGTAGATGTTAGAAAGGCTTTTAAGATAGAAAATATATAGTAGGTGCAGATTCTTTTCATGCCCATCCAAAGCTAGTTGACAAACATTGTAAAATGATCAAAACTGCCGTTAGAAACTATAATAAACGTCAGCCGATTTGCGTTAAAACAAAATACCAGCATAAAATAAATGAAGAGGTCCAATTCTCTAACCGTTGAAGTTATAATCAACCAATCCTCCCTTCCAAGTCCATGCTTTGTATACATCCTCTTGGCATATATTCGTAAGCCAACAATGAAAATTGTAATTGATAAAAGTGGTATCTCCCATGCTACTAGTTTCCACCCTTGATTCTCTGGATTTATTGTGTTTGCCGGGGGCCATGCCTGCACGACCGCCGGTGGGGCGAGAACTATTGTCGAAGTTGGTCCTATCATTTGTATCGTCTTCGTGAATTCGCCTTTGTCGAAAGTTGAAATCTTTAATTATCGTCCATCGCAAATTCGGAACAAAACCACCAAGTGCTTCGCAAGACAGGTGGGAATTGCAATGGTTTTAAGCAATAGGAAAGTTATTGCGCCAAGGCAGATTCATGCAGCGGTTGCCTATCAATTGGTCGCACTCGAATTAGAACTAGAAGAAATAAGGGCTTCTTTCGTTAAAGACATGCCCAGACGGCGTTGTTCTATCATGATTCAGACACTATGGGGATTATCCAACTCCCCTCACCCAAATTCCATTCATTGGAGTTTGGATCTGCAGAGAATTTCCTGCAGAGCGACGGATATGGCTACGCGCGTATCAAGCCAGCGACGTAACAGCGATGTCTATTCTCCTAACATTGGGCTGCAGCAAGTCGTAGGCTCTTTGCATCGTGATACTACACAGGGTCTTGCTGCGGTCCAGGTACGTAGCAAGCTAGGGGAATATCTGTACCCTCAGAACTGGCTTGGCTATTTTTGGTCCGACTTCGAGCAACCGAACCTGCCCAAAATCGCCTAGACGAATGTGGCCGCGACCGCCAGTTTCAGGTGTCATGGCTCCGAGCCTGGCGGGATTCTGATAATTCGCCTGGACTATGCTTTTTCATGCGCAACGGGAAATTATTCAACTTCATGCGCAACACACAATGGGGCTTGGAGAAATTCTCGTGAGTTCCTTGAATAGTCCACGGCATTCGGTACCCTTCCACTGCCATAAGAAACATTAGCGGTTGGACGCCGCGTGATTTAGTCTGGATCGATATCGAAGCTGGTAAGCCGCGGCAAGTCTTATCTTGCTTTGAATATAAACAAATTAGTCCGAGAACTTTTATTCTGGATCCTGAGTTAAGCTTTTTCAGGCTACAGGTACACCAGGCCACGAGTTACTAGGATCCGTACTTACAAAGTTAGACTAACGGAAATTTGTCTTCAATCTAGCTGTGGAGCCTCGCGAAAATCAGCAACTGCCTCCAATCTTGAAAGGCAGTTTACGTAGACACGCAACTCTCCGGCCGGCACACACTAGTCTAGAGGACGCTCACCTCCGCCTTGTTGACGAGACCTAGAAAAGTTAATCAGAATAGCTGCCCACTAGTTAAACTATACGGGGCTGTCCCCGCGGGGTTTTCACCCTGAGCATGAGGTCTGTTAGCGCTACGCAAAAAATACTTGAAGTTCAAACGGTACCTGCATTGTCCAGAAGATGAATCAATGCCAAGGAGACGCACTCTGTGTTTCAGGTCAATGCAGTTCGTATCCGCCTAAGATCTCGGGATGTTTAGGTGCTGAGGGTATCTATCGCCCCACTATCAGTTCACGAAATCAATTCTACACGAGCAGGAATTCATGAAAATGAAGTGATAATCATGCTAAATGCCCCCAATTTAAACGTGCAACTTACAACCTATTTGCCCAAAAGGGACAAAGGTTCGTGTAGCATTCTGGTCGATCATCTCTCGACTGGATGTGTTGCGTGGTATTTCTCCATCTCAACACGAAATACGCTCTTTACGCTCTTTATTATCACCGCCAGTCGTCGATTTGTAAATTGTAAACGTGTGAAACGATCCGGCTATATACCTCGGTTTACGTAGGATGCGGAATATTGAAGACTCGAGCATTGATTTTGGGACTCGCGCCACCAGATCCACAGAATTCTGAGCATAAATATTTGAATAGTATGAAACTTTGTTTATAAATCTAGCCAGACCGGCGGGGTATCTTGAATGAAGGTAAAGAAAAGTATATACATGAAGTAAAATGGCACTGGGCCGTTCATCATAAAGAAAGTATGAGACCGAGCTCTGAACGAAAAGAACGAAAACAAAAAAAACAAAAAAAAAGTGTTTAAGCATCTAATGTCCACCGCGGCAAGCGTTAGGAGCAAGTGTCCAGCCCGTTAGGCGGTTTGCAATGTCACTGACATAGCAAGGGGTGGCACCATTTCCATTGCTCAGGTCACCATCCGGAGCAATGCTACCGGAGTTGTATGCTCGGAAAGCCTTGTAGTAGTTGCCGTATTGATTGATCAACTGAACAAGACCATCTCCGTAAGCTGTCCCCATAGTTCCATCTACAATCATTTGCTTAATTGTTGTGACTGGACGGGATGGGTCGAAGGCAACACCATTATGGGACTGCATGAGGCCGGGGTTGGTAACGCCGTTGCTTGTGGTGGGAGCTCGGAGACAGCCAGCTGACTAGAGCTGATAGTTAGCATATTTGGAGCATTCCTCTGGGGTATGGCGTGATCGATTACATACCTCCTGCATGATTACGGCGAGAATGGCTCGCTGGTCAACCCGTGACGCGCGCGCAACCTGTTGGATGTAGGTCTTCATGTACCCGATCTGACGATTAGTGTTATCAGGGCCCCAGCCGTTCCAGCCGCAACTTTGTTTCATGAGCGGTATATTGGCTTGAAACATAGCTTCAAACGACATCCAGTTCTTTGTACTTGGGAAGTTTTCTGGTCCACCGGAATAGTAGGTGTATGAATCGGTACTATATGCAATGCCCTCGTTTGTATTGGTGTTGCCCCAGTAGGAGAGGGCCTTCGCAACCTTGATACCCAGCCCAAAGGCGGCTAGCGTCTGTCGAGGCTTGATCTCCTCTGATTTTTTGTGAAAGTGTAGGTGCGAAAGTCTCTTGGCGAGATGAGAGTATTTATGAAGAGGGAGAGCATCGCAGGTGCACAACAGCATCAAGCTGATGATGAGAAACCGAAGAATGGACAACTACAGTTCGTTATCAGCACGACTTTCTATGTCATTTACAAATAAGATACCCATTCTACGTACGATAGAGGACGACATGTTGATTTGGATTTTGAATTTTATCGGGATAAAAAAGACGTATATAGCTAGATATCAAACCTAGACGGTTATAACGTTTATCAAGTGCTGTATATAAAAAAAAAGGAATGTGGTCGCTCCAAGGCGAAAATGATAAGAAACTATGAAAGTTGAAAGGAATGTAATTGGAGAAATCTCCTACTTTGACGACAATACGCTGAACGATCCTCGAGAAGTTCGAGGGAAGGCATCGTGACTTCTTATACACCTGAAAGAATATATTCAGCCTCCTAAAGGGAGTAATTCTGCCTGACCGATGGAGCCGGGTTTGCCGTTAGCACACTGACTTCGTATCCACACCTTAACAGGGAGAAAAAAAGCGTTGCGCCGTCTTGGGCACCAGCTCAACCGATTCTGGGCTGTTTATTGGAAGACGGGTGAGATTGTAGTGGGTCTGTTGGCCCAGGACGCAAACAGGCGAGCCAATAGCTGGATTAGACTCAGCTCTTGCCACACCACCACGGGAGAGGAAAATTCCACTTTCCAGTCCCTGCCTCACGATCGGAGACGAGGGGTCAAGCCTTCAGATCAGCTTCTGGACTGTTTCGATTGTTCATTCGAGGCCCTTCCTTATTTCAGTAGAACATTCAAATTTGCATTAAATCTCCTGCTTTCGTTGAAGTTGCGAAGGGGTTTGTTCATTTTAGATCTGATCAGTGAGAGGCTCCAACAACGATGGAAGGTGGCCCGGATGCGGCCTCCAAAGAGGGGATGGGGGCCGACCCAAAATTGTGCCTGCATGAACCGCAAGGCCTCGAGGTTGCTAGTCCGCACATTTAGTGCCTAACACAGCAAACCTTTCCGTGCCATGAAATACAGGCATCTATGTGTCAGGAGTCACATCAGAATCTGCTTGTTGTCCCACCTGTTCGTGGAAAACTCCATTTTTATCCAGCTTTGCGGCCAAAGCCTCACGCAGATGCCTATACGGCGCCTAAGTTTAAAAGGCGGAACTCAACGCTAAATTTAAAAAAGTACCACATAGACATTCGGTAACAAATGCGGCACGACTACTATATCGGATTGAAGTTGTAGCAATCGATCTGGATGATGCATGTCAGATAGTGCGATGCAGCTGAAGATGGATATCGAATTCGGCGAGCTCTCCAAAGTGAACATGAACGGTATCAAATCGTCCCAGCTGCTGGGCTTGGCCGTGCGCAGTTGTGTCTGGCTGTGCTTACGTCACTTCGGACAAATCCATTGCGGGTTGTTCTATTTGTCTTTTATACGGAATATGCCCAAAAATCACTTCCCGTGCGTCGTAGATGCAAAGCTAATGCAGGGGCAACCCGATGAGACTTGCAGAAATGGTTAGATACATTCATGTATGGGGCTATTGAGAAGTTATCACAGCACAAACAGCCGAATGAAACGTTGCAATGGATGTATACGCAAGTATATTTATTCCCGGTTTCTTGGTCTTGAAATACCACAATTGCACAATTCACAGGGTCCAAGCGCTGTAGGTGATTCTTGTGAGTAGCTATTACATATAAAGAACTCCCTCGTCCTTGCAGGTAGTCTGGGACCAGCTCTTGATTAACATAAAAAATCACATATATAGCAGCATTTATTCCCAATAAAGACTGGATTTGAGCCCAGGTCTCGCGGCAATAGCTCAAGAGAGACCAGGATTACTCACCCTAAAATAGTCCAACGGGTAACCCGGCATGAGGCTAGATCGACATGGCCAACTCGGCGCCACATGCTGTTAATGACATGGCAAACCCATTTTGCATGTAGCCTCGAGGCTATTTTGCATGGTCTCGTTGATTTTGCACAATTACATGCGTGTTTCACAAAATTGGATTTTTGCGTTGGACTCTATATGAGAACACTGAAGAATTGTCGAGTTTAGTCCTTTTATGATCATACTTTGCGGAGTCGTGGGCTCGAAGCTTCCTGGTATATTGCGGATAGGAGCTTTAAGAACAGGCAGTATTATGCACGCATTGACGCATATATATAGGAAATTCACAGTTGCGGGATAAAGAGCTTAAGAGTTGACCGTGAATTCAATATATCAATACTCTGCACTTAAGAAGTTTGAACACTTCATAACATTAATATTTTGTGATCAGTAGATGGCCATGATCACAGAATAAGGCTACGAATGAATGAATGAATGTAATACGGCCTAGGCGCCTTGTGCGGGTGAGTACGAACATGCATGGTGTAAATTTATAATATAAGCCAGACATGCCGGGGCCAACTTGGAAATTTACATCTCAGAAATTTGAAATGTGCGATAAGGTTGAGACAAAATTGGGTTCTCATTCAGAGAGATATATATATATATATATCGATAAGGATAAAATAGTATTCAAATCAATAAATATCTAATGCATTGATGGATTGCAGAAGTCTTTATCTCTTAAACCATAATTAATTGCTTGGTTTACGAGATAAAGAAGTCTGGTTACGAGACTGGGATTATAGCATATCAAAAGGCTGTAATTTTATTTTGTTGGCTGGATTATCACTAAAATTTATAGCTCTAAGTGCTACGATTGCCTACATGTAGGTTGGAACTCGTTCTGCCTCAGCTGGGCCCTACGAACAAAAAAAAACCGAAGCGACAGGACTGTTGAACTTGAGTTCGTTCTAGCTCTACATATGCTGCAACCTCGGTAACGGATTCATTGACACAAGCGATCATAGCTACCTAGTACAAAACCGCGGTGGTAGAAAAACTTCAAAATATCGGACGAAGGGGGCTTGCAATTGGAGGATTTATTTTATCTCTCGCATCACAAACCTTGCTTTTCCATTTCTTGGATTCATCAATACCAAGCAAGTAACATGCCCAAAATGTATATCTCCCCCGTGTTCAGTGGGAAAACCGGTCCGGTACGCGAAAGGGCAAGTCGCAAAATTTCCAAGCGAAACGCTCATGGGCTGGAGAGCTAGCCGAACCAAACGCCTTAGCTTAAGCACGTCGAGACGTCTGGCGCACAAATCATGTTCCCTTCCCGACTCGTATACACCTCCAAATTCTATTAAGCTCGTATCGGCAAAAGCTTAATGATTTCTTAGGATAACTTTGGATAACCCTTGCCCTCCGCATCCGAATTTGGCGAATTACCTCTTTAGTGAGTATTGGCATCGGATGTATGCTCCCGAGGGATACAAGTAAAGTGAGATATGCCGGGTTCAAGGGCAATGAGATAACTTCACTTGTTCCCTGAAACTCCGTCTATACGCTGGGACAATTCGGCGGAAATTCGTCAGTATCCCCATAATTCTGGGGTCCTCCTGGCGAAATGCGCTCAAAGAACCATGGTTCGACTTCTAGCTCGAGCCCATAAAATTATTTAATAAGGGACTCGTTTCCACCGTTCTGATCCAAGTAAGACATCTGGTATTGATTTCCATATTTTGAGATCCGACAAAACTCTTCAACCATGTATACTAAGGGATTTATCTCGGGGGCCGTTATTATTGGTGCAGCAGCCGCTCAACAGACGGCTTGGGGACAATGTGGCGGTAGTGGATGGACTGGTATATACCATTTTCTAAATCCATGCATTGGGAAAAGAATTAATAGTCCTGATTAGGGCCAACGACATGCGTGAGCGGTTATACATGCACCTATTCCAATGGTAAGCATTCAAATTCATATTTCATGAGCTCCATGATTGACTAAGATCCGGATAATAGACTGGTACTCTCAGTGTCTACCAGGAGCCGCAGGGACCACGACAAAAACCACGACTACCACGACTCGAGCGGCAACCACGACTACCGCCGCATCGAATCCGACGCCTACGTTGTATCTCTGCGGTGACTCTACTATGGCTAAGAGTGGAGCTAACGACGGTTCTACTGATGGTACGTTGCGTTTAAAAGATCTCCATTTAAACCAAGGGATCAATGATGTCTCATAATTTGATATCATATAGGCTGGGGCAATCAAGTTGCCAAATATTTCACCGGAATCACAGTAAACAACCAAGCTATCGGCGGACGTAGCGCAAGAAGTTATACCCGTGAGGGTCGCTTCAACACCGTTATTGGTCTCGTCAAGGCCGGAGACTTTGTGGTTATCGAATTTGGTCACAACGATGGTGGTAGCTTGACTAGTACCGATAACGGAAGAACAGACTGCCCTGGAACGGGCTCGGAGACTTGCCCAGTCACTTATAAGTATGTCTTGCCCGCTAGCTAAGTTAACTATGAATTCAGTATATTAGAGTATATACTAACGTTGTAACATCCCGAAGTGGCGTCGCCGAAACCGTCCTTACTTTCTCCGCATATCTTGAAAAGGCAGCCAACGCCCTCAAGGCCAAAGGCGCAATCGTTATATTGTCCTCACAGACTCCTAACAACCCTTGGGAAGGCGTGACAACATTCCCAAGTACTAGCAATCCCGTTCGATTTGTTCCATATACCGAAACTTCGGCATCTAGGACTGGTACTACATATGTCAACCACTGGTTGTATTCTATGGACCTTTACAAGAGACTCGGTGCCTCTGCGACCAATGCTGTTTATCCTAAGGATCACACACATACTAGTCCTACTGGTGCTGATCATATGGCGAGGTCCTTTATCAAGGGACTGCAATGTTCTTCGAATGCTTTGAAGAATAAGATCAATGCTAGCGCTGCTAGCGTTGTGTCCGGAAGCTGCTTGTAAATGTATGAGAGAAATTCAAGTCTCTTTGTAAATACGATTAAAACTTTGTTATATAATTTATACAACCATTTGAAGCCTTATTTTAAACCACTTAATTTTCAGATAAAATATCACTCAACACCCTCCATCCCGGTTCCAGGTAAATCGTTTATAAAGATCCGATTCAGAGCTAATGTGCGCTCATTGTATAGTCGGAACGATGTGGCAATGTATGCAAGATCCTTATCTGACAGTTCATTGTGCACGTCACTGTGATAAATCTGCAAATGCTCAAGGCTCTCCGTTATGCTTGCAATTGCGTCATAATCTTCCAATCTCATCCTCCCATCTATAAGGTTTAACTGTTTAACTTTTGATTTTAGTCCTCTGTAGGGTTCAAATGGAATGTAAAGTGGATAGTGAAGTTTGTTCCTCCTCCCACCGATCGTGGCGTGGCATTCGATCTCTAGGGTTTCAAGGCTTGGAAGTAGCAAGAGAGGTGCGATGTATTTTGCCGACCAGCCACTGAGATCACTCAAAAAAAATTGATGCTCAGTATATCTGTTTTCCAGGTGTGTGACCTTCCTTAGACCTGGAAGATAATTTCCGGGTGTGCCCATATTGACATGCAACCAAAGGGCGCCTTCCTCCTCAGCCTCTGGTGGCATATGCTTTGCGAAAAAAATGTCGGTTTGGTAGAAATCGTCGGGCCGATCATCGCAGTCGTATATGTATTCTTCACCGTCGACTTCATCCTCGATATATTTGAATACTTCCTCATCCAGTCCCGGTCCAAGACTTTCCCGAATGTCTTGAGCTCCGGCCCCATTAGCAAACCAGACACGGGCAACTAGTAAGGCTTCTACACGCCCAAGTCTTAAATCCTTTAGGTTTGTGGTGAAGCAGAAAATGAAAGGAAGTAAAGCTTCCGAGTTGACTCCCTCGAGAATGGCATCGAATGTTGCAGATGATATGTAAGTCGCGAGCTCTCCGCGGTAAAACTTGATTCGCTCCCGATCCTCTCTTTTCCATTTCCATCGCTTGGTGAATGTTTCCGGGTAGTCTGCTTTACGACGGGACCAACGGACCCAGATCTCCTCAATTTGAGCGGCGATAGAGACGTCGTGTAGAAGGCTGCGGGCTAGCTTCCAGAGGCTTTGAGTCACCTCGTCGACATCAATCCAAAAATTGGTCAGTGGAACGTCCTGACCGAGAACTCTCCACCTCCTATTGACCTGTCGAATATGGATTATGTCCGCGTTGGCATCTCTCTCCGGGTATGTCCAATTGTTACCAACACAGTGGAATATATCTAGAAGGACTTCAGAGGGAAGACTGGTAATTGGTGCCATACTGTGTAAATTCTATCTTTGGCTCGGTAGGCTCCAGTACATAAGAAAGAAAACTTAATAAGGCCGCTTTTTAATAGTCAAGACTTAGTCTGGTGGACTACTTCCAGCATAGCTTTATAAATTCAACTAATTGAGGCCGGCCGGGAGGGGAAGTTGTTTCAATTTATACATCAACTTCTAACAAACGTAGGTGTTGATCACGTTGAATCACAACCTGCAGCCCCAATTTAGTTAGCTGCAAGTTTTATGGTGGAAAGCTCGAGCTCGCCCTCAGCGAACCGTCTGCGAATTCTGACTAAAACTACGCCCTCGACTATGCCTTGGGCCTGGCTTGATTACTAAAATGTAGTTTGTAGTTTGCAAGTACAGATGTAAATTGATAGAAGAGTGGAGATAACTAGCCTAGAATCTAGGCACAACTTGATTCTGACAACAAATTTAAAGAGTCATTGCGAATATTTCCAACATGGAACTGAGTGCATCAAACGTTGCTTAACTACTGAGCCAAGTTCCAGACTTATTGTTCTCCAACCATTCGGAAATTGGTGTAAGCTTGACGCCATACTTTTCAGCGTTTCCAATTTTAGGGTCGAATCCCATCTTGGAGATGATCTCGCAGGTAATATGGAATGGGTGTGTCATCAATGCTTCCTTCAATTCTTCCTCAGGCCATTGATACAAGGTGATAGGCTTTCCGCTAGCCTGAGACAACTTCTCGGCCACTTCCTGGGCAGTCAATGCTTCGGCGCCGAACTTGACTTCCTTTGTATGGAGACCTTCTGGGTCGTTCACAGCGGCCGCCGCAAATTTTCCGGCTTCTGATCCATCAGCGTACCATTGTGGAATGCTATGATCGAAGGTAGATTTTAATTGATGTTTCGTGGGAAGGTCTGGATAGATAAAAGCAACTGTCTCAGGGAGGACATGGTTCTGAATGAACGATGGTGGGCGAATGATGGTCCAATATTGGGCTCCAGAGTCCCTCACAAGCTGATCGAGTTCAAGCTTGCGATTGAAGTAGAGTTTAACCCAGTTGGTCGGTTCAAGGGATTCATGGATTGTTTTGAATCCTTCTTCGGTACCTGGATATGCCAAACTACCGTAGATGAGCTGCTTGACGCCCGCAGCTTTCACTGCATCAATGATGTTCTTGGTTTGTCTGAGGTCACTGTCTCCACCTTGAAGGTCTGGAACAGTGGTGAAAAAGACGGAGTCAATACCGGCCGAGAGGGCTTGATCGAGGGAATCTCGGTCATCAAAGTCGCCTTTGAAGACAGTGACTCCGTTGGATTTGAGAGCCTCTGCCTTAGCAGAGGTAGGGTCGCGGGATAGAGCATACAGTTGGTGTGGGCTATCTTTGAGAGCCTTTACCATACCGCCCCCCATTTTGCCAGTTGCTCCAAGGATGAGAACCTTCATTTTGGATAGTTGATTCTGTACAATAGTGTCTATAGTTTCTTTAATGTATGAGAATGCAGTGAATCTATGAATTTAGATATTGCTGCTTGTTGATGATTACTCTGTTTTCTATCACCAAGACGATAGAAACAGCAGACTTTATAGGTCTACCCGACCTCGCAGACGGAATTGAGGTCCGACGAAATATCCGCCTTGATACCAAGAAATGCGATTTTTGGACGCCATCTTGATCAATTGATCATACGGTGGCATTTGAAAATTTGTTGGAAGTCAGCAACGGTCATCAAATTGCAGGCCGGCCGAGATAATTGTGTCCATGTCGACGTAAGCGAGTTTTGTTCATTCCTCTGGGTATTCAGTTTCGTGAAACCTTACCTAATAGCTAACGCTATCCCCACGATCGTGCACGGGGCTGGATAATGGTCCGAAGTCCTCTCGAGATGTAGTTTCACCGCTTGACGACCGCAGCAACAAAATGGTCTAGAAATTCCATCGTATGAAAAGTTCTTCTAGCCAAGGAATACAATAAATCTGAGTATTAACATTTTCGAATGGAATTCTCGCTTATCCCAGGCTTGTCCACGCAAGCCCTGGTCCCCGACGTTGTACCCTTTCAGAAAACGCGTAGATGCTCAGAGTCCACAAATGCAATTCGCGGTGAAGAACTGAACATATCTTGATGAAGTACGTTGAAGATAACGTTGAAGCTAATCAGAGATCCCTTAACGAGGCCAAAAGCGAAGTCAGGGAGCTTGGGCCTCCTCTCATGGGTTGCGAGTCTTTCGTCCCGCACATGCTGGACAGGACGCTCAACACGATATGCATTTACACCTGAGCCTTGAAACAGCAAGGGGCTGCGATTGCTCGAAATGTTGGTACCAGGGATATGCCTGCAGGGAGCCAATGAACGAGGACTTCTGTATCATGATGAATGGGATATCTCCGCCCTATGGCGGTTCCGCGTGAGCGGGGTAGTTTGCACGTCACGGCACAAATTTTGCAGATTCTAAATGCGGTTGTTACCTAGACTGAAGCTGAAATAAAAAAATCTTCACTTCAAGGGTCATATGAACTCTTTAGTCGTAGACGGGGGAGCTAGTGACACTTACAGATAGTTCATAATTCGATCCATCGGGGACTCGTAATCTCGAAAGGACGTGATACATATCTAAGGCAGGCCAAGTAAAGATCCATCGAAGCTGCAGCGTCTTGGTACAGAGCTGTTAGGGTTGATGTGGGGAGCTTCAGCTGGCGAGCCAGTCGGTTCAGGGCCGTGCCGACAGCCCTCCCTCACATGCCTGGTCTCTGCCTGCACAACGCCTTGAAGGGAGAGAGCTCGAGCAAGCACCCATAACATCGACTCCCCCACCCGATTCATCTTCCCATCATCTGCTCTTCCCAAACTCTTCCGAATCCTTCCAAGCATTCATCACCACGTACAGTACATGCATCACAATCCACCAGTCTGAAAGATTCTTACCAAAATGTTTTCCCTGTCGCCAAACGTCGGCCTCTTGGCGTTGGTCATCCTCCTCGTCTACACTCGTCCTACTCTTGCCTTCGGTGCTGGTAATATCGCAGATATCAGCAAAGCTGAAGGTGCTAGGTGTAGGTGCTATAGTCTTTTGATCTAACTTTGTGCAAGTATGAACATTTACTCATAATTGTTTTCTTCTAGGGCGTCATGGCGATATCGAAGATGTCCTCCTTACCATCCTTATGGCTCGAGGTGTAGGCGGCAAGAAATTCAACAAATTAAACGTATCCCGTGTCTACTTCGGAAACTGGCTTCGAGATTATTCTCAAGCCATTGACGTTGGAACTGTCAAATCAGTCTCTGCTGAAGCCATTCGTCTTCTCCTGTCCGTTCTCGGCTTTATGACATTCGGCTACGGTTCTCGAGAGTTCGAGGTTACCGCTGCCCGTCTCGGTTGCTACCGTCCTGAAGACCATATTGACAACCCCAAGAATTACGCCGACAATATCGATGCTCGTCAGTATGATAGAAGGCTCCGTGCTCCGGTTGATGAGGAGGTCGAGCTGGCCATCGACCCTGAGACTGGAATGAAGAACTACATTGCCAACGAAGGAGCTGGAATCATGACCTCCGCTAAACACGTTCGAGCACTGTTTTCCAAATGCATTGAACTCGGCCGTAGAAGCCGTGGTGATGATGCAGACCTTCATGAAGCCCTTCGATTGCTTGGAACTGGCCTCCATTGCCTCGAAGACTACCTGGCCCACAGCAACTACACTGAGCTGGTCCTCATTGAGTTGGGCGAAACCGATGTTTTCCCACACGTTGGTCGTGATACTAGAATGTCTATCCCGGGAGCTCGCCGCCAAGTTTACCCAATCGTTACCGGTACCTTTGGTGGTGTCGATTTCCTCCACTCTGTCACCGGTGAGGTTTCAGATAAGCTTACCCAGAATGAAATCGACGAACTCGAGGGAGCGCTTGAACACGCTGAAGCCAACCCTGAAGACAGTGTTCTCCAGGACGTCTTTAACATGATTCCCAATGGTGGCGATAAAAAGAATAAGATGAATGAAATTCAAGATAACGCCCACAACAGCCAGATGGAGAATGCCTCTATCTCACCCCGGGACCCTGAAGAGTTCACACAATACGCCCAGAACGTTTTCAGGCAAATTATGCCCGCTATTGAATTTCATGACAATCTCATGAAGGATCTTAGCAAGTTTGTTGAGAGCATTCCCCTCCTTAGTAAGATCTTGGAGAGATTTGAGCAGAGGATGTCCATGTGGGTCTTTACTATCATCGCACCATTCGTTGTCCCCATCATCAGACAAGTCAAGAACGAGTTACACTCCGGTTCCAATGAAATCATTGAGAGCAGCAGGAGGGAGCAACATATTGTCTTCGAGGATGACTATTCTACGGATCCAACCCATTCTATGTTATCTAAGGATCACTTTTCTAATGTAAGTATCTTGGTTCATGTTTTGCGTTCTAACTTAAATCATCAATTACTAATATATACAACCATAGGTTCTTAATGGAATCTCTGGCAAGACCGCTCAAGCTGTCGTCGGCTGGGTTGTTCCACAGATCATGGAGGCATGGGATGATGAAGGCGTTGATGTCGACCGTCTCATGACTCGCATTGTCAACGGTGTTCTCTACCACCCCGCCCAGCGTGATCAGGGTGAAGATGGCGCCGAGGAAGGTCGCCGCGTTATGTTCAGCTCCGTCGAGGGCTGGTGGAACAGCATGCCCGATGACGTAAAGGAGGAACACCGCCGATGGCTCTCACGAGAGGGCGTTGAGAATGGGGAAAACCACCAGGGCCAACTTGATACCGGGCACGGATGTGGAGGACCACTAAGCATGCACAACAATTTCGCCAAGGGTGGTTCGCTTGAAGATCGTATTGCGGGAAAGGTTGCCGACGCTCTCGTTGACAATATCACCGGTGGGATTTCGAGATATGTTAAGCAACAAACAGGTACAGATATCCCTGAAACTGGTGGTAGTGGTGGTGGAGACTATTCTGGTGGTGGTGGCTTCGGCGGTTTCTTGAGCTCCTTCCTAGGGGGCAGCTCTTCGGGAAACCAGGAATCATCTTACAGTCGCCAAGAAGAGACATATGTCAGCCGCAATGATGAGTCGGAATCTTATACTAGATATGAACGTCATGAGGAACGCAGTGAGGACTACGGCGGCTACGAGCAGCGCACCGAACGCTATGAAAGTCGAGAGGAAAGTTATGGAGGTCGTCGCCGCGACGACGAAGAGGAAGAACAGGAAGAAGACCAAGGGTATCGTCGCCGTCGCAATGATGATGAAGAGGAAGAGGAAGAGGACCAAGGATATAGCCGCCGCCGCCGCGATGATGAGGGAGAAGAGGAAGAAGACGATAGTTACCGAAGGCGCCGTCGGGACGAAGATGAGGGTGGGTGGGGCTATTAGACGAACACGCCAGAATGTGGCCGTTGCACACCCGATGCAGGAAATTCTGGGCTAGTCGCGTTACTAGTTGCAGAAATTTGTCACACGAGATAAGTACACGGAACCATATTTTTTTTTCATTCTTTCTTCTCAACTGGCAAATGTAATAGCCGCATTATCTTAGCCGTAAGAACAAGGAAATACAAGGACCAAGGTCACCCCACTGTCATGATATCGCGCATTACGTGTTGCATTTTTCGCGTTGTAGAAGAGGGATTAATTGATAAGGCGGGGAGGAGATGTGGGGGAGAAGATTGATTACGATAAATGCGGAGAGGTCCGGGGGGCCTTTCTGGCAAATATAAAAGCGGGGCCGTTCCGGCTTGGTCTGTGCTATGGATTTTTAGAATCCCATGAACCTAACGTTCAGAAGTTTGAGCACGAGAGCACATTACTGCCAGTGTATCGACCTATCCAGCGACGGTTTCTCTTCTGATTTTATAAACAAAAACGAAAAAAACAGTAACAATTTAGCCTTAACAATCATCCAAAAAAAACGATGCCGTTCGAAGCCAGAGATGACAATGTTGACCCTGACGGTATGCGCATATATGCTATGGTGTCGTCGACAGATCTTTGTATCTGCCATTGGGGGAACTGATTTGGAGTAATTCATCTAGCAATCGGTAACCACTACCACGACGACGGCCTCCTATGGCAAACCCACTATGCCGCCGTAGAAGTTTTTGACTATCCCCATGCGACAATGCATATGGTATGTACATTGACCAATTCAGATAGAAGTGTACTGACCTACTCCCTAGAATGCATTACTGACATTATGTTCTTTACCTTCTTTAAGAAAATATTCTGCCAAAGCTACTGGGGCGAACTTCACGACCTAACGTTTTCCTACAAACGTGGTAGTACTAAAGAACCAGAAGAAGAAAACGCATGGGAGACCAAATTCCGTCAATCCCTTGCCAGACCCGGTACAGACGAAGCCGCAATGATGCATACACCGCTCGCTGCAGTCGTGCGCTACGACACTGGCAATCCGACCACGCATTTGTTTTACATCAGCACCGGTTTCAAAATTAGGGAGGTCATTTGGAAGAATGGTAGTCAGACGAATGATTGTTTGGGAATTACGGTTTGTCCGACTAGTAGTCTTGCGGTGACGAAGTGGGGAGCGGGGAGTCAGACGCATTTTAGGTAATTGATTGTACTACCTTCTTTAAACGTCTTTTTTTTTATACCAAAGTAAGTACATCTTCTGATTTTTACCTTGGGGATATACTATAGGCTATACTACCAATCTAAAGCCGGCACAATCGAAGAGCATTGTCTCGATTGTAATGCTGGTACCTGGACGAAAGGCGCAACTCTGAGCGGCCCAGTATCCGCCTACGACGACGATTCTCCACTCCGCGGTACATCTCTATCATTCATCAATCTAGCTCAGGATAAACCAGAACTCCGTGGTTACTTCCAAACAGCTAAGGGTTCTATTCAAGAGTTCACGTACAAGGGTACCAAATGGTCAACAAGCAAAATAGGAGTAGATGCAGCACCGTTTAGAACTCCACTAGCGGCTATTACAGTAGAAAAGAACAAAATAGCAGCATTATACTATGTCGATGCATATAACAGGATTAACGAGGTATTATGGGAAGGTGACTGGGAGGGCTCGGAGAGGATAGACGGGGAGAGTGTGGCGCCCGGTACGAGGCTTGCGGTAGCGTCGTTGAAATATATTGGCCATGATAAAATTCATATGTTCTCTTCTGGGTTGGTAAATGTAATTACGCAAAGGGTATGGACAAGGGAGAACGGGGCGTGGGGAGATAGACCGACTATTGTGGATTTCGAGGCACCAGTGCAGGTGGAAGTTGAGCCGGGGCTTGATCCCGCAATCCACTTAACGAAGCCGACGAGAGATGGAAGGAGGGTTTAAATTTCGAGGATGCACGTGTGAAGTTTGACTGTTTCTCTTATCATTTTCATGCAATTTTTATGTCAATTTTTAACTATTGTGGACGGGAGTTCTCGGAATGCCCTTGTATGTTAATCCTGTGCGATTGTGCTAGAGCCGAGTCGCAGATTGGTATTGTTAGCTACCTACGTACTCTTGAAAGATATCATATTTGAATGTTATACAATGTGCATGCATTCTGCACTTAAAGTTCTGACGTGAAGCTGCAGCTCTTAAACCCGGCCAAGAAATCCCAAGCTTAAGCACCTGGTTCTGACGAATCGTATTCACGATTTCGATCTCGTCAATCGACAAACTAAACCCCTTTCCGTTAGGCTTTACAACCAAGCCTCCTTCAGACCCACACAAGCATGAAAGCTTCTCCATCATAAGAGAAAGGCAGTTGGGCGCGTGGGGATATCGGCCTCCTCGCGGCCCCTTGGCGTCTAGATAGCTTGTACATGTACAACTGTGCTTCCAGCCCCGTTGATAAACTTGGCAGCTGATGTCAAGGTTCGAGTATATGTATTTCCCTCTCGTCGGAGATTTCTTGTGGAACCCCAAAACTTGTTCTCCTTTTCTACCTTTAGCTTTCAATTGCAATTGGCAGTAAAATCATGACGTCAAATCACCAGAACGGCGTTGGTTCGCACCTTGGGGAGTCAGAACCTCTACTCCCTACCATTGAAATAAACCCAGAGGGCGAAAGTGGCCGTAGCGGTTTCCACCCTATTCATTTCTTCAAGGTCCTTTGGCGGAGTTCGAATAAAGTTTCCAGTGCTGTCAATTGGCTTTGGCCTCTTGTGCCAATTGCCATCCTGGCCCGTTATGTGCTTCCTGCAACGCCGCTCGTGGTGTTTGCGTTAACATATATCGCCATGGTTCCCGTGGCTAATTTACTCGGGTTTGCAGGCCAGGAGTTTGCTAGAAAGTTACCAAAAGTTTCGGGGATTTTGATTGAAACTACTTTTGGGTCCATTGTGGAGATCATTTTGTTTTTGACGCTTCTTGCGAAGCATAAGGTTGAGAAAGGCCATGCCGGGAACGCTAATATGATCCCTGTTATTCAAGCCGCTATCTTGGGATCCATAATCACCAACCTACTACTTTGCTTGGGGATGTGTTTCTTTGTTGGGGGTATCAGAATGCAAATTCAAACTTTCCACTCCGCTGTCAGCGAAGTTGGAAGTGGTTTACTGTTGGTAGCTGGGTTTGGTCTACTGATCCCTAGTGCATTTTACTCTGCTCTTAAAGGGTCGGCTGTGCCGGATCTGGAATTTTTCAAAGAGCCAAAGTACACCAACGGCAGGCTTCAACATGACGTCCTCAAGATCAGTCAAGCAACTTCAATCCTCCTAATTATTGCCTTTATTATCTACATTTGGTTTAATGCTCGGACCCACCATAGTATCTTTGACGAGGTCATTGAGGCAGATGAGCATAGGGATCTTGACCGCCATAACGATGCCGAGAAACCAAAGTTTACGTTTACTGAGTGCACACTTGCTTTGGCAGTATCAATCGCACTGGTCACGCTCTTCGCAATTATTCTTGTGGAGAAGATCGAGGATGTCGTTGAAGCTGGGATCCCTGATCAGTTTTTGGGTTTGATATTACTCCCACTGGTGGAGAAGGCTGCTGAACATTTGACGGCTGTAGATGAAGCTTGGGATGGACAGATGGTATGTGTTCGGTGTGCCAATACAATGCTTTCGGGGATATTATGCTAATCGATCGATGGTGTCGCCTCAATTAATATAGAATCTTGCGCTCTTCCATTGCCTTGCACCATCGATTCAAACGGCATTGTTCAATGCGCCATTGGTGGTTATTGTTGGCTGGGTCATTAACAAGCCTATCGATCTGAATTTCGAAATATTTATGATTACCCTCTTGGTACTCTCTATCTTGGTGACCGGGAATTTCCTAAGGGACAATGAATGCAACTACTTGGAGGGGGCACTGTTAGTGGTATGTATATCTAGCCTCTCTATCCCCATTGTGTATGAATATCGCGATACTATACTGACAAAATATATAGATTATATATTTAATTATGGCGGTCGCAGCTTGGTATTATCCAAACCCGGATGTTGCGTCGTCGAATGGGAATGAACTCCTCAAGGTCTTTGAGGCCATGAAGGATGCCGGGATGATGAACCGAGTTGAACTATAGCCTATATAAGAAGTATGGATAAGTATGCATGATGTTTCTTGAAGCATGATAATAGGGTGCTCTAGCCAGACACCTTACATTGACACAGTTCAATGTTCGAGACCAGACATGTTCAATTTGTAAATTAACATTCTTACCAACTTAGCAAGCTATCTTTGTTGGAGGGTATGTTAGCATCATACCTAGCTAGAGCCGGGAGCTTTATTTCAGTTATTGTTGGCCAATTGGACGAAATTATAAAATGCCAGAAGGCCTTTTGGATCTAGATACCTGGGATACCGATTAATATATGCATTGTAAGGCATGCGCATGTCTTGCAGTTGATGGCTACGGTAGCCGGTACCGGACTCTGAGGACTGGATCTGTTAAATTTAGCCTTAAGCTTACGTACTCGAAGCCGAGTTTCGACTTCGAATCTTTCCAGCCGCCGTAGCGAGCGAATTATTTCAGAACCGGGTGATACAGAGGCTAGAGCCTGTGTCTGTGCTGCCAGGCCTTGGCTTGGCATAGGGATTGGCTGTGTGACCAACACACCTTCTTGACAGCCCCAACCCAACCCAACCGGGTCAAAACCACGACCTGCTGGATGGAGCAGGTATCAGCAGCGGAAGGCTGCAATGGGAAGCTGCTACTCTCGCAGGAAATCGTCGAGCATCTATCATGATGCTAAGTGCAATACACTTATCTACACTTTTGGTCTCTAATTCTCAAGCTATCCACCGCATAAATCATCATGAACAGTAATTAGTTATGCTGCAGCATGCAGCAGCGGTCACGGTCTGTATGCGCGGTTTTTGTTGGATCTGGCCGTCGCTCGGAACTTCCCTTATTGAAATGATGGCGTCGTCAGGATGCAGAATTATCCTGACTGGCAGCACACGCAGCAAGGGACACACGCAGCTGAAAACTGAACACCAGCTGAATGGTTTAACAACATCGTCACTTCGGCCAATTCGAGTATGCTCTCAACAACGAGCCAATCATCTATTTCCATATATCTGCAGGGTCCTCGTCACAGTTTTATTTTTTTGGTCCTGAAAATTTCCAGCCCTTCTTTATCTCTGGCATGTGTGTACCTATGTATGACTGGGCAATGGTTATCTTGTATCATAAAGGGATCGTCCGCCGCAAGCAATAAAAGGGAAGGTACCTATTTCTCACGATACCATTTAACATCAACCCGGCCTGCCCAGAATGCTTGATCCTGTTCAAGCTTTCTGATTCCCCACTCTTTTTGTCTACTTTCAGGCACCGAAGATGTCGACAACCCATGCTTGACATTTCCCGGATACGACGGATAAGGCGCTACCTTCCCAAACGGGTTGCTTGATTGACGCTGCAGCTGGAGCCCGCCGTCGCGCGCGATACTACCTGACGATCTCTCACGTTCTGCTCGACGTATAAATATACGAGCGCAATGCGGTATATACCCGTTTGTATTATGGCTGTAGGCTCGAGCGCGAGTAGCCTTCATTTGTGTTCCTTACATTTTTATTTTCACTTTCATTTTGTTCTGTTCGATCTTCAGTAGGCGATTGTTGGGCTGATTGCAAATTTTTGTGCGCGCATTGCATATTGCACATTGCCATTTCTATCGTTATCTAGTCCTAAAGCTCTTCATACAGCGCCATCGAAGGTGACTCGGTTTGTCATTATGAAGGTCGCCTTTTTCACACTCCTTGGCTTTCTTTTCGCCACGGCGGCTCTGGCCTCTACGAGCTGGAACAAATCTCCGCAAGCAATTAAAAAGCTCTATGATGGATTGAGGGCAGAGGAATCCAGCCAGAACCAGGAGCGGTATACTCCTCTCAGAGACCAAATCCTTCGCAAGAAGTCAAAGTTTTATAACAAGAAGACGAAAGGTATTATCATCTCTCTATGGGTTTTATGGCCAGCTGGTGCCATCTAAATCAATTGCAAATGGCATGTCTAACGAAATGCAAAAATCTAAAGATTTCTGGGTCAATGGTACTCGCGGCGCAATCCCCGACGTTAATTTCGATATTCCTGAGTCTTACGCCGGCCTTCTTCCAATCTCTCCCTCCAAAGACGAGTCTAGAAAACTATGGTTCTGGTTTTTCCCAACCACTGGTGGTCCAGAGACGAAAGACGATTTAGTGATTTGGCTCAACGGTGGCCCAGGATGCAGCTCTCTTGAAGGTCTATTACAGGAAAACGGCCCGTTTACATGGCAATACGGAACCTATCTACCGGTGCCGAATAAGTACACTTGGGTCAATTTGACGAATATGGTTTGGGTTGAGCAACCTGTTGGTATGTCCGCCTTTCGAATATCAGGTTTATAGGGCTTATTGTGTTGACGGAGCTGTGTAGGAACGGGATTTACACAAGGAGAACCCAATATCAAGAACGAGGAAGAGCTCGCAGTTCAGTTCCTTGGCTTTTTGAAGAACTTTGTGGAGAAATTCGGCCTTCATGGCAAGCGTATCTGGCTTACCGGGGAGTCTTACGCTGGGTAAGTTTCTCTACTGGTTTACGGCCAATTCCTCATACTCAAATGTTAAGCCTAATATATATGGGCACAGAAAATATATTCCCTATATCGCCGACGCAATGTTGAACCGTACCGATACTAAATACTTCAACTTTAAGGGTTCTATGCTTTATGACCCAAGTATCGACGAAGATCTCTATTTGGAAGAAGTTCCAGTAGTTCCGTTCCTCGTACGCAACAATGCGATCTTCAACTTTCCGGACGAGGAGGTCGCCCAACTCCAAAAGGCGGCTGATGCATGCGGCTTCACAGCTATTTATGAACAAGGCCTAACTTTCCCACCCACTGGGCCAGTTAATAAGACTTTGATTCCAGCTAGGTGCCAACTCTGGAATAGTATGTGCAAGAATTTCCATCCACCTCCCTCGATGCCCACAAGGCACTAACCATCTTATTATAGAGGTATTTAATCGCGCTGTAAAGATCAACCCTTGCTTCAATATCTACCACATCATGACAACTTGCCCAAACCTCTGGGATGTCCTTGGTTTCCCAGGATCCTTCGGCTACCTCCCCGAAGGTGCAAAAATATACTTCAACCGCCCGGAAGTCCAAAAGGCCATCAACGCGCCCCGTGTCGAATGGGAAGAATGTAGTTCGCGAGAGGTGTTCGTCGGACTCGATAAATCACCATTCCCTGTCCCCGGCGGAGTTCTAGCTCGAGTTGTAGAAAAGAGCGAAAGAACGGTCGTTGCTCATGGATTGTTGGATTTTATATTAATAGCCGATGGAACTTTGATATCCTTGAATAATATGGTGTGGAATGGGAAACGAGGGTTTTCGAAGAGGCCGAGTAGGAAGTTTGTGGTACCTTATGATAATCAAGGAGAGTTAGGGGTATGGTATGAAGAGAGGGGGTTGACGTATATTGAAATCAAATTGGCGGGGCATATGGTGCCGCAGTACCAGCCCGCAGCGGGGTATAGACACCTAGAATACCTTTTGGGACGGGTTAAGAATCTGTCCAGGTAAAAAAGGGGTTCTGGTTCTTCGTATTAGATTCCTACCTTTTTGGGGGGCTAATAAGCTATAGTCTGGGTATGTTGCCTGGAGTATACGTATTTGGCTTTTGTTCTCTTATGCATATGCTTGATAGGGTAGGGGGGTTGGGGTATTGCTATTGTATATTGTATGAATATGGCGGGTTATGGTGTACGTATTGGTTTTTTGATACCTAGTTTAGATTAACTACCCGCAATGAAAAAAGCACTCTTCCTTATAATTTTCATTGAACTATCATTATATTCGGCATAGGGAGGCGAATGGGTCGAAGGAACCATTTGGCATACGTAGGTCTACCCGCAGTATTCGTCATGACCGTCTTATTAATGTATTACAAACCAGGTTTGTGGGGCATGCATAGATAATTCATTAACCCTAGTGATACCGATCGGCACGTAAGGCATAGCCATCACAGCGACAGGTTTAATTTCGTATAAGTGAGAGATTGCCTTTTATGACGATAGGTTTGCTCGGTTATCGTATAGATTCACCCATGAGGAGACGCTCATTCTTTGATACACCACCGCCGGTGAAGGAAAACTAGTTAGTGAAAAATAGAATTGAAAATTTAAAGAGGACGTATACTAAGCATCGTGTCGGGGAAGTACAATATCGATTTCAAGCATTTTTTGTCTAAGCCGCTAGCCATATGGATAAAACTCTGAGGGATATAACAACATCCAGGAATTTTTGATATACAAAAGGACACCACGCATTACGCTTGATATATAATTTCACAAGAGGATTTTGAAACTGCTTGCATATACAAAGAAAACAATGAAACTGTGATAAAAAAATGAGACTCGGATTGACAAAGGGAATAAAAACCAAATGACAAAAAAAACAGAAGGAGATTGAATATTTCTCTTAATACCCGCTCTAATTTAATTAGTGCGCGAGAAGAAGAGCTAGTAATGAGAATATGATGAATAAAGATGTTAGAACAACCGAAGGATCAGGCTATAGAATTGAGATATATAGTATCTGATTCTATGCAAGTTCTCTGTATGAACTAGTATCATCCACCGTTGCATGACGCTGAGGAACCAAGTACGAAGATCTATAACTAGAAGAAACCGGAAAAAGAAATCCAGAAGAAATATTAACAAATGAACTGAACAATAAAGATGGGACCAAATGTGCAGCCTGTATAAAAACAAAAAGGCAAAGGTTTATGGTTTTATGCCATCAATCGTGAAACTTAGAGGGAAAGGTTCCGGTATATATATGTTGTTAGGATATATATACCGTCAGTCTATGGTGAAGACGAATATAGACATAGTATCTCGAGGACGAGGACACTATCTGCGGGAGCTGCCGAAGGGCTTTTGCTCTGCAAAACTTCTGCTAGATAGAGCAGATTCGATATCGCCGCTGGAAGTCACTGCTTCTCCATCTTGGGGTCGGTCTCTGGAGATGCCAGGAAAAAATGTTATGTTGGCTATATGCTCATAATTGATCGCAAACGAAAAAGGGAAGCAAATCATAATTGGGGAGGAAGAACAAGGGAAAAGAAAAAGATATTATGCTTACCTCCGAGTCAACTCCAAGTCTCCCAGATCCTTTCTTCGCTTCCATTCATCAAAGAGGTCGCCGTAGGGCTTGACAACCAAGTAAATAACCACAACGGCAAACATCAAAAGTGCATCGAAAATGTAAAGGTAGGCTTCGTTCTTCATAAGAGGACCGTCGTGAGGCATGATATATTCGATAACTCTGAATAGGGATCGAATGAGGATGAGTCCGTTGGCAAAGTACATTGTGAAAAGGTATTTGCGACCCTTGATCTTTTCGTGAACATGGGAGGGCGATTTATTTAGACGATTATGGAAAAGAGTGGCGATAATGATGAATCCGCCGAAGAAGAAGATTTGAATAAAGAGACCACCCATAACAACCTTCTGTCCGCGGTCGGCCCCTTCTTGATCACCCGCAGCCATCATGCCGCCTCCTGTTGTTATTAAGATATTGGGTTAGTATGGGTGTGTAAAAGTTTCGTGAACTGTGCGTATCTAAGATCTTAGGATGTGAAACCTAGAGCTAAACGTACCTGCACTCTGTGCAAGGAAGGAAAGAACATCGCCAGTAACGAAGAATGTAGTAAGCCATTTAGCCCGAATGATAAGGAGGTTCTCGGCGTGCAAAGCGATTGCGATACGGCTAAGTGTCATATAGATCGACGCGGCGAAAAGAGCTGGGGCGAGCAAAATAAGGAGCGATTGCATGATGAACCAAGTAAGAGAGTAGAAGTCATAGTAAGATCCGATACGCCCTGCATAACCGACCATTTGGACTATTGGTTTTTAGAAGAGAGATAGAGGGTTAGCCTTTAAATTTGCGAGTGATCTACGTGATCGCACGTATGGGATTGTGTTTTCGGATCGACGAGAGATAGCGACATACAGAGTACACCAATAACGAAGGGAATGAAGTACCACCCCTTGTATTTGAAGAGGCGATAAATGTGGATGATGCTGCACACCGCGAAGAGGATAACGAAAATTATCGCTGCGACCAAGCTGGGCCAGTAGTAATATGGAACCCAACCGCCACGGCCATTTGTTGGCGAGGTGTCGATAACATGTGAGCCCATTATGCGACTCTCTGTATATATATGTCGAAACTCAGAGTCGATATACGTTACGTAACTTAGTTGCGTAAAAATAGCTTTGTATTGATCCGACCTAAACTAGTCCAAAAGCCAAGGCGGTAGAGGTGGAGAATGTAATTTGTAAGATTAATCGATTGACTGAGAAGGATTATAAAATGGTAGTGAAAGTCTTGAGGCTCAAATCAAGGGGATAAAATATATATCGATGTAACCATGGAAAGTTGCGATTGAGGCCCTAGAATCACCACCAAAATATTGGTAATGGGATAATATGGAAATCTAGGAGAGGGTATTTTATCGTAGTAGATTGTGTATTGGTAAACATAGAATTCAGGAGGAGCCCAAGGTCTAACAGGATACTTATAGAATCTGAGAATCGATAACGGTTGGTTGTCGACTAACGTCTAAATCGGGAAATATTCTATACGAAGACCGAAGACCGATATAAAACAAGGTTGCAAAGTAAAACGAGAACGAAAGCTTATCCGCCACATAAGATTCGTAAGCTTTTGGGGGAAGGGGATTTTAAAAGAAACTAGTTTTGGGAGCATGCGCAAATGAGAAGTCTGCATCTATATGAGAAGAGCCTTTCCGGATGCCGAATAGGCCGGTCTTCGATTCATTACATATCGGGGGCTAGATATGGGGCACGTTTTGCGTCGGGTCCGCAGCAGAAAAATTATATTGAATGCGGCTTGGCCACATATTGATCCACCTTAATTTCTACCAACGGACAAGAATAGCTGCGGATGTAACTATCCCCGGAAATTTAATTTCAGAGAAAATCCGGAGCTATGCTTGCATGAAATCGTGGCGACTGAGCTGTTTCTCGAATAGAACTATACGCGTATAGAAGCGTGTTGCGGCCTCTATACGGTCCCAAATAGGAAATTCAGCACTTCGACGTTTATACGAGACAGGGATGTGGGCCAGAGCTTGGAGATTAGCATAACCTTCGCGAATTCGACAACTAAGCTTAAGGTTGAACTTAAACGGCTGCCGAGGCGAATTATCTAATCGGCCCGGCATATTCCGTTCTTCGAATAACATCTCCCGAACGTAAGCAGTTGCGTAGGCATTAGCTTGGCTGTTTTGGTCTTCGATACGTCCCTAATGCGGAAGTCTTTGCGGCAACATTTATTCCAGCTTAGTCCGCTGAATCCTGACCGAACCTACTGCATTGTCAGCAGAAAAGTCGCCCCCAAGAAAATCTTCTTGCATTGCATCATTGGTTCTTTCGTTCTTCTATACCTCCTTCGTATATCGCAAAGAGTTCATTTTCATCTTCTGTTACTTAAGCTTTTGCTTGTCTGACGCAGGAACACAGATTGTGATTTGATACCCAGTCTCGTTTCCCGTTTCACGTTCCACTCAGGCAGTCCCAATACGTTTTGCCCAGCAGGTGCCATTAAGAGTAAACCAAAGCTAGTCGGCTATACGATATACGAGCCTGCTAGAGCCATGTCGCCGGTGCCGGCAAGCCCTGCCGATAGCACCGGATCAGCTGTACCACGGACACGGCGCTTTCATAATAAGAGCCGCGCCGGCTGCAGGGGATGCAAAGAGAGGCGCATTAAGGTACGCAATTCCGATCCAATCTTTCGAATCCTACCATTTCGTATTTTGCCCCCTTTCGCGTACTTCGCTAGCATATCGACGACAACGCAAAAATACGATAAAATACAACAGAGGACAATTAATTCCAACATTAATTAACTTGGATTATGGAGAAACTACCATTTCAAAATTCAAAACGGACCCAACCCTGATAATAAGATAAAAAAAGGCTATGAAAAGAGACATTTGGGTCGACTGCTAACATTTATGGCAATGAAATTGGCAGTGCGACGAGGGACGGCCAATATGTTCGAACTGTATCCGTCGAAGCGCCGCTTGCGAGTACGAGAAGCAGGCAGAGGAGGCCAGTGATACTCCGACCCCGACCCCGCCGCCCGCCGAAAACCCCGCTGCAAAGTCTGCATTAAGACCAAGAAAAACGCGAAGGCGAAATGAAGCCGATGCTCCCTCAAAGTTTACATTTGTTGATGTGAACAAGTCAATCGCTAAGAAAAGAAAACGCGATAGATCTGACGATGGTACCGTCGAAACAACGGATGCGAGTCAGAGCAATAGTCCAGCGACGACTGAAGATGCCGAGATCGTTGTTGGTTCGCTACCCGTTCTTTCCAGCGCTGTGGAAACGGCATTAGAACAAGGGCAGAGACTTGCAGGAATTATCGTTGTATCAAAGCAGTCAACTCTGCTGCGGGGGGAGAACGAGTATATCCCAAGGTCTACCACAGCACCGGTTGCTTCCGGTGATTATTCAGACTTTAACAAGGTTGAAATCAACGGGTTTACATCCCATCCTCCCGGTTTCGGATACAGTTCTCCGCGAGTAGCGTCTTCATATTCACCGGTGAGCTCAATTTCACTATGGCAATCCTCGCCTTCGACAGGCTTGCGACAGGGTGGTGTTGGCGTAAAAATAAGTCTGCAAGATTTCAACCTCATCAACACCTATAGAAACTTTACATGCCAAACTTTCCCTTATGTCACCCCAAGTCGTAATCCGTGGAAGGCGCTGACTTTCGATCTACAGTTTAAAGTATGTCCCCTCACTTCAGAACTAATGATATTATCTTTATATCGGAACAGAATATTTCTTGCTCAGCCTTAACATACAGCTAATGTTGAACCTATCTCTTTAGAATCCATATCTTTACCATACAACTATCGCGATAACCGCAGCTCATGTTAGGTACCTACAAGGCGTCGCCATTCCTTCCCTATTGGAGGTTTCGCACTATGTCAAAGGTCTATCTTCTTACCGTGAATGTCTGGCATCGTACACTGTACCTTCTCTCACGATCTCAAAAACGGGCGAGATTCCCGTTGAATCCCAAGGACTATTCGCCACATCCGCATTGCTCGGCGCTTATATGTGGGCAGCAGAATTAACCGACATCCATAATTGGCTCATCGCAAAGTTTTCAATGACTGTAGGGACACGAGAGATCATTGATGGTGTCTGGGAAGCAAATCTATTCACGGAGTTTCGGGAAGCTGTAGGAGAGTCATTACAAAAAGTAACGACAAAACTCCATGAAGCGCTGAAATTGGGATCGGATGGTGGTGTTATGCTACCAGCGCTCGAAGCTTTAGCGACTGGCCAGGCAGCATCCAGATTACTACTCCCTGCAGCAACTGGGGAAATCGAGGATACTGATGCGCCCGCCGAAGAGGATGGTGAGATAGTCGGTGCTTTGGGACCAGAAATCTACGACATTACGTATGCCTGGGTGGATCGAGAAGAATGTCCGTTTTATAAAACTTCAAATGGCTCCATGGTGTCAGATATTGGCAGTCTACATCGCTTGGTTTGCATAATAACCGCATTGGAGGCTCCGGAAAAGCTATCAGATGAGGCTATGATAGCGTTGGTGAGAATGATATCTATGTGGCCAGGTTTATGTTGCCATGTTGTACTTGAAAAATTGAAGGAAAAGGATAAACGGGTATATCTACTTCTAGCGTATTATTACGCTGCCGTGGTCAAAATGAAACAAGTGAACATACCGACAATGCATGATGTATTGGATGAGAAAAGTTGGTCACCACCTGCGGATGAGGTACTAAGATCTTGGTGGCTGATAAAGAACCCGCGAATTATACTAAGGAGTATTATAGATTGGCTAGGGGAGGATTGGGTCCACTGGTTGGAATGGCCGCTCAAGGTTTTGAGAGAAGAAGAGGAATCAGAACGAGTTAGGATCGAGACGCTGTGGGAACCCACAGCCACAAGGGAGGATATGAGTTTTGCTTAGTCGTGCGAACCCAAGCTAGCGCTGCCCAAATTTCGCATTCTTTCTTTGTTTATTTTACAACAAAATATTTGTACTTTAATTTGACTTCATAAATTTTGGGTTTCAGGTGTATGTATGATTGAGGGGGTGAGAAATTATGCCTTGATGGCACATTCGGAAAGAGTTTCTAATTGATCGTAGGTCTCATACTCAAGAACAAGATCTAAAAGGTATCACTAGGGAATCTTGCTCCACCCTGCTTTCGAATCTCATCCAAGATGCCCATAACCCTCTCTGTCTCTGCCAGTGGTATCGTCTCATTCTCTTTTCTGCCATTTGCAACATCAACGGCTACAGCGTCAGCTTCCCAGTAGAAGCCCCTCCCTGGTTTCTCGAACTCATACAGCTTTCCTTCGCCTTCTTCATCATGCAACTTCACTATAAAGCTCTCAGGCGACGATGTGGGACCCTGAACAGTAATAAAACCCTTACTACCCTCTACTCTCGCAAAGGTTTTTTCCGTTCTGACATTTGTTGTCGAGGTTAATATCCCATGCTTGCCCGTTGACGGATAACTTAGGATCCAGCTACTCAATGTCTCGACACCACCCTGTAAAGTTTGAGCTGCCAGGACCTTTGGGTGTTCACCCTTGCCGACATTTTCTTCTAGAGTCAAAAGGCCCCAAGTGAGACTGTAGATTCCAATATCCAGGAGCGACCCGGCTCCCATGCTTAAATCCTTCAGTCTGCTGCTATCAGGCAGGCTGGCCACATCGTATGATAACCCGAAATCGGCAAATGTGCGCCAGACCTGTCCGATGACCTTCTCTTCGTACAACAATCGTCTTAACTCTTTAACAAGTGGGTAGAATCTTGTCCACATCGCCTCCATCAGAAACACACCCTTCTCCCTCGCCAGAGCAGTAACTTCCTTCGCATCCGCTTGAGTCAGCGTAAACGCCTTTTCACACAGAACATTTTTTCCTGCGTTAATGGCATCTATGCAATTCTGCTTATGAAAACTATGTGGTGTTCCAATATAGACTACATCCACATCGGGATCATTGTAGACTTCTGCGTATGAAGCATAAATTTTAGGAGTGATGCCAGAGTTGTTGGATAAGTTCGGGTGAACGTATTCATCGTAGAACTTCTGTCCCTTAGCGATTGAGGATGAACCGATAGATTGGATTATGTGGTTTGCACGTTTATTCGGCCAGGATGGGAGGAGGAGGTCGCTGACAAACCAGTTGGAGATCATGCCAGTTGCTATAATTGTTAGTATGAAACTTGATGAAACTTGGAAGATCGAGGGATTATAGTTTGAAGTTACCGACGATGCCCCAACGGACTGTAGGAAGCTCTTGTGCCATGGTGTAGGTTTGTGAATGGAATTTCGCTCTTGAATATTTTAATATCGCGAAGTCTGGTGCTGTAGTTGGTGATATATCGATAGACGGTGGGACGAGCGATTTGTGTATATACGAAGTTGAGATCCTATCATCAACCTCTATATATACTTCTTAGACACACCCAGGCAGTCATTGATAGAGCTAGTGGTACCCCGCGCCATCCAGGATTATGGCGCACCCCGACACGGGCGTTCCCCATCCGAAGCTTGAATACCAGGTTCAAAACGGTTTAGCAGATCAGATGCGACATTCCGCGACCGCGACCGGATAAACTTCGGCTAAAGTGTAGCTTGGCTTACACTAATTAATTGCATCATGTGTTCTCACCAGCAGCATAATCGTCGACAACACCATCTGATCGTCTGTGCAGCTGTGGATAACAAGGCTTCTCTGAACACGAAGCAACCAGCGCAATAGTTTAGCTTGGTCGATATCTAAAGATCGATCGTCAGCGAGATCGAGCCCAGAGACTCGAATCCGGTGCGCGTGCGCAACTGTAACTGTGTAACCATAAAATTCACACACCTCGCAACACGGATGGAACAACTTGTGCCTGTGTTGCATTATTAGCAGTTGGCCTCACGGAGGAAATACTATAGCCTCGGGAATCAAAGTTATACCGTAATTATAGATTATGCTAGCTACGAGTATGCTACCTAATTCACTCGATGTCTATATCTAATTATATCTCGAATTGTTAGCGTGTTTTCATTTACCACAGTGGATTTAGATTGTCCATTCTATTACTCATAATATACGCATCGGTCCGTCTCAAATTTAGAAGTCCAACAACTTGAATCTTGCACTATATCTCCCTTCAATACCAAGACAAAGATCTTATGAAACTCGGGTACCCAACATGTATATATATGATATTCAAGAATCTAAGTAGCATATGAAGGCTACTGTTCTATTTCATGATCGTAGCTTAACGACGTGAGGTCTACCTGAGATTATCCTTTCCATATTAATATGTATATGTTCATATTTCTTTCAGTTTCCTTCGTATTTGACGTGTATGTTGCTATAGAACCATTTGTTTCCGAAACTTTGAGCAACTTCGCCACTATTTCCGGTTATTTCATACACTATATAATTGACCTCAAACACATTTCCCCAGTGTATCTAGCTCGGGAAACAAAGAATCAAAACTAGATATCCACTACTACTAATATATGTCTCATAACTATTGTCATGTATCAATCCTCAGTGGTAGTACTAGTGTAAGCCTTTGTATTAACATATGGAGAATTTGAGCACTGCACTGCGGTCTCGTCGGTATCAATATTTAAATCTGGGACTTTACCAGCCAAGATACCATTCCTCCATCTCATCATCTCCGACTATTTTCCCTGCAAAAAATCATATAATTTCCCACCGTAACACGAAGACCTTCGTTCCGGATTTCGAGCCGCATAAGATTCCCGATTACTTCACTTCCATTGAGATCGATATCGATAGAGATTGAAATATAAATCCGTCTGCTATACTTGCGCACTAGAGTATTGATCTTAGTGAAACTGTCCTACACCTCGGACTGTTAGGTTACGCATAAGCTCGCCACCTCCAAACTACATCCAATCGGTTCGATCTAACAACAAAAGAACAATTGCAATGCAGTGGATTATTACGGTTATCAACTTCCTTCTCATTTTCATCCTCCTCATCTTTATTATGAATGTTCTCAAAGTGTTGGGCCTTTGGAGAGGCCGTCGCTAAGGTTAGGTTTCACTAGAGCCTTTATATAGTATTTATCAGGGCAGTATTCAAGCTAACTTTTGATGAAACTAGCTCTAGCAATCCTTTGATTGGAGAGGATGGAGTTCAGACGAGTTAAGGCTGTAGCGGGATCGAAATGTAATTCGATCAAGACATTATTGTTTTATATCGATTCTGGGTATATCGAGTTTGGGGATCATTTATGCATCCACGTATCAAGTAATGAAGATAATAGTAGGTGGATGGATTCCTTTGGCTTCAGAAGCCAATATATCAGTATGTTCATTAGGGCAAGAAAATATTTAGCTGTATTCTCGGCAAATGAGTCTACTCCCGCCTTAAGCCGGAAGGAAATCAAGTACGCAATAAATCATATTTTGTTACTCCACTGACACTGTTATATTTTGACGAGTCCTCAAGAAGATAGCATAATTGGATGATGAAACAACTTTAATAAGAATAAATCGAATTTTTATTGGATAAAGCTGAGACTCTCTTGATCTAGCGATGTTTGCCGTATTTGAATATACCTTCAATTCATTATTTTAACTACATATTATCGATCAAGTAACCTTTGTGATTCCAGCTACAGCCGTTCTGGGATGCTTCGCACCCTTGTATTTTACTATCATTTACTCGATTGTCTCAACGTCTGGTCTCAGCGAACGCCATTCGTTCCACTTTTTGAGACATGGTTCGCAGGAGGGTACAGGCTCCCCTGCATATACTATCTGGGTCTCGATTTCTTTGGGGCAAATGCACTTTCTTTGAGGATGGTAAATAGGAAAACTTGTTTTACAGTAGTCGTGGATGAAAACGAGGAAGCACATTGTGGGTATTGTTCTATTTGGGTATAGGAGGGAGTTTTTATTTCTTTGGATTTGAGCTATCTATTCGAGTTTGTGGGTTATGCTTACGACTTCCGAAATAGTTGGTGGAAATGTAGGAGAATTCAAACTGGAGATTCGCTAGATTTTCTGGATGATGTATGATAGGGAGAGGAAAAGTAGTCGTAGTCCTTTATTCAGGATTAGCTTTCTATACTCTAGAAATCGTTACCTCACGATGGAACATAATACGTACGAGAATGGGCGTTAGGTTCAAAATTCAAAATCTTGAATAACCGCTTCCGGGTCTAGATACGAGACAAGATAACCGTAAAGTTGAGATATCTGCAACAGATTAAGTGGTGGTTAGCTCACGATCTTATCGTCACGAACTTGAAGCTTGTTTGCTCTTGCCTCAAATGCATCGTGTTATTGCGTACAGCAATGAATCAAGCTTGGGTTTGTCAGAAATATGGTGCTGTCGACATGGTTGCTCAGAAACATATTTCATCTCCCTAGCCACCCCAAGAATGTCTTGACCAAATCAGTTGCGCGGATTTTTCCATCCTTGTAGTCCCGAACTGCTTCCTTAAGCTCGTTTCGTGTATGTGCTTCAGGTGGGATGTCATCTTTCTGTGGGTCACAAGGCTTATACCCCCTGGTGAGGACACAAGACGCGACACATGTTTTGACTTCGATTAATTCGGCCTCCTCGTTGCACTTGCAGTCCCCAAAAGGACCCGGGGTCAATTTCTCCCATTTGTTGAGAGTTTTCTTGCAATTGTGAAAGTACTTCCAGTGGCACATGTCGCGAACTGCTTCTTGAGGTGTAGGAATGTAGTTTAGTCGGGTTGAATATGTCAATTGCAATGGTGGATTGAGAGCTGTTCAGTTTTCAAGTTAATAGGTTCGTACATAGCGGCGCGTGTAATGGAACTGGTCTTATGGTGTAATATCAAAGCCAACTCGCATGCTGAGCAGAGGCTGCTGTTTCTGGAGCATAATGATAAAAATAGAGGCTATTGCTAAACTCATATATGGGTACCTTGTTTCCTGAGCCCGATAGCGCAAAGAACTTGTATACCCTGATGCGAGGGTGACTCGTTTCTACGTACTACTTATACTTCATGTAAGGTACAACACTCATGACTTAGCTCCGTATTGAAACGGTTCGAAAGCTGACCATCTACATATGGTGTTAAAATATTTGAAGGGCTATGTAGCTTGATTTCTAAAGGTCTCTCGACATCTCTTCTGCAATATCTTCCACACTAGGAAATTTTTTCAAAGCTTCCCAGAGAGACGTGACCACAGAAGATCTACATCTCATCCAACCATCTATTCCGAATATAACAAACTTTAGAGTCTTTTCAATTTTCTCGAGGCCATCTAACTCTGAAAATAACAACTTCAACCCGTTGAAAGTTGACAAACCCAAATCCTCCTACCAACCCGCTAAACTATCAATAATATTGAGATGTAGTTCAAACTTGACCCAAATCTCCTCAACAGCGTCGACGAATTTCTGCTGTGCACCTTCGTCAAATCTAACGGTGTACCTAGCCTCAATTTCATCCTTCTGTAAAGGCTTTTCCGATTTATCATAATATGTGCAATTGACTATTAAACAAAGCAAGGCTTGTTCCTGAGTCTCAAAACTGTTTCCGGCATAATTGTAACTAGGAATCCGGGCTAGCCATAGGCCCGCACTTGCCATTTCGGGGTATAGCCTTTCCAGTACTTGAAGATATGCGGAGATTGTCTCTCCGACTTCCTTCCAGACCCTCAGATCAATCTCGCTGCCATTTTGGGAAATGTCTGGAAGCGTTTCGTTGAACATTGGGAGAATTCTTTGCAATATTATGCCGTAACGCTCCAGCGACTCCCCGGTCCCCAAAACATCTTCTTTCTCGGAAATGGGACAATATTCGGTGTCTATGTAATAATCATCCATAATGCGAAGGATGCCCGAGATCGGGGATTTAAGTAGTTTGATAGTATCGAACCAGTAGGGTTTGTATTCAATACTCCATTCTTGGATCGGATTTACGGCGCCAACACTAGTAACCATGCATTATTATTACGACGAAATTCCCGACCACCTGGCTAACGGATAAGAACGCAAGAGCGATAGCTACCTTGATGAGCTGCAAAGCAGCAATATGATCATCCACCATACCTCTCTCAGAGGCGTCCGAAGCACCATATCTATCGCCTTTTTTTTTAGCCACTTGGCTACATGGTTATTAATAATATGTTCCCAAGTCGTCATTTATCTGTTGAAGTTTGTGAAGTGGGATATATCTATATTCATATGCCTACGTATGCGTACATAACCACATGCAACTTTTAGAATGAGAGAATTATACCCCGTAAGAGCTTGTTTGCATTTTCTTTTAATTCAAAGATACTAATTGGAGGCTTGCTTCTCCAACCCCTCCGGAGTAGGGTTTCTACGATTTATCATATTGAATTATAGTATTCATGCTACATTTCTTCCAGGTCTGAGCATGAGACAAGTGCGCGCGTTCAAAATTAACGTTTTAATATTTCGTGGAAATATCGGTATAGTACCGTGAATTGAGATAAAACCGCTAAATACATTTCTTCGCATCTACGGAATCTAACCGTAGGATGCATTATTGAGGGAAACTCTAGAATCCGCCTAAGTTACACTCAGAAGCTCGGAAAAATCTCGATAAGTCTCCGTGCTTGTTAATTTTCCCAAGGCCAGCCTTCTCCAGGCCGCGCAACTAAAGTAGATCCCTCACTGATCGGAAGAAAAATGCTCAAAGATTTTATAGAGTTGGCAGCTCTGATTAGGCTATCAAGAGGGGCCCAAATTTTCCAACAGTAAACCCAATTGTCAATCCTGGAGATCACAGATTCGATAGTACTACCATGATTATCAATCCACCACCCAGGAAGTAGACTTTGGAAATTGTAATTCCGATTGTCGACGGTAACAGCAAACCACTCGAGGATTGCCTTATCCATTTCGATTTGAATATCTAGGACCCTTCTAAATCCATCTATAGTCTTCGTGAATTCTTCTCTGCCCTCCGGATCTACGTCTACAGTTACTGCAACGGTGTTTGAAGCGGCGAGTATATCTGCCGGGTTGGATCCCGGAAACGGAATAGGTTGTCCACGAACGTCATAGGAGATGCACTTCCATATAATACAAAGAAATGGCGATATATTCTGTGAGAGCGTTGTAAAGGGTTTGTCTATGACCGGCATATCGTCGAACCATGTTTTTGAAATAAGCATAGTATTTTGGAAACCAGAGACAACTGAGAGATATTCTTGAAGTTGATCTCTCAAATTCGAAACCAAGGCAAGGTCTTGCGGACCCGATGACGCAATCGGTGCAATCCCAAGCTCCGACAAATCCTCACCTCGGCTTATGAAGTCCAATGCGATCTGAACCGCCGGTATAACTGCGTCTAGTTTTGCAACTATATCGCCGATCACACTGGTTAGGGTAGTTAGGGTTGGTGTTTCCAAATCCGGGCTTTCGTTACTATCGCTAATTCGACAGTAGTTATCTTGTAGCTGATGGATAATTGTCGAATTCCCTACGAGATATCTGAGTGGTGTTCGGTTGGCGATGACCATAGGCAACCATATTGAATCATACGGTATTGCTTTCCTCAACGCCGTCACCCTGATGGTCAGAATTAAGATATTAGGTTGGTTCGGCTGTAAAATTTCAGAAACCCGAGGATACAATCCTTGATCACGAGTTGACCGGTTTTGGGAATTTTAACTTTTGACTTACGAAGGGAGAGAAACAAATACGAAAAACAAGCCGGTTAGAAGGCTTGGGAGCCCCAGATAGCGGCCTGGCCTCCCCATTTGACCAAATAATAGAAATTGAATATGGCGATCTACGATTTGGTTTTATGAGTGGCCCTTCGACGAACCGCGAGAAAATGCGTGCTTGCACGTGTCGGTGTGACGGAGGATAGATATCCTTTAGGGTTTTGCATGGGTATGATCATATGGGATATCGATATAGCGGTTCGAGACCTTAAGAGTTAGTTTTGTTACATACGTAGAAGTGATACTGCGTGGGTTTGGCTGCTTGTTTATAACTATATCTAAATAGATTAATCAACTCAAGGCCTTCCGTACTTTAAATACGAAGGTCTAGCCGAATTTGAAATGGGGATATGCATGGAGCTCGGGGTCGTTAAAATGGTGAAAGGCCCCCCAAAGTAATTTGAAGGTTAATTCATTGTGCATTATTAACCTTTCAACTTGTCTCTGACCTAGCCTTTTCGAAAGAAAGGTAAAAACGATAGTAATTAGCGGGGAACTAGCCCAAAAGAGGAGGGTAGTTTATCTGATGTGGGGTGTTTGAATCTTGCTTCGAGAAGTATACACCGCAGTGTTTTCCTGATCCTCCCCGTTAGAAACCGCTACCGCATACACCGTATACGCGTATTATTACGATCCGTCTTATAGACTATGGAATCACACCAGCCGTCACACGAGATGAGACGGTTAAATCGCGCGGCCGGCGCTAGCTATATGTTTGCATGCAAATACAAGTACGGTAAGGATGGGTAAGTTATGGGTTCGAGGGAGCTTAGCATTAAACCTAGTTTCTTAAACCAGACGCCATGAGGCTTAGTTCTTTCCATTATTGCGGATTTCACCCTCACGGAGGAAAAAATATGTTATTTCATTTGAATATGCTGCCCAGAATATCCTCGACGAAACGTATGAGCAGACGTTGGTGTTGGAACTAATTGTGAGTGTGAAAGAGTTGAATAATTAGGTAGTTTAGACTAAGGTTATGTGTGTCAACTATTGACGTATTAATAAGTCTCATTGAGTCGTGTCTGGCGTTTTTCGATCAATATATCTTGTGACCGTGACAAGATAGGAGGTCATCGCCGATTCTACGTGCTCAAGTAATAGATAGCTAGATCCAGGCTCCAGATTCTGAGTTGCCTAGTTTCCAAATAAACACCGCCGCGATAATGAGGCGATAGACGAATGATTAGTCGTAATCCCAAAGGTCAGAACGTAACGAAGCGGTGGGGTCCTGCATGTGTTCCTCTCCAGCCGAACGATAGATCTCGGCCACGGCTACGTTGGATTTAGATCCTATGAGAGCGGCAAAAGTGTTGAAGTTTTCGCTTTCATGGGTTCTAGACAGAGTTAAACCCGGTGGGGGTAGACTTCTTGTCTCCAATTCTTCCATTGATATCAAATCTTCTTCTTGCTCGGCCTCTAATTCGAAGGCCTCAACCTCGGAGAGTGTCATACCCATATCTTCGTCGTTATCACTCTCACTAACGGGCTCAAAGAGTGGACTATCGGGTGGAATCCCTTCCCAAACATCGACTAAGCGTTCAGGGGCATCTTCGCGTGGTCGGCCATCCTCCTCGGATTGAAACGACTCCCAAGCACGAACGAAGAACGAAAATATTTGACGGATGTATGTAGTATCGTCGGTGGCGACATGTTTGTGTAGAACCGGGGCGGTTGGGTCGTCAAAAGTATCGAGATCGACAAGGTGGTAGAAGAATTCGTAAAGGTCGAGGGGCATCTCGGGGAGGATTATTTTGATGAGTTTATAGCTACTCATAGTGACCAAACGAGGCGGAAGGGTGGCTTCAGGGAGAAGCTTTCGTAGAATATCGTAGGGTCGAAGGTTACCGTCGTGTGTGAATAGAATCTTGTGACGAAAGTTGAAAGCTTTGAGGTCATTTTTCATTTGATGAATCGTGCGACGTGGGACCTCAGTGGACCAGAAGTATCCTCGCATATTGGCAATGGCTATGTCCATTCGTGTAACATCATACCAGCGACGTGACATTGCACCAGTGCACTGGTAGTCTAGAACAAGGTCAAGCCATTGTATCATCGATAATACTTCTTTCCCGTTACGAGGATCAAACATTGCAAGATTTGCCTGATAGATGATTTCGCCACTATACTTCATCAAGCAAACCTGAACAGGCGTCCGGGCGAAGCCAATTTCGAGATAGTCGCCGATGTGGGTGTACTTGACATCGAAAAAGACAAAATCATCAGTGTTTTGAATGGTAAGAGAGTCAAGAATGCCATTATCGAGTTTTTCCTTGTAAGCATAACTCATCTTAGCTTTCAAAACCTCCCAATCCATTTGAGGGTCGTGCTCTACATTAGAGGAAAAAATATCTGGAGGCGGAAGGGGTGGTGTCGGACCCCTGATGGCTTCTGAGAATGACCCAATACGATCACGGAGATTATCAGAAGAAGTACTAGTGGTCAAAATTTCGAAACGGTCGCTATCATCAGTGGGTGCTGAATTAATGGCTTGCAGGTATAACTGTTCAAGCCTGCTGGCAAGATCTTGACCAGTCGGACCTAAATCCGAGAACTCGGTGTTACCCGAAACTTCTGCTTCAGGAACCTCGGTGGGCCCCCGGTCAAACTCCTGAAAATGCTGGAAGACACGTTCCGGGAATATCTGACTGGCTAATCCCGAGGAAGCACGGCTGGGTGGTGACCCGTGAATGTGACCAGGCCGATGTATGCCCTCGTGAACATCCTCATACTGGCCGAGAAACCCTCCAATCTCAAAGTTATGGCCACTAGCTAGAGTAGTCGATATTGGAGATTCACCCTCTCCAATTGGCGAAGGCATCACAAAGGGTGACGGAGACCGGGCTTCATCGGGACTATGTTGAGGTGGCGAAGATAAGGAGATCAAATCATCCGAGCCAATAGCCGGGAAAATGGAGATTGCCCCTTGGTCAGACATATTAGCGGTGAGGTGCGATTGGTGGCGGTAAAGCTACTTTTCTTTCGCTTCAAGAGCCAGATGAAGCTCTAGGACCGAGATCGAGTGATGAGGTTTTCGAGGCTTCCAAGGAGAGAATATCCTAGTCCAAGTCTTTATAGGGAGACGGGAGGCACTGTGGCAGGATGGCGATGACGAAGAAGAGATCTTGGAAAAGAAACGATGCCGAGGGTTGAAGAAGTTGACGTGGTCAATGGTGGAGGGTGCTGGAAGGGACTGTGTTTCCACTTTGATAAATTTGCTAGTTGCTGCACCTCGACATCTTTAATAACTAAACCACCATCCAGCTCCTCCACTCTACCGTCTCAGCAACAGTCGTATGACATCCCCAAATTCCAAGCCTTGTCTACAAAATTTTGTGAAGTAATTCGCCTTTCCAAGACTAATCCAAGCTTTATATTCTCGAATTAGCCAGTAGCTTCTGAGAATGTGTGGTATTTTGCGTGTTGACCGACCTTCATAGCCTCGATCTTCTCCTCCGTGTAACGTGATGGTAACGCTGGCCCCGGTGGCCAGCTTCAGTTACTTCCCGGAGAACTCATAGAAGTTACAATGACGGGCCATCATTCGTAGACCCGTGATGAATGGTCGGTCATCTGACTGGACCATAGCCGCTACCATAGATGGACGATAGCACACGGTCATCGTTCATCACGACTCTAATCGAGGCAAGCGAAGTTCGAAGTTACCACGACTGCCGCAGTTGTGGACCCCAACTGACGTCGAGGCTAGATACGTTCGCCTTCGAGAAGTTATTTTAGTATTTACTATGAGAGTCTAGGTGAATCCAAGTTATACTCAGGGAGCTCACCAATTTCGGCTTCGAAACTTCGACACATACCCGATATCCGCACGGCCGAAGCCTGCAACCTCGAAGCACCAGTGCACAGCCGATCAACTCACAAAATTGCTACCACACTTCTTGATTCCTTCGTGGAAAAGATTTCTGTGTATTTCCTAGCAAATATGTTATTTTGTTGTCCTTATGCGCTGTGCTCTATTTACAAGATGAATAGGTTTCATTTTATAAATTTTAAGCTCGGTTTATCGATTATCTCGCAAAAGAAAAAAAAGTTCAAGGTGATTGTCTCACGACTGGTTATGAATCGACCGAAAAATATCCGTTTCGCATGCGTGTTAGAATTGTATATATGGGTAATGATACAGGTTTTACGCATTCGGAACCATTGGTTCGTCAGGGAGATAATCTGGGAGGGAATCAGTAAAGAAGCAGGATTAGATGACACTCAAGGTCGTCCTTAGGACTATCCTAAAGGTCTTGCAAGGGAAGATACATTTATGCCTAGACATCTAAATATGGACTCGATATGAGACATTTCGGCTGCGCAGCTAGTACGCCTATTTTACCGCCTCTGCGTTCATCGTATAAGTGAAAGGCAGAACAAGTATAAACACTAGCGGGAAAATCCATATTCTACATGATTTTTATATACTTAATAGAATTCCGATTAACCTTTAGAGGACTAATGACCGCTACGGTGGTTGAAAAGTTTTCGCTTAACGTCTAGCTAGCACTGGAACTGTGTCAATATATATATATTCAATAAGCCCGAATTATTATCATTAAGTATATACTAATATGTAAGTAAAATAGGAAAATCGTGACCAAAGCCAACTTGGAAAACCTTGAGTTCCCGAAGTTGACAGAAATAGCACATAAAACAGACATCTACAGGACTCGCGAACGAGAACATTAAATGAAGCGCTATATACGGCTATGAGTCTTTGCAGAGTGAAAAAATCACCCATTATCAATGCAGAGCGGAACTTTGGAGAGTCCGTTTAACAAGAATGATCAGGGCAGCCAACGTTGGTTCCAAGGGTGTTGCCGGAGATGTTGACGACTTGGAAAAGAGCGTTAATGACACCTCCAATACCCTCACCAGCAATCAGACCAGCTGCAATGCTGAAACAATAAATCTCGAACCCAAGAGGCCATTTCTTTTGCCAGAGGTAGGCGATGGTAGCGCCAATGCACATAGCAGTGGAATATTGTGTCTGTGGCAGCAAGAAGCCGAGACCGAGGACCATCATGTTTGGCATGAATTTCGCAGCCTTGGTGTGGCCAGTCGAGTTGAGGTAGTGTCGACCGATGACAACAAGAACACCAACTATGGAAATGACGATGGCGAAAATTCCGGACGAGGTAGGGATGGGGAAGCTCGGGTCAGTCATGGCGACCGCGACCGCGCGCCATGCAGAGACTGATGGAGCTAGGAAATCGCAGGAGTCCGAGAGCTCAAGGTCGACAATACACGGATAAGCTACAAAATGAAACTATTAGTACAGCTACCTTGGTGGTGAATATATTAGTATCTTACCTTTGGTGAAGAGGACGAAGATCGAAGGAGCAAGCCAGATGCTGACGAAGGAGCCAACACCCTGAGCATACCACTGAACACGTGGTGGAGTCCTGAGTAGGAAGCCGACTTTGAAGTCGTTTACCAGATCGGTAGACTGAGAGGCTGCACCAGCAGCAACAGCACCGGACATTAAGTTGTAAAGCTGAGCGGTGTGCATAGCAGTTCCTTGGCCTTTAGTGACACCGCCCATAATGAGCTGCGAAGCCTTGGAGACAGTGGTGATAGGAGTGATATCGGTAGCTCCAGTGCATTGGATAGCGAGTAAAGCGAAGAATAATCCCAGAATAAGAGATAAGATGGAATAACCAACTGGGAATTGATATTGGAGGCCAAGGACGACACAGGTGAGAATGATGACACCGACACATCCAATACCCCACATCCATGTTGGCACCTGGTCTTCTTTGGGCGAAGGGTCTTGCATGGTATCACCAGAAATTGGCCTCGCTGCGATCTTGGCAATGAATTTGTTAGACTTTCCGTGGCGTTCTATGAGTGAATTCAAGCGCTTGGCTCCCATGGTTGTGGCAGCGCCAAAAGCCTTTCCGATGATCTTATAGTTCACTGCGAGTTCGGCAAAACTGACGGCCATCATGAGAAGGACACCGGGCCAAATCATCCAGTAACGTGGAGAAGGTGCGTTCTTAGGATCGGCGAGACGAAGCCCGTTGCAATTCCACATGTCAGGGTAATTTTCAGATGCCCGTTGGCAGAAGGCAGCATCGTATGCTACAAGGGTTGGTCCGATGATACCCCAAGCAATGATGGAGCCAGCGAGGAAAGAGTAGGCAGCGTTGAGACCGACGAGCATACCGCTACCGATGAAGGCAGGAGTCCATTCAAGGTACCAACCCCAATTGACCAGAGCAATGGCACCCTTGCCACCCCAGGTGTAGACCCACCAGAATATGTGCCAGTCCCAGAGGATACCAATGGCATACTGTGAAACAACCCTCTGGATAAAGGCAAAGATAAAGGCAATAGAAAGACCCTTAATTCTCTTCTTAGCACTTTCAAGTCCACCGGTACTCAAGTGCATGCTGCGAATCGTTAAAGCAGTGGCAGAGGCAGTTGGGTAAACCAAATTTAGTTCACGGGCGATGTGGATAATGAAAAACTTTCGTACTGCACGTCATGTGAGCGACTATCTTGAAATATAAATCGATGACAGTGTTCTTACATGGAACAGCGAATGTAAATCCGAAGTAGGCTGAGACGGCAGTAAAGGAAATGAGCTTCCAGTAGTCGTCGGCGGGATTCTTGGAAAGGAGATTCATCTGATACAGGGCAGGAACAGCGGAAACGAAGATCGTTCCGAGACCACCGGCAGCTGTAGCAGTTGTCTGAACGATATTGTTCTCCATAGGTCCGAAGTAGCCACCAATCCATGGGATCTTGGTGAGAGAGATGAGCTTGATAATGGCGAAGCCACCCAAAGCTCCCAACATGTTGGCGGTAAAAGTCCATCCTAAGCAAAACCGTTAGAACTTATCAATCCAATCCGTAATATCGGAATCGTCGTAGCCATCCAGAAAATAGTCAACCGTACCTGTCTTAAGACCTATGATATTGCAGCGGGCCGTTAGTCTAACCGTGTTGTGGTGGCGTTGGATAACGTTACGACCAAACTCACCAAGATAAACATTGCTAGCATTGACCAAAGCACCCAGAACACATCCCACAAACAACGCTCGGATGGTCAGGATATTTCCTTCTTCTTTTGCATTTTCGTCGATTGGAAAGGGAGCATAGACATCAATGTGAGCCTGCTCAAGTTCTTCTTTGAGGTCATCCGGTACACCCTCTGACGGCACGATCGAGTCGCGCTTCTCAATGGTAGGCTCATTGACGGTACCATCAATGGCCGGACCCGAATAGGTGGTTGGTAGGCGGCTTGCCTCGATATCTTCGACCTGCTTTTCCGACATGACTGGCGATGTCCTATACGAAGTAATTGGAAAGGGAAAGCACAATTGTCAGCTCAGAACAAGAGGATCAGAAAATTTTCTCGCATGGCGAACAGCATCGTTTTATGTTTCTCCCTTCTTCTCTTGTCTCTCCTCGAAGGTGCCCCGGACAAGACTCCCCGCGTAGAACAAGGTTCGAGAAGAGGTGTATTCTATGCCTATCTCCCATCGAAAATAGGATGGTGGATGGTGGCACCGAGTAATCAGACATACCTCCAAATCTCACCCCTGCATTCGCTATCAAAGGTACCAGAACGAGCGGTCAAAATTCGAATTCATATGACAGCTATCGGCGGGGTATGTGCGAGGCAAAACGACCAGGCATCAGAACACAGAAACAAAATCGATACCTCGGGCTTGAGGATTGGGGGCCGCCATTTGGTTGGTTGCAGATGACCATTTCGCGATGAGAATGATTGTCGCTCGCGCCCTAAACCTCCGCTCCTGGCTATTTTTCGCCGCTATCGATTACCCTGCACTAAAATTAATACATGGGTTCCCGAGCCATCTTAGCGCACCAAATAAATGTGGGTACCGTATCCACAGAAAATGCGAAAACCACCACCTTCCAGATCAGGACGTTCCGTGCTTTGGAGGTTTATGGTGTGGTGGGATTTATTCCTTCGAGTCGAAGCATTCCATATGGAAAAATGTACTCTACTTGCGGCCAACGCTGGAAATCAAGAACTCCATCAAACATACGTCAATATCGCCAAGATGACTTGCCTGATATTTGCAGCATCGATCTCCCGTGACTGGCCAGATAAGAAAAAGCCTGTTCTTCAATTCCACTGGTCTCACGAGACTGTTGACCCATTGTGGCCCTGGTTGTCTTGAAAAGGTTTTTTAAACTTTTTCAATGGAGAGACATCTGATCCAAACAATGTTTCCAACTGTGAGAGTCTTTCCGATATCCTGCAACGCCACAACTAGCTGCTCACTCGATGCTCATTAACGGGACCCTTTACCGCGGGAAACTTGTCAGCCAGCCGGTACCGAGAGGAGAAAACGCCAGCTCCAGGGACAATAACGTGCTTTGTTACTTTCTCTTTTGATTTAAGTTCGAGGGTTCGAGAAAGAACATTCGCGATATCCAATCTAGCGGGTCCTCACTACTACTTTGAAAGGCATGTGATAGAGCTTTCAAAATAAATTTTTAGAAAAAAAAGAAATAGAGTGGCGCGAGAGGCAGGCGTCTCGGGTCTGTTCATACGGGATATGAAGGCCAAATCATAGAGAACGGTATGATTCTTAGGTAATTCATCAATAGTACTCTTCTGATCAACATCTTGAGTTCTATGTGCTGTCGACCAGCGCCAGAGCGACATTCAAAACCTCGGCTTTTTTAGTGGCATTTACATGTACATGTACATGTCATTGAAGTTCGCAACTTCCCGTTACGGGCAAAAGTGGCGAGCAAGCCCTCGGAGCCACGAAATAGAAAAGAACATTCGATGGCCCGACGCTAACCCAGCCAGCTCCCCCGCCTGCCACGAGATTAAACGAGCCTCATGTAAAGCTTCGGCGCAAGCCACCGCATGCGCCAAGTCGGGAGACATCTGCAAAGCATTTTCTGAAGACAAACCATCGGGCATCTCCATCAGAAAAGAAATATGTCTAATGTGCGAGAAGATCAAATAGTCCCTCCAATCACTTGCAGAACACCAGCTCTTGAACTAAATGTCGCCTATGATCAACCCTGCGACTTCAACTTATCCTGTTTCCAGTTGGATTAACACCAACCGATACCAGAACCGATCTCCACAGTTAGGCTGCTGCCTAATCTTGAGGCCAGTCAACATCAAACCACAAGCAGCTTACTCCATCTTTGCAACACAACACGACTTGGCTCGTGATTTGATATTCATGGCTTAATCTTCGGAACGATGGCGTTACTAGCTTTGCAACATCGTATTCGATTAGGTCTCCACAGGTAGACGTTGTTTGGTGGGTCGTTAGAATTGCCTCACTATCTTGCGTTCCTATCACCAGCGATCGCCCTCTGCTAGTATGATCAGCTTTACCTGTACTCCGTGCATACGCAGTACACAAACCCACCTACCCTTGCAAGCTTTTCCCGCCGGTCCAGTATCCTGTCGCGTGGTCCAGGAGTCGACCCGTAGTGCATGTAGTTCTTTTTTTTCGGCCGCACTAAGTGGGTCTTACCTTATTCTGACACCTTGCCTTTGCTCTTCGAATTTATTCGGTATTTAAGCCGAATTTCAAGTTTAGAACGTTTTTATATACCACCATAACCATGCAATGTTACCCTTGCGAAGCGGCTGCCTAAAGACCCAAATCTTCGAGTTATTGCATTGGCGCCCGAAGCTTGAGTTCGACTAGGTATGGATAAATGGCTTCATATCGGTATACAAGTTTTGCAAGGAAAAGATAAGCTCCGTTTAGTCGACCATACCTCATACAACCCCCCACTTGGCGGAATTCAAGCATTACTTACCTCGAGAGATCCAGGGCGGCTTGATCTTAGACACTGGCTCTTAAGAAGTCATATTATGAGATTTCCCGATAACCCAGTCTGTCAGTGCAGAGACATGAATCGAACAGAACCTATAAAATCACCTCAACTTAGTATAGTCTCATAGCATTCCCAGCTTAGACCCCCAGCTTATACTAAGCCATTTGGCTTATGCTAAGACTCGGAAGCAACCTCGATACATGCCAGTATTTTAGCCAAGACTCTCGTATTCTATACACAGATTTTTTTTTTATTTTTTTTTATTTTTTTTTCGTAGGAACGTGACGTTTGGTCTAGCCCCAGGAGCTCGAGCTTTATGGAGTAACGTACGCTGAACTTAAATCATGTATAAGTACCGGATGCACGGCTGATATTGACCTTCCCCGTACCGATTACGAAATTGGGAAGGTCCATCTCGGACTGGGCGCCACATCAGAAGTGATGATTATGAAATCATTACGGGAGTGAAATTTCTTAATAGTGTAAGAATGAACAGGCTGCTTTAGCAATCCGTGGATAAGGTGATGTTGAGTATGGCCACCCAAACTACTCGACACATTCTGTGTCCAGCTGAATCTTCACCCCTCACGCTAGACCTGGGTTCCGACAGGAGTCAAAAATCAGGTGTTATCTTTCCATTCTTCTCCACTAGGGAATGCTTTCGTACCGTCTGTGTTTGATGTGATCATCATATAGCCCATGGGCAAATTGCCACAAGCTCGGGTTCCGAGGTGTGGTAGCTAGATTATTATCACAGTTGATGCATCAATGCGCATGGCGAGTTCATACCCGGTCTTAACCGTCCGCATGGTATGGTCTAATCCAACGATTGTCTCAACCCATCAACTGTCTTAATTCTATTCTGATCCTTCACTGCCGATGCAGCATCATATTTGTTCAAGAAAGCTTAAATCTAATCTATAATGGGTATTCGCCTACAGCGATTGCCATTAAACTAGGATACCCATCAAAGGATCTTTGCATCTAGATTGTGATAGCAAGCATACGGTCCACTAGTCGAGCAACTTGCCTGGATTACCTTGAATTCTGTTTGCTGAAGCTGTTTATCAAATCGTTATTAATATAGTAATATATGTACAGGGTATCTAATGGTATCCTAATAAGTCTAGTAGGACCATAAATTTTCTATAGATATCTAGATTTGATATCGCGCTATTGTCCACGCTTCCATCCGATATGTCACCAGTATTTCAACCCGGTAATCGGATTTATAACACTGTATGTTGTATTTCCTCCAGCGATATTGTTGATAATGTTCATAGTTGTCTGGTAAGATACTCGGTTGTTAGTATGGTATCTAGGATAATGAAACAACATGGCAAAAACAGGCAGCAGCGAATGTGCCGGCTAGTTACCCCACATTTGCTTCAGGGATAGCTTGGGAGGGTACATACCACATGCTGCTGAGTTAGCATATTGCTATAGTATGATAACGGCATCTGAAATTTCGGTGGATTCCCTGAGACCGTCGTACTAGTGGGTGCCGAACCGTTGGAAGTCTGAAAAGTTGTGCTGGCACTACCATCTTGTGGCGGCAAAGGCGGTGGTTGGATACTGGTTTGGCTCGCTGGTGCTGAATAATATTGCGGCAAAGCGGGTACCATTGCGGAGACACTTGATATAGCAGGCAGCAGCGATTTGGTAACTCTGATATCGTATTCTTCCGAAATACTTCGTATCGCTTCCTCCTCTATTCGTGTGGCTCCATTTAGTGAAGTTTCACATTCGGATTTGGCCGCTATTTCATTTTCTGGGGATTCCGATAGCCGGTAAGCTAGATAAGAATTTATGTGTACTCTTCTAAACCTCAGTAGTCGCTCCTCTAATTTCTGTCGTATATCGTAGTGATGTTTTAAAGTGTCGGTGGCTTTCGTTCTTTCTTCGTGTGTCGACTGGAATTGGCCTTTTGATTTTATCACGTCCACCTCCGCTGATGCTTTAGCAATAACAATATCACAAGCATACTTCTCGAGCGCTTGAGCCTTTTTGACAGCTATCTCCAGATCTTTTAGAGTCTCAGTCAGTCGCTCGTATTTTGACCTGAGGTAGTTGACCGCTTCCTCTCTTGCCACCTTCGAAAACCATCCCTCGCATACGCTCACATGTTGATGGTTTCCATTCCTTTGTGCCTCATAAATTTCTTTTGCCGCCCACTGCTTGTTCATCTCATCAACTAGATCGGATAAGTCCTTATAGGTTTCTTCCAGTTTAATAGCTAAGTGTATTACAAAGTCCAGGGTATCCACCAGCTCTCCGTCCGGAGTTTGATATTCCCATCCTTTAATTCCAGATCTAGCATTATACTGCGCAAAGTGTCTCGCTTCGTTCACGATTTCATTGAAGTCGGCAATTTTCTGTTCGTAAAACGCCCTTTGGGGCTTATACGATTCGTTCTCCCATGTTTCGTATTCATGGGTACTAGTGCACAAGAATGTGTTATATGGGGGGTTTCGGTGCGTATCCGTATATGCGGCGAAGCGTTGGTAATAAGGCAATAGTTCCGGATTTTCGAGAGGGTCGTTTAAGGTAATATTAAGAGGCAGCAGATCCGATAATGTCGTGCCTGCAAGATCTTCTGGATCTATATTCGTTCCCGTTCCAGCTATAGTACCGTATTTTCGACCTTTCCCAGGGATGATACGCAGGGGGGTTATATTTCCGCTACGAACACAAAAGCAATTGCGACCTTGAGCTCGGCAAGATTCGCACATGTCGAAGTCTCCATTAAGACATGTACTGCAGTGGTATACCATGCCAGAGAAATTATGAGATTTGCAAATATCGCAGATGTACTCGGAGTTTTCGTCGTAAAGGGCGGTTTGGTTTTGTAATTGCGCCGTGTCATTAAACTTCGCCCCACAATCGCTTTGATAGGTCCTATAGGCATTATAATCGACCTGATATGCCATTCTAGTATTGCAATTATGTATAAGTTGAGGATGAACAATTATTGTGATAGATATCGCGAAGTATCTGGTGGGGCGTTGGGGGGGCCTTAATATAACATTATGAAACCGATTCGATTGCTAATGCTAATTTTTTTGTTCTGAGAAGCATTTCTATCTATATATAAAATCCTCCTCGATAGCTTGCAATGGGGGTTAAGGTTTAGCTGTGGTCTTTATTACCTAGTTTGGTAATTTTGTCCCGAGGGTTTGGTGGCGGTGCTCTAGCTAACTAGATTAGAGGTACAAACATTGGAAATACAAGAATTTAAGCAAGCTAAGGCATTTAGATAGACTCTACGGAGTTACAGCCCGAAGGAACTTACTACTTTAAACGGCTAAGCCCTTTTGATTTTCGCCTGATCGCGTTCGACGTTGGAACACGTTATTAATATCTCGATCGAGTGTCACGATATCTCTTAATATGATAGCATTGAAAAATGCAACAATGATATCGTGTTGTTTATCGGCGAACTGACTTATAACCGAACCGGCCGGACGTAACGTTATAACAACCACTGACAAAGGTTAATTTAGCTTCGGGCTAATCGGACACCATGGTTTTAAACAGGGACTTTCGAAAATTGGTTCCAAGTTGGGTCAATATCGTGATCGGTCCGGTCGGTCAAGTTCAAGCGCTTCACAAATTGATCCGCTCCGAGCCTGGGATGGTTCCGACTTTATAATTTAGCAGCGCGCGCATTGCATCGACTTCAAATTAATGGCAGCCAAATTCGAGTTCATTAGTACTAGTTAGCTACTGACATGTATTTACGTACATAGAGGCGGTAATAAGCAGTAGTCTTCAGTTCTGATAGCGAAATAAGCCCACAAGTTATGAATCACGGAACGTTGGTGTGAAAGCTCGCAAGTACGGGACTAGAAATTTAATGTAAAAAACGTATGTTGATCAATGACGGGCCTTGTAGACGCTGCTTATATGCCCGTACCCAGACCACAAATTAAATAGATGCGAGAATTCGTTCCTTGTTTCAATACCCAACGTCCACAAAAGGGCTTAGCTCCATGGTTCGGCTCGATTTTCGAATATTTTATGATAACAGCAGTTGCTATTAGCCGGGATTCTCAGAATTGGTTGCAGCCAACCCCTTAAGTAAATAACGGGTTGGCCGGTTCGGTTAACGGTCAACTAGCGAGCCCGACTCCATATTTAAATATTTATAGTCGGAAGATTCTGAGTTTCTTGACTAGACACTGTATAGTAACGATTCTTCATGGGCTATTTCTTCGCAGTGCTTTCGTCCTTCTACAAGTATTTCCAAAATCATGGCCTTCCACTTTTTGAATCCGTTTTTTGTTTTCTTTTTGATTCAATGGAAATACGGAATGCGGCTTTCGCTTTCACCGCGCTGGCTTGGTGTCATGACATTAATCTCTTGGCGAATGCACGCCAGTATATCTACAGGGTATCTAGAGTGGTGTCGCTGAACTCAACCGTCGGATTCCTCCACAAGACGGGTAATTTGGAGATTTGACGGTTTCCCGCCATGCACAAAAAGGTTGACATATGCCCATTGACACATCACACCTGTGCAGAAAATCTAATTTTCTCGCCATCAATTCTTGCCTGGGTCCACTTCAGCCCCAGAGGAAAGCGGAAGCAGCTGTGCCTCACTGCCCGAATCCCGTGGCAATGGGCTCGAAAATTCAAGATAAAAGGGCATCGTGGTGTCCTTGATCTTTCTGAGTTCTTCTTCAACTAGCAGCTGCGGTCTTCGGTCGTTATTCAGCCATGCCATCAGTTCGTACTTTAGTAGGCGCCGCATTTTGCGCGTCAATCGCGCAGACGGTTACTGCTACTCCCAATCCCACAGCATGCTACGCTGATAATTGCCTGAGAGGTAAGCATATCCGAAGTCATCGCTATGTTTTGTTTAGCAATCTAACTTCTTGTGTAGCATTGAGGGGTTTCGGGAGTAAAAGCTACGCCCAGGTTTCGACGGAATGCTCAAACTATGTTTGGTCAACTGTGACAGCTCAGTCCGTTGTGTAAGTCGCTCCGTTTTTGTTTTCCCCCTCTCTTTAGGGACGTTTCTAACGCTCGTTTTGATAAGTACTGTTTCTGAAACATCGACGGTGGGCACGACTATCACAACGGAGACCAGAGAGATTGTTTATGAAACTTCCTATGCGGTTGTGACAGAAACCAACCACGATAGTACTGTGCTTGTCACTCAGACATATCCCGACCCCTTTAGTACCGTCAATGCCCGTGCCATTGCTGCGAGAACCTTGGCCGAGAGTCCTATACCAACATATGCCTCTGTATGCACTAGCGGCGCGCGGTATGCCAGCGCTTGCTCCTGCTACGGAATCTTCCCAAGTGTGGCTACCGTTGCCTCGACCACAACAGTCATAGAGCTTGTAACTACAACCGACTATGTCACTGCTTCCGATACCGCTGCAACAGAGGATGTGACGCAAACTGTAGTTGAACCTACAACGACAGTCGTGAATGTGCAGTACACTGCTTTCGCGGTTGCTGTCACTAGTGCTGACGAAGGCTTCCCCCGCGAAATCTTCGAACCAAGCCAAACGGCGTTGTACATAGATATGACCTACGGTGTTTGGGAAATCTGGGGTGGACGTGGGGGTTCAAGCATTCGTCAACCTGACGGGAAGGTATATTATCCCAATGTGGATGAAGGTGGGAGGTGGTACCATTATTGCACACCGACATACGTGGATACCGACACCGGTGAAGTCTACCAAGCACCCACGGGCTCTATGTTCATAGACTCTTTCCCCGGTGCTTCACCCTCTATTACGGGGCAGGAAGTATACTGCAACTGGGATTCCAATAACGATCTTCATTGCAGTTGTACTGTTGCTGGAACGACCTATACAAAGATGACATACCATGCCGATAATACCGAGAAAACAGAGCTTTTACTGAGGAGTGGTGCTCTTCCTAGTGGTGAATGGGAAGTCTTCGCGAAAGCAATAACTACCAATCACTGTGCCGGGAATACGGGGCCCCTTTGCGATGGCTGGCATGATCCCAACGATGTTCCAATCTGGACTTCTTGGAAGGGACGACGTTCATTAGGTCGAAAAGTTAGAGCATAATTAGAACACAGTCGCAACGTCATTTAGTAATATAATTTATAGTTTTATTTTCCTTGAAGGTTCCTAGATTCGTACAATAACCTGAACTTCCTTGGGGGCGGAAATCACCTCAGTCTAGTAATATATATGAAAGCAAAACGAGGCTGCTATGATCGCAGATGACGGGTCTAGTGTAGCAATATTATTACCATTACACTTTTTTCAGAATCTTCGTGAGCCAAGCGTAGGAGCTATGGTTTCTTAGGTGTTTCTGAAATGTATTCAATCGTAAAAAGGTGGACCGTGAGTTCCCCATTTCATATCTTATTCTCAAGTTGTCCGGCGTTCTGCCATACGCGTATGCGACCCGCTTTACTACATATCTTGGCACGCTCGGGACCCCGTATACCGTTGGAGTATTTTACCAGGTGCGGGAATTTGCCAACAAGATGGGAAACTTAGGGTGCAAATGAATTTAGATGAGTACCAGGTACCAGGTACCAATTTATGCCCTTGAGCCTCACTTTACTATTCCTGACACCAAGCCAGCTAGATATCGGCCTGGAGACATTTTTGAGATTATTTTTTTTTACACGTATACACACAGTTGGCCACGCGCGCGCGCGCTTGAGCAATTGATTGGTTAAGGTGCTCAAAGCTTTTAGCGGTCGGAACTGCAACCTTACACTAAAGTTACTTGATACTCTAAGACCCCCCACGATAGTGTCTCGCCGAGTCAACATTTAGTATAACTCCGGCTTTTCGTGGAGGCTATCCTGGCGTGCATGTTGATCAGACCAAGTACTGTGGGGCGCGCTTGTAGCTGTGGATATCGATACTAGTTAGAGGTAGATATGTTAGGCTTGGAACTAAATGCCTCCGAACCAAACTTCGAGCAGTGTATGGTATTCCGTCAATGGTTTTCTTCCCTAAATCGGGTTATTTTCTCACATTCAGGTTGTATTTTCTATAATCAAAGAACCAATTTTAAATTTGCCTGTATCAGAATACGTATATCCTGTGGAGACTAGTGGATGCCAACGTTAGTTTCGCTTCATCGTGATCGATATTGAGCCATTTAGCGATTTTCCATCGTGAAAATGGATGCTCTAACGATAAGATAAATAAGCGCTAGTTTGCGCAGAATCCAAACGTGGAACCCATGTGGGACCACAGCCTCAAACTTCTATTGTTGAGAACGAACCTGCAGGACTTTTGGCGGCAGTGTACCGACGATGAGAAGCCAAAATGAAGGCTTGCAGCTTATCTTTAAAAATCGCGCTGGCTATATTGTGGGCATTGCTCATTGACGTGCCGAATGTCAGTGCCCGTCGGATCACTACTAAGCAGGTACAGAAGGCACCACCGGACGACATGCTCCTCGAGCACGATTACGAGGTTACTGAAGATGATATGACAGTTGACGTTAGCGTACAGCGCTGGACGGATACTTCGACTGAATGGATGGATGATGGATGTATGAATCTGGAAGAGTCTGGGGATGACTGGCTACTCGAACAAATCACGTATAACCCTACTAGGGTAAATCGTAAGAGCTAACCGACGTCAGCCTACCATGCATAATATATTTATATGCTAACTCTGAGACCCCAATCCACGATTTAGCTTCATATCCGTACTTCCTTGATGGAATATTAGTTTTCAATGAGTACTTTTGTCAAGGCGTACCTCTCGAGCTCCAACTGGGGGACTTTACCGATGAAAGAGATCTCGAGCTTGGGAGCCCATGGAATAGGCCTTGGGAGGACCCTAAAAATGGAGCGGCCGAAGAAGGACATAACCTTGTAACCTTTAAACTGAAGATGACAGATCCGGAGATGAAACTTAGGCCCGAAACCCTCGAAGAGATCCAGCTACCTGGCACGGATCTTCCAGAAGAGCTCCGCCCTCCGTTGAAAGAAAAATACACGGATGAAACTCAATTCGATATTGATACAGCTACAAATTGGCACAAGGCTTCGGCATGGCGTGGGATGCAGCATATTAAGAATATTTCCAAAGAATTATCAAGAGCTGAGGCCGAGGAGGAACAAAAATGGGATGATGTGGAAAGGGATGAATTATTTCAAAATGAGAACGACTGGCATAACCAGATTGGAGAATTCGGGCGGGATATCTCCTTACATGGGTTCTGGGGAGCAGTTAGTATCAAGGTTGTAACCGACCAAACCCACTGGTACACGACAAATCTTCAACGTGAAGTACTCTAGTGCAGCATTCCAGCCTAGTGAATTCGTAAAACGGATTTTACTTCAGATTTAAACTAGATTACATTTCCCATACTAGTAGATTATATAGATTCTTGGTTACATAAATAATACTTTTGGTGCATGAGAAGCTATTTAGCCCCTTCGCCACTCATATTGCTCTCATAAATTAGAACCTAGAAATAAACCCACCAAAGGTGAGGAGCAAAGATACCTTCTAGAAACATCGAATCATGGTCTGGATCCGGGTTTCAGTTCCATGTTCCAAACCGCGTTGTAGACAACAAATACAACACCACGATGTACTAACGAGGGAATGCGTGGACATGTCGACAGGTGATACCAAGCTTCAGCCTTAGCGCCGCCTTAAGTTGTAGCGCTCGCGCTCGGTCGTACTTTGTATTAATATTATCAATTGTAAACGGTGTACGTACTTTTATATACGTATATACAAGAGAGCTTTTAGGTAGAGATATCTCGAGCAATGCAATATTAATGGGATTGATCAATTGAATTGAGTCCAGGTGCTCGAAAGTATACACTCAATAATCAGTGGCTAGGCTGCTTAGCTTTTAATTTCTGGTTGCTCAACTGCACTAGCGTAAGTAGACTTCGGATCGACTTCGCACGAACCTTTGGGCCCACTTTGCTCAAGGTGCATGTGTCCGGGTTGAGACTCGATCAAGGCGGCTGAGTCGCTATTGCTGTGCTTGTTCCTGTCAACATGTTGGATTTTAGATCGATACGATGTTGCACAAATCCCCGCATTAATCCAAAACAAAGATCTCCGCGATCGAATCAATCCAGCCTGAGAATCGTCACGTCCACTTATCGATTCCTCCTGGACATGCACCGTATTTCCATCCACAATTTTATTAACACCAGCTCGTTATCAATTATCAACAACTGTTTCGAATTCGGATCTCCAAAGCTAGCCTGTCCGACGTCACTGTTCTAAGCGAATAACGCCTGAGATTAGCTGTAGATGGCCCGGCTTGTTAGACTTTGTCAAAATTTATAGTTCTGAAAATTTGTCTGTTCGAAAAAGAGTTAGGATAAATCAAAGGCTGTCGCTTGTCTCGTACCCAGACCTGGAAGGGCTGTCGCGAACATCGGTATTTTAATTAAGCAAAGCTCAAGTGAAGACTTTAGCCAGCGACAACATGGCGGACCGACAACCGCTCGAGATAACCAATCTCCGACTCTCAAATACTTCGAATCTCTTGGGAGTCGACGACCCGGCACCTCCGGTTTCCTGGTCCTATTCATCGCCGCACTCTTCACACGGTTGGTGGCAGCAAACATACGTACTATCACTCCGTAGTTGGGGTATAGGCGATACACCTGAAGACCACTCGCTTCGGCCGGTTAGTATCCTAGGCCCAAGAGCCTCGCGCAGCGAGAATATCCCATGGCCGAAAGCGTTTCCAAAAGTCGAGCCAGGACGAGTATATGAGCTTTCGGTCGTAGGGGTTCTCACTCGGCATGATAAGCGCGAATATTTCGATCTAAAACTCGGCAATGGTTGGGAGTTCGGTACTCTAGAGGGTGATGCACCACGGATAGGAGATGCATCACCACTAGACTTAGCGGAAGAGCTAGGGAAGTTAGATCATGCAGCATCTGACACGGTGATGACAACATCCGTTTTGACTTTTGAAGGCGGACTTATCGGTGGCTTCGAAACTTGGAGTAAAAGGGCGAATGGAGTGGAGCCCATCTCCACACCATGGGATTTTGACGGTTGGGAGAAGCCAAAACCTGTTTCCGTTTTTCGAAACTCATTCGACGTTGAAGTTTTAAATACTGCTCGACTCCATGTAACCGCTTTTGGAGTTTATAAAATCTTCATTAACGGGAGGGCTATCAGCCAAAGCACTATGGACCCGGGTTGGACAGAGTACAAACTACGGATCTCTTACCAAACATACGACGTGTCCAACTACTTTTTACCAGGCAGGAACGTTGTTACCGTTTTTGTGGCTGACGGCTGGTACCGCGGCCGTCTGTCTAGCGGCGGCGAGGCGAGACGGGGTATATTCGGGGCGGAAACGGGGTTCCTATCTATAATCGAGATTTTTAAGCCAGGAGGTGGTAGAGAAATAGTTAAAACGGGCCCTAGTAGATCGACTGGATGGAAATGCACGAGGAGGTGTCCAATCCAGCAGACGGAGATCTATGATGGAGAGCAATATGATTCTCGCATTGACATCGAAGACGGGACGGCTATTTGGGAAGACGTAAAAGTCATGACGGATTTTTGGCAAACCGGATACTCCACCCCAGCTCTTCAGGCCTCCATAGCGCCGCCTATTACATGCACGGAACTGCTTTCTGTGCAAAAGTATATCACGTCCCCTACAGGGAAAAAGATTCTCGATTTCGGGCAGAATACTGCCGGAAGACTATACATTAAGGGGTCTGCTCCCTCCGGTACTAGAGTCACCCTAGTGCACGTTGAACTACTAGAGCCCGACGGAACACCTTGTACCGGGCTCTTGCGGGAGGCAAAGGCTACTGACTCTTACATATTCAACGGTTCCGGTGTTGAAGAATGGGAGCCGCAATTTACTTTCCATGGTTTCCGTTACGTCCAGGTAGACCCTTGGATTGAGGGGTTGGAAGTCACGGCGAAAGTCTATGGTAGCAACCTTCCAACTGGCCTGCTCAAATTCAACAGTAGCCATAAGGAACTGAACAGACTGGTGGAGAACATTCGATGGAGTGCCCGAGCAAACTTTTTATCCATATGCACAGACTGTCCCCAACGGGACGAAAGACTAGGATGGTAAGTGCTATATAAATCCGATGCGCATATTCACCAAGTACTATGGTATTAGTAGGGCTAATATTGTTTGTTTCTAGGACGGGTGATATCAACGTGGGTCATGAAAATATATTGCTCACTTGCTGAACGGGGAAGCTGGGTTCTAATGTGACAATCGAATTATAGGCATTCGGGCCAACGGCAATTTACATATTTGATTGCCAAACATTTTTACGTTCGTGGTTGCAAGGACTGGTCGATGGCCAAAAAATAGGTGGTAGAAACTGTCCTCCTCTAGTGTAAGTGATTTCACCAAGTACGCAAAAAGTTTGTTTTATGAGAACATCATACAAATACTATGCATATCTAACTGCCTTCGCCGTGCAAAGTTCTCCAAATGCGCTTCATATGCCTGGTTCGCATAGACCGACTGCCCTTTGGCAAGATGTGTTGGTTACTTTGCCTTGGTATCTCTATCAAACATATGGAGACTCGAGCCTTCTGAGAGAGCTTTACAGTTCAATGGTAGATTATCATACAAAAGGGATTCCAAAGGACTCTAGAACAGGGTTATGGGCGCCTACCTTTCAGTTTGGAGACTGGCTCGATCCTACGGCCCCACCAGAACGCCCAGATCTGCCAGCGACTCATCCGATGTTCGTCGCTAATACTTGGCTGTGTAATATCACCAAGACTCTCTGGAAAATCGCGGTTGTCCTCCAAGACCAAGATGGCATCCGCGAGTGGGAAGCTGCAACGCTTAATCTAACATCAAAATGGCAGTCAAAATATATCCTTCCCGCCGCCGCAAGATTAGCTACTAGCTTCGGAGCAACCGAGCCCCCAAAAATACTAACTCAAGATACTCAAACTGCACACTCCCTTGCCTTAAACTTTGGCCTTCTCCCAGAAGACCTCATCAAGCCAGCGATCAACCGGCTTCACCACCTCGCTATAAACAACAATTATCATCTTTCTACAGGCTTTGCTGGAACACCTGAGCTTTTGCATGCTATATGCGCGTCGCCTTCATCACCCTTGCCACTTGAGGAAAACCTTGGGTCCATATCCTTAGCATATAAGGTTCTTTTAGGCCCACGAACGCCTCCTTCTTGGTTATACCCAGTTACTATGGGCGCTACAACTATATGGGAGCGCTGGGATGCGGTAAAACCTGATGGAAGGGTCAATACGTCGGGAATGACAAGTTTAAATCATTACGCCTACGGCAGCGTTGGTAAATGGATCTTTGAAACCGTGGGCGGAATAAAGATGCAGTACCTAGAAGGCAAAGATGGAGGACTGACTTTCATATTCAATCCTATTCCGAACCTTGAACATGGGATCACCTGGTCAGAGATGGTTTACAATAGCCCCAAAGGGATTGTTGCGTGTAATTGGAAGTATGAAAGTGACGGTCAAAAGATGGTCATAGAAATTGTGCTGCCGGGCAATTGTGAAGGCGAAGTAATGATGTTGGGACAACCACTGAAGAGAATTGGCGCAGGGAAATGGGTTTTGACGACATCTGTCAAGGATTCGGAAATGAGGCTCCTGCAAAAGAAACCAGATGGCTTGTCAGAGGGCTGGGTTATGGTTTAGGTCTGGGCTCTCAATCCTCCCCAGTTCCCTAAACAAAACAAAAACAGTTGCCATGATACTTGGATGCCACGATATAAAAATAGCCTGGCAACTAAAGGTTTGACAGGGTAGGTTTCATACTTGGCAGGGTTTGCAAGGGAAACTCTGGCTATCGAACCGTCAAAAGGTGAGAGCAAAATCGATAAATTGTTTCAATTTAGGCGCGCTGGGCATTTCTATATCTATTGTACAATAATCTTCCCAGGCCTGAATAGGGAATCTTTCAATCTCAATTTCTGAATATCGTCTTCATCATGATGCTCGCATAATAAAATCCCTCATATCATCTATCATCGACATAGGATTGAACCCCGATACTCCATTACAAGAGAAGCGACCCAATTCCCTATTCAAATATAGTCAAAGTAAATACATACGAATCCAAGTACATAAACCACGACTAAACTATAGAAAGTTGCCAAACCCAAAATTAATTTTAATCCTAATGAGACTTTGCTAGCACAGCTAGCTAGGTAGGTATCTCCTTATTTCCTCAAAATCTGCTTTGAGTATGCCAACCCAAAAATCACGAACCCCATAAACAATAGTGATCCTCCAAACCATCCCATTAAACTCTCAATAAATGGTAGCTTGGAAACATAAGGTAGGCCATCTGATTGAGCGAAGTACCCAACAGTGCGCCCAACATCGCCCGCATTTAGTTCTGGAGGAATTTCGAAAGACTCCTGGCGGATGAGAAGGGTAGGCGCCATATTGTCGTACGTTTAGACTTGTTACCGCGAAAACAACTGGTGCTTGGACCTGATTTATATGTTTTCTTTATCCGCCTGGGTGACCGCGAATATCGAATAGGATGACGTCGTCAAGGTATTATTAAAAATAAAAATATTTCAAAATTCGAAAGGCCGCGGATTCGGTAGATATCGATCCAAGCGGTCATTTAACGTGAACTTGAAGGGTTGAAGCAAATGTGTTGTGACTAGTGGGAGGATCTGTGTAACGGTGGGCCGAAGCGACTGTCTTGCGACAAGATCGGGAAGGACTGTTGAGCCGGGGCCGAAAAGTAAGGAGCGTGTCAACCGCAATGCAATGTCCCGAGTATCCGCAAGAGCAAAGCAGAAAATCCGAGTTCTATTCTAGAGGGATTCCTCTCAAACACAAAAGAAGGCTGCGGTGTTAAAGTACTTATACATTTTGCTACTGGCACAGGTTCTCATAGTTAATGTTACGGGACGGCCGTACGGTCATCGTCAACTTTGCTGCATTGAACGATATCCCTACAACACACCAAAAAATACAACAAGGGCTATCAACTGTGCCACAGCGATACAGAAAAAGTATGATGATGAAGCACGGCCAAGAAGTCCAAGGACCCGGGCGGCTAGCCAGAACAGGGCATACTATGAAAACAAATCTTTGTCTGCAACCGATCGGTTTTTGTGAATTTAAGCTTAAAATACGTCTTTTTCGGTGCCGTATCGATATCTACGTGCCCTGGACCAAATCACGAATCTTTATTCCTATATGCTATCTCTTCATTTGACTTGAGATCCCAGATTCGAATATTATCTAACGAGGTTTTAGAGCTCTAGAGTTCGAGGCTCTAGCGCTTTGCAATTAATGGCCATTTTCCGCTGCGTCGAGAATTAGGGATGTCGCAGTAACGCTCTTGTCCCACAAGAAAGGACACCGCCATTTGCATCCATGCAAGTGGGTCGAATGACTGGGATTCGCTTCCAGCCGCTTGAGACATTTCCCGTTGCGGTTCAATGCACCATTATGCTGGAATTTGACAGCGAAATTCTTCGATGAGACTGCTTATTGGTTCATGCAGTAGGACGAGGGGATCGACTGCGCACAGTGGAGTTGCGGCTACTTCCCAGGAAAGGAGTAAGAATACGCGACCACAATATTTGATAGGGTCTCTAGGAGCAAAAAGCCTGCAAATATTTCCAAAAAAAGATTCATTAACAGAATTGCAGATGTCTCCACCTCATGGTGTAAACTATGCGCGCTGTGGAGATTACTGATCCCACACGCCCCACGATTTCGATTATCGCCAGGAACATTTTTGGATGGGATACCAAATTCAATATTACTGGCTGTGGTCAACGGACTGAACAATTAGATCTTCTTACACACAAAAATAATTGATTCCCCAAGAGGATTAAAAGGAAAATGGCCAACATCCAGCCCAGACACACAAAACGGTATTGTTTGGGACACATAAATAGCTCACGAGCTTTAATACTTGAGGTTGGACCGAAATATTCCTGTCGATCCTTAGTCAGCTTAAATGCCTCCTGCTATCCCATTTTGCTGAATTGCTCAAGTGGGTCCAGACATATAGTCGCATCTTGTCCCATTAATCGTATCTATAGAACGTATCTAAACGTCGTATTTTCCCAGTCCGTGACTTAGGAGCAAATAGGCCTGTCAGTATTTGGTGCTTGAGTTTTAAATAAATTTGGTTATCTTTATGGGCATACGGTTCATCCATTCAGCGTTACTCATGGTTTCGCTCTTATCTTCTCCTGCATTTTCTCTTTCGATACGATCTCGGCGGCGGTTCTCGAAATTGTAGTAGAATCGAAGAGCCAGCGCTACTATTGCAGCAGCTCCTTGAGTTGCTAGAACTGTAACTTTCGCGGGAAAGTACCTGTAGATATCGCGATATCGATATATAAGAACCGATCAGCCATCCTCTCAGACGATTAGAACTTTACACACGAACGGCAAATAAAAGCTTACCCAGGAGCGTCCTTGGCCTGAAATGTCATAGGACCAATAATACTTCCGATCGAGAAACTCCCAGACACTACCACACTTGCGGCGATGCGTTTTGTGTGACCGGCGACGTTTGCCGCGAGCCAGGTGTAGACTAAAATAAGAGTTGCGGTGATCTGCGAAAGAATTCGATCAATATGCAGATACGATAGCTGCATTCACCAACTTGGAAGATATTGGAAGAGAGGCTGAATTTTTGCACGTACGGCGTTTACCAAATAAATCCCAATAAGGTTTCCCGCTTTTTGGCTATCGGACAAAAAGGACATAAGGGAACCTCCCACTATCCCGGGAATACACAAACCAGCAATCCATAGAGATCTCGTGGAACTTCTTCCAACAATAATTCCAGATAACACAGTAGACAGGATTGACACAACCCCTGACGGCATATTGAGGAGAGCCGTAAGCCTAGGTGTGTACCCAAAACTTCGGATTACAGTAGCTGAGTATGTCGTAATCACACCTGAAGAGATCGAGATCTAAAAGCAATATGATTCATCAGCATTTTTTCGCAGCATATCTGTCGTACTACTCATCACGAATAAGCCATACCAGAATTGTAAATAAAATAAGTGCCCATATCTGCGGATCTATGAAGACCTCCTTAAGCTGATTCGGTTTAAACTCTGTGCTGCTAACCCCGGTTTGATTTTTTTCCACCTTTTCAAGAACCGCTAGCCGTTCTTGCTCCGTAAGCCATGTAGAACTCATGGGTGTATCAGGCAGCTTCCAGAGGGTCCATATTCCGATGGCTATGGTTACACCACCCAGCGCAAGAAACATGACCCGCCAGCTCGCAAAACTGCTCTCAACGTGTTGGAAGCCTTTGTCACCAATTTTTGGTTAATCAAATAGCCATAAAAATAAAATAAAATCCTTTCTGCGAAAAGAAAAAGAAAATAACAGTAAATTCCAATACCCAACTCCATATTTAAGGCAGAAATGACAACATACCGTAAGAAACTAGACCCCCAAATATTTGGCCAATACCAAGCCCGCTGTACCACAAGCTCATGCGGGGGACTTGTTCCGACTTTGTGTACCACATGCCTAAGTTCCGGAATCTTGGTCAGAACTAGTCTTCGCGATATCAAGTCCTATGGCTTGACGTATTGTAAGTTCCTGACGAAGGCTGGAAAGCACCTACTGGTAATGAGAATTAAACAAGGGGCAATTGCCGCCTATCAAAGTTTGCTCCTGATGAATATCAATTGTTCGAGACTTTGGGATATCAAGGGCAGCGAGCTTACTTCAAAAGCACCGAGAAAAATTCTGACTATCAATAGTCCGGTGAAATCATGACAGGCGGCGGTACAAGCGGTTGTGATACCCCACATGATGACGCTAAATCCCAAGTATTTTGCCGTTGGAAGTTTTTGTAAAATGATGCCTAGGTCGAGAATCAGTGTTAGCTTGAATGCAATCTTGATTCCTATCGATCTTCTGGCCATCCAGAGAGCAAGATAAGCGAGCTCATCCGTAGTGTATCACAAAAACTCACCTGTGGGTATTTCGGCAAGTAAAAAGGCTATGAAAAAGGCAGTGGCACACCATGAGAAATCATTTCCTTTTAAGCGGAGATCTTGGTTTAGACCCATGACGGCAGCATACTATGGCACCCGCAAAACAAAAGACATTATGTTAATATGTTTCCGGTGAGAGTTAACCTCCCTCCCATGCTGGCGGTTTGCAAACCGTGGAACGTTAACAAACATCAGGAGGAGTCTTACATTTATATTCACTTTGTCAATGAATTGCATTGTATAGCAAGCGAACATAATCGGCACTATTTTGTAGTCTATCTTTTTTAAGAGTTCTTTTTCGTTGACGGGCGCTGCATCGTTGTGAAGGGCCCGCTGTTGGCGAATAAAAGCTAAAGCAGCGTCGCCTGATCTTGGGTCATGGGTAGGAGAAGATGCAAGTCGTGTCGAGGGCTCGCTTTTCAAATCTAGGTATTGGTCCGGAACATTGTGAGATATAAGCTCCATTGCCGTTTATTTATGTTTCTGTGCCCTAAAAAAAAGTTATATTGATATTTCGCGCGGTTATATAAAAGAGCTTCGGGAAGAATGGTCTAGTTCGAATTAGGGCGATAGTAATTGACGTTAGATCTATAGAGCAGTTGAAGATGTTGTTTAAGGAGGGGGGTTGGCGTAATATATGCGATTAATCAATCACTTCTGCACCCGAATTCTTCGCCGATTGTAATATGCGCCCAAGGGCTCGAGTTCGTAAGATGGCAGATAGCGACAGTGTTATTTCGATGGTTCTCGCCCGCAGCTACTTAACCAATCGGAAGCCCTCACCCTTGTGCCGTTTTATCAATTTCTAGTCTAGGCGACAAGTTATGATGTACCTTCGTGATCGGAAATTCAGCCCCGATGCTTGATCTGTACGAGGGTAGCGTACCTTATGAAGAAGGTTTACTCGGATCGAGCTGGGCTGGGCTCATGAGCAACGTCGGTTTATAATATATATCGTTGAGCCGACAATAGGAATACCTTTGCCGTGACCACGCTAGGGATTGACGGAGGCTGAATTCCTTAAGAATTTACCAGTGACGATAAGATCAAGATGAATCAACGGTAGACTAAAAAGATGAAATTCAAATCTGAGCGGACAGCTGTCTTAGTTATGCTCGATCGGCCGAAACTAGCGTTCAATGTAGATTGTATTATATATGTATTCGACCCCTAGATACGAGATGTCAGCGGCCTGGAGGTGCAGATAAAGACCACTGAGAAAATACACAATACACGCCGAAGTTCAAATCAGTCCGTAAACAGATATCGGAATAAGGCTAGGGGATAGGTCACGCCGCGCACCAGCCCAAGGCCTAGGCCGGTTGCGGTTCTGCGTTTTGGCTCCCGCATACCACAGTACTTTTGATAGGAATCCATAGAATGCGCGAACGACACCAATATGTTTATTTTAACCTTCGTACCCGAAATATTTCTGAGAACCCAATTTCTCTATCCTTTTATTTATTTAGACCAGAAGAAATAGCAATTTGACTTACAAGGCATGTATTATATTGGTACGCTGTCTATTAGCAAGAAGTGCAGAGGAAATTAGATAAATATACACTCCAAAACGATGCAACGATATCGATAATATAAATTAGTGTTATCGATCGCCTGGAATATACTCTTCTTAAGTATTTCCACCAGGGTAGAGGAAAGGAACAAAATAAACTATCGATTTATCTGCGCACGTGGGATAAATATATCGATATATCGGGTGGGAATGATGAGGCTTTCCGAAAAACTCTCCTCGTAGCAATACCAATATACCGGAGAATACTCTCTCTATATATAAGTAATATACAATCAGCGAATTTATGGTACATCATCGCAAGCTAAACCGCGTACTGCAAATCAAAACAATATTTAACTTGAACAATGACCAGAAGCTCATTTCCCGAGGCCATTTTAACAATGTAAACTCGAATATTCTCAGCATTTGGTGGGATTGCAGCCCGATATCTGTTCAGAAACGTAAGTAGTATGGTTCCTCAAAGGTAGGAATAAACCTTGAACCATGCAAGAGCCAGGTAATACCATGCTCTGAGGCCTCCTTGCCTTTTCTCAAATCCAAAAATCTGCATTCCGCCGCCTTGCTTTTCCGAATGTTGGTTATTCATGCAGATAACTAGTAGTTATGGCACTATTCGCGAATCCGGCCCGTCATGATTTATCACCACAGCCCAATCGATCAACCGGTTTGCTTCCAAATTTTTGATTATTCAACTGAACTGCCAACATTCCATATGAAGGAATTCTTCTATACAATTGAGACATAATTACTCATTCTTAAGAATTTTACTCTACCAAGATTTAAAGCCAATCCAAGAACCTTTTGTGTGGTAGAACACAGGAGCATGTGGGGTTTCTAGTGCTACAGTTTTAGAAAAACCCGAGGAGCAAAATACTGAACCTCTCGAAATTTATAAAAAGTGAGGTTATCACCTGTAAAGTAAGGGCTTTCAAGTGTCTCTATAGGGACAGGTCAGAAAGCTGCTAAGCGATATGTCGTGTTACGAAATCTAGTCTCCCCGTGTCTCAATTCACAAAAGACCCGAAACACATAACTCGAAGATTTATGCTTCTATAAGATTCTCAAAAGGTTGCAACAACCTTGCTCAAATGCTCTGGAGAGTTCTCAATGTTGCACGCCAGAAGAAAGATCATTTCTCTCCCATTTATGAATTCAATCATTAATCGGCGATAGAGGTTTATGCAAGTAGGTAAATTAATAAAGCGCTTCATTACAATCTAGTCAGCGAGCCGGCCACCTTCTCGAAGATACGGGCCTATTGAATATATATTTCTAAATTATCAACATTGTAGCAAGATATTTAATTGTATTGATAGTTGATGGGATGGATGTCAACATATTTATATTATAATAGGTATTTAGGTATACACAAGTCTGAGTCCGTTGAAAGATCTATATACCACGTGCTCATAAAACTTAAACCCCATATTCGTAAAGCTTATGCTTACAGTTACTAATCTTCGAATAACAGTCGGGTCATTCAGCTGATCTCACTATACCGAGGGAACAGGCTTCCAAGGACTATCTACTCGCGTGGCCAAAAGGTTATTCCGACCTTTGGAATTCTCCGAAGACTGGTGCAAAACCTCTTTTCGGACACTAAAAGATCAAGGATTGTTACGTGTCTTTGTACACGCAGAGTAATTTTTGAGGTTGTACTATTCCTCGCAAGTTTACGGAGGGTGGTACGGGGTCAATGTGATCCTTGTCATGCTCGGGCTCTTGATTAACCCGGTTCATGAATTCACTGTGGTATTATGCATGCTTGTTGCGTTTTACAATTCTGCAGCAAGGCGTAATAACCTTCTTTGGTATTGCATTGGAAGCTCATCAATTAACCAAGAGTGTATCCGACTTCAGTCCCAAAGCGGTACTTGATCGTATCTAGGGTACTATAACCCTATTAGGCGACCATTGAAGATTTGACATAGAAAAGTTATGTTTCATGCATCAATTTTGACCCCCTAACTATTCTCTAACCCATAGATCATTTAGCTTGTTCTATGTATCGACGCATCTAGGCAAGCATATACTTCTATCTCGTCTCGTGAACGAAATTTTGCCGCGGAGATCGACTTGGTTCGTACCCATTTGTGGTAGTTTAATTTTTTTTGTTTCCACGAGCTTTGTACTACGGATAGATCAATATAATGATCGATGTATTTGGCACTCAGATCTTTTGATAACATGAGATAGTCATCTTTTCTATATAGACGCCAGTTGGCTGCAAGTATGTACATAGCTAAATAGTAGTCTCGTATTGCAGGCCCGGCTCGTTTGAGGGATCTAACCAAATCAGCAATACATCCCCTACGAACAGAATAGCTTAGGTATAGTAGATTCAGCCCCCAAAGTTGTAACGAATCTTTTGGTAAGCAAATCCTTGCTAGTTTCGAGGCGCCTAGGCGTTGTTTGGAATGCTGGATGCCTCGTATAATGTTCTAAATGCGATTATACCAATCCTTCGACATCCCAGTGTGTTAAATGATGCAAAGCGGATAGTTGTTGTTGGTTATATACTCCTTAGCTTATACTACTAGTAGTGTTCAGTAAGTTTGGTAGTTATTGGTGTTGAGCTGAGACGTAGCAGTTGCTGGCTCTTTGGAGTCATGACGACTTCATATAACTTCAATTCTTTACCTGATCAACGTAGAAGCATCCAATGATCACGTCACAACCTCCAGAATCTCAAAGAACTTGCTACCTCAAACATCACCTCTCTTGCTCTAGTCAGTACTGCATACCACCGAAGCTAAACTTCTATTCTAGCCCGAGGGCCTAGCCGATAACCTTCAACAATATGGCGCTCTCGACGCGCTATATACTCGTGGATAAGGATGCTCCGGCGTTCTGGGACCCCGCCTCTGCCTCTGCCTTTATTTGCATCCTAACCGTTGGTATCCTTGGTGCTGCCGCGGTTACGGTAAGACTTTATGGGAAACTCAAGCTTACGGGCAACCTTGCTTGGGATGACATGTTCATGCTTCTCGCCGGAGTGGGTCAAAGAAATCCACCTTCCTGATCATTTCTCAATTATTACACCCCCTAATAGATATTATTTTTTACCAGATATCTTCCGTTTCATACACTGTCATGGCTCTACTCCGTAAGTTGCCTATCACGGAACTTACATCAGTATTACAGAACCTAATACAAAGTAGAGGTCCGGTACGGTTTGGTCGTTCCAATGCAGGAAAGGCCTTACGAGGTGCAATTACGATATCAAACAGTAAGTTTGCAGTTTTATCTTCCCATTTTCGTTTTTAGAAGCGCCGCTAGTGTCTACAGTATAAATTTGCTAACATTCCCTCGGAATCCTAGATCAATTACACTGCTCGTGTTTTCTACCTTACCGGTCTGATGTGGTTCAAAGCAAGTGCAATGCAGCTATCCATATGCCATCCAACCTCCTGTTAATCTGGATTTAGCTTTCTTTGTGCATAACCTGTCATAGAATGTCGAACGGCCGCCTCGAAACGAAGTGTCTAGTGATGGCAACATTTGCATCTTGCTCCGCTGTCGGCATCACCAGCATCATTGCACTGGCACTGGCATTCCCTCAGGTACCCCTTCTCTTCCTATTTTGGCATTGTGATACACGCCAATAAAAGCATTATTCAAGCTAATAGAATCTATAAGGGCGCCGTTGAAGGTGTGACTTTACAAATTGGCATTCTACTACAATTGATGTATGGATTCATTGCAAGTAAGAGCCCAGTATAGCAACTTTAACCTTCAACAATAACTAATCAAGACGCCTCCGAGCTTTTTAGTAACTTCAACTTGCTTTGATATTATCTGTTTCGCGTTACCATTCCTTTTCCTGGATAATCGGTATTTGAATACAGTCCAGAGAAATCATCGAAGAGGGTGGATGTACGTAACATTCGCCACGACTTTTTCATCTATCATGCGAACTTTTACCATTGCACCCGCCACCTCCATCTTCAGCACTGAATCAGAGGCCCTTGTGATTATGGGTACTTTGGAGTTAAACATGGGGGTATATCTATCGAGACAATATCGGTTCTTGACGGATTGAAAGGCACCTATCTAACTTTGACGTGTTACGCTATAGATTATCAGCACGTCCCTTCCGTCTTGGTACATGTGGATGGACATTTCCAGAAAAGGCAAACGAAAATTCCGTGATTACCAGCCTATTAGATCTCTCCGCAGGCTATTTTTGCCTTTGGCCAACCCCCTTCAAAGATGGGTCCGCCGATCGTATTACAACTTTATCACAAAGAATGAGGATAAGATGGGGATGTCGAAAATATTGCGACAGCTTCAACAAATCCAGGACTTACCGTACTACCAGATGTTATTCTGGAACGCCGAAGTGAACCCTATAGAAAGAGCTATGGGAATACGAGCAAAGTTTTGGAATATAACTTCGAGGTTCCAGAGGTGGCTCCGAATCACCGAGGCCGATCTCTCGTACCGGTTTAGAACATTCATAAGGTTGAATAAGTCTCCTTCTCTATCTGATGGAATAGAGCTTGATTCCACGGAAGAGAATGATAAACGGGAAAAGAGCAAAACTAAAGGTCGCTCAGATTTGGATATCCCGGCCAACGAACAATTCAATGAAGGTCAAGACATGGAACCCTTGCTCAAAGAGCAAAGAGAGTCCTTCCTCACTAATCGCAACTACAATATTCTGTTCACTTCGGATAAGACGCTGACTGATATGATACGCGACGAAGAGCTTGAATATATTGAAGGTATTCAATGGCAGGCAATAAATGAGGAACAAGTGGACTTCAAGATGAGACAAAACTTAGCACCAACTCAAAATCGCAATCTTGACGGTTTACTTTTTGACGAGGGAAGTACGAGCGGCTGGGCTAATGGAAAAACAGGAAAACAGCGTGGAATACGTCGAAGAAAGTGATTCTAAGATTTCTATAGATTATCTAAAATGGTAAGCATTCTCAGACATTCTGAGAGGCTAACCCTACCAGCTTTTCTCGCTTTGGCCCAGTAACACAAAACTCCAATGTATATTTCACAAATACAATAAAATCATGAAACCCCAAAACTTGTGGACTAGTTTCCAAGAATTCTACATCCTAGAGGCAGCTTAATTACTCAGGGCACAGCATACCATACAAACTCCGATTAATTTATTCCACGCCGGATCTGGCATAACCAGAACTTTCTACTAGTTCACACGCAGCTGGTCGGGGTCGGGATAATTATACCTTCTTTGAAAATTCATTACATTGCCGTTTATGACCGCCTTGCTAGTGTTTAAAAAGTTGCAACAGTACGTAGTTTATTCCTAGGTACTAGCGGCCCATCGTCGCAGTATTCCGACGCATAAATTTACTATCAGTAATTTATCTCAGTGTGTAAAGGATTCTCAATTTAATATTCTTACTAACTATTCGTCGCCTTATCAGTTGCAGAAAGCCTTGGAACGAAAGTAGTGGTACGTTCTACTGGCGTATTGCATATTGGACATAATTATACGCGTACTAGTATACTCTTGCGAGATGTGCGAATGCACATCTCCTGCGGATGCCCAACGAATCAGAGCCGCTCGATGTCTAACATCCTTCCGATTTAATGACCGCCGTGCGCCGGCTATCTAATGTAGCATAGCCCTTGTAAAACCGCTGGATCTATACCATCTAGCTAGGCGTTTTCGGCCGGGCCTGTCGAAGTCGGGGTCGGGATGATGGCTGCCGTTCAACGTTTCATTGGAATCTTCAAGATTGAGAGGAGGTACAATTTGAATACAGATCGTGGAATCTATTTCTCTCGCAGAAAAACGTTCTAACCCAGGTTTTGTCCGAGAGCAGTAGATCAGACTGGGGGGTCGCAGTTATATACACCTCAATCCCTGTCTTGAACTAGTGATGTAACCAAATACCCAAAAGTTTGCCCAGTTATCCAGGAGGATATACCGGTAGTAGAAGTTGGATATACGCCGGGATACAACATCTTGTGGTTTCCCGAGATTTAATTCACAGTTCGTCGCATCGAAACCCCAAATCCAATGTTAAATCCGAAAAACGTAACTACTGATATGTACCTGTATCATTCTTGCACTTTGAAGCTTCGATAGAACTAGACCAAAGCTAAATCAATCCATTAAGCTGAATGCCCCATCCTTAAAATTTTGGTCAAGCAGATTGCCCGAGACGGAGATTCAAGGTTGCTTTTGGAAAGTGGTAGACAAAGCACACCGTTTTATTTGATCTCCCGTATTTGGTACAACTTCATGATACACAAATAAGCTGTGTATTGCGCGATGTATAATCGAATTCAAGGTGGGACAAGGTGCATACGTGGGGGGTACCGGTGTCATGTAAATGACCCAACAAAGAATTCAACAAGCCCTCAATTGGCAGGAACAGATTTTGCGTTTTAACTTCATGGTCTTGGTGAGTCTAGTAAACCTTACGCTTGATTAGTTGAAAAAGCTGTTTTACAATAATATTTTTGAAAAATCAGAGAGATGTAATATACTAGTCTAATTTCATTCGCAGTAGGTGGCTTGTCTAGAAACAGAAAGGGGTGCTGGACCCGGATGGCTAGCATACATCTCATATCTAACCTAATAAGTTTGTCGTCGCATTCATAGAAACGAACCGGAAACAATGGAGTAACATAAACATGGATTCTAAAGAAATAAAGACAATACCCACGGCTACGTTTTTATGCGTCAACTCAGCCTGCACTCATGGGACAGGCTTGTTAGCACTCATCGACCAAAATCTGTCAACCCTCATCTCCAGCATGTTCTTCATCGAGATACCCTTCGTCAGAAAGGTCTACCCAGTCCCCATCTTCCTGTCTGTCGGAATTTCGCTTCTTTGAAATCCTCCAGTATACCATATAAACACCTTGAGCTCTGCCTCTTGTTTGTAGACTGCCGACGAGGGTAACGTCTTGAGGAAGAACATGATCGACGTCCCGAACTCGTCTTCGTTGGTGTACGCGGCTGAAGATCTTGTATTCATACCCACTGAGTGTATTTTGTTGATACCTGCTTTGTCCACTCTTCCTGTGTTCTATGATCTTCTTCAAGGCATTACGAATTTTGACCCTGGTCTGACCATCCTCGGAGGTTGGTAGCCCGAGTTTGAAGCGGGCGATATGATTGAGGATGTAGCCTGCGCCGTAGGAAACCGTTTGGCGGACTTGTGTCCCAACAGGTTGCTGTAGAAATCGTGGATAGTACCTTTAATATCTCTTTAGTAGATCTTCATCGTGGATATTAGGCGGGAACGCTTCATCAAACATACTGTTCAAAGCCTCTGATTCTCGTATGCTGAGCTCTAACACTAGGTAGCATCTCAAAAAGTCCATTTTGTCGAAAGGCTTTCCGAAGAAGAAACTGTTTCTTCTGAGACCAGCCACACGGCCTAGGATGCGACTTGTCGGTTGCATCCCTTTCTTCCGGTAGTAGCTTAAATTTTGCCCACTTCTCAACTCGAGCAACAGGGCGTCCCCTGCGGGCACGCCTAAGCCGTCCCAGCGGCTTCATACATGACCTACGAGGAATCTTGTCCTTTCGTAAGGGTGGCGGGATGATGACCATTTCTCCCATTCGATTGAATTTGCGCTCAGTTTTGACATAGCTCGGATACTGGTTGGCCAGAGTGCAATCCATTTTTGCGAAGTGTCGGTTCATGTCCATTGTGGGAATGTCGAGCTCTTCAGGATCATAGGAGATATCAACATTGCTTCCGTTAACAGAGTTGCAGGTAAGCATTAGGCGGTGATTGAGAAGCTTGCTGGACCATCCAATATCTGATTCCCCCGAATCAGAGTTGTTATCGTCCTCAAATTTACTACATTGTTATATGTTAGATTGTCCCTTAATTTTGAAAAACGCACGTAAAAATTTAACTGGACATACTCTGCCATGTACAACCCAGTTGGCGAGGCTTTCCAGTTATCCTCTAGCCCTAATATCTTGAAAGAGATATCTTCATTGATATGTTCGTCGTCACTGCCCTTGACCCCTGACCATATAGTCTTTGGCGCGTCAGGTGCCTCAGCTCCATCCTGTTCCTCGCAGTATGCAAATTTTGGAATTGCGCCGGCCTCGATGCATTCGTACCTTCCATCATGAGATATCCATCCCTTCTGGACCGGTTTCCAGCCTGGTGTACAAGGAAGGCGCGGCCAAGGTCTATCCGGCACGGAGTCGGGGCCTTCATCTTGCTGACTTGTGAGTTCACCTTCACCTCGGCCTCGTCGTTGCTCGTGTCTTTGCTTAGAGACTATCTCTTGCTCGTCAACCTGTACCATAAGTTGCTCCACTTCAATTTGACCCCGGTTCATTAGTCGGAGAAATTCTTTTGCCCTTTCATTATCAGTGTCTCCTTCGGACTCGATCAGTCTATCAAGGTACGATTCAATATCCTGCTTCTGGTTTATTTCAATAGGCGTGGTTCCGGGACTCATCAAGTGCTCATTCCAGTTACGCTTCCACGCTGTAATAGTGTGATCTTTCTCCAGCTCCGTAGTATCCAGATCATTTATGTAGTGCCCAAAGTTCTTGCGTAGAGCTTTCAATTTCGCCTGTTTCTCTTTGCTTGGAGGCTCTTCTCCAAAGGAGAAGTTGCCAATTTTCCTAATTGGCGGCATGTATTTCGCGATAACTGCTCTAGCAGCCATCTCTTCGGCACGGGCGAGGTCGTGTTCATCGAGGAGCGGAATGGAACGACCAGCCCCATAATGTTGGATCTTTTTTCGACGGGAAGCTAGGGTATCGGTATGCTCGGGGCTAGTTGGGGAAGATCCTGCAAGGAGTTCATCTCGTGCCACACCAAGATCAGTGGCATAGGCCTCAGCAAAACCAATTGCGAGATCTAGACATGAGGGACTCTCAGGAGCCTTGTCTGTCTCATAAGTTCCTTTCACCTCGTTTCTCTCAACTTCGGTATTGATAGATTCCAAACCTAACGTTAGAGGTTGTTTAGCAGGGGCTTAGTTGAATACAACATATTTTAACATACCACAAGGGCTATCACTGGAATCGCTGATGGGCGATACCATGACTTTAGCTTGGAAAGCCTCGTTATCGAGTTTTGGTATGGAATTCCTGGTATTTTGTGCTAAAGAAGTTGTGGTCTCGTCGACATTCATATCGGGATCACTTCTCTTCTTAATGAGTTTTCTGGTTATATTTTCAATTCGAAGGGCTTTCAGTTTAGCAGAAAAAGTAGTTAATCGAATACCCTGTGGGTGAGCTTTTGTACCAATCGACCATTTCTTTGATTTCTCCGGGGTTGAGTTTGTGCTAGATGGAACAGGTGAGCTTTTTCGAGATGGACTCCACCCAAATATCTTGAACGGCATTGCCCCGTCTTGTTCATCCAGCTCGCTTCCAGGTCCCTGTGTTTCACTAGTATCAATCAATTGCCGCTGGTCAGGTATGTATACATGCCTTTCCTTCAGGAGGACAGGAGAAGGAGTATCCTGGTCATCTAGTGTAAGATTGCTTCGCGGCGAGAAGATTCCCGTAGTTTCTCCTATCGGTGATTCGTCTGTTCCGTAATAAAAGAGAGCTTGTTCTCGCTCAGGAGTGGCGGTGACGTCTTTAATGGCCCAAGCAAAGTTCAAAGTATGCCTCTGACCAGGAGGATCAGGTTTTGGGTGTGGGGTTGCTGGCCTAGGAGAGAGAGAAGCCGTCGCAGTAACAGTGCGAGCGTCGCCTATGCGGCCAACAAATATTGTTAGGAACCTATAACTCTTTATTTCATTTTACCAAACTATGCAACCTACCATCACCCTCCTTCTTTCTTTTAGGAGATCGAACATCATGATCGACCACTATCTTCCTTCGCAAGTTCTTTCCGCTGGGAGTTCGTATATCTTCAAATTTATGAAAATATAATAAAGTAAGTTTTACGGTGTCCCAAATCCAGTATTACTTGATGTTACAAAGGTATTAACTTACCAGGTGTCTGTTCTCTCGCTTCCTCAGTAGAAGTCTCATCTTCGTTATCTTCATTCCTCATAATTCCAACAACATCTTGCTGGCGATGCTCGAAATCGACAACGGCCTCATAGTCATCAGCGACATTCTGCTCCCATTGACTGACGGCAAACTCAAACTCCCGTCTTCGAGCAGACGTGCTGAGACGGCGGAGAAACTCGCTTTGGTTTTGCGTCGTATCAGGCATCTCGAGTATTTAGGTACTTGCAACTCAGGCTACACGACCATATTATATCAGCTGCAGCTCAAATAACAAGAGGTTACCGGGGCCTTCGCGAACAACATACCACGCTGGACTTATACTCGTAGATCGGTGTTCCGAATACAGTTATACGATGGTGGCACTAGGTACTGAGGTTTAGCAGGATCGTTGATTGGATTGCTAGCTGAAAGACCCTGCAGGCCTGGCGAAGGAGATGTGTGAGAGGTGATGGCTTGAATCTATTGGTTTCAAGGTAGAAAGTATTTTTTCCAGGGCCCCGTGTTCTCACTGACGGTTGACTTACAATTGCACAGGTATTGGTTTTTATACGACATCGCGAGGCCCGTAGGCACAAATGCCATTTACGCACCGGTTATTGGAGGCGGTGTCTTGCAAGGTTGTTAAAATTGAGGGCAAGCGGTGTGCTCAGTCAGATCAATGTTATATGTGATTAGTGCTTGTTATTAATTTGCTGTCAATTTGATCAAGGTGTCTACCATTCCCAAAAGGCCACAAATTGGGTTAAGGATACCATATTTAAGCTTGGGTATATTGTAATAATTTCCAAATTTCTAGGAAGGGCCATTTGTGAATCAATGCCTCGCTAACACAGCTAACCCTGATTTTGGACATTGTGCGTTGACTCTGTGGGTAGTTGTTCGACATGTTCCACGGATCTGCAGCGATTCCATTGGCACCACGGTCGAGTCCCCACCAGTCGTCATGTTACACAACGATGTTGGTATTTCTAGAAGGCTCATATATATGCTCATAGGACACAAGGTATAGGTATCAAAATTTAAAGGCTACCAGATCTATATACTTAAGTTAAGCTAAGTACTTACCTATACCTGGCGGCATATACAATGCTTACGGGGAGATTGAAAACGTTTTAATAGTAATGGTTTTCTATATATTCCACCAAATATCTACAAAAGAACTGAAAAGGTGTGACCCTCGAGACTATACAAAATGAAAAGGTAAAGGAAAACTCGCTGCATGAGCTTTTTCATCCTCGAAAACTATCTTACACGAACGACTTTACACAGCAATTAGACATAAGGCCTAATTTATCATGTTTAAACCCTGGCACTGCACCCATTGAATCCTTGGATGCAAACATCGCGCTTGAACTTCTCACAGCTTCGAGTCTGCATGCCGCTGCGCTTAGCACGCTTCATGCATCCAACAAAGCTGCGTTGGCATCTGATGAAGGCATCATCGCAATCACGACGGGTGAGTGCGGATTCGTAGCCGCTCAACGGAGTGCCGGTACCGGATGGGTCCTCAGCAGTGGCAACGCTGGTGGGGACAGTTGGAGCTTCAATGGTGGTAAAACCAGGCCCCAATGGGAAGGTCGACGGCTTAGGATAGTCTGGAGTGCCTGAGGTGACAGGATTGGGAGCAACGGTTGTCTGAGCTGGAACATTTCCTCCCTGGACAACGGTGACGGTCTTCTCGACAACGGTAGTATAGAGGCTGGTGACAACGCTGGTAGCAATGCTAGTGACAATGCTAGTCGACACCTCCTTGGTAGTAACGGAGACGGTAACAGTCTTGTCAGAGCAAGCGGCAACTGGGTCAACGGTTGGGACTGGTGCAAGGGTCTTGACTCCAACTTCCTCATCGTCCTGCTCGTAGCACGGAGGGGGGGTAGTGGTATAGGTTGCAGTCAATGTGACGGATTGGCCGCCGATGGTGGTGACAAGGGTTGTAGTAAAGGCGGTTTCTTCTGGCTCATCCTCCTCATCGGTCTCAGTCTCGGTAGGAGCTTCGTAGCCACCAGTTGGATTTGGCACTGGGGAATCGGTAACAACTGGGGTTTCTTCGACACCAGCGGTACCAGCTGGGAAGTCTCCAGTTGGGAAAACTCCATCAGTCGCAGTAGGGACAAGAGTAGGGAAGGAGCTAGTGTCGGCTGGTGTGGAGCTTGATGGAACCTGAGGATTTGGGGACGATGTACCATCCTCAGTGTAAACAGGTGGGCCAGGGATGACATAGCTCTCAACCTTTGGGTAGTAGATGTTGATGAAGATGCCAGGATCGCTAGCGGAGTATGCACCAGGAATCTTAACAGTATCTGGAGTATTTTCACCAGTGGCGCCGGTGATCTCAATGTTGGTACAAGAAGGATAGAATTGAGCACCTTTCTGCTCATGAGCAGCGTGAAGAGCAATGATCTCGTGACGCAAGAGATACTGTCCGTTCTTAATCTTCTTTGGGAGAGTGAGAGTATAAGAGTTATTGTTTTTGATAACGGCATCGGCGGCCCATGTTCCATCAGCAAGGAGACCGGCTTCATCGATTTTGAACCAGTTCAACTCAGAACCGACTGCGGTAGTACAGTCACCTCCACAGTCAGCAAGGTAAGTGATGACAGGTCCCTTGTGCGAATCTGGCCATTCGGTCCAAAAGAAAGTAATTTCACTGCCAGCTGGGGCTGGAGCAACAAGCTTGGCGGCTTTGGCCCCTTTGTTGCAGGCAATTTCGGCGCTCGTGACGTCGTCGATGAAGGAATTGCCGTTTTCCCAGAAGGCTTGGGTGATGCGTTCTGGTGCTGGGTTCTTGTATTGATCCTGGAATGGCAAGGAACCAGTGTATCGCTGGCCGCCGATGAGGAATTCTTGAACGATTCCATGGCCCATAACCGTCGAAGCGGCGGAAAGGAGAGTAACCAAAGTAGTCTTCATTTTGAACAGTTAATATAATTTAGAGGGAGTTTTCTAGGAAACTTTCGTATATATCGAATATCCTATGGTAGAATATAGAAATATGTATAGCTGCGCTGCAAACTGTGGACGACCCAGTCTTTCCTTTGACAATGCTGAAGAGCACAAGATAATGAAATCCAACTAGTGGAGTTTCTGATATATCTGATCAAACAGATATCTACAAAACGAATATCAAATTCGTTTCGGTATGATACAAGCAACTAGGCTGTGTATCTTGAAGTGACGTTTGTTTTGGTGTAGCAAAGAGAGTGAATGGTCCTCTACAAGAGAACGTGTTGTATCTAACAACCAAAAAGACGTTGAAGAAAAAAAGGTGAATGAGTGTGGGCGTTCGTAAAGAACGAAAGGTGTGAACTGGGTAGTTTCAAAAGCACAACAGCCGCGGGCTAGGGATAGAAGAAAAAATCCATCAAGAGAGCGTGGTTATAGAGTCTATTATATGGTTTTCGAGGGCTGCAATATTGTGGTCAATGGTCAAGGCAATGTTGGCCGGGTGGATCTCTCCACCGGTTGCCCAGATCTCAACTGACATGGTTCAAGGGTCTTGATAATTAAGTTAGATTGCAGACTCCTGATCGCCACATTACTGACCCACCAGGGACTACATCAAGGCGGCGTCTGGCAGTAGGCTAATGGAGGCTTGTGGTGTATCTGACAGTGGGATGACAGGTGCTCCTTTCGGGATAGCTGTGAGACCTCATCAGTTCGAAACCGCCAAGTTGGGATTTTTGATAGTAGGAGCCCCGCTACGGTCGCTCTCGTCATTGCACAAGGACGACCCTAAGGGCGGCTTACTCTTGCTCGTAAGTATACCTGCCGTTCATTCAACTCGGCTGGCAAAGCTCAAGCTAATTTTCTCCACGCTCAGGGATTCTGGTCCTGGCAAACTGTGTCGTGGATGGACAAATCTTGAGGCAACAATAAACGCCAAAAGTGATTCGGAATCCGGAAGCAAGGTTGTCAGCGAATGACCGTTGCACAACGTTTCCATATCTGCAGTCAGCGCTACTCCGTACCAACAACGGGCTTTTCTTGGGCGCGTGGTGGTGGTGTAGAAATCTAAAGATATCACCACGCTGCAGAAACACCGAACAATGCAATGCGATATGCTGAGTTTCGGCGATTCGTAATGCCATCATATTCCCTTCTCGAATAGTCTACCAGCTTGGACCATGAAATGACGCCTTTGCGCCCTATGGTATCGTTCGTCATTCAAAAAGGGGCGTCATTGTAGTTCGGAGGCCCATTTAATATCTTTAAAACTCGTGGTGCTTCAAAAGTACAGACCCGAAAAGAGGCAATTTCTTGCGAGCTAGGCTATTTGGAAGCTCGTCTCCCCTTTTCTTCGTGTTAACGCTGGGTCTTGCCAGGCATATATATTGAAACCATGCGGGTTTGAAAAGGGCCAGGGTCTGATTTCAAGTCTTGACTAAAGAACCCACCCACCCGAGAATCAGCAATGATGAAAGATCTTTCCTTCCAACGCTCAGGCTACCGAGAATTTTTGAAAGCGAGATTGTTCAGGCTAACGGGATTTTTGAGTGTTACATACAGGCTAGAGCCTGTCGATTGCGTCCGCCCAATCTACGGTTTGCTGTAGACTGCGTATACGTAGTACATATAGAACGGGGAGTGTTATACCTATAATATGCAGCCGATATACCCGCAGTCCGATTATCACGCCGCGGCTTGGACCATAATCCGGCCGTATACGATTGTCGATATTAAGATCATGATAAATGTTGATCAGTGCAATCGATGTTAACATGTTGTTTGCATCACACCGACGCCCCAGAATTAAATTGCCAGTCGACTTCCGTCAACACAAAAAACAAAGCGTAAAATACCACATAAACAACGCACCGTCTCATAACTATAAACGGCCTGGAATACGAGCGCTATATATCTTGTTTAAACGTTTTCCAAAATCATGCGCCTCCATTAAGCTCTTGGGGTTCCTCAAAAAAAAGGAATGAAAAAATAAATGAAAGCAAAATTTTAATCCGTTCCTCGCTCATACGCGTGGGGGCGCTTACCTCAAACCCACAATCCAAGATTGATATTACGTAGCTATCGAAGACTATATAGGTAAAGAATGGTTTACCGCCTCAAATCATTAGCTACCGAGGTATACACGATCCACAAACATGCATTATTATATCATTATTATATTATTGAATATTAATCGCTAGCAAAGTTCAAGGTGAGGGGCGCGGGAACACTATGCTGAGAAATGCGGAGCCCGGAAAATTCATTGCCTTGACTTCTCCCGCCCTACTTCCTCATCAACACTCCTACTTTCCCCGTCAATTACCACCTCCTCCGGTCCATTAAATGTTTTCCTTCCCCTAACCGCGTACCAGAGTACACTTATACCTGCAAAACCCATGAAGACTACAGAAGCGTAGTTCATGCCGGCAGCAGTGACAGGAATACTGACAGGCATACAGAATAGGACTACGCTCAATATAATCCAGGTTACCGTCGCTATATTGATTGCATAACCAAATTTCCCCAAAGAAAACGAGGAGTTTTTGACGGCAACACGACGGTTGAGAATGTTGACAAGGATCGGAAAACCATACGATGTGGAGAGGCAGATCGTGGCAACGCCGACGAAGGATTGGAACGCGGCTGTGGAGCCGAAGTAAATGAGGCCAAGGAGACAGCAAATTGCGGACGACAAAAGCAGCCCGTTGAGTGGGACATTAAGCTTGTAGTTATATTGTGACCAGCTGTGCATTACACGGATTAACCTTTCAACCCATAAATGAAGATAAACCAAAGAGATATATTTATTACTTACTATCTGGATCCAGGAATCGCTCCGTCTCGGGCGAATGCAAAAGTGCATCGACTTGCAGCAGTGAGTGCGCCAGTTCCCGCGAAAAGTGCAACAACAAGTACTAGAAACTCGTCAACAAACTCCTTTCCCAAGCATCAATGAGGTGAGACAGGTATATATACCGAATATTAGCAATCCCATTCCACCAGCCTTGCTCCCGGTAACTGTAGTAAAGATCATTCCGATCGGTTGGCCATTCGCTACACTGAGTATAGCCTTCACCTCAGGCAAAACAAACAACAGAGGAACGAGATAAGCAACACCAGTCAACCCCGCCATGAAGACGCTCAGCACCATTGCCTTGGGAACTTCTTTTTCAGGGTTCTGAACCTCCTCGCAGAGAGATGCGACCATGCCGTACCCGGTTAAGGTATATGCAGCTTGTAGAAGGCCGACGAAGAAAGACCACCCAGATGGGTATCCTGAAGCTGTTGGGTCGTAATGAGCAAACACATACTCCGCAGTATTTCGGTGACGAGCGGTAGCTAGCAGCACAACCATGATGATGATGACTGCAGCCGCGGTCCAGATCATGCCTAATATAATCCATTTTAGTCAATATTCCTTCGAGTCGGGCATCCAATCCTGTGAGGTGTTTCCTTACATATCGTATTCAATAGATTCAAATGTTTGCTAAAGAATACATTGACACCCGTACACACAGCCATTACTCCCCAAAACATGAGTACAGTTTGCCATGTATTCGCGACGAAATCTTCCTGGAAGATCGAAACTCCCGAAAGGAACAACTGGCCAGTCGAGAAAGCAATTGAAAGGGTTACACTAAAACCACTGTTAGAATAGGTGTTGAAAGCTATCTATCATGCTGGATAGAATTTCGATCGAACTTACGTCCAATTACCGACGAGAGTCAACCACCCTGTAATCCAGCTTGCTATTGGCCTATATTTTGGCGTGGATAACATTGCCGACCACTATATATTCCGTTAGAATATCTTCTTTCATAATTTAAATTAGCACCGGTAGTAACGGCTTATACGCACATAATAAACACCGCCAGCGGTCGGGTACACAGCACATATTTCTGCTAGGCTTGCCGCGATACCCATTGATATCAGCGAGACAAGAACCCAGCCCCATATAACTGTCACACTCTCTCCATTTGTTAAACTAAGTGATAATGTCGTTGAAAGCCCACACGGTACCGCTGTAACAAGGTGAGTATCCAATTAGCCATCTACTACTCAACTTGCGTCGATATGCGCGTGTATCTAGACCTGAACGGATCAATCGTACCCATAATCGCAAAGGACCTTAATATTACGTGCTAAGTTAGCACAAGCTTGGACTGTATCAGTGTAGGGCAATGCAGGGAACCTTACAATCCCATAATAGACACCATGCTCAAGTTTTTGGGCAAATCTTCCCGCTTGTTCCCTGTGCTCATGCGCTTGAGCGCAGTCCCACCGCCTAAACCTCCAGGACTCGAAGCTCCCGACATTTCTATCCTTCCGCCAAAAAATGACCCTAATCTACCCGCAGTAATGTTTAGTGTTAATCGTTTCGACTGTTTGTTTTAACCGTTGTCTCCTGCGCAGATATAACCGCGATATAGTTTAAGTCTCCGTCTGGTAAGGTTTATAAAATTTAAAATAGCGCTGTGTTGCAGGGAGACAACGAGGTATATAAATGTATCCAAGTCTAATCGCCACAATCGTTACACGGCGAATATGAGTGGTGACGTCTGAGTTCCTAGGATCACAGGGACTAGGCTCTAGGTTTAGTCGACTAGTCCGGAGTATATGGTATGAATATCGGCTTATTCGGCGACCCAGTATAGGTATACTATCACCAGAGAGGCTTGAAGTCTATCGAGGGCTGGTCACACGACACTGCTGCCAGATTTATCGCAGAGGTTACGTAAAACCTCAAAGTAAAGGAGGAAAACTTTGAATTAAGTTAGGTCGAGAGCTCTAGAAAGAAAAATTGTGGGCCGTCGGGACAGTGTAGGAGGCGGACCGTCCCTTATCAAAGCATCCAGTCACCCAACTGCTTGAATTTCGCAAGTCTCAATTCCTTGTTGATAGCCTCAACAAGTTTACTTCATCCCAGATCCCCAGGCTCTTGGTCGTCGCACATCTTGGTGTGAACATCACAGCTTCTTTTTTGACTGGCCCCAGTCGCAAAGTCTTCAAGTTTAGCATTAGTCTGAAAGAAATCCCGGGACAAATGAGATACTTTTGGAAAGTGCCCGCCGCCTAGCTCCTAGCATTGGAAGGGAGGCCCTGTTCTAGAAATAATCAAGATGCAAATCATAGTCGCTGCCTGCCTAATGCCAGTCGGGGCTTATGCAGGCCACTTGCCTCTCCTGTTTCGGGCAACTCGCCAGATCCGGAACAACACAGAATCTCCAACAGGGTCGGTGCTAAGAAGGGCTTAAGCCGGCTTTGACGCAAAAATCGAAGCAGTAATCACACTTTTCAAGCGAAATATATCTTGATCATCTCGTTGATGAGATAGGAAATTGCTGTAGAAATCCATTAAATTAAGGCGACCACAGCGTCTTAGTTTATCAAAACTCGGTGGTTATTTTACGCTAGCACTATCACAGCTTTCATTTCGTGACCTGCAGGGATTCAGCGGCAACGAACCGAGAGAACTAGTTCAGCTATGGTATACATCTATTTGAAGAAATACCAATCCTGATAGCTAGGCCCCTTCGTTGCCATCGTATTTTACGCCTTGGGAGCTTAGGGCTCCTAAGATACATGAGGAACTTTTTGCTCTCTAGTTAATTAAAGGTTAGAGACTTAGCTTTCTCATTGAACGCGATATTCTAACACATCAGAATTCCGAAATTCCTAGAATTTGAGCAAAATTAATTGCTTTATGAAATGCCATGGCTCCTTGAGGACGAAGAGTTAACTCTTGATCAAAATACAAGAACATACTACGAGGGCATCTATTAAGCTTACGCCGCCTCTCAACGCTAGAAAGCCAGGCTAGGGTCACTTAAGGCCTTAATTGATTCTCACCTATATCTTCTTTTATGATGTCTAGAAGCAAGACCAGGCTAGATTGGAATTAAACTTTTTTGGCCTAGTTGGCGGAGTATGCCTAATTAAGGGCGAGGCAGTGTCAGGAGATTTGTTACGAGATTGGCCACGAGGCTAATGTCAGGATATTCGTTGAGCAACGCAAAAAATGCAACATCCACGATATATAAGTGCCGAAAGAGGCCACTGACTGTATAGGTCTTATACGTAGCAGCAATTAATTCTGGTTTACGAGATAAGTCTTATAACGCTGGCAGCCGAACTTATTTATTTATTTATTTATCTCTGTCTTTGGTGGGGGGAGGGGGGTCAAAATATGAATCAAACGGTAGAAGAGACCTATTCATAGCTTGTTCGAGCATTATAAGGAATTATAAGGTACAAATCCAGAATCCACCAACAATTTGATGGTGGGTTATCGAAACTCTCAAATTAAGTCCGCAGCTATTCTAGTTTTTAGACGGGTGCTGCGATAATCAAAGAGGATCCGCCATGCACTATCAGGAAAATACCCGGTGAGCCTCAGCGAGATAAAAGTAGGCACAATTTATGAAAAGTTCAAAAAAACAAAACAAAAAGTCAGGTGTGGGATTTGAACCCCAAGCTTGTTTCCAAATATTTCTAAGAAGTCAAGGTCTACGCAGGACCAAGCCCTCCAAAATGAGGACTCCGAGGGGGCCCTTCCTCGGAGTCCCCTGCCGGGCCTGCGAACTATCGTGTACCCTAGCAGTGCTAGTGGTATACACGGTAGTTGGTGCGACCCGGCGCTTTTTGGCTGTTATAACCGCACAGCCAGGCGTTTTAGCAGAAGTTTGAAGGGTTAGCTTCATGACCACTGCACCATGTAGCCCGAAGACTACATTTGAAACAACACTTTTTGGGTATTTAAGGGGAATGATACTTTTATTGTATGTGGTGGGGGTCCAGATGATATATCAATCTAATGCTCGGCGCAGTTACGAGTGTGTGCTCAGCTAGTCCCGAAGCCGGATACAACGAATACTCAACTCGAACCGCAATTAATCGATTCTGTAATACAGTATATATATATTGAGCATTCTGTTCACGCTATAGGATTCGAACCTATCAGCAGGACAGTGTTAGAACTTGCCTTGTTGCTAGAATCCTCAATAGCTTTCTAAACATTTTATAGTAGATAGGGTACCTGACTAGGATGAACAGCTAGCTAATTATAACGGAGGCTCTACGTAACAGCTTTCTATCCTATCAAATCATATATCGCCAACTAAGAGAAAACCTCTATGCTTGCACCGAGCATGTTTAACCGTGCTGCCAGATCCTCATAACCCCGATTTATTACATAGGTATTCCTTAGAATCGACATTCCTCTTGCTGCTAGCATCCCTATGAGAAGTAAACTCGCCGGCCTGAGCGCCGGTGGGCATGACAAATTTGCCTTTACAAGCTCGTTGGGCCCTTGGACATGGACTCGATGTTGATCTAGAAGCTCCACCCTGACGCCTAGTTTGGATAGCTCCGCGTAGTATATAGCACGCCGTTCGTAGATCCAATCGTGGATCAGTGTTCGCCCTGTTGCAACTCCGGCTATAGGAACAAAATATGGTAGACTATCTGGGTTCAAGCCAGGCCAAATGTTAGGATGTAGCTTGTCAGGGAGGGCAGAAAGTTTCCCTTCATGTCGGTGGATGGTCAAGTCGGCTAGGTCGACATAACCATTCGCTGCTTTGTAGGACGACGACATTGTATACCGCAACCCCATTTTCTTCAACTTCATTAACTCAAGTGCAATCCAGCGGAAGGGAACCCTTTTGATCGTGATTTCCGAGTCAGTTGTGACTGCAGCAGATATGAAGAACATAGCTTCTATCGGATCCTCTGTCGGAGTATATTCGACGGTCTTCTTGATTCTCGGTAAACCCCTGATATGAAGAAGCGGAGTTCCAATACCTTCTATTTCGACCCCGATCTTTTGCAAGAAATAGCAAAGGTCTTGAACCATATAGTCGCAACTCGCCGCCTGTATGAATGTTTCTTCTGTCGTGCAAGCAGCCGCTAGAATTGTGTTGTTCGTGACAGTATTTCCGCTCTCATATAACGTCATTTCCCCTGGTGCTTTTTTATCAACTTTAACAATGTATCGATTATTGGTCGCGGTGATACTGACACCGAATTCCTCTAGTGCGTATTGGTGTGGTTTTACCGTTCTCTCTCCTAGTTCACAGCCGCCAGCGTATGGTATATCGAATTCCCCATGATCTTGCATCAGTGGCCCAATGAGCATGAGGACCGATCGAGTTTTTCGGGCTGCCTCCTCATCCAAATTTTCCAACCTTAGTTTCTTTGGCCGACGGAGTTCAACTGTATTGTTTTCCCTCCAGGTTACTTTAACACCAATGCTTTCTAAAACTTCTATCATTCGGATAGCCTCTTCGATTCTAGGGAAATTCAGGAACTTGGTGACACCATAATTCAACAAACTGGCGCAGAGGAGCGCGACTGCTGCGTTTTTGCTAGCCTTAAGTGTGACTTCGCCATGGAGCCTGCGGCCACCCTCAATTCGAAGATTGACTTCCCTGTTGGTTGATTGGAGATCGAGAGTATTTGAAGTTAGGGAATCTGTGTGATGGACGAATGGGCCAGGCTCCGAGTCTGAGTTTGGAACGTCAGGTATCATATTGGGATGATTAAGAATACAAAATGCATTACGCGGCCAAAGATAGTTGGTAGGTGCTTAAGCTAGGTAATTTATATTAAAAAGGGTAGAATAAAATTTTCGAAGTGATGCAATATCTTGCGCTTGATGGTTGATTCCAGGTTTTACCCCCAATTGCATACGGGTTAGCCTTGTCTCGTCGCCAGACTCCTCAACTATGGTTAGCCTCGAATAGTCCGTCATAGTCTGCTACAACTGCAACTTGTGCGCGTGCGCGGTGTCTACAAGGGGGACTTCGCAACTCTTCAGCCAACATGACAGTCAGAGCTGAGGAACCTGGAAGATAGGATCTTGATATTTTCCAGAATGCTGGGGGGTTGGTCCAAATTCCTCCGCTTTTGTGCTCTTGCAGCCTTAGGCCGACATTTGTACGGCTAGGGAAGCAGCTCTGGTTCCTGTTCTAATAAAACACCAAATCTGATATTAACTACATGCATTATTCTATCCCTGAAAGTAAGAAGCTGCTGGGATGCCTTGGCTCCCCGATTTATGAAAACTAAGGGTTGATTCGCCCATGTAGCTACTCCCATTTCTCTATCATGAAAATCTTTGAGCCCAACCTCTTCTATAAGCCATGCGGCAGGGATCTTCACTCTCCCGTTCCCAACAGGCCAATTAGGAAGGTTTGGGTGAGCTACCTGCAATCTTGTATATTCGGTTTCCTCGATGATTGGATTGGCGAAAAAAGAACCACAGTTGGGAACTAGCACTGGATCTGGCAATTTGGCTTGACGAATGGCGATAACGGCGTCCCTGATCGTTTGGGGGGTAAAATTCACGATGCCATGGTCTGCCAGATAATTTTGAACTGCGGGGTAAAAAGGTTGTACAGGATCCCCACGCCGAAGCTGAAGTGTGATCATTGTGATATAAAATCTTCCTCGATCTACGGTCTTGAACCGACTTGTGCGGTAACTCAGTCCACAATCCTCTTTATTGATGATGACAATTTCCCCAGACTCATTATCATACGCTTCGACGCTGACAAGCGTGTCTCGGATCTCTTGTCCATATGCTCCAACATTCTGTACAGGCGTCGCGCCGGCTGTGCCTGGTATTAAACTAAGTGATTCAATACCAGATAGACCCCGAGAGACGGTGCGTTCAACGACCTTGTCCCAATTCTCGCCGGCGCCGACCTTGACCAGTACGGTTTTGTTGGCATCGCCCCCGATTGGTTCTTCCTGGTAGTACAATATTCTATTGCATATGACCAAACCGTTGAATCCTGAGTCTTTCCAAATAGTGTTGCTTCCCGATCCAATCATGATAACTGGTAACTGGCGTTGCTTTGCCCAAGTAGTCGCTTCTTTCAGCCGTTCGCGGTCGGCGACTTTAGTTAGGTAAGCTGCACGACCTCCCAGCCGCATAGTGGAATAGTCTTCGAGACTGGCGTTTTCGAGTATCTCCATCTCTTAATTGCGCGCAATTGCGATATGTCGATATTTCTGCATACATGCATGCGCATGTGATTATATCGATTAGGTGGAGTCATAGGTACATAGTAGAGAAGTGTTTCAGGGACCAGGGGTGAGCCTATGAGATGTCCAGAACATCGAAACAGCTGCAGGGTTCTAGAGGTCTTTTTAGATCTGACATGGCTCCCTTGTGACTTCTGGAAACGAGATCCGATCTGACCCTCATAGATAATGCCCTGGTGGACCCAAAACCCCAAAACTGTTAACCACACAAATATTGAGGAAGAAAAACATCGTCAGATCCTGTGCCTAAAGACACTATGGATTGCACGTCGGCCAGTCTTCTCATGTGTTATTACAAATCATGATCGCATATCTTAGGTCATCATATATAGTATGTAATCAAATATACATAAGCGCTACGAAAAATAAACCCAGTTTTTTTCTCCGATTCTTGCCAGACCTAGCTATACACCTCTAATACATCGATAAGCCATTAAGGTTTTATTGGCAACTTGTTGATATCGTATACGTACTGTGACGTAATAGAAATATTTAGATATATAATCTTTCACGTATATATTGGGTCTCGAACTCGTTTACAAAGCCCCAAGCCTAGAGCTAAGGCTGTAGAAAAGTCGATCGATGTTCTAAAAAATCTAGATGCGATGGTGCATGGTGGAAACCGGGGTAGGCGAGCTAATAGTGTGAGATAATGCTGCTTTTCTGCTTTCCTAAAGCTTCCGGTGTAGTAATACACCGTAGCATCGAGGATGGCGTTTTCTTCAAAGCCAGCAGGTTTTAACTCCTTTATCAAAACCACCCAGTGGTTCTAGTTTAACAGCAGAATACCCTGAGACAAAAACAGGGGTGTGAACTCGAGATGGCTATTCGGATAAGCAGGAGCCGATAAAGGCCAATATATGAAGGTGTCCATGGTCATAAGTGACGGAAATGAGATATCAAAGTCGATGGATTCGTGAATATTTCGCATATCTAGGATTTGTGATCCTAAACTAGTAGCTGATGAATGCTAAAGGTCCATAACACCCACAGCCGTATCTATATCCACCTACAATAATAACAGTATTGAGCGGCAGGAAGTTGAGCTCGAGGTAGCAAGGTGAATGGGTCGTTAAAAGTGAAAAAAAAAAACGCAAAATATGAATCGTGGGGGGGAGACAAAACTTCATCAATCCGTAGTATTATCGAGCGAACCACCTACGGTCAGGTGGGAATGAATGGAACTAGAAAGAGGGGAATATTACCCCACAAAGAACTAAAAGCGAAGCTAGGTGCTTCCAAGTGCGATTGCACCACTCAGGTTCTGGATTTGCTTGCTGGGTTTCCGAGACGCCTTTGGGTCGACATTAAGACGCAAAACCAAGTATATGAGGATGATATATGCGATGACTGATGTAATAGCGCAAACGATAACTGTATTACCACTAGTTCTAAAGACCCGCTTTGCGCCACGTCTTTGGTCTACCGGTAACTCGTTTTCTTCCTTGTCCTCGACAATATAGAACTGCCGATTACTTTCGCTTCGCCGATACGCGGATATGGCCATGATAACAGCGCCATAGCCTGCAAATAAAGCGCCAATCGGGTAAAATTCGAAGGTAAACACTTTGAGGATGATGAGCGAAAAAGTGAAGAGAGATATAGAGGTTCGGAAGTAAGCGCCTTCAAAAGTCCGCTGGGAGGCTCGGATTTCGACCAGCTCTTCCTGACTTAAGTTGAGGTCTGGGCGAGAAGCCCGAGGAGTGCGAATATGGATCTGGTGAACTGGCGCCGGCAGCTAAACAAAACATATCGACTGTAAATATTTACTGGGCACGAGGAAGTCATTCGGAGGTCAGTACATACTCGAAACATTTTAGTCCGTTGATTTCGGATTAGAATCTATTTGTGATATCTGTTGGCGCGGAATCAATAGCGATATTGCATTGAGGATGTATACATATAACGCCTGTGCATGTGGCGTCTTTTGCCTTCAGTTCAGACCCCAATATAAAACGAAATTGAATGCCAAAATCGTGTACTGTCGCTTTCGGGGACTAAACTAGGCTCGCGGGCATGAAGGCAGGAGATTCCATGATGTGAAGTTGGAACACAGGCCAAGAGCTGCAAATGCAACCACGATCTACCCTCGTGATTGCATCAGATTAGGCATCTGATGCGTGCGCAATTATCTCCGATTCGGATATATCGGCGTTGACCCGTTATTACCGGTTACTACAGCACCCTTGTCGATTGTACACACCTGCTCATGCTCCTGAAGCTCCGAATAGCAGCCCCAGCTCTTCGTCTGCCGAGGACACGCGACATCGTCCTTCCATCATCGGTAGCTGCTGTTGCGACCTTTCGAGTATCCTTCATCGCTCCTGAAACCATCAGTGGCTGCTTGTACTGCAATGGACGGCTCGACGTCCAAAGTCACTGTCACCTACTGGGACCCCTCATCAGTCTTTCCACTATTCTCACCAGACATCAAAGGGAGACTACCTCTAAGGCACTTGCATTGGAAGTCGCCATCTAGGCCTCTCAGGTCTATAAATTCGCTCTATGTCGACTTTATACCCGCTGTACAACCCCTGATAACCACGACCACAGCTACATCCTCCGAAGACCCTGCTACTTCCCCATTCACAAGGCAGTCGCCGTCGCTATACACTACTCCTTCAACTCTCCCCAGGTCTGGAAGCACAGATGGAGCTGTATCTCCCGTGTCTCCTCCTCCTCTTCCTGCGCCAAAGATTGTCGCAAATGCAGTCGGACGTCGAAGATCTTCTACTCCAAACCTCAATACCTTTATGCGTAGAACGACTCTTGGAGACATCCCAATCAGAGAACGGCGTCATCAAATACCCGGCCTTCGCCAGACTTCCTACTTGAAAATATTCTTCCTCCGTTGCGACGATAATGATGCTTATAGAAATACCGCTCGAAAAGAGTTGAAGGAATGGATTGCTGCTAATTGTACCCCAACATCTTCAACATCGGGCTCAAGCTCTAGTTCGTCCAAAAACGACAATCACGATGCCTTCGAATGGATGATAGTACATGTGGTCCTGCCGGGGACACCTGCTGCTAGCCAGCCGCGCATGACGGGTCAATCTAGCTCTTCTCTCAATTCCAATGCCTCCAATCCAGAACCAAGCAATAAGTCTCGTTTTCAGTTTAAATCCAGTACTACTATCCTCGAGAAGCTTAAGAGTGACTTCGGCTCGACATCGAAAAAGTCACTTCCCAGAATTGTTCAAATACGACTGTCCCACCCCCAGCCTTCCCCACCGCCAGGAGCTGCCGCAACTGCCACTCCGATTCCTACACCGGCCGAAAAAGATGCTGATTATGGTCTTTTGATCTCTCATATGAAATCGCTGATCCTGACGAGCTTCGACCTCCGAGTACAACAGTACGAAGATGATATATTAGCGAGGAGTAACCAGCAACACCTACCAGGATGGAACTTCTGCACGTTCTTCGTGCTTAAGGAGGGCCTTGCTGGGGCATTCGAAAGTGTAGGGCTGATAGAAGATGCCTGGGCGATATACCAGGAACTTGCCGTCGCCGGTGAAAGCATCATTGTCGGTGAAGAGGCGGACAGGGAGGGAGGCAAGACGTTCCTAGGCTGGAGTGGCGAAGTTGTCAAAACAATCGTGGAAGAGGGCAGGAAATGGCACAACCATCAAGCTGAGAAATTGAAATCTGGCTCTCAGGCCTCTTTAGCAGTTCCAGGGACGCCACCATCCAGTGATCTCGATCAAATGGGCGAAAAAGAAGATTTCAATGATGCTAGTATCCTATCATCTGCCCGCAAGCCATATAGAGAACTCATCTTATCTAACAATATCTCTGTTTTTGACTTTTTATCCTATTGTTTCGCACGGCAGGCGTCGCTTCTGCTTCGCCTAGCCGCAACTATACCTACTAATCGATCCAGTGTCGGATCTCAACCATCCACAAATGATGCATCTTATTCATTCTTTGACCCTACTGCTGGGCTCGCAGAATCAGCGGTAGGGGGGGCGTTGCCGAGGGAAGGTGAAGCAGGCTATCTTACTGAAGTTGTCAAAAAGGGAATTGAGTTCCTTCGCACAGGTTCAGCGGTCTTGCGGGCTGAATTATATCGCGGTTGGGAAAGCATGCAAGCAGACCTCGAACAGATCAAAAAGTCAGAGGCTGCGTCGAATGAGGAGGCAGCAGTCACGGTCAGCACGCCGGAAGAAACTGAAGCTAGGCAAAAGGTCCAACAGGATAAATTCGATCTTACGTTTCCAGCCGTAAAGGCTTTTATTGATAATTACATAGCCTCCTTCGTTGTGAACGGGGTCATGCAACTTATTGATGCCACAGATCACAAAAGTGTCCCACATCTTGATTGGAAGGACTTATTATTATTGGAGGCGAAAAGCCCGCCCCCAACACCTAGCATCACACAAGCATGGGTGCCAGGCAGTACGACGAATAATAAGGATATGCCTCCGGATTCTATCCCACCTAGAACTGCGACAATATACTCTACGGAGATTGAAGAAAAGAAGGGACCTACGGTCTCCGAGGGCCTAACAGCAACTGAAGAACTTGCTTTTTTCAGGGCTGAAGTACTCATGCTTGCCCGTGGGGTAGTCGTTGAGATAGCTGGTAACCGGTGGCGCAGTTCCCAAGAGAAGCTCCATCCAGCCCCAAAACACCAGGAAGCCAGTGCACCCGACAATGGCAGTATGGTGGACGTCAATCTTAACGATACAGAAAGTGTGGCCTCCACTCATAAATCCGAAGAAACACTAGAAAAGGATGACTGGGTTTGGTTATGGGGTATCAGGGCGGGTATGCTACGGCATGCTCTCCTTAGTGATACCGGGTTCCTAGCTGTCTACGAACGTATGACGGAAACTGCTGTGAAATTGTTCTCCCTTGCCAAGCGTGTCAAGAGTACCGAACGGACCCTCGCCGAAATCGCGTGCATCAAATACTATCGCAAAGATTTTGCGGCTGCAGCACATTACTTTTCGAAACTAGCACCATCATACACATTACAACGGTGGGCACTAGTCGAAGAGAATCTGCTGATGATGTATGCGGACTGTCTTAAAAAGATGGGGCGAGATGAGGAGTTTGGTAAAGTCATCTTAGTACTGCTAAGGAAGAGAGCGGAGCAAGAGAAACGGCGATGGAGGACCCAAAGAACCAGCATGTTATTCCTTAATGGTGTTATTCGGATTGATGGGGATGAAGGATTGGGTTTACTACCCGGAATGCAGGAAGTGAGCAAGGTTGTTGAGCCCACCGACCTCAAGTTTGATGAATTTTGGACAGATGTCGAGGTGGAGACATGCCCAGAGTTTGAAGGTGAGGGAGACGGGAAGGGAGGCTTCAAATGGTCTGTCGCAGTGAATTGTAGGTGGCTTCTGACTCACAGCGTCACCATTAAGAGTGCCACTATGAAAATCTCCATTGCCGATGATAAGGCCAAAAGCATTGCTGGCATCGCAAAGGATATACAGCTCGTGACTGAAGGAGAAGTTGGGATCAAGAGGGGCAAAAACAGAGTCGTCTTTGTCGCCGACACCTTCTATGCTGGAACGTATGAGATCCTTTCCATGGATATCAACGTGAATAATTTGACCTTCAAGCACAAATTCAAACTAGACCTTCCTCTACCTGGGGAAAGTATTTCCCCGTCAGCTTTGAAAAAACTGGAGCCACCCAAAATTATTCTTTTCCAGGCACCGGAGACATTCTATATCGGTCTCAACTCGCCAAAATTGATACAGTTGGACAAACTTCGAACAATCGAAGTTGAGATTAATTCTGGTAATACCGTTGTCGAAAGGGTTGAAATGAAAATAAAGAGCTTAACGGCTGGGCTGAGACTACTTGTCAGTGATATACAAGTGGTAAACAACGCTGACGGGGAACAAAATGTGGATAACATAACGCTGGATCTGGATGAGGCCGGCCTAATAAAACTCGGAAGCAAGGCTGAGGTCAAGAAACTGGGAAACCTTTTACTTCGGATTCCTTATAAGAGTGATGGAGATCTGAACGAGCTCTCCGTACGCCTCCCAAAATACACTGGATGTGTCCTGATGCTAATATATTTCCACGGATTGTAGGTCCGACTAGAGGCGAATCTTACAACTGAGACCACGGAATACAAATACGTCACGACTCCTTCTGTGCCCGTCGCCCTACCATTGAGTGTCAATGTGCAGGATATATTCACCCGCGCGGCCCTCTTCAGCAAATTCCAGGTTTCTACTGTAAACCACCTCCCTTTACGGATTGTCCGAACGGAGCTTGAAGGTAGCAAAGCGTTCCGTACATCGACAGGAATTGGTTGCCAAGATCTGAATGAAGGCATTGTGGTTTATACAAAACAGCCTGCTGCTTTCACTTTCAAGACCACGAGAATATCCGGAGGAGAGCAATTTTCAGGTGACAATTTGTACTTGAGAGTGATGTGGAGAGGCATTGGTGACGGTAAGGCTTTTTGGAATTGACCCGCCTTTGAAATTTCGGGAATAGCATACTAATCTATGGTCTGTAGAAATCATGGTAGCAGTGAATACCGTCTTCGCCGCCCACCTAGCCTCTGCCGGCTACGGTAGATATCAGCGTCTTCTCACTCCCACCCTCGAAGAAATCGTGGAAGATTTAGGTAAATCGGATATCGAACGCGCAGCTCTCCTTGGAGCAGTCAAACTTCCTCCGTTTGATGCCGAATCGTGGGCAGAAGCCTTCGCTGGCGTACACTGCAAAAATTCCGAGAGGACAAATGTTGCTCAGGTTGTCGAGAAATTCTTCGACATTTGGGGCGGAAGGAAAAGGATACCACTATTGTCACCTCTCAGGACTTTTGGGAAACAGGATGCTGAAGACGACGATGAAGAAAACAAACAGCAAACGCAACGGCTTGATGGTATCGCTAGGACAATCATTATTCCGGTTGAAATCCCAGCGTTACAGTGCCTTGCGACGGCAAAATTACAAATGCGTGATGTCAAAAACGGTGGTTCTAGCGGGCCAAAGATGGTGAGAGTAGGGGAAGTTATCAAAGCAGTTTTAAAAATAGGTATCAGTAGATGTTGGGATCTTGGAACCGATAGAGAGAGAAGGAGTGCAAACGTTCCCGACAATCTGAGGTTCTATTATGAGATGAATACTGCGACAAACTCAGATCCCGGGAGTGGCAGAAGAGAGAGCAAAGGTGATGAGTGGTTAGTGAATGGACGAAGAAGGGGTGTGTTTGAATATTCATTTATGAAAGAGTGCGACGAAGAAGCAACCGAAACAGGGGATAAAGAAGTGGAGTTCGAGCTGTTACTCGTTCCACTTAAACCTGGCTTTTTGCTTGTTCCTAGTATTGAGGTTAGGGCTCTTCCATATATACCTGTTAACCCAACAGGGGATACAGAGGAGGAAGAAAACTTCACAGTCACCTGCGAGACGGATTACAGAAGCGCAAGCGAAGGAGTTCTAGTGGTTAGTGAAGTTGAAGAGAAAGTAGTAAAGGTTGATGAAGTTGGTACCATCGGGAGGATGGGAGCAGGGAGTATCAGACGGCCAATCAGTGCTGGCGGAGCACCCGGTGAAGGACAGGCTGTTGCATAGTGGCAGGCACCTTCCAGTCATCCATCTGTGTATATACCAACACCTCCTCTACAGTTATGTTCGAGTTCACCTAAGTATTTAGAGACAAACTCTGCAGTGGGCGGTTGACATCATTGAACCATGATTTGATAGCCCTAGCAATTATACGTTTCATAGATCATGTTAAGTTCTTGGCCCCAATTGGCCAAAGCCCTCAAATATTGTATTGCTGACATGCATGCACCTTAGTACCTACTACTTAGATAGTTCTTACCTCCCTAGTACCCCAAAACACTGGCAACTATATGAGGATGGCCTCAGATGTTACCCTTGCGGGTCGAAGAATCGTACATCCCATGTATAACCAAAAACATAGCACTAGGCTTCCATCTGATCTTCAACTGTATTAATATTGTCGTCGCATAATTTTAATTGTTTGGTCATCTGATTGTATATATAACAAAGGTATCGAGAATTTTATTTCACAGCTCCACGGGGGTTCTATATATCGAGCTATCAATAAGAGGTATCAGTCAAAACCCTCACTAGATCCATGGAACTCACGACAATACTCTGTAGTATTTAACAATCTGGTCGAGTTTTTGACAATCCTAATTTCAACGCTTACTAGATAGCCGGATGTAATCCGAATCAGAAAATGCTAATAAGTCCAGTACAGTGATAAAATGATGAAAGCTACCGGGAATTTAGATAGAAGGGTTAAAATATTCTACAATCAGAAGTGAAACAAAAAAGGGCTGATTTTCTGGCCGCTCAAAACCGAAGAAAACATAGAAGCAAAACCCACGAAGACTTTTCTAGACCGGGGTAGAAAGCGCATCAAATATAAAAGAGGAACAAGAAAAATGAAAAATAAATAGAAGAGCAACATAAGGCAGAGGAAAGTATCGATAGAATTCGCGGCCATTATATACCAGGAAAACAGAAGGAAAAAGAGAATCCCCAAACACACCAACTAAATCATCTCATCGGACAAAAAAAAAGGAAGTCTCGAACGACTATACAGATCGCATGTTACGTTCGTTAACCGTAATCGCTTCAAACATTGAACGAAAATAAAGACCAATTTCTGAAGATCAGGGACTTCGTCGACTTTCTGCTAGGTAGGAAGTGCTGTGCGAAAATGTTGGAATTAATTATTAGTACGAAAGTAGGGCTCCACGCACGGTCCTAGGCAGCGCTGCGTATCGGCTACACTTCGATGTTAAAATGGGATATCTGTGAGTAGTAGCTACTAATTGCAAGTTCAAGAATATACGTCTCGTTAAAGACAGAATGTCCATCGAACCCACCGATGACAAAAAGACGGCTATCATGCAAGGCCGCCCCGTGGTAACCTCTGCCTGTTGGAGGAAGGCCGTAAACCTTCCTTTTATCCCATTGCATTGTAACTAAGAGTTCAGCATTAGCGGCGAATCACCCCCCAGACAATAAAAATACTAACCGAGGTTCAAGAGCAGGACTTCATTGCTATATTCAACGCCATCATGGCCACCGACCACGAATAGATAGCTCCCAATGAGTGTAGCTGTATGGCTTAGCCGAGGATAACTGGTTTTGATTTCGACATTTTTCCAAACAGATGTATCCACATCGAATACCCAAACATCTTTGAAGCAGTCAACCCCATCAGATCCGCCAAATATTATCAACTTATTCTGAACCATATTCGCAGTATGGTAGCCCCGCGCAGTGGGTTTCATCTTGACGACAGTGCTGGAATTCTTGGTCGAAGTAGGTGTAGTGGCACCTGGTTTGCACAAAGATTCAATGGTTATTATCAAGAATACAATTAAAGGGAGCTTCAGTGTACTAACCGACAGAACCAGACAGCAAACTCGTCTGTGAGGCACTTGCAGTAGTTTTGCTACTTCTCGTGCCCGCTGCACTCGCCGATGATGCCCCACCTATGGTTGTGGCACCGCTCGCAGATGATATTTGTTTCCAACTCATCTTACTCAAATCACTAACATCGAGTCTCCATACATCATTCAGTGCACGGACGCCATCTCCACCACCAAATACGTAGAGGCCATTTTTATAAAGGCATGCAGTGTGGGCTCGCCTTTTGCTAGGTATTTGTCCGGAGATTTTAGGCTTAGTGTACCGGTGGGTGACAGTATCTAAGACATAAACATCGTTGTAATATGTAGGGCCGTCTCCACCTCCAAAAATAATAAGCTTCTTGTTGACAGCAGTGGTGGTCATAGCCCGGAGCGGTGGTGGGATATCACCCGAGACATCCGGTTTAGACCAATACATTGAATCGGCGTCAAAGACATAAAGGTCGTTAAAGCAGGTCTTTGAATCACACCCCCCAAAGACGTATATCGAGCTGCCAATTAACGTGCAGGTATGCGCCCTGAGCGCAACAGAGGGCAACCCGTGAGAAAACGCTTTGTACCAATACATCCCACTAGCGGGCGCGGGTTCCACTCTTGGAGCTAATGGATCTGGAAGCGGCAATTCTAGAGACGGCGGGTGCCTGCGGCCTGCTATGCTAGCATCCCGAGAAGACGTTAAAGTCATTTTGTTGTTTAAATGGTTGCGGATGCTTTTGCTGCTTTTGCCACGTGAAATAGTAGAGAGCGCCTCGGAGGACGAATTGGAGGATGATGACTTTGGGGGCGCTTCTTCGCCAGTCAGCTCTCGTTGCCGTTTTATCGCTACTACCTGATTTAGGGAGGCAGCCCGTAAAGACGCGGAAGTCGAAGATATCGAGGAGGTAGCATCATCACGAGCAGACCTCGAAGACGAAGGTGTTTTGGAGTGAATGTCCGGGCGCGGTGAAGTGGACCCAGAACGTGATATACCATCTCCGTCCGTTTTTGTAATCGTAGTTTCGGATATCGAAGGATGTGTATGTAAGAGGTCAAGATTACCCTCGACAATCTTTTTAGAGTTAATAACCTTGGCTGGACCCATGATAGGTGTGACATTTCCAACGCCCTTCATACTCCTCCCATCATTGTCTGTTGTGTCTAGTGTAAGTCGACCGCCGCCAGCTCTAGAGGAAGCTACTGAATTGGATCGACTTTTTATTCTGAGATCAGGTTCTGTGAAACCTAGACCCCTGCGAAACGTGTTATACCTTCCCGCTTCGCTCGAGGGACCCATAGCGCCGCCATTGCTACTTGCACCAATTTCTTCTCGTATCGGTGTTTGAGGTGTCATAATTCTTCTAGAAGCAGGTATCACCCTAGTTCCTGTCCGTTCATCTTGTTCTTCTTCCTCTTCTTCATCAAGTTCCAACGCATGATCGCTATCCCAGCTTCCTTCATACCCAGTATTTCCATATGCCTCGGCGAGCCTTGAAGCTTTCATCCTCGTAGGATCACTTCTAGTCGAGAGTGGTGATTCGAGCCCTCCATACCCGGGAACGGTTGGGCTGTCACCACCGACAGCCCGGTTCCCGTCATATGAAGGATTCATAGATGACAAAGATGATGACGCTGTCGAGGATAGTGTCGTAGTTGATTCAGAAGCAATTGTCCTTGAGCTACTAATGTGAGTGGATGTTGTCGGCGTTTGTAGTGGTGTATTGTGTAAGGAGCCAATGCTTGGGGAGTGAGCGCTCCCACTCCTAGACCTGCCACTACTGATCGTGCTATGTGAGTATGTCGGTGCCGAAGGCGCGTGGGGATATGTTGATGTTGGGGTTGGCCCAGCAGACGTCGGCGCCGGATTGGATTTTGACGAATGGTGGCTGCTCCGCGTCTGCAAGCTAGGTCTCCTTCTGTGAGGCGAAAAGTTTAAGATGTTAGCAAAAGACCCCGCAACCGGAAACGACGTTCGCTTCTTGAGAATCGACGAGGCAACAGGCGAAGATGGCCGGCTGCTCTTCCCAGTCCCTCCTGTCACCCCTCCGGGGCCCCCAGTTCCTGCCAGCACGCCACCACTGTTATAAAGGTCGTTTGGTGTGATTGATCGTTCAATCAGATCCCCGTTGCTTTTGCGAAGCCCTTCAAGCCCTTCAAGTGCTTTACGTTTGCTTTTCGAACGATATATACCGTCCTTGTTTTTGTCCTTCTCCCGCATTGTTCACCGAGTCAAGACCTTTCATTCCACCTTGGTCAAAGAGGGCACTACGGCCATAAGACTTCTGAGAATGGCGTGAACAAGAGCCTCTTTTTATTGGCTTCTCCAAGGAACTTGGCTAATTGATTGATATTTGAGGCGTGCGTCAGTGGCGCCACAGCGTGCACTTGGGATGGAAGGGTTATTGTAAAGCACCGGTAACGTCAAGCTGATGATTTGACGCAAGGGCTCAGCGATCCGGTACTACGAAGGCACAACAGACCCAGAGAAAGGAATGTATCGGGGAATTTGAACAAATTCGGAAGTATCCGGGAATATTTGGTTGTGGAGTTTAATAGTGGTCGCCGAAGGTATCCCAGCCAAAAGCCAGAGTTCGCTTTGAGACGCCGCCGAGATGGGGTGAATTGAGAGAGCAAAAGTCCAATAGCTAATTCAAATTGGTTGATGTTTATGCTGGTAGCACGGATTATGCGCAAGTGAAGCCGGTGAATGTTCCAGATGGTGTGACAAAGTCCCACGAAACGTGCTCAGAATGCTATCGTGTGTAGAATGTATGTTTCGAAACAGTCGTCACGAAGATATATGTGCATAGCAGGTAAGGGCTCCTCGGATTGGGAGCTAGAGGGGAACAATGGTCAGTGCCCAGAGGTAAGCTACTGATAGCCAAATAATGCCCTCCGGATCCCTCAACGGAATATCCCTCTCAGGCCTAGCAACATCCCATGTCGGTCGGCTTAGGAGAGGCGGGAAGTCAATGTCAAGGAAGAGCTCGAGCCACAAGCCTCGGGGAGATAGTCAAGTTCAGCCAAATGTTGCTTTATCCGTGAAAACTTGACCGGAACCCGGAGGATCTCAAGAAACTCTCCTTTTATGTGGCGCCTCCCAAAGCTACTTGCTCTTGATGGCTGGTATCTCCTTTGTTTTGTTTTTTGTCTTCTAACCGTGATATCTTGTGACCGATACGAATTTCAATCCAGTACAGTAATTTCGTCTGTCACCGGTATCCAGCTCTCCATTTGGATAGTAGGAAAGCAGAAAACACCTTTCAGGATGTAATAAAGTTCGTTTCTGTCGGGCCAGCTGTTGTGATAGGTGGGACCAAGCAGGAGAGCAGATCTGAAACCGCAAAGAAGGCAAGCGAGGTAACTGAAGGGAGGCAAAAGGAGCGAGAAGGAAGGGAACGTCCGGAATATCTCGCTATCAAAGGGAGATAGTGGTAGACACGGGCATTAATGGCCTATAACTCTTGGGCGACAGGTAGAAAGGGAAAAGCGGTGCAATGCAGAATGTGTTCAGGGTATATTGACGAGGGATGTTAAAAAACGGGCTAACTATGACATACCTGGCATCAACTGTGCTGGCGACATGAAGGGCGTATTCACTCACAATCCCAGCCAGGGACTTCTTCTTTCTGCTCTTGTCTCTCCTTACGGAGAGGGAGTCCCTTGTCGGCTCTATGGCTGGTGTTAGTCGAAGGATATCCTCGCGATCGGATTCGTGGCTAGCCAGTTCAGCTGTCGGAAGCCAAAAAACAAAAAGGAAACCCGATCGAGCTTATGGCTTTGTCGACGCCAACTGAATTCTGAGAGTCAAAATGTACGACGCCGGTCAGAACCGTGCAGTCGCCTGATTGCAGTTATGGTGGGTGAGCAGAGCAAGGCGTCAGGCTTGCAGCGCGGCTCGCTCGTCCTTTGTAACGAAGGTGAGCACCGAGCCTTCCCCCGAGATAGCCTAGTTCTTTGAGTGCCACCACCGATATAGCGCAGAATAGGATATCTGAAAGCCCGATGTCTCGCAAGGCGATATGATTTGTTGGAGGAAGAGGCAAAAAGAGGGAGAAATGCTGAAGGAACACAAGCACAATAGGTCCCCTTCAAGCCCAAGGAACAAACTCAAAAACGACCGAAGCAGATAGATCAACCGTGTGCAAGGGCAAGGAGACCAGGTGCCGCGGGAACGGAAAAGACGAAAGCGGGGTATTGGTTCCTGAAGGCGTGAAGCTGGCTTGCAGGTATAGCGTCCCTAGCGCCTTTCGAGAATTTTCCAGTTATAAAACAGTAGTAATATGAGACCGAAGTCCTGTCACTGGCTGTAGGTACAGCGTGATGTGATAGTCTTGTGCTTGAGCTTGAATGCTGGCTAGATCTGATGGGCACAAGAACCACCACTCGCACGATCGGTTGCAAAGAATTGTTTGTTAGCCCTTTGTCAGGTTCGCACGAAGAAGCAACCACAAAAACGGGGCTCCGTTTCAGATTTGACGCTAGTGGCCCCGAATAGTTTAGCCTGGGTTGGTGCTCCAGCGTCTTGTCGTGGAGAATTTGACGTGGTCCAGAAGAATACTGCATTCGAGCAAGCATGCAGGTGAGCTACACTTCTGCAAAGTAGGAAGCAACGACGAGAAACTGTGGAGCTGGCCCTCCGGTGAGCAATCGGTGATAAGATTGCATCGATTAAAGTCACTTTGAGTTATGGGAGCCGACCAACTCTACTTTTGAGTTTTTGTCTCGGGCAAGTAGAATCGAGCGTGCTTCGGGCACTCAGCTCAGATCAGCTAAGGAACTAGCTTGTAGCTTCATGAATCGAGAAATCAACCGAATATCTACATCAAAGATCAGTTGCAACAAAATTTTCTAGTCAGCCCTAAACGAACCAAGATGTCGACGCTTGCCTCAAGTTAAACTCATCCCAGAGGAAGGATCGAAATCCACATCCTAATAATTAGATGATAAACATACCAATTGACCACGGGCCTGACGTCAGAATAAGATTTTTAGTCCCTGGCCCACCCGAAACTGGCGAAACGGACCGTTTTCTCGACGGTGAAAGAGTTTTCGCCAATTTACAATGCACGCCGCCGACCCCGAATTTGCGAAACATAGTTGACTATAACACAGTACGGAGTAGACCCGATTGTAACGCTGCAGGAAGCAATTGTGTACATATTTCGAAATCCCCGTTGCTTCCGATATTACAGAGGAAAATCTAGATCCATCGATGAGCGGTAATCTTATCTCGCAGTGTGCTTCCTTTTAGGCCCCGACGCATCTTCAGGTTTGGTTTTTCGCTAGGCAAGCTGCAGCAGAAACACCCACGTTTCCACCGTCGCCAGTAGAGTCGGGTCAAGCGAGCGAGGAGCTTCCTAATTTCTACGTCGAACCGAGCTCAAGGTGTGTCGAGGCAAGGTCCGATACACAGCCACCTCAGCCTGCAGTCATGATTCTCGAAATTAGGGACTGTAATGGACTAGGCTACCCCAACTTCGTAGCGTACCGACATATTGGTTGGTTAATAAAAATTACGGTTGCCAAAGTTGGAAATTTTCGCCCGCGCTAGCTTCAACGCCACAGTCCAAGTCAAGTTCTGCGATCCGGCCAGTGCGACGTATCCTGCACCAGTCGCGTGTGTTAGTCGTCTTTGACCAAACATATTGTACTTCGAGATCAAACCTTCGTAAACCCGGTCTTGTCTTGTCAGAAAAAGTTTTTTTTCTCCATGAGATCGACGTATTGCAGGTAGACATATACTGGCATAAAGGCCTCGATATCGCCGACCGGAAGGGGAATGGTCTGCTGTTTGCCTTGACCGCGACCCGCGATGAAACACATTGATTCGAGGGACGGGATCCCTAGGCCAGCATTAATCGGCAGATCCCTCGTAGTATTGTCCAAATGCGAGTTCTCGTTATCCAGTAAATCGGAGACGATGTAAAAATACCACATTCCGGGTGCCTGAGGAGACACCAGCCATGCGGGAAAACTGTTGACAGGTACTAGAACTGTTTTCCTTTTGTGAGGCTTGAAGGCTTGCCTTTAGCAGCATGCATATGCATCTTGGATTGTCCTGTCCCAGCCATTGAGTGCTGAATTTTCCCAGGCTAATGAATACCAAATAGATGCTGCACATAACCATCTCAAATTAGTTCTTCTTGCCATGCAAAGAAGAGCTGAGCCAGCGTTGTCCTCGCCGACTACCTCATTGAAGCACCGCCTGCTGCTGATCTCCTCTGTTGATATAAATCAGCTCGCGGGCACTACTGTTGTTTCGTTCATTTCAAGCAGCAAAGACAAATTACCTTGGTTGGCCCAATATTGACGAGGCCTAGAGAAGCTAGTACTTCTGGTATATTCCGGTCCATCCCATTCTGTAAAAAGCAACAAGAACAGCTTGTTCGGGTCGGACTGCCTATAAGTCGACAAGGAATAGCAACTTTGTGGATTCTCAATCCCATACTATCACAGAGAGCGGACCAACAAGAATCTTGCGAATTTGAGACAAAAAGTCAGACCTATTAGCCTATGGGCCTGGAACAGGAGAACCTGGTACCTGCAGCATAGTAGGGCTTCTGTCAAATGTGTCAGGGTCGAAACGGGATCACAAAGGTTGACTATCCCCATTGAGAAGAATCGAATCGTCGTTGCTCCGCTCGCACTCGAGGACCTAACTTAGATCTGCAAGTCATAGCTTCGCACCTAGTTTCTGTTCAAGGATAGGACGCAACGGAGACAGCGCGAGCGCCGCTTTCAATCCGCCAGCCCAGCCTGATAGGGTCGACATAAAAAAAAATCCGCCGTTCTGTGAGGGTCAAGACCAAATTAGAGCGTCGATTCTAGGAGTAGGATACATATTGGGCTTGGTCACCTGGCCTGTTCCATCCAGTGGATTGCCAACTAAGTAAGAAATCGAAACAACTGTCTTGCCGTTTGCTAGGTCGTCTTGCATTACTCTCTTAGAGTAGCCTATCCGCACGAGACCCGTTCTGCAGGCCTGCCGCTTCGGAATTGTGATTGCCTTTTCTTAATGGTCTTCCCGTTCCCTGTGGTTGCATCACAAGTGGATTCGAGGTAGAGTTGGAGGTTCTTAAACAGTGTCTCAGAAGAGGCTAAGAGGCAGCTCAGCTTAAGTCTCCTCCAGACAGCTAACCTCACACCAACACACACCACTCAGCCTTCTATTCGCTGCCCTTGAAGATATAAAGAAGGACATCCAGTATCAGCGGTCCTTTGGTTATTACCGCTGCTCCTCATCCTCAACATTCCAGCCATCCAACTACCCAGGCGCCTTTGAGAAATCAGTCATCATGTTGTCGTTTGACGAACTAGCAGGGACCTTGAGGACAACGAAGGACCGGGTCCTCCAAGGAGTAGCTCGTTCCCCCACCGGTGAGTCTCCCCCTCCAAACAACGAGGGCGGGGCTACCACTCCACAAGAGACTGAAGCCGAACTCGCCCCGCAGTCATCAAGTAGAGGGGCTAATACTCACGGCCGCTCGACAGATGAGTCGAATGCTCCAAATTCCGCTGCAGATAGGAGGACCCCTTCTCCCCAAAATAGGCAGCAGACCTCGAGCCACGATTCTATACTGTCTCCTATCCGTAAAATAGACCTGTCTAAGGGCAGCCATGGCGACGAAAACGCCTCGTAAGGGAAGGCTCTCAGCTGGTTCGACTCGCCGAAAACCTACACCTGCTACCAAACATTCCATAGTTTGGTTTCATAGCGGTATCTTTCCCCGACAAAGATATCCGACATCCATAAGGCTCCTCTATAGGGCCTATATAGTATATCACGGCTGCCCGCCACCTGTCGGTCACCTTCGTTTACCATTCCGGCATATCACCTGCGGTCAAATATTTCGCAAGTACTACACTACTTTCTAACGGGGCGGCAAAATCTTTGAGTACGTCGCTGGTACCCGAACCACATTGCCTAGGGCCACGGTTTCCCTTTTTCCATGGCATAAATTGGGCAGCTCAATCGACCCTTAATATTCCATATTCACTCAATCCACTTGCATCTATTTGCTCAAATCATGACATTTTCATTTAATCTTCTTTGAAATACAATCGTTCATAGCACACTATTTCTGTTTATTTATTTCTTTCTTTCTTCTTCAGATCGCTTAATTGGATATTGGGATATGAACCTTCTCATTCATCGGGTTTATTTTCAGATTCATGCAATGAAATCCCCCCATATTACGTTTCTTTATTGCTATAGTTTCTTTACCACAGTTAGAAGTATTTGATTGATGTTAGCCTGCTACTCCCGCTCCAATTCAGACATTCTCCAGTGATGACATGAGCGTATAGACTTGTAAATGATAAGGTTGGAGTATGGTGTTTTGGGGGTTTTACAAGTTTCATCATGTTCCTAAAAGGCAATTGACGGATATGATCACATCTTTTATGTACCTATTCAACCCTGAATATCTAATTTTACCGCTCGTATTTCGATCTTTCGGTTCGTTAACCAAATCTATAAGATCCATCTCCAACTTCACACAAACTTCATTATTTGCGTTGCTGACAAATCATGTAACATTTACATTATTGATATGCTTAAGTGCTAGCTATTGAGAATAGAAATAGGTAAGGCTTAATTAAGTGTTCCTAAAAGACCCTAATCCCCTGGTAATTGTGGGGGCTATCAAAATCTTTTTCCATCCAACTTCTTGAAACAGAGTTTTGCATTGACAACAATGTTTGGAAAACCGAGATGCATGCATGGTCTGATATCGATAACTCTCAGCTGACGGATATCTCGATATGGTCTTGTACATACATACATATGGCAATCGTCGTTGAACCACAAAACTACTAATAATAACTCTAAAGCAATCTCGATTTAGGTCGAATGTGACCTAAGGAGTCATGTATGTACAGATGTCCTGCATACTAAGCGTTTCAGTCTATGCATACCATACTGAACCCGCCTTCCGCGCCAGCCAGTTAGGTTAGTTGCTTAAGAATTTTTGCAAATCCTCGTCCTCAAGTCTGGCAATCTCCGCCTCTAAATCCTCTTCGGTTCCTAGACTGTCAAGTTGGTACCTTAAAACATCTTGATCGAAATTTTCAGCCTCAGGGGATGCCCAATATTGTCTGATCACCTGTTCGACTTTGGCGTCATCCATGTTGATGTCTTCAAAAGACTGGCCGTTTTTTTCCCACTCCGCCTCGAGCTCCTTTGTTAAGGCGTCCCACTCTGGGTCGTCTTCTGACATTAAGTCGTCGTCAAATTCATCAGAGCTAGTCTCACTGATAGTATCACTTCCATCCGAGGAAGTTGCGTATGCACTACTAGTCCAACTTTGATCATTTACCTCTGGTAAACTCCCTGTAGTACTACCACCAGTAGAAGAGCTCTCCTCAGTTATTGGGATTAGATCTAGCGGGTAAGGGTCTTCCGGTGGCAGAATCGGATACGATGAATCTATGTACCCGACATCGGATATAATGAACTGTACAGTACGGCAATCGGCGTCTCCATATCTCTTGATGGCCTCGTAGTCAAGAATGACACGGGCATTAGGGCGATTGAAACTAGGTGCGCGTCGAAGCACCCGACCAGAGGGGCTATTGCATGCTGCATCGTGATATCAATCATATACGTTAATATTTAGCTCACACAAACTTTGTGGAATCCCTTTGATAGATAGTAACGTACAAACTAGGCTTGGATAATAAAGCAACGTCATGCTAGTATCATCCACGTTGTTGGCAGTGTCGAGTGTATCTCCAGCTCGGAGGGGGCCTGCCGGTGTAACAACAAATGGTTGGCCGTTCCGTTGGGTTTCAAACCTTTTTAAGAAAGAATAAGTTGCTTCTTTAGTATAGATCTCTTCCTCAAAAGTCGGAACTGTTATGGGAAACCTACGGTAACCGCCACTCATATCCTTCTTCAGGATTATACGAGCTGCGAAACATAATCGGCTTCCATGGATCCTTATTGTAAAAGAGACTACCCATCCAGGCGGCCCAGGGCCTCGGCTCTTCGTATGTGCCCTCGGTGACTGGTCCAAACGGAGGTCCGAACAAGTCAAGCACAGTACGGGGTGGTTGGTAGCTTGGGCCATCTAGTTCACGAGCCCTCCACCCCGGCATCGATGATATTCCATCGCAATCTTTTTCAAGAAGGACTACTTTGTTTGCGCCTAGTGGGCGACACACTATTTTAAAAAAACTTCTTGATTAGTATCAACGATATTTATATGCATAACTTCGATATTAGATGATATTGGGACACGGAAAGAAAATCCAAAGCTAAATAAGCAGAAACTTACAAGTCAAGTCATATGTTCCGCCCCTGATAAAATCGTAATGTCTAACCTTGATGATGAGTCCATACACGCTCCCAGTGCATAGAAAAATTAGGATTTGGGTCGCAAGTGCGAAGTTGAAGATATTCGAAGATAATCTCTTCATTTTCAAATAAACATCAAAATTATAACCATTCGGCTCTAGACTGGATATAGAGTAGTTAATCAAAGATTATGGTTTGTGGTATTAATTAGTATCCGCGGACCCGGGTAGGAAGATTCTGTTCAAAGTCTTCAATCGAATCCTAAAAAGTTTAACACGTTTCCTACGCATGGCTTCGAAGCTAACCTATGTTTGATTATATAGACTCATGCTCAAATTCCCTCTAGCTTTTTAGCTTAGGGTAGATCATAGAGTCAATTGAGGGAGTTGGATTCATGGTCGCTATGAGACCGATACCTCAATCAAACTTACCATCTGCGTTTTACGTAAATTTACTGCCGTGGCTCTCTGCATCGCATCCGGTCTTCTAGCTAAGTAGGCTTAGTCTAAGGACATGGACATGGCATATGGTAATGCGCCTAGCCGGCAGGGGGGTATATGCGGGTATATCATGGCTCTCGAGATCTAGCTCACCGCTTTGTGTAACAAGGTTAACAACACGGAAAGTATCACATTGTGCAATTGTGAGCGATCGGTTTTCGCCAAGCAGAGTATGTTAAACGATGCGGAGAATCTGACTAAGTATTGTCGCGTAGGGGGGGAATGAAGAATAATTTTTTTCTATTTGTTTTATCTTAATAATAGTCAATTGTCTCGTACCCAGACCTAGAAGAATAGGAAAGATTAACTAGATTTATGTAGACAACCGAGGCTGCCGATGTTTGTGTATTGAAGATTAAGTTGATCAATTAAGTTAATGCGATTGAGCCTTTCAATCGATCATGTTTTAAAGAAGTTAGCCCTAGCAGATCCCTGCGGGTGGGCGAACCGGTTATATCTGATCGAAGTTTTGGAATGGAGCGATTTTTATCGGACCTAGGCATGCTTATGAGCACTACAGTGGTGCTGTATTGGAATTGTTCCTTTATCCTTCAATATGAAGTATGTAGGTCGAAATTTAAGGTGAAGGGCCGAATATAGGGATACCCGTGGTTTTTATCATTGTAGGAAGAGCGTCCGTAGCTATGATCGAAAATTTCCAATTCTGCCATTCTAAGACAGTAATATTTATGACGTTGGTGGGTGAGAGTAATTATGTTAATTAACAGTTATACGTATATTTGTTAATTACTAAGTAGGCCTGTAGACCCACTCTACAGCTAGCGGGCCCGGATTTTATCTCTCGATCATGATATCATATTAACGTGCCGAAAATAGCTATATATTATAAGTCAAGAGGTTTGGAATAAAAATGTCTCGAGACCCCGAATTCCGCTCATCTAGATGACATTTTCACGATAGCGTACGTAATCGCAACTCAGTTAACGTTATGGTAGTTGGCATGAACACGTATTCACATAGTTCCCAAAGTCGATTATATCCTTATTTCTCTGGCAATTCAAGGTATTTTTGCATAAGATTGGCCTTTGATGCGCTTATCTAAAATGAACCCCGAAAAACCGACAGCCCGATAGCGGGCCCGAAATATAGGCTGTTCGGAAACTCCATGCTACACCTCACCTTATATCCATTCTACATGGCATTAGTCTCCAGGCCACCAACATGAGACCTCGTTCGTCCCGCCTAGATCCGGGCGATTTCAGGGACCTCGAATATTCGGCAGTTATATCTATTTCGAGAAAATTTCCATTCGCACCAACCTTTCCCATTATCAAAAATCCAATATTCCATGTAAGCTTGTAATAGGGTGTTGGGGAACTCCAAAATACAACAGCGGCTTACCCGATTCAGACACGTTTGATGGCGGCTTGGCGGGTTAGTGACACCAATTTTAGGGTCCATTACTCAGCTTCTTACGCGGCCGTTTTGCGATATATTGTTGGGGAATCCTCCAAAACGTCAATGGCATTGCATAGATAGCTTTTATTATCTGGGAACTCGTTTCAATATGCTGGACTATGGTGGCTTGCAATCGGGCCCCGCCAAGCCATGTTTTCTTCTTCCCGACGAAGTTTTTCAATTGATTGAATTATATGGACTATCCTCGCATACAAGATTATGAGCTGGACTGCAAGGCACATATGCATATTCGTGAATTCGTAGCTCAAAATTAATAACGTAATCAATATTAAGAACTAGTAAACTAAGTACTCGAGCAAAACCAAATGAGTTTCCGCTGCATGCATGCAGCATGCAGACGTTTTAAACTTGGCGCAGTCTGCAAGGTAAGTTCATATAAGTGTATTTTATAATAACTTTAAAGCTAAGATATCGATCAGAAACACCCGGAACCCGGAAGCAATCGTCATATACCTGGCGGTGTAAATCTAACCTTCAAGCTTCTTTTGTTGGAATATACCCCTTAGATTTACTAGGCCTTATAAGCTAGTGACTAAAGAGCCAAGGACATCCAACCACAAATAAGCACATGCCCAAGGATTTATAACCCTATAGCATCGCTTGCGGCTCAGACATATGTCGTGTACCCATCTCTCTACATAGCGAATAAATGCTTTAAGTCTGATTGAGACAATGAAATTTTTGACTGGAACGGTTAGTGGCCACGACATGAGTGGAGGCATTGGCCATATTGGTGACTTTATCAATATTATGATCACAGAATGGATGAAGATACGAGGTAGCTGGGTGCTGGCCAAGACTTTCGCGAGCTCGCGCCACTAACAATTCGTCGTCCTCGATGTTGTGCCTCTTTTACTAGCTACTATAGCCTAGGTCAACATGCGCCTATATACCGGTTCATGGGATCATGCATGCACTCTCACACAGGTGGTCTCGTTATCTATTCAAATTATAAAGCGTAAACTCTCGGATCATACTTGGCCGATATCACACCTTGCAGTCACATACACCGGAACACTAGACCAATCATATACGCCTTATTTTCATTGAGGGCATACTACAAAAAAGGAATTTTATATAAACCGCTCCTCAAGGACAGACTTCCTCAAATCCCTTCCCTATGAAATCTTTAGACCAAGACGCCAAAGCAAAGTGCAATTGCGAACGAAGTCGGTTGCGCTTTTTTTACAAGTGGAGTTGCAGCTTTCTCGGGCTCACTGCTTATCGTTCTTGCCATCATCGTTAAACTTAAAAGCTTTTATTGATCTTTCAATTAGAAATATCATTTAATCTTAGAGTTATACCCAAACATTGCGAGTGTCGAAACTTTGACTAGCTCTTAATTTATTGTTCCCTTGTTTTGTTTAATTCTTGGAGGAAGTAACCCTCAGTCTCCACAATGGGATTTGATTGTTCTAGCTATGGTAAATAAATAAAACTTGCAGATTTGCAAATTCCTTTCCTTCCCTTAATTCTGCCCAGAAGTTTCCAAAATTACTGACACCTCAACCAATCCTTCACACCCTACAGACTTCACCAGCCCCGACTCCCAAACCGTATTTCTTTACTGCCCATCCCTCCCAGCCGCCATATTCTTCACCGCGGTTTTCGGTCTTTCGGCTCTCATTCACATCTTCCAGGCCTTCTACCATCACAAATGGCGTCTCTCATGGGTCATAATCGTCGGCGCCGCCTGGGAAACCACCTCGTTCGGACTTCGTGCTGCAGCTACACAAGATCCGTTCTCCAAAGGCCTTATAATCCCATCTAGCATTCTTGTTTATCTTTCTCCATTACTTATTAACGCATATGCATACATGGTACTCGGGCGGATGGTATGGTATTACCTTCAGGATAAAAGAGTTGCTGGCATTCAAGCAAAATGGTTGACTGTTATCTTCGTATGGTTGGATATAGTGTTAGTCCTCATTAAACCCCTCTCCCAAACGTCTTAAACCCTTTTTCTCTCTCCTAGCATATATATATAGCCGGTATACTGGTAAGGGGCTAGTTACTAATGAGCCGATAGCGCATTTCTCGTCCAGCTTGTCGGTGCCTCTATGGCTTCATTTCGGGATACAGACTCGAATTCGACCGAACAGGAGAAAATCGACGCTGCAAATGGAGTAAAACTCGGACTTAACATCTACATGGGCGGTATCGGGTTCCAGCTTTTCTGGATCCTCGTCTTTTCGGTTTTCGCATGGAGATTCAGAGTGAAAGCCGTTAATGAAAGAAACCAAGGCAATGGAATTCACCGAGATTCGAGTTGGAAGCGCTTACTTATTATTCTTTACTTTACTTTGCTCATGATCGCGGTGAGTATACTTCCATTTCGACCAAGATGCTCAATTGATCAAATAACCAAACTAACTCCCTGAGCCGTCTAGATCCGAATTATCTTTCGTCTGGTCGAGTTCTCAGCCGGCTCCTTCGAAACGAAGCTTACCATGACAGAATGGTACTTCTATGTTCTCGAAGCAACACCTATGGCTACGGCTTGCCTGACCTGGAATATTTTCCACCCAGGTCGCTTTCTCGTAGGTCCGGATAGCGAATTCCCTCGATTGACTCGAAAAGAAAAGAAGGCGATCAAAGCGGAGAAAAAGAGGGCGAAGGAAGAGAAAAAGTATGCTAAGAAGGAAGACAAACAGCGGCATAAAGAGTGGAAGAAGGAGGATAAGAGAATGCGAAGGCGAGGGACTAACGAGTTGGAGATGGGCCCCCTACAAGGCTCTCAAACCTATCGAGCTGATGATATCGGTCCAGCGTAATAAAGTAGTTTGCGGAGATTTTGGACTGTTTCCTCTGACCTTTATGGAAAGCTAGAGGACGGATTCTCCTGGGTTGCAATCGATCAGGTGGAGACTATAGTTATCGGTTCATATCTTTTAGAGCACAAGTATTCTTCCTAGTTTTTACATGTAAAAAAAAAAAAAAAAAAACCTCCTTTGCCTCGAAGAACCCAGCGTTGATACGGAGTAAGTTACCAACAATAGATGTAAGGTGGTTTCAGGGTAATGTAGATACTTATTTACACAGACTCGACTGACGGGTTGAACAACAACGTTGCATTTTATGTGTTGTGAAATCCAAATCTTTAAACTTAGCTTAAGTTGTCGAGTACTATCGGCGTCGACAAGGTTAAGGCCCACTCAAACTCTCTCAACCTCCAGGCTTAGCTTTCCAACATATGCATATATGTTAACTTTCATATAAGTTAGAATTTCGCGATGTCCTCTTCGGAGTCTCAAGATGAGACGCACCTAACACCAAGTGCTCTCGGCACAAAAGCCCAGTAAGGGATTCATGCTTCCTGTATATCTATCCCTCACACATCACTGACTAACTCTGGAAAGCTGGGACTCGCTTTATGCCCTTGAACTCACAAACCACTCCTCCAATCCATCAGATATTGGCACCGTATGGTTTTCAGATTCCGATTGTGAATCCCGGATTTATCAATACTTAACATCTGATGACCTTTCATTAAGCCCCACAACAACGTTTTTAGATGTTGGAACTGGAAACGGGCATTTACTGTTTTCTTTACTCGAAGATGGAGATTTTGAAGGAGATGGAATGGTTGGAGTAGATTATTCCGAAGGATCAGTTGAATTGGCCAAAAATATTGCAGAACAAACGCCGAATGCCGAAGGTGTGAAGTTTATTCGATTGGATATAATAAAAAGTTCCACCGAGTTGGATTTCTTCGGATCGCGGATTGCCGAAGAAGGCGGATTTGATGTGATATTGGATAAAGGGACATTCGATGCGATCTCACTGAGCGATGAAATGCTTGATGATGGTTCGGGGAGGAGGATATATGAAGTATATCCAGAGAAGGTGGCGAAGTGGTTGAAACCTGAGGGTGGGATTATGCTCATCACTAGCTGCAATTGGACGGAGGATGAGCTTGTAAAAAAAATGACAAGCAGTAATAGTGGACTTGAGAAAATGGGAAGAGTAAAATACCCCGAGTTCACGTTTGGAGGCAAGAAAGGAAGCACAGTGTGCACCGTCGCATTTCGCCGGAAGGCATAAGGTATGATACCCACGCAGATTTAGTACAAGAATGAAGCTCGCTAGATGATTTCATGTATACACATAGACGCTCGCATTCGCTGTAGCAAATAATATGACTGACTAAACGCTGCGCAATATTGGGGCTAGTTCGTCTACTAAGAAGACTTCTTCTTTAAGGTCCCTATGATCAACCATCTCTTTCTCTCCACAACGTCCTCTATACCTCGATCGGCCTCGTATTCTCTTTCTATGCCATCGATGTCTCGTTCTTTAATGGTATCGATATCGAAACTTTTCGCCGCGACGTCCCAGAAATTTGCCATCTTCTGCCGTCCTGTGTGGAGTCCTGCGACAACAACCACCCTGGATGTCGGCCCATCGTTCAAAAAATGCAACATGCTCTTGACTAGGTTCTCGTGCTCCCAGGTCATCCATAACGTATCCGCAGCGATGATCCTCGTGAATGAATGTGCGTGCTTCTTAGCGACTTCTTCATCAAGCTCCCCCCATGTATGGCCGTAAACTTGGATATCCGAAGAAATGAACTTGGATTGGTTGAAAGCAATATTTGCTGTGATATTTGAGAGGATTTCTGGTGCTGGGTAATCCGTAACCACAATCTAGAAGTTCATGGCTGTGATATTGGTATCAGTCCGTCGCCGCTGGGGAGGTTGTATGGAAGATAACCAACAGTCTTTGCCCCGGTGATGGCTGATATCAAGCTGGGTAGAGCAGCCCCTTAACATAATATACTTTCGATTAGTTTCACTGAATTTAACTGATATAATAGATACCGGTCAATTGAACAGGTTTTCAGATGCATACCAGCTCCAAGCTCGAGTACTGTTTCACCCTCGACATTGAGTTCCCCAGTTTCAATCATCCCCGCAACTTCGACACCGGCGTTCCATAGATGGTGAGAAAACAAGCTGGTTTGTTCCTTCTCTATATCTGCTAAGCCAAGTTTGATCTCACCGTGTTTGGGAGAAGCATAAGCCACATAATGGCCTGGTTCGCCATGTTGGTTGCGCACGTCGTTGAAGATTGTCGTGAGAGAGGATTCGAAGATGTCGAGATCCTCGGACTCCGGGCTTGTCCCCGATGATATTTCTGATATGCGATTGGTGAGCATCGTTGTGTCGCAGAAGTGGCCGCCGTTTGATTCTAATTGGTAATGAAATCGAAGTTCTCCCTGGCTAGCGCAGACTATTTGCTAATTGCTGCCATCGACCATCACGTGTGTGGGGCCGGCTGCCGCACAGTCTACCTCGATCTAACCCCGTGGGGCCTAGTCTTGGTGTTTAAAATTGTGCATGGATGGAATGTGCATGCCCCAGTTGCAGTCTTTGGGGAATTAATGCGGCTCTCGATCCCCTCTTTAACGCCGACGCCCGCCGGACTTAACCAAACCACCTTTCCTCGTCTCCCTGAACGAACTTGACATATTAGCTAATTCAATTAATCCATCAAAACGTAATTTCGCATAACGAAGCAGCCTTTCTTCCCGCAGCAGCAGCGTTTCGGCTCGATTCTCGTCTGCTATTTCTGACTAGCTCGAAAGCCGTCTGACCCTGGAATCTTCGTCTCCCATCGGATCGTAATAAAGGATCAAAGCTTACGCGGATGACAAGCTGTTGAATTCCTTAATGCATTCAGGGGACTCCGCCACCCCTTTGTCTCCTCCTCTTCATCGTCTTCACACCTGTCAACCGTCACCTTTCGACTACCATCTTCTGGATACGTACCATCTCCACTGTTGCCCACGATGGCACTTGGTTCTAGCGTCCTGTCGGCAATAGCCTTCGTCACCATCGACATCTTCGTGCTCCTTCTTATCCGCTTCTTTCTACCCCTCCGAACCACCCCTCAGTACCTTCTTGTTCCAGTGTTTCTAGCCTTAATTATCCCGTGTTCGATAGTCGTCCTTGTGCCCATCGATCTTGCCAGTAATAGTGGTCTAGATGGCGGTAGTGGCAATAGAGGAGTGGTTCTTGCACATAGGGTGCTACTTGTGGCCTGGAGAATAGCTTACTGGCTCAGCTTTGTATTAACTTGGTAGGCTCCCTGGTGCTGCTACTATGAATTCTTCTTATCTTCTCCTACTTCTTTGACACTAACTAACACTGGATTAAAGGGCCATTCTTCCCCTTCTTCAATCATACCATGCATCCGGGCACCGGGACCCGCGAAAGCGCTTCTCAGAAGCCCTACGAGAGAACATCCGTTATCAAATAATTATGCTTACGATTGGTACCATTGGCCTAATCTATTTTATCGCGACCAATGGCTTCAATCCTGAATCTATCAAGTCACTTGTTATCGCACTATCCTATTGCTATGCGCTTAGTTTCGCTGTTTTCCTTATGGGCCATGGGCTTGTCGCCATACCACGGAATCTCTGGCGCGATGCTTCGGTCGCTGCTCGGCTTCGAAGACTCCATACCAAGGCCCCTAAAATACATGACAACCTTGTAAGCGCGACTGAGAAGCTCGAAGAACTTGAACGAGAAGTCCTGGCTATTCGTAAGAAAGCTGCGGCGCCCTATACTGCGCCAGAATTCCGCGAATGGATTGAAGAACTCGTCGACAATCTTCAGCTTCCCGAATCCAACTCCGCTTCTCCATCTACGGTTCGCCCAGATCGGTCCCGGTCCCGGTCTCCAATTCCTGCAGTAATCTCGGAACAATACCTCGCTTCCCTCACCCGTAAACTACGATTTGCATCCAACCGTCGTGCTCGTTATGCCGCTGAATGGGATTCTCTTGTCCGTTCTGCAGCGAATACCCAGGCTGTCCTCGATTCAGCTGCTTCCAAACGTCTGACTTTTCGACCTGATCCCCACAGCATTACTCCTCGCCTTCTTCAATCGTTACCTATGGTGTCGCCTTATGGACGATACCTTCTACACACCTATGTCATTCCTCAGATTCGGCGTTTCCTCTCTATCTTCCTCTCCGTGGCATCGGCATTTATTGTCTGGTCTGAAATCATTAACATTCAGCCGGCATTGAGTGATAAACTGTCAATTGTTGGATACAGCATCATCCATCACCCAAACTCACCAAAAGGAAGCATTGGTTTTGCCGGACAGTGTATATCCGCGGCATGGATTATGTATATGTGCATATCAGCCTATAGTACAATGCGAACGGTGAAAGTATGGGGTGGATATGCTCTAGTCCGACGGAGAACCAGCGGCAGCTCGGCCTGTTTTTATGCCAGTTACGCTTGCAGATTGACTGTTCCACTTAGTTACAATTTTACGAATTTCTTGCCCAGTGCGATCGTGAAGGAGAGCGTGTTTTATGATTTCTTTGGACGATCGATTAATTTGACGAGGATTGGACAAGGGTTTTCGGAATGGTTTCCCATTTTGGTTTTGATTCCAGTGGGATTTACGTTGTTTGGATTTTATGGGAAGGTTAAGGGATGGTTTGGATTTGGCGGTGGTGTGTTAGAGGAGGATGAAGAAGATGAGCTCGCTTTGGGCGGTGGATGGAGATACGGGAGAGATTTGATCGAGAGAGAGATCGGTGATATTCCAGGAGCTCCTGCCGGAGGTACTGGTGCGGGACCAGCGGAGAGGTGGAGGAGCAGAAATGTTTCGGGGGCAGGTGGGGACAGCAACAGTGGACTACTCGGCGTGGAGAGAGAGGATACTCATCTATCGTCGAGATACCTGTCGCCATCTAGACTCCTTACTGGCAGTCCGCGACCTAGCTCACCGCAACAAAACGCTTCATCTTCAACGTTGCCTACAAGGACGCCCTATAGACCACCTAATCGAAGAATTGACGATGAAGATGAAGAAGAGGAAGAAGAAGAATCAGCGATCGGAGCGTTTTTCCATCGGGTCAAGAACACGATAGATACAGCGACCGATACCGGTGAGGGTGGTCGACCTAAATGGATGAACGATATCGGAGATGCCTTCACGAAGAAGCCTAAGTGGATGGGGGGCGACTCCAGCGGCAGTGCTGGTGGTAGTAGTGGGTTGAATAGAGGGCAGTCTTCGAGGCCGAAATGGATGACTGGAAATTTCTTCAGTGATGATAGCGATTAATTTTGATTTCGTGTTCCCTGCCTTTTGTTGATTTTATTTTGCTCTATATTCGCCTTCGATGTGCATACTGCTCGGTGGTCGATTACAAAAAGCGCATGGAGTTAGATCCCTTTGGGATGGATTGGGTTCGTTTTGGTTCTTTGCAATTAACACTAGTATATTACTACCCCGTACATGTTTTTTAACACCTAGTTAGCTCTTAAGCATCGGTATACATTTATACCGTTATATATTTAAATTTAGGTTCCAGAAAATAGAATTCTAGAAAAAATTACATGTAATCTCTAAATGCTTTTTTCTTCATAGTTGGTATCTATGGAAGTGTAATTTTATATTACATGAAGAATATATACAAAAAAAGAGAACCCCCAATAATATCTTACACCTGAAAATGCGTTATACACATATACATATCTCAATTGTGGGTGCACAAGCGCATAGGCCCCAATGCATCCCTACAGTTTCTTGGGCGTAACCCGTTCATGATCCGACTCCGTAGTTTCTACAGCCTCGACTAACTTCCTTGCCGTGTGAATAAATCGCTGGAACACCGCATCAGATATGACCTCGGCGTCTTCATCATCCACTTTTTGTTTCTCCGCAACGGCCCCTACTAGAGATTCTTTGATAGATTCCTGGCCCTGGGGTTGTGATATCTCGATTTCTGACGTTGTTTCTTCTACTTCTTCTCCATATAAGAATTCCAGTCCGGTTGGTTGCTTGTTGGCTTGGAGTGTTTCTTGGGTTTCTCCAGTTTCGCCCAAGGCCTGTAATTCGTGGTCTAGGTTCTCCGAATATGTTTGCAAAGATTCTTCGGAGCCGGTTTCTCCTAGATCAAATGACTTTAATGGTTCCTTTGTAGCCTCGGATTCGGTCGTTGCTTCAAGCCCAGTAGTTGCTTCAGACTCAATGGCCTCTCCAGAGCCAATCGATTCCGTTTCCCCCTCAACTCTAGGAGAGGCTTCCAACCCATCCTCTGCTGCCTCAGCCCCCTGATTAAGCTTTTCGCTCTCGAGTTTCTCTGCTTTCCTTAGTGCCCTTCTTTCCATCTTCTCCTCGTGTTTCTTCCTCTTTATCTCTCCACGATCAACAGTTTCAAACACCGGACCTCCCTGCATATCATGCATATATTCATCTCTAGCTCTCATGTTTCTTGTAACCTTCTCCAACTCCTCCGCCTCCAACTCCATCATCTGATCCATAGTTTCCTGCCTTACCCTCTCTTCTTCTATTTCATCTTCTCTGCCTATGGTCGTTTGTTCTAATGGTGTGAGGTACTCGATTTGTTGGTTAGAGCATTCAAGGACTACTTCGTCATAGCTGCCGCCGGAAGCACCCGCCTCGATCTTCGTATATACCAACGCTGAACCATCAAAGTCAAATGTCGTAGAGGATCTTGTTTCCAACCCCGTGAAAAAGTAATTGACGGGAACGGTCCCCAGGGAACCCGCATCGTTGTACATCTCAGAAAACGCCAATTCGGAGTATTCGTCCTCTGCACTGGAAGGTTCGACTACCGGAGCTACCTTCTCAGCATCGCTTATCATCCACTTTGGAAGATTGAACTCTAGCACTTCCCCGGCTTCCAGTCTATCTTCACCTAATACATCTAATTTCGCTGCTCTGATGTAATTTTTTACTTGTTTCGTTTTCCCTTCCACTCTTGCTAACGTTCTCTTCACAAATCTCAAGTCGCATGCGTTTCTTGGCATTAGGACGTCGACGATGCTGTGACTTTCCACCGCTGCAACCTTAAGAGCTTGAAGTTCGTTCGTATCCGGTTTAATCTGTAACTCCATTTCTACGGGTGGTAGGAGTTCAAAGTTCTTGGGATGTTTCCAGGGCGACGGGGAGAATTTTAAAAGGATTTTGAAGTCGTATTTATATGTAACCGGGTTGAGGGTTGAAAGAAAGTCAAGGATTTTAGGGACAGAGTTGCAGAGGAGATGCGAAGGGTTTGAGGCAAAGAGATCGCTGAGGGATTTCGGTTCTCGGGCTTTTGGGAGTGTTGGTGATGAATGGAGGATTTGACCGAGGACTGCGCGATAGTTTGTTTGGATCTCAGCGCCTGGTGGGATATATGGTGGTGTGGAGGCGGTTGTGGGAGAAGATGCTGGCTCCGATTCCCCGAATATAGCAGAAACATCTAGTTCTTTAGCAGTAATTTCGGTCGCAGCAGGTAATTCCGATGGGGTGGCGGTTGAGAAGGAGTCGAGGAGAGATCGGATATCGTTGTAGCCCACTTTGTCGCCCCGCGCGGGATTTAGTAACGGTGTAGAGATGGTTGGGGAGAGGTCGTCTTCAATTGACTCCACCGTCTTCGATCTGGGTGTTCGTATGCTCCGCCAGCGGCACCATTCTCGACCACGATACATCCATGGTAATGTTTGGTCCTCAGCAACAGGGTACAAGGCTCCCGTTAGTGGTGAATCAAGTTTGGTTTCGCCAAGTAAACTATACATTTGTCGAAAGTGGAGGTCGGTGGAGTTGAAAAGAAGACGTTTGGCATCCAATATATCTCTTGGACCGTATGGTTTAAGTCCGTGTAGAGTAAGCTTTTGGAGGAAGAAAGATGTTAATGAGTCTGCTTGTTAAAATAAATAAGGGTAGTGTTACTACCTTTTCATCCCTGATCTCTAAAAAGACGGACGTAAGTCGAGATATACTGGGTATGTATGTATCCGTGACATTTCCCACTCTCAACAGAGCGGAAATATCGACTTCGTCAGGAATAATCCTTCCCGGTAAATCTCGAAGTTGATGTTCAACGCGTTCAATCCTAGCCTTCGTACCCTTGAGAATGATGGTATTGGCTTTCGAATTGAGGATAATACGGGTACGGTTACGGCTTGCAAGCTTCTGAAGCATATCTCCGCCTAATAAATTATATAGTTAGAAGTATTCTCAAGATTCAAGAAGATATCGTGGAGGTATTTACCCCCCATCATCATGAAGAAGAGATGCATTCTCTCAAACTTGAGTTCTTTTTCTCTGATAACGTCCATCTCCGCTGCAATTTCCTCGTCTATCTGAACTCCCCAAACCTGTCGCATGACAAGGTTAAGAGCCTGTGCCTTCCTAAGTTTTGATACACCACCAGCAATATCTACCTCAGTGGTAGAAAGATAGTCTTTAACTTGAGGCCCTAGGAAGGCAGTATCAAGGTCCTTCAGCACCTGTTCAAATCTCAATTTTGACACCCGGAGGCTCTCTGGCTTGAATAGTAGAATTTCGTTGGAAACTTCTGCCTCTTCAACCTTGAACTCGAATGTTTGCAGAGCCCGTGTGAGACCATCAAGTTGATCTTTATCCACAGGGTCGAGAGCCAAAGGATCGACACTTCGACGTTGGGCAGGAGTTCCAAGGATAACAAGCTTAGGAGTGAGCATTTCGTTCACTTTCCGGGGTGGTCTAGGCTCTGAGGCATTTGTCGTATAATATGCCACAGCCTTGGTGGGGTATTGGAAGCCATATTTATGGGACCGAGATGGCAAGTTATCTGCCAAAAGTTGGTATCGAAGAGATGTAGGCCGCCGGCGATCCGACTGTGTCGACAGTCCACGGAATGAGAGACGAGCTCGACATGAGGAGCATATTCGGAAGGGTATCCGGCGAGATGTAAGCGACGAAGTGTAGGAGACGAATGGAGCTGCTCGGGTCGCTCCAGCGGGACAGCGGAGGGGCATAACGAGCCGAGATTACTCTAACATCTGCAGCAGGTCATGCGCAGCTTTCCCTTGATGGGTAGAGTCTATATCTATAATTTCGGATAGGTCGTAGTTGTCCACTAGAAGGTATGGATATCGAAGAGGAATGAGTCTGGGTCCAATTGTATCTGTATGTATTTGTATTATACCGAGGATTAAACCGAGGTTTGAAGTTTGAAGTCTGAAGCTGAAACAGAGAAGTTCGGACTGTCGCACAAGAATTTCAAAAAATCGCAGTGGATTCCCAAAACGGCAGTCGACGCGAATGTCTTGGCGTTTCCCACCACACCCAACACATCTCCGAGCTGTCTTTGGCCGTCCCCTCAGTTCTTAACCAGCTGGAGGCTCTCACCATATCATATCCATTGACAGTGGGAATGAATGGGATAGGTCGATATCCATGTGCAAGGTCAGAACCGTGTTAATCCCGATATCTTGAGGGTATTTTTAACTACAAGTTCCGTTTTCAGCTCAGGAATGTGAGTTCGAGATTGTTCAATGCAATTCATCATGTCATGCGAAAGTACGCGTCCATGCACGGCCTCCATAGCGCCGTGGCCTGCGATATGTCATGATCATAGCTCCGTGTTGGATGCCATAACGCCCTAAATTAGATCCTGAAAGCGCGAAATGCAACATATGACAGCCAACTGACCCGACCTAATCATCGCATAGCTTCCAAAATAAAACACGCCTAAGCCAATAAGTTCTGGATATTTCGAGCTGGCCAAGATCGAGATCCCTGGAACCGACCTTTCAAAGATGACCGTCAAACAACTCCGACCGGAATGCCAAAAATGCGGCAATACGTCGAATCTCTTTTACTGCGGAAGATGTTCTACCGTCCAGTATTGTAGCGCCGCTCACCAAACTCAGGATTCCAATAAACATCTTCCTACATGTTCCAGAATCTGGGAGCGCCTGTCTCCACTTCAACAATGCGAGGAACTTTCTCTCGACGATGTTCTGTCGGCGGACAGCCCCATCGCAAGCTCTATCCCAGTTGACAGTGCATATCCCGTATTCAATACACACGGGTCTGTTCGGCAAGTAGATCAGTCCTTGCGAACTAGCTTGATTGGCATCTGTATCAAACAAAACACATATGCTTCTCTCAAGTTAGCGATTGAGCAGTTTCGAATGCTCACTCGTTATCGAATCGCACCTCCACTTTTGTTCGTACCAACACTACTGAAAATGGGAGCCGACGGAATATGCTACAATTTGTTATCAATCGAACGCAGGATTGCTGCCTGCGAGAAGGAAGGCGAGGAAAGGGTGGCTTTGCAGCATCTCTACAGGGAGGCACAGGGTGTTATGGAAGGAAAGCAATTTGGATGTGACGTCTTCGAAGACTTGCGACACTGGATATTCTGGTCGCCGATGCCAGCCCCTAGATCGATGGCGGCATTAGTTTTTGTGCTGCAGGTGTGGATTGACGACCTCGAAAATGCGGTCCAATTCGATCGTACCATAGCGACATCTTTGAGACGTAAGTTGAACTACGACACCGTCGAGATAATCCGAGGATATCTTTTCGAGACCGAAGTGATGATTGGGAATAGGAAAGTACTCCAGGACCGAGCCGAAAAAGTACTCCACGAGCTTAAAAGGCATCAAGACTATGTCCTAAAGGCTTCATGTTATTCGAATCGGGAATTTTGGGGGCAATTGGTACTTGGAGCCAAGGCGGGAATAATCAACGGGAGCATTGGAACTTCTAGGTCTAGAGAAGTAGGTGCAACTGTTGGATTCCCGAGCTTTTCAGGGCACACCATCGAAGATTTAAGTGTCTTCCGCCGACTGCTTCTAGACGATAACTCCGCATTTCGGTTTCTCACCGATTTTTTCGAAAGGCAGCCGCTTTACCTGAATGGGCCTTCGGGTGGACGTGGACTGGACTGGATGAGGGTTTGGCAGGAAGTCAGCCGATTGACAACGGCGAGAAATGATGCCTTGCAGGACAGTAGCAGTTGAATTATCCTCCGCTCTTTATTGATCGACTTCCCCTACGAGCTCATGCATGTATGGATATAGAAAGTATTGTTTCATGGGGAACATTATCAAAAGTGCGTTGAAGGGACCAAAAATGCCACACCCTTTCCAACAGGGGGGTTTGCAATATGGGAAGAATGCGGCAGGCAGAAACGAATGGCCGGGAATATTAAACCTATCAGCGGAGCATAGCAGGGCACGGCGAAGTTGACCCTCCGGCTCTCCTCGGAACGGAGAACCAGACCGCCGCCACATTTTCGAATCAAGGTACGGCAATAGCTGTCAATCAATCAATCAGTCAATGTACATAAGTACTTAACTATGACGGGCAGGTATGTGCGGCCATGTACCTGAATCCCCAAACGGAAACGAAATGAATGGAAAGAATGGACGCAAATGAGGGGGAGACGTCGGGATCGATTGCGTGGGATGGCACCCCCCGCCACGAGTGCATAACGAGATATATGATATCGGGTTATTGATATTATATTAATCTAGAGCATGTCGCATGCCTGGGCTGGCCATTAACATTTGAAATCAATGGGCCTCCCGAGAACAGTAGCGTAATATAATTAATCCATCGTATACTTCACTGTTTCCATACTATACTTCCATACCTACTCGAGCACACACCCACGTTTGTGTCCACGTCCGCAATTAACTAGTTGATGCTAGTCACAATCACAGCTAGCACAGTAAGTCCCCTACCGACGGCCCATGTCATTCATCGTGCGTATGCTCGAATGCAGTATTGTTGACTTGTGAATTCAAATGCAGTTGACTTGCACTTGAAAGTGACTGTTCCGCTTGGTGTGCTGTGCTGTGCTGGCAAGTAAAATTGCCGTTTGCTGGCTGGCACTTTTCTTTAATTAAACGGCCACACCATCTCTTTGACTTCGCTCTCCAACGTCTCTCTCTGCGAACACTTCAGCCTCATCCTTTTTTTCCCCTTCTCCCATCACCACCCATCACCATCACCTCTCTTCCCTCTTCTCTTCTCTTCTCTTCCCTCCGACCTTCCATTCACTTTCCCATCGCATTGCATCGACGGGAATAATTCGTTGGTCGTCTGCCCAATTGTTTTTTTGTTGGGCCTTTACTTCCCTCAGTAATCACCTGCCGGGTGCTGCGGGACGTCATCCGACTTAATTCCCTCCGCTCAACATTCACCTCCCACTCTCACCACTCCGGCACGCGTTTGTCTCGTCGTTGACTGGCTTCAATCTATGGCTGTACATTATCGATAGCAAGCTCGACGGCTTCATCATCGACACTTTCTCCTTCCTTCCGATCCTCCCTTCCCTCTCACTTTCTCCTTCTTAGTCATCAGGGATGTCGGCTTACATGGATGTCCCGGTTCCGAATATGTGTCGCCCAAAGCACCAGATTCTGATCCTCAAAACCTACCCTAAATTTCAGAAAGGCGCCGTCGAGATCAAACCTAACGGCTCCGAACTATCCTATCTTCTATACTATGTGTCTACTAGGCGAAGTAAACTCCAGAAAGTTGGCGCTTTCCTCGAACGTAGGACCATCCGGGATGTCTACAAGCGACGGACTGGGTAATGAATTCTCGAATTCTTAATTCCAAATATTAATATGAACTGTAACTGACGACATTGTATATTATAGAAACGTCCAGGTTACCCTCGAAATATGCCGTGCCTTGATCGACAAGTGTCCCCGAGATCTAAACCTCTACGCTTGGAATATCCTCACTATCATAAAAAATGTAATAACTTCTAAAGACATAGCGTTGATTGAAGAGACATTACCCTGCTGGGATGGCTTCTGCTCTCACCACGATGGCGCCAATCTAGCCTCCGACGAGTTCTACGTTAGACTATTCGAAGAAGTCATTCGACTCTACGCCGACCTTGCCTCGAATCCACCCGCTGGTCATGAGTTGAGGTGGAGGTTGGCGGGGTTGAAAGCAGTCCGGAGTGTCTGCTCCTCGGAAGCTCTTTCATCAGCCAATGCGAAACAGCAGTTAGCTATTGTACTTCCAGTCATCCTCCAAAACATATACTCCGAGGACGACGAACACCTCGACGAGATGCAATATCGGATCACGACAGTCGAAACAAATGAAGAAAAGGGCAATAATACGGCCGGTCTACCCCGGACTTCTATCGGCACTATCGACGGCGCCATGGCAAACACCGCTGCCGATGCCGATAAACTAGACCAACAGGACATCGAGCTTCTGGCGCTACAGAGTCTGAAGGCAATCTTCGAGGTTAACAATCCCGCGCAAATCCGATGCGCGACACACGCCATACTTCAATACGTCACCTCTAAACCAAACGTGCTTGAAGCATGGACTACGAGTCTCGTCGAAATGGTCGCGAAGTGGGCACCCACACAATCTCGATTCCTCATCCTCGTGGAAATCCTGGAGACTCTTGTTGCGTGCCCTATGGCGGAAGCCGAACTACACAAGCAACTCATATATGCGCAACTAATATCGTGGCTTCTGTCTTCTACGGTAAACCTTGTCGGGCTGAGTGTAATGGATGTTCTCGTTTCCATCATTGCGAAGATCCTACAGCTCTTGCAACTGGAGTCAAAGCCCTCGCCGCCTAGTTCTCCGAAGGTGGTAGAGAAGCCACCACCAACAGCCAGCCCATCACTCACAACCGCTGCCATATTTGCCATCACTGCTACTATCACCGAAGTTGTTAAATCCCCATCGTCAACCCGAAAGGATTTGCTCCACAAGCTGCGCAAATGTATTGCAGATCTCGGAACCCATATATATTATACGGATCAGATCTCGGATATTGCCGGCGAAGTCTTGCTTAGGTTGAAACCATCTCCTTCAGCTCCCCTAACAACTGATCCGGAAATTGCCGGCGCTGTTCCAACTATTACAGAACAGCCCCATGTCGATGATTTCTTCAGTTTTGATACTGCGCGTGCCGTGGCCTTAAAGTCCGTAAGGGATCTCTTGAACATCGCGAATCAACGGACTTCAGCACAATCGATCGGTAGGAATACCGTACCTCTTAGTGTATGGGATGGAACGCATTGGTTGCTTCGCGAAGAAGAAAAAGGCGTTCGAAAGGCCTATATCGATAGTATATCGACCTACTTTGCCCTCGAAGTCGACAGACCAAATACCACGAGCGACATCGGCACTGCTCTCATCGAAGTTAACAGCCTTGATCTCACCCACCGGGCATCGAAGCTCATCAACAGCTCATTCCTTAAACTCCTCCATGTTTCAGCCTTTGAGACTGTTCTCGCGCATGCGACGAGGGCTGTCGATATAGTTGGTGTATATAAGCTCCTAGACCTTCTCGTACGGAAGCTGGGACTGCCGGCTATTCTTTCCGGATTGCCAATGATTTATCGCCTTGACGAAGAAGCCGGAACATTAAAAAGTGCGAAGGAAAAGATTGCGATCAAGAGTTTGGTGCTAGCGTACATCTACTCTGTATCGGACACTTGGGCGATCGAACCTCTGCGTCAGGATACGTTGGACATGATTAGCGACCGGCAAAACACCGGGAAGTGGTTCGTCCCTCTCAAAGTACCACGCGAGGAAGAACAGGTTATCGATGTATTTGATGAAAAGCATACATACCCTGAGACTCTCGCCGAGGGAGTGTTGCTTCCTCGTGAAGACTACATGGATATTGCAGAATTGGTAATGCACGCAATTGCTACAGAGAGCAATGCGGAGTTCCCGGCGAAACTGAGGGAGATGTTTATGGATGGTGCGACTTGGAGTAAAGATTCCGTGATGGCGGGGATCGAAGCCCATTCAAGTCGGCAAACGAGTTTAGCTGAGAGCCGGGCTGGAATGGGCACTCATGGAACGAGCACCACGATCCGAAGCCTTTTACCTATCAACGGCGACAGAAGGAGCACGCATACATCTGGGAAGGATACACATCATCGTAGCCCAAGCCGCCCTACCAGCCGTCCTCCTACTGGAAACCTCGAAAAGTTCAAAGTCGGGCAGGAAGAGCGTTTCGGCAGAACAAACCGATCAAATACCAATGTCTCGGCGACTAGGAGTAGCAGTAGCAGGGAAAGCACGTTGAGGGCCAATGAATTGAAGTTAGTGCTTACAGGCGTGTCCCGACCCGGTGCAAGTCGTCCAACGACACAGAATGGGAATATCAAGTTCAACAGGGGTAGTCTCGGAGGCCACAGCGATAGCAGCGAAAGTATGATGGACGTTGGTAGCTACATTGGCAGTTCGTCGGATGATAATAGTGTTCGCGCAGGAAAGGAAAGTCCCAACCCCGCAGGCGGTGCCAAACGAAAAAGCAGCACCAGAAGCCGAAGCTCAGAGAGGAAGGGTGCTAGTCCTATACCCGGTTCCGAGACTGCGGGAGACAAACCACCTGTACCACCACTACCAGGATTCTTCCAGCCACAAGTCCAAGTACACATGCCCGGCGAGTACCCGTTGACACCACTGACACCACCAGCCCCACCAACTCCTCAAAAACCTGCCGAGAACGGAAGCGCTGCGGCTCCAAAACAGGATGATGGCCTTTCTTCCTTCTCCTTCTGGGATGAAGGTGCACCTAGCACCCAATCAAAAGAAGCAACTGCTACCACCAGTCCCACAGGCGCCCCGCAAATCGAATTAATGCTCTCCTCGTCTTCTGGTGGCCCCCCTCAAAAAGCTTGGTGGGAAACCGGCACCACTGCCCGATACTCTCCACCAACTTCACGTGTGGTAGGAGAAATTAGACGAACCCCTGAGCCATCAGCTAGCCCTACTATTACCGCGACAGGACCACCCAGGAGTCTCAGTGCGAACAATAATCGCAGTGGAGTAGCAACCCCCATGGGTAGTGTCCTTAGCAGTAATGCAGGGAGCCCAACACCTGGTACTGTACGGATCCAACAAGGTGGATCACCAGGTGGTCATTCTGGTGCCAGTGGTGTTGACGTCAAGAGTCTTCTTAGCGGGATTGGAAGCGTGAGAGGCAAGTCGGTACCTGCGGGCACTGGCAGGCAGCGAAGCGGCAGCACATTGAGCGCTGGAGGGTTCAGGCCTCCCTACTAGTTGGTGGGGATTATATCCCTCATTCTGAGAATACAGATATTTATACATATTTTAATCCCTACTACTACTTTTTTTTTCCCTTTTCTTTGTGGATTTCTTTTTCTTATTCTCTTTGTTTTTATTTCCTTGGTCTAAAATCTTCACAAACGGGGTTTCCATTTGGAAGGGTGGGGTAGGTAAGGTGGGGGCATTGGTTTCTTTGGTTTTCTTTTTGGTCCTTTGGAGATTTTTTTTACCCTTTACCTTTTCTTTGTTCGAACCTTACGAGTCTTTTTTGTTTGCACACGTTTCCTCTTATCTCCATTGTATACTTCTGTAGCAGTTATAGCGGAAAAATCTTTACGGAAAAGCATTCCTCGATCTATTCCTGAGAGCTTTGTAGTCTGTTTAACGGATTCCCCTTTCTTTTTTCCGGTTTCTGGTTTCCACTTTTTCCACAATATATTCATTCCCCCCAATCTTAAATTTTTTTTTATATTCTCTCTTCTATGCTTACTGGCATTATTTATACATACTATCTATATACTCCTCTCGTGGTCTTAGGTCCGTAAATGTAGGACCTATTTCCATTCCATAATGTATACTATTACCATACCTTGTGAATACCACAAATCAATTGTCGATAACATCGAGATACCGGCATTGATACCAATATAATATTAGTATGATATATTTGAATGAGATATGCAACTTATCAGCACCCGTCTAACAGCTAGGCTACAAGTAGACCTAAAAATCTGACATAAATCTCGCAATCGATCGGATTATATACCATGAATTGGGGAAGAAAATGCTCTAATGTTTATACATCTAAAACTATTTAGAACAAAATGAGGAAGAATAGGTCCTAGCCAAAATCAGAAGAACGCCTCGTAATGCTAAATATTCAAATGCATCAAATTTGCAATAAACAGGCCGTCGTAAACCATCGAGTAAGCGTTCATTCGCTGTCTTCATCGGAACCTGCCTCCTCCTCTTCCTCCTCTTCATCTTCGCTATCATCTCTTCGTCTTCTCCCCGGTCTACCTCCACCTCTTCCCTTTCCGCTACCTCCACCTCTTGTTCGTCCCTCATTGCGCCTTCCACTACCGCCCGCTTCTTCAACTTCCTCCCCACCCCCTTTACCACCATTTTGTCCTTCTTCCTTCCCAAAAGCTCTATTAACCTTTCTCTCAAAGGCTTCATCAACCTCACCGTCTACACCTTCATAAATCTTCTTAACAAACAGCGTAGCCCCTTCCCTCCCAACCTCCAATTTGCCTCTAGGTCCAACAACATACGTATAAGTCTGTTCCTGTCCCGGGGCAACCTCATCCTTCAGCTTAACCAAATACCCTTCCCTGATCAACTTCCCCATGATATTCTCCATCTTCCCATTCTCCCTATTACCTTCAACGGGTATCCTATCCTCCACTCCAAATTTCCTCAAATGCCGTAGTAGAACTTTTTCACCCACACTCCTCCCGGAGAGGTATACCAACGTGACTATTGCGCTACCGATACCCAGGATTGTTTGGTCATCGGGCAACTGTGGGGATATTAGGATCGGTAGACGGTATTTATCCGGTAAGATGGAGACCAATTGCCAACTTTTGGAGCCTGAAGCTTCTTTCTTTTTCTTTTGTTCTGCGGCGGTGGAACCGGCGTTTGAGTCGCCGCGTTGGGCGTCTGCGGCGGCTTGTCGACGTTGTTGGGCTAAAGAGATTCTTTCTGTTATGGCGGGGAGTTCGACCATTTCGAAGCCGAAGATGTTTTTTAGAGCGTCTTGGGCTTCTTGGAAGACTATTTTGAAGTCACCTTTGAATTTTGGGCCGAGGACTGTTTTTTTTTTTTGAAAAAGAAAAGTTGATTTGTTAGAGATGGGGTTTCTTGATGGAAATGTATAGATTGGAGAGAGGGAGGGGGGGTTACCTTTCTCCGTGATATCCTGTCTTCTTATCGGTTTCTTTTGATACTCCATCGCTAAAGCCAATCTTACAAGTTTACTAACAGGAGCTAGTCCCTTGTCGCCGGGTCTACTCCCTTCTTCTTCCTCCTCTTCTTCCTCTCCCGCCCCTTCCTCTTCCTCTTCCTCTTCCTCTTCTTCACTTCGTCGACGCTTTGAAGCCTTTCTACCGGCAGCAGCGGCAGCACCGCCTTTTCGACGAGCTCTAAGACCGGATGCATCATTTGGTTCTGCTACTTCAGTTTCATGACGATTGTGACGTGGTTTTGGCTGTTTGCTGTAGGTTTGTCGACGGCGGGTTGGTTGTTGAGGTTCTTCGTCTTCTTCATCTTCCTCCTCCTCCTCCTCCTCTTCTTCTTCTACTTCTTCCGGGGTAGGTTCTCGAGTAGGTTCTCGTTGCGACTGTATTTTATGTTAAACAAAACAGTTTAGTATATATAGTACCTATACATCTAAGAACACGCAAAAGTTTTATCGAAAAGAAAAATAAAAATAAAAATAAAAAAAGAACATACCTTCCAAGGCCGCTTCCTTGTAGTTTCCTGTGGAGTCCGGGCCATGGTGAATAGTCAATAATTCGAGGTTTTGTTTTTTGTAGCTTAGCTTATATAGAAGCTAGGGTAATTCTCCTCCCCCCGTCCTTGCTTTTTAAGACGTCGATAGTGTTTCGTCTTATGAGAAGAGAAGCTCAAATAGCAGGACCGGAATGAGATTTGAATATCAAAAATGAGTTATGGCATAGAAAACCTCGCTGCAGCTTTTAATACAAAAAAAAAACAACGTCAATGCGAAAAGCTCCTGGTGAGACAATCAGCTAGCCAAGCTTAACGCCCCTCTTAAGAATCTCCCTAATCGATATCGATAAACGGAAGCAAGGGGGATTTTGGATTGGGAGTGTGTCTTAGATAACGAATGGAAGCTTCTTGTGGTGGGGAAGGAAGCCTGAGGTCAGAAGAAGAAGGAAGGAGAGCCGGGGATAACAAAGGAAGGAAAAAAGTCGCGTGTTGGAGGTGTCGTTGGGGGTGTTTTCGCGCTTCTTTGTCTACGCCATATCACGAGTCCTCGTCAACACCACCACCAAAAAAAGAACTTCAAAAAAATACCAAAATGTTAATTAATCTTCCCCAAAAGAGACATGAGAGGGGGTTTACGGTGGGGAATAGGATATTAATTCGGGAATACCGTCTCATTCGTGAAAGAAGCTATATCCAGGGCATCTAGCTAAGCATACTATCTGAGCTATCCACAAGTAAAGCGGGTTGATAGGAGTTAAAGGTTTGAGGGTTCGTTGCGGCGCAGTACAAAACAAGGAGGGCTCGTATTCTAAAATAAAAACGGTAGAGAGGGGATAGCAAGACAGTAAACGTCATGACGAGAAAAAAAAAAGATTCTGTTAATTCCTTTTTCGCTTTTTTTGTTTTCCTTTTTGTTCGTAAAAAAAACATTCGGAGCAAAAAAAAAGTTCGTCTTTTTTACGGGCTGGTGTGCATGGCATCCGGTAGCTTTGCGGCTGCCTGACTTGAAAAGTATCTGACGTCAATGTCCTCATCTGTCTGTAGCTTCTCCAGAGCTGGAGCAATGTCCTTCTGGATAACTTCTAAAGCGGCTGGCGATGGCTCTGTTCCAACAGGAGCAATTTCGCTACCATTGGGCAGTGGGCCACCGTCCTCTGGAAGGCTTCGGAGTACATCAAGAAGAGCGCCGTAGGACTTGGCGACGTTGAAACGGATGTTAGGAATGGGGTCCTCGACGAGACCTGTGATGACCGGCAAAATGTTCTCTTGAATAACAGAAAGCGAGACAACGGGTGCCAATGTCTGGAGACGAGGTTAGCGAGATCCATCTTGGCGAACGGGGGGGGGGATGTCTCAAAACTTACGCTGATAGCGAAACAAGTGGTCATTCTGTAGAGGTAGTTAGGGTGAGTACCCATATTCATTACCTTCGGTATTATCGTACTCTTAGCCCACTCGACGCCGAAAACCTCAGTAAGCTTTTTCAGGTTCAGCGTGGCCGCCTCCCGAATAGAAAAGACAGTGTCGCCGAGCCATCCCATGCAAAGTCCTCCGAGTTTCTCATCGAAGAATTCAACGCCCAACTGCGAAGCAAGCAAAGGGATGTACTCGATGATCGCAAGGCGAACACGCCACTGCTTATCTTCCGCAAGCTGAACAATGGCAGGTAGGAGAGATTGTGAAAGGAGTTCTATGCCAATAACTTTAAGGGGGGTTAGCAGGAACCTTGAAATCAGTTTTAATAGAAAGCCTACCCTCATTGACCAACTCGAGCTTCGAAATGATATGCAGTCTAACGTCAGGGAATTCATCCTTAAGCATCTGCAAAAACATAGGCAATAGATGCGAGATAGTCCTGTAAAAGAGGTTAACTTCCAGCGCTATGGAGATTAAACGGTTTGATCACATACTCTTCCTTCCCGAGAATCGGGGCGAGTCCACTGATCTGAGTACCCAATGCAGCCCTGACGTGCTGGGAGGAGTCAGTAACAAGGTCCTCAACACTAGTCATGATCTCGTTCAACAGGGTCTCCCTATCGAGAAGCCCACAGAAGCCTGTTCACCATAAAATTAGACCTTTGACGAAGTGAAAAGAGAATCGGAATTGGACGTACCGGGTATCTGTCCGGCAATAGCGGTACGGACTTCCGCCTCTGTATCCTTAAGAAGCTTGACGAAAGCCGGAACAAGATCCCCCCTAACAACTGATTCTCCAACTGCCTTGGCGAGCTTTTCGAAGCGGTCAGCTACCATATATCTAACTCTCCAGCTCTTATCGCCAATCAGGTTTCGCAAAGTTGTAAGAAGGATTGTGTGGGTGGCCTGTTGGTCTTGTGGGATGACCTCGGCAACGGATATGAGGATCTCGACGGTTAACAAACGGACGCTATCCTGATCGTCCTGTGCGAGATGTTGGAACAAAGAAAGGATTTCGGCGATAACAATTTCAGCGGTCATGTGCTTTGTAAACTTGGCCAAGGCCGTTGCGGAAGCTCTCCTAACCATCGGCGTATCATCGTGAACAAGCTGTCCGAATTGAGCTCGAAGACTTTCTTGGGAGGGAGGGGTGGCTTTGTCGTAAGCAGCACTATAGAGGCCTGTGGCCGAAACTTTCGAGGTGAACCAGTCTGCCTTCGAAAGACGGATGATGAGAGGGATAAAATAGGTTTCGACTTGTTCTTGTGAGAGTTCAGCGCAGATTCGGTTCAGGGATTCGACAGCCTTTGGAATGATGACGATGCAGTTAGCCGATATCGTTCTCTTCCCCTCTTTCGGTCCCCTCTCCCCTCGGTATCTCCCCTTCAGGAATGATAACGATGATGATAGGACAACAAATCCAAGAAATCTGTACCTTGTCGCGAACAAGAGGTTCTTCGATGGCAGCGAGGTTTTCTAAGGGAGATAGCAAGACGTGACCAAACTCTGGCCCTCCGACATATTCCACAAATCCTCCAAGCTCGTCGCTCAAAGCTGTCAAAACTTCATCCTCATCCTCAACCGATTCTAAAAATAAAAAACAACACCGACAACCCAATCAGTTTGTACAATTCGCAGTTATTGATTATGATGGTGTTTTTCTGTGTGTATGGGAGAAATACCGTCCAGGAAGGGAATTAGTTCGTCTCTTGTTCTTTCGGCTCCCAGCGCGAGAGCGATCGTAGATAGTCGACGGATAGCATTCAATCGAAGCAAGACATCATCGTGCTATACAAGAACAGCTCTGGTTAGGACAACATATTCTTCTTCTCCTTCTCGTTTCCTTTTCCTTTGTCTTATATTTGGCGGTGAGAGCGAGGAAGAGCCGACCTTCAATTCGTCCATCAACACCGCGATGGGATACAGCTCGTCGCCGGTAGCCTGCATGCCTTCCATGATTTTTTTTGGTTTTGCTGTCGTTTGTGGGACCAGACAGGGGTATAGTAGTAGAAACGCCTAAGCTTTTGGTAAAGTCTAAGGGTATCTCGACAAGGACGAGATCAAGTTAGCAATGAGAGCACATGAGGTCGAAAAGAGGTGAATGAAGGTTTATCGATGAGGTAAAGATGCGCCTGACAGAAATTCTAGGAAGAATGGAAAGAGAGGGAAGAAGAATTGAACAAGGCTAGCTCGACAGAACCGGTCTGAGGGAAAGCATCCAAGCAAAAGAGCAAGGTAGCACGATAGCAGGCAGCAGGCAGCAGGCAGGTATGTATACAAGCTCGAAGGGAGGGGATGTATTTGATTGATGGGTGGTGGTGATAGCAAGTGGATACGTACACGATGGGTATTTGATGATAGGTGGTGTAGCTGTAGTGAGAAAGGTTGAAGACGGGGGGTGTGCGGCTGGGGAGGATGATGGAGAGAGGCTCGTGACGCTGGAGGGGGCTTTGCTGCGGTGCGGTGCTGTGCTGTGCTGTGCGGTGCGGTGCGGTGCGGTGTGGTGCTGTGCTGGGGAGAGAGAGGGAGAGAGAGGAAAGGTGAGGGAAAGAGGTTGTTGTTTGTGAGGTCAACCTGCTACTTGTTGTTCGGCGGTTCCACTCAAAAGCGGACTCCCTCTTTTTTCCCTCTCTTTGCACTTGGATTTTTATTTTGCAGTCTCGAGTTATCTCGGAGTACGTATGCTTCTAACGAGAACGGAAGGAATTTTCCTGGTTTTTTTCCTTTTCTATCTGATGCTTGATTTCGAGGGACATGTACAAGGGATTGTATTGGAGAAGCTTATATTAAGGATTTGGTGATAGTGATCGATACTCGGGATATGATATAAATGACGAAAGACAATAGGATTAGATACTTGATAGATACTTAGACAGGCCGGCAGACTCCCTGTTCATATACATCTGGAAAGTATCTTGCATGATCAATATGATATGATGTCTCCAAAACAATAATAATGGGCTGGTAGAAGATGACCCCCCCGCAGGCCAGACCTCCTTTTACTTGCTTTAGAAATCTCGTCTTTTTTTTTTTTTTTCTTTTCTTTGGCAACTTTGGAGCTCCAGAACGAGAGAGAGCTTTTACTATAACTAGCGATCGAATGGGAATGCCTGAATGAGCTGTCTCTCATCAATGAAGCTAGCTCGATGGTTATGGCGGGGGACGGTTTTATAAGCATCGAATATCAATCCTGATATATAATATGAATCTCGACATCCACCTCGATAAGATTAGGATATATACACGAAGGCTGAATAGAATAGCGTTATACACACGGCTAGAACGTGGCATTGCATTGTTTATAATTATACTCTGGCAGACCAGGCCAGGCGAGACGTGAGGATTTTATATTTACCTCCTACCTAGGGTAATAGGATCAGCCAGAGCGGGGCATGCAGAGTAGAGAGCCATCCCGTCGCGTTTCCCATTAAGTAACAGCAGAACTAATAGAAGGGACTTGAAACTATAACTATAACTGTAATCTGGGGGTACATCCACTCGGTAAGTAAGTACTTAAGTACTTACCTAGGAAGTTAGTTATATAAGTACTGGCTAAGAGGTATACAATGGTAGTATAAGCTTAAGGAGTTACCTAGTGGGTACCTAGGTAGTTGCTAGACTTTTTCGCCGATAAAAATTTGGCGGGGCTCGCTGCAACCCCTCCACACCAACCCAAGCAACCGACTGACTGACTCAACTCAACTCAATTCAACCGCACTTATCGATACCGTTGTCTGGTTACTCCCAGTCATCTGCCTCTCTCTCTCTCTATCGACATACAAAGTATCTACCTAATCTCTCTCTCCCATTGACCCATCAGCCACCACCACCACCACCCCTTCGACCCCCCCAAATTCTGCGACAATGCCTACCATAACGGTCAACAAGGCCGACCTCTTCAAATCCCTTGGCCGGGAATATACTACTCAAGAGTTCGACGAGCTATGCTTCGAATTCGGTATGTACCAGTCAAAATATTTTTTTGGAACCAGTATATAAAAATGAAAAATACCCCGATATCGCTAACACTCCACACCCCATACTAGGTATTGAACTTGATGAAGATGTACAACCTCACTTCTTTACAGTCTCTTTCAATACCTACATATACTTATAGATATGTAACTAGACTACCGACCAAGATAGAAAAGAAAAAGATGGCAGCGAACGTCCTCCAGAGCTCAAGATTGAGATCCCCGCCAACAGGCAAGACTGACCCGATCTATACCAAACAACTACATGTGAAAAAAAAGAAGAAGAAGAAGGAGGAAATAAGACTAATTGATTGTACCCTCAGATATGACATGCTATGCATCGAGGGCATTTCCAAAATGCTCAACGTCTTTCTTAGCAGAGAAGATGTTCCGAGCTACCGTGTAGTCGCTCCTCCAGCCGGCGAATTGCAACAGATAACCGTCCACGAATCCACCCACCAGGTCAGACAGTACATCTCTGCCGCCGTTCTCCGTGGAATCAAATTCGACCAGGCCAGATACGATTCCTTTATCTCTCTGCAGGACAAACTTCACCAGAATCTGTGTCGTCAGAGGACATTGGTGTCCATGGGTACTCACGATCTTGACAAGATCAAGGGTCCTTTCACCTATGAGGCTCTACCACCTCAGGATATCAAATTTGTCGCTCTAAATCAAACCAAGGAGATGAATGCCACCGAGTTGTTCGAACATTACGACGTAAAGCTCCCATTTACTATTTACAATAGAAGTTCCAATTAGGGAATTGCTAACATTGAGTACAGAAAGATGAGGGAAGCAGACATCTAGCCAAGTTCCTACACATCATTAGAGATTCTCCGGTATATCCAGTCGTCTTGGATTCCAACAGGAACGTTTGCTCTCTTCCTCCTATTATCAACAGCGAGCTATCTAAGATCACTCTCGATACCCGAAATGTCTTTATCGAAATCACCGCCACCGACAAGACCAAGGCCGAAGTCGTCTGCCACATCCTCGTCGCGATGTTCTCCGGCTACTGTGACGAAGCCTTTACGTACGGTTCTTGTGTTCAGTTGTTTTTATTCTTCCTATCAAATAAACTAATGATTACCATAGAGTTGAACCCGTCAGAATCATTTCCCCACACAACCACGAATCCCGTGAAGTTCCCGACATGACTCCCCGTAGCACCACTGCTGAAGTCTCCTACATCAACTCCTGCACCGGCCTCAGCCTCACACCCGAAGAAATGTGCAACTATCTCAAGCGCATGTCCTACATTGCTCGCCCATCGGCAACGGACAAGGATCTCCTAGATGTCGACATCCCTGTCAACCGTGCCGACGTTCTTCATCAATGCGATATCATGGAAGATGTAGCCATCGCTTACGGATTCAATAACCTGGAAAAGACTTTCCCCGGAAAATCGGGCACAATAGCGAAACCCCTACCAATTAACAAACTGGCTGATATCATTAGGCTGGAGAGTGCGATGGCAGGTTGGAGCGAGGTTATGCCTCTTATTCTATGTTCTCATGACGAAAACTTCGCCTACCTAAACCGAAAGGATGATGGCAACACTGCTATCAAACTGGCTAATCCAAAGACCGCAGAATACCAGGTCGTAAGAACATCGTTGCTTCCTGGTATCCTCAAAACGATCAGAGAAAACAAGAAACATGCGCTACCAATCAGAGTTTTTGAGGTCAGCGATGTCGCTTTCAAGGATGAAACTTATGAAAGGAAATCGAGGAACGAAAAGCACTTCGCTGCGGCTTGGTGTGGTAAAACCAGTGGATTCGAGGTTGTCCATGGTCTGCTGGATCGCGTGATGGCTATGTTGAGAGCCACTTTCATAGAAAAGGACTCTGGAGCGGATGGGTACTGGATTGAAGAGTTGAAGAACGACACCTACTTCCCCGGTAGGGCAGCAGATATCTGGTATAGAAAGAAGGGCAAGGAAGCAAAGGTTATCGGTAGCTTCGGAGTGTAAGTCATCTGTAACGACCTCGTGAAGTTCTAGAATACGTCCTAATGTGTGGTATTTTCTGGTTAGTCTGCATCCGTCGGTGTTGAAGGCATTCGACCTAACGTAAGTCACGACCCTTACACTATTTTTTTTTTTTTAATATAAAAACGAGTGGTTGCTAATTTTTCCCATAGACTCCCCGTTAGCACACTAGAAATCAATGTTGAGGATTTCTTATAATTTAGCTAGACAGCAGCTAAACAGATACCATGATGAATAATCTATAGTTTTTTACTTGACAGACTACTTACAGAAGCTGCATACCTTGTACAGGACATCCATTACCTGGCATCATCTTTTTATAAAACTTAATAGATTATATTCCATGAATGTATTGAAACGTATATGGCTAGGCTGTAATTTAACAGAGGTTCCAGAGTAAAAAATTTTTAGAACTGAAATTGGTAGATACCTAAGTAGCCTCTAAGGTTGTATCCATGAGCTAGCTAGCTGTAGCTCTGATACAAATGGGTGCTGCAGTGGCCCTACTGATAGAGACTCTTTATAGTGCTTAGCTGCCTGCAACCCCACCACGCCAGACATAACCGCCACACAGCACAAAACTTCTACATTATATTGCAAGTATCTCCGAACAAGTACCACGATTACTATCTTGTTTGATCACAACTAATAGGCTTATATCATATAAAGGTTCATCAATCGTCATCCCTACGATTTAAATTTGCATTCAAATCAGCAAGTTCCCTAGCTTAAGGCTTCGAAATCTTATTGCTAGTTAGCTTAACCAGCGAGACTAGAACGGGCTCCAAGATCTCGCCCAAAACGAAATTCCAACAAAATGTCCAACACATCCCTAGATCCTCCTAATCCCGTCCTCCACCCCCTCGAAGTCTATAAAATCAAATCTCTCCCTCCGAATGCATATTACATTCCCTGTAAGGAAAAAAAGATTCCATCGTCATTGTAAAATATAGATATACATATCTGAATATATCTAGCATATGATTTATACTTACTGCGATAATATGTATAGCCTTCCTAACCCCCACAGAATCCACAACCCTCCTCTCTCAAATCTCCAAACACCCATGGACAACCCTAACCCACCGTCGTCTACAACCCCATCCTGCTCCATTAACCCCGTCCGGACATTTACTCACCACGAAATCTCTACCGGAGTTCCTAGTAACTCCTGTTGTTGATAGAATTCTTTCTTTATCCTTTACTTCCTCTTCGATCTCTTCTTCTTCTACATCAGAATCAAACAATTCTGATACCAAAAATATCGGAACCAAGACCACCGAAGGAATCTTCACAAAATCCCCACATTCCCGTCCAAACCACGTTTTGATTAACGAATACCCTCCAGGCACGGGAATTCCTCCCCATGAAGACGGAGGAGCTTATTTCCCCGTCGTGTGCACCGTTAGTCTGGGGGCGCATATAATTCTTCAAGTTACGCCTAAAAAGAAGATGGTTATCGATCATAATAATAACAACAGCTCGAAAGAAGGAGAAGATGGAGAAAACGGGTCATCTGAGACTATTACTGATGATAACAATGATAATAATAAGAACGATGATAATGATAATATTCAAACAACCGTCTACAAAATCTTTCAAGAGCCGAATTCTTTACTTATCACTACGGATGATATTTATACGGAACATTTACATGGGATTGAGGCTGTGAAGGTTGATGAGGGGTTAACAGATCAGATGGTGGCGAATTGGGAGTTATTGAGTGAAGAGACGAGAAGAAGGATTGTGGAAGGTGGTGGGAAGGTTGAAAGGGAGGAGGTTAGGATTAGTTTGACGTATAGAGATGTACTGAAGGTTAAGGATGCTGGGAAGTTGTTCGGTGGGAGGGCTTTGGGGAGGAGGTAATGTTAGAGTATCTAGATCTAGCGTTTAAATGTGGAGATTCCATAGCTAAATTTTGAAGGTATAGTAGATGATAGGCTTCTAAACATCAAAAACAGAAGCCACAATGGTTTATTTGATAGCATACCAATCTATAATCCCCGAAACAGAAGAACTGCCCACCAATTGCAAAATCTACCTATTCTACAAGCCAAACCAACCAACTAAAACAAAGGGAAGAGAAAAGGAGGAGGAGGAGGAAAGAAGAAGAAAATCACAAACCGCCGACACCATAATATGCTTAATATTACAATATAAAACAAATCCCCAAAAGTGAAAGCAGAAGGAAAAGAAATACCCAAACTTAAGATCCTAATGTAACTTACTTAAGTAAATGAGTAAGTAATGATCCAATCTATTCCGCCTTTTTAGTCTTATCTCCCTTCGCCTTCTTCTCCCTTCTCTTCATCTCAGCTTCGCCTCCAATACCTCCAAATACGAGACCGACGCCCAACCATTGCATCAAGCTCAAAGTATGTCCGAATGCGAATACCGACAGGATCATACTGAACATCTTACGTGTAACAGTGACCGTGACCAGCGTTAAAGATCCGAATCTAGAGAGGGTATAGACTAAAATCCACCAAAATACCAGAATCATTAGTAAACCCCCACTAACCAATACCAAGAAAAAAGGATGGGGAAAAAAATGGTGGAGCTCTTACAAATAAAAACCTGCCCAATAGCCCCACAAAGTGCAAACCCCATCACATCCCCCACAACATTGGGGTTCTCCCTCATAAACCCAATCGCATCCGTCAACTCGCTACTCCACGGATTGACCATTAACCAACCAGCGGTCAACAGGCTGCTAACCAAATTCAACCCACACTGCATCTGCGGTCCCGTAACAAGTCCCCCAGAGGTTGCAAACATATGGTCTTGTGTGGAATTCGTAACACCATCGAGAAGCAAGTTGATGCTGAGTAAGAGTAGTCCGTACAAACTGCTGGTATCGCTACCCTTGTGCTTTTTAGCGGCACCGGCAGGGTTGTTGTACAACGTGAAGACGGCTACGCCAGAGGTGACCAGTAAAACGACAATGTACTTGTAAAGCGGATATCGACGTTGGTACAAGGTCAAATGGAGGAACATGACCGGGAGGAGTTTGCAGGATTTGGCAAGGATGAAGGTGATGTAGTCGATGTGGTTAAGGGCGGCATATCCAAACGGTGCAGCTAGGGACGATGAAATCGCAATCAGGAGGTAGTAGGCGCCAATCTTGCGGGTAGGGAAGATGGGAGGTATTCGGCTATTACGGGAGGTGTATAGGATGTAGAGGTAACCAATGGCAGAGGCACAGAGAGATTGGACGGTTAGGAGGACGAGGTGGAATTTGAATCGACGTTTGTTGGGGCCGTATGGGGTAGTGGCGATACGTTCTTGGAGGAGAGCCCAGGTTAAGCTGTCAATTAGCTTGTTAGCAAATATAATACATCTAATATTTAAATACGTCTACCAATCTCCTCGAGCCAGACTTCGTGAGTCTACTAGGTATAGTTCGTGAAGACATACAAAGACATGTAGATTCCGGCAACACAGATGACCAATTCGACAACAGTTGGATGGGTCGCAATTTCCTGTGACACAATAGAACGTCTACGAGGTCGCTGGACCAATGGTTTGGACAAATCAGAGACGCCATTGGGCGGAGAGATTGGCGATGAGGGCTGTGATTTGGTTGGAGTTCGCAGTTCCTGGGTTTCGAGTTTGTGGAGGGCGATGTCCTCAGAACTTAGCTGGCGCGGGTTCGCCTGCTTCGGTCGCGCCATGATTGATTACGATGGTGACGACGGGGTATATCGATTGGAAGATGGTGGTGATGATGATGATGAGAAGGGTAAGAGTGTATGAATGTAACGGAGAAAGCTCCGTCGCAGGACAGGTTGCGATAGTATGGTAGTTTATGGCAGAGGATGTTGACACCTTAGCCTCATCACTGGAGGTCAGGGGTGTTGAGGCTGTTCGGGGACATCCCATCATGCGGCCCGGAATAACCGCCCGGGGCACTGGGTCACTTCAAACCTCCCCCGAAGCCACTAGTTCTATTCAAAAACACCACACACCAATATATATGGCGAGTACCTAGTATATATCGGGAGAAGACTGTCGAAAGATCAATTGGACGGTCGGTTTCAAGGGCTATACTAGTATATTACAAGCTAGGGATAATTTCGAACAAAAGCATCATATGATATCGTTCCCGATAAACTTTTCTGTGCTCCTTTTGTTGCCAATCTTGAATGCCTGTCAACGTTACGTTTTGTCGAGACTGGCTAGTACTAGTCTCGGTCCCAGAGACTGGGTTATATTTAATTTTCAATCTCAAACTTGACATCCTTATTCACGGCCCAAACTCTCTCCTTCATTTCCTCTCCATCGATCCCATCCAATGCGCTTTCAATAAGTGTATCGACGCTCTCCTTCGCGGGGCTCGGTATCATCGTCCAGTGTCCGTCCCGTGGGAAACAGATCAAGTAACTCTTACCCGTCTTACCCTTAGGAGGAACTAAGTATTCTTCAAGCCCTTCGAAGCAGAACGGTCTGTGAAAGGCAGTATCCTTAGCACCGTAGACAATAGTGACGGGGCATTTAAAACTTCCTTCCTTCTGCTCCAAAAGGCCAGTGAATCCCGAATTTGTCTGAGATTCGGCTATGAGTAACTGAATGTTTTCTGGCTTCCTCCATGTTCCGACAGAAAGATTGTCTCGATAGTATGCAATCCTATCGCTTGCCCTCTTATTTGCATTTTGTCTGGCAAGTATAGCTGCTGGGTATCCCTCCGCCTCAGATTTCGAAGGGCCAAAAGCACTCGCGAGGAAAATCTCCTCGTTTGGAGACTTGGATAATTTGCACAAAAGCCTTAAGAACCAAAAGTCGCCCATTGTATAGAGCGTTCTGGCCAATGGAAGAGGCAAAAGAAACACAGAAGCATAATAAGAGGCTTTCATCTGGTTTAGGAAAGGCTTCAAAGACTGGAATGCAGACCGAATTAGAGCGAAATTTGTAGGATTGCGGACATATGTTCGCAGCATCCTCGACGCACTGGAAGTTGCACGGTTCATATTTGCAATAGCAAGTGGGGGCTGGGCTCAGCCAATTAGCTTTTGGTAGTAAAAATTAGAATGAAGAGAATAAAGACTTACATGAAGACCATTCAAAATAATGCATCGGGTGAACAAGAAGCCAATCTCTGGAGCCAAGCGACAGCAGACGATGCTACCCCAGTCGTGGGATACGAGAATGCAAGTTTCGCTAGTTTTTTTTTCCTTCTGTGCAATAATGAAATTTGCGACAGATGTGAGAATGGCCGTAGCTGACGCACGGGGGAAACCATCAGATCCACCATGTCCAGGAAGGTCGACGGCAATCAGGTGAGCCTTCTGTTGGATAGCTGGTGCTGATAGTTGGTGATGCCAGACAAACCAAGACTATGTATTAAACAAAATGCGTCAATTCTAATCTGTGGTAAAAAGTATACTGGTATACGTATTTCAAAGCTCGACATACATCTGGGAAACCGTGGAGGAAGATTATGAGTGGGGAACCTGGAGAGGTATCACCACCTTCGACATAGTGCAAATTGACACCATCTGGGGCTTCGAAGAACTTGTGATGGAATCCCGGGAGAGGCTGGGTAGATAGATCCCAAAGCTCACTCTGGGCTGATGGTATATATCAAAATTGTTAGTTCCTTATGTATATCTTTTGCCGGGCAATCATCCAGAAAATTAGCTATAGGAGGAGATATCATTCTTGCAAGTACCTTGTAATCGAGCCTGTTTCTTCTTTTTTCCAACGGGGATGAAAAAGGCACCCGTAGAAGCAACGCCCAGAACGAACAAATTGAGGGAAAAGAGTCCAGTGACAGTGATGACTGCCGTCTTTACGAAACTAACTAGCCCCATGATGAGGATTGGAGATGATCAATCCCGTAGGAAACGTAACGGTAGGAATTAACCAGATGGAGGATGATAGTAGTGATAATTATGATATTGCAGTATGTAGTGCAATGCAATGTCAGAGATACAAAATGGCGGGATGTTGATGTTTATAACGTTTATAACAACTACAACCCCACAGGCCTACCGCTTCGAGAGATTCAACGACTGACTTCAATCCTTGATTAACCCAATTCCCTTTGCCTATAACACATGTGCAATACGAGAGGTTCCGATTGGTATCGTGCACTATTATTTCTCGGGTATTAGTCCTCCGAATTCCTGCCAATAGCAGTAGCAATCCCGATGCCGATTTTTTTTAGCACAGCCGGCACCGGTACCGGTACCTAGGCATACACCGTATCAAGTGTAAAAGTCTGGATGCATCCGCCCCGCTCGACATCATACCCTGCAGGGTTCGTATCTAGCCGGGAGATTTTGAAAACAACGGTCTGTAACTTCCCATCCCATTCAGGGTTGTATTCCGGTCACTGACTAATAATACTGCGAAAGTTTAAAAAAAGAGAAGGCATGGATGCATCTGGTTTAAACCGCGAGTGGATATCGTTTCCTGCTCCGTCGCCCAAACCTCCATACAGGACCAGTCAGGCGACCACCCCTTGGAATTCACTGAGTTTGCCTCCCCATCCCAAGCTTGATTTGAATGCAAAATGCAGATGCAGATGCAGATGGTAGTCTGGGGTGGCACGCATTCTTTCCATCATGCTTACATACTCGTTGGTTCTTTTTCGCTGTCAATTCCAACAGGAGAGAGGCATAATGACGTCCACGTCCGGCTGAATTAAAGAAGCTTAAGCACGACATGCTCGCCTGCAGTAGCCAATAGTTACATTGCCTTTAGCAGTTCTTGGTTAGTGCGGGGCCCTTGTCCCGTTCTGTATGTAACTATAGGTGGTGTCAGGCGCATGTTCTCCCAGACCACCATTCTCCTGGAGCTTCGAATCCTTCCTCTCTCTTGATATTAACGTACAGATAACTAAGATATTATGACGACTGGTTTCTTGTTAGCTCTTCTTTGATATCCTTTTTTCTCTTTTCTGTCAGGATCTTCTTCTTCGTCGACGTCTTCGATCGGAACTTTTATTTCCAGGTTTCTTTGTCAGTTCTTGCATACTCAACCGAACCCAAGCTTTGTCAAGGTAACCACATCCCGTATTTCGCTTGTTCAAACCCGGACAGCTACAGATGAAGAACATCCACCAAGTCAGGTACGTATGATCGTCTCGAGCTACTGCCGGCGGTGGATTGGCAAGCTCTAATTTTGGTATTACTTTCTACAGGGAACAATGGAGTGCTTATCTCCGATCCATATCGTCGTTCGAGGCCCTGCAAGCTGCATCCCTTTCTGACCTCAATATCGCAAACGGAATCGGCCATCACGCTCTCAGGTCGCTTCTATGGAAGGTGAATAGTTGCCGACTGCTTCTTTTCGATATTAGGTTGAAGCTTTGTTCTTGTCTAACAAGAGTTCGATAGTCTCTTCTTCTTTGTCATAAACTTGACCTCTCCACCCTCATCGCCGCTGTCCGGAAGGAGCGCTCGGCCTACGGTGACCACAAAGCCAAATACCTCCGGCCACCTAACAACGAACAAGACCCCGAGCGATTTGCCGGATCAGACCCTCTGGCAGATGACGAGTCGGTACCGTCCACTACATATACACAAATCACCATATTTTTTCGTTCCTGAAACCTAACTTCCTGTCCAAATCTTTGGGCGACATTTTTAGAGTCCTTGGACTTCACTCCGCCATGATGAGCTACTCCACGATGAGATCCAAAAGGATATCGATCGCACATACCCGGATACTGAATTCTTTCGGTCTGCTGATGTTCAAGTGACCTTATCGAACGTACTATTTGTATGGAGTAAACTTAACCCCGATACCTCCTACAGACAGGGTATGCATGAATTGGCAGCGCCTGTATATTGGGTTATACATTCGGACGCTATCGAAGAACGACTAGATTCTGAAAAACCTGATGGAGAGTTTACGTCGGTATCGGTATCTACACCTGGAAAAGCTGATAAAGAAAGTATTATGAAAGAACTTCTGGATGCGAAGTATATCGAACATGATACTTTCTCCCTCTTCCAGAAGATCATGCTTTTCGCAAAATCGTGGTATGAAATGGGACATGGCGAGGAAAAGACTGTCGGGGGTGTACCAGCTAGCAGTCCTATCGTACGGAAGAGCGAGTATATCCACGAAGGTCTTCTTGGAGTCGTGGACCCAGAATTAGCCTACCATCTTGATCAGCTAGGGGTTCTCCCGCAGATATTTCTTATGTATGAACCCCCCTCGAATACTGCTTGCGATGAAAGATGCTAACCAGTGTCCTAGCCGCTGGGTTCGACTTATGTTCGGCCGTGAATTCACTTTTGACGAAACACTAGGTCTTTGGGATGGAATCTTCGTCGAAGATCCAACTCTTCAGATTGTTGACTATATATCGGTCGCCATGATACTACGAATAAGGTGGAAGCGTACGGGACTACAGCTCGGAATCTTGAAACTCTATAAAATTTACTAACATCTCTCAAATAGTACTCGAAGCAGATTACTCCACCGCTCTAACCCTCCTCCTTCGTTACGAATCTCCTTCCTCGACCCCTCCGTTAACCCTCCTCAAAGACGCCATTCATCTCCGTGATGACCTTTCGACCCACACCGCCTTCAGATTGATCACAAAACACACTTCTAGACCCCCGAATTCTAGTCCACCGCCGTATATTCGCTCAGGAACTCCCCCGCCTCCTCAACCGTCCGTCCTCACACTATCCCCCCGACTCACCGGCGCTAGCGTGGTTAACAATCTTCACCTCAACAACATTGAAAGTTTAATGCATGATGTCGCCTCAAAAATGCGAGATAGGTCTGAAAGATGGGGTGTTAACAAGGCACTAAGAGAAGCCATGGGAGAAGTTAAACGTGTATCTGCAGGTGTTGGTGAGCAACAGCGGGATATTCTGAAACGGTGGACGGACAGCATGGAGCGACAGACAGTCTTAGGGGCAATTCTGGAAGAAGGAATTAAAGTCCTCGAGGAAGACTTCACAACTGAAATTACAAATGAAAAACTGGAAAGCGGTAGTAGCACTTCAAACGAAGCTGAGAGACGGCGAAAAGACGCCATTGAACGGATTAAATACGTTCGAAACTGTCTGCTGGACTCCAAAACGGCATTGGATAGAAGATGGTTGACTGAGGTGCCCGATACGGTACCTAATCCAGGTACTCCGAAAGAAAGCCTACGAGCAGCAGCAGCATCAGCTACCTCACCGCAACTATCATCGCCACCAACATCTCCACCGTCATTCGTCAGCAAACCACCCCCATTCCCCACCTACTTTCACCCAAACAATACCAATACCCCACCGCCACCAATCCCAGAGTCCGACCTCACTCGTCTCCCAGATCCAATAACACCTCAACCTCCAATAACCGCAGACCTATCAACTCCACCCTTTCAACAACAACCCCAATTACCACAGCAAAGAACAAGACAACCCCTCGCCTCACCGTTCGTTCCAAAATCTACAGGTCTACCTCTCTGGAAACCCCCATCGTCGTCTTCCTCCAGATCAGTATCTGAAACCCCAACCCCATCAGCAATCTCCAAACCCCGTCGTTCACTTGCACAGTCTCAATTCGCATGGATGTTAGGCGATGACGCCGCAGACAAGGGCCGCGGCGGGTTTTTTGGTAGCGCAGCGGGAGGAGGAGGAGGAGGTGGTGGTGGTGGTGGTGGAGGATCATCATCCGGATCTAAGAGTTTCAGTGGACCAAGTGGTAGACGTGGCGGCGCATCTGTGGATCATAATGCATTATTCGGTGCCCCTGACGATGGTGACGGAGGCGATAAGAAAGGTGGGCTATTTGGGAACTCATGAGGTCTGCTGGAAGACCTCAACCCCCCTGCAAGGCGGGAAACGTCTGTTTGGTTATTCCTAAATACCAAAAAAACAACAAAAGGTAACGTAGTTTTCACACGTTTTAAGTACCAGAACATTTGGAAGACGAAAGGAATTGAAGAAGGATATATTGCATTCTATAACTGTAGAGCAGTTCCTAGAAAAAGAGGAGAGCAAGATCAGACGAGGAGGATCGATGTTATATCAAATCACAGACAGCACAGAGCACATATATTTCAAAGCGCACACCTGCAAATTCCAATTCTTAAGAATCCTTTCCCCTTCCCCCCCTTCCATGATTTAAGAAAGGGGAGACTTTCGATTATATTCATACATACATACAAATACACACTTTCTAAAAAGGAAAAAAAAAAAGGAAGAATAGAAGAATAGAGCAAGCTTCGTGAAGCGTAAAAAGCCACACTCGGCCCGTTGTATAAGAATAACCAAATGCAAAGCCACAGCCAACAAATAAAAAAAACCCCGGCATTCAAAACATAGCAAAAGGGACCACCATTGTATCATCTCGTACATGCATAGGAAAAAAAAAAATACAGCACGAGTAATAATATATATATTCATATTTGTGGCTCTGGGAACGGGTTTCCTCGAAATCTCGAAATCACGGGGTTCTCGAGAGCTCAAGGTATTCTCCGTTGATAGTTGTAGAGGGTAATGATGTAAAAAAAAAAAAAAAAAAAGCAAAAGGCAGATAATGATCTCACATGTAGTCGGGAGAGATAAAAAAGATAGTAAAGAAAAAAGAACAATAAGAACAGAGTCTTTATCAAAAACCCGAAAGGACTTGTCCATCAGCAAAGTATATATCTTTAAATACCGTGAGTGGCACATGCATGTATTTGAACAAGACAGGAAACTCAAAAAACAGACACAAGGAAACCCCCAGTTAAAGCACAGAAAGAGAAGGAACAACATCAAAAGGAGGTAAAGAGCAAGAACGCCCAAAATATACTGTAGGATGTGGGATAGATTGTGAGATAAAGTGTTAAACGTAAAAAGGGACAATTATGAAAATCATGTTGTAAGGTATGAGTTAAAAGTGTTATTTCGTAGAGCGATACAAGCATCCTCCTCGAGTAATCGTTTCAATGAATAAAGAGCCGCTAGGATTCGAGCAGTAAAACAAAAAAGGTCATTCAAGCGGAAGGAAATCCCGGAATAAAACTAAGGGACATTATTCGGAACACATGGAGGGTGGAATAAGAGAGAGATGAGTTGGGAAGTGATGGCGGGGATTACGAGACTTAATAGTTGATTGAGGAGTATGCTATACAGAGCAAAAGAAGAAAACCTAGTCTTCGCCTTCGATCCAGAGGAGAACGGAAGGAAGTTGGCTGTTTCGAATGAATTTGTCGGCGATATGACGGTAGCGATCATTAGAGAGGAAGATCTTGCACAAGTCGGAGGCCTAGATATGGAATCAGCAACCATGAATCGAAGATATTATTCGAGAGGGAACATACCTTTAACCAGAAAACGTTGGTCAATGCTAGGAACTTGTTCTGCTCGGTCTCTTGACGTTCCATCTCCAAACGAACATCGAAATTGAGGGTTTGTGGTGAATTGTAGGAGGAATACAAAACATGGAAGTTCTGCTTCAATGCTTGCTGCTCCATTGCATTCACAGGGCGTCGTTCGAGGTTTGGATCTAAAGACGGTCAGCAGATGTCCGTTGGGCTTGTTAAATATTGGCAACGTACAAATTGTCATGTCAAGGTCATGAGGGATACCGAGAAGCACACAAGCCTGCGCGTTAGATACCCAACGTTCTTTTGGCTCGCCATATTCGACACAGTACAAGGGTAGAATCCTTCTGTAATCCTGCCAGAGGCCATGGGCGAACTCTTCTTTGTTCTTCGCCATTAGAGCGTCCCGATAGATCAGAGGAAGACTATTAATCCGCTGCATCTCATCGAACCGGGCCTTATCACCAGCAAGTTGAGATTGGGCTTGATCATGCGATTGTAACTGAACGTGACTGCTAGTCTTGTAAAGTTTAACACCTAGCTGACGCATAGATTCGAGTTGCTTGCGCCTCTCTTCCTCCTGTTGCTTTTGTAGACGAAGTTTTTCAGCGGCCCTCTCTTGGTCGAGACGTTCTTGCTCACGGCGTTTTTCCTCCTGTTGTCTTGCGGCTTCCTGCTTCTTTCGTTCCAGCTCCTTTTGCTCCTTTTCGATACGCTGTCGTTCGACTTCGCGTTCGCGTTCTTCGGTAAGCATGGCATCGTCATTTGGATCAGCCTTAGGCTTAACCTCCTCGCGAATGCTAGAACCGCGGTTGCTCTTGCCGTTAGACAAATCGTTGAGATGTCGGTTGCCGTTCTTTTCGTCATTAGCAGAGGGCGCTGGGCTGGCACCATTTGATTTACGCTTTTTGATCTTAGACGTAACGTCATCGGGAGTGACCGCCGAATCGCCACTAGGCTTCCGACGTTTCGTAGTTGGAACTTCAGAGTCGACATCCATAGCATCTTTGTCCTTATGAACAGAGCGTTCTTTTTCCGAGCGGGACTTCTTTCCTTCGATATCGGATGCAACTGTTTCGCGTTCCTTAGAGCGTTTGGAAACCGCAGTCTCGCTATCTTTGGATTCTTTGGTGGTCGCCTCTTTGGCTTGTTCTCTCAGAGCTTCTTCTCGTCTCTTCTTCTTCTCCCGTTTGCGTTCGAGAAGAGCCTCATCAGTGTCCTTCCCAACAATATCGGTTGATGCTGGTTTCTCTGACTTCTCCGCCTTCAACTTCATCTTTGCAGCTTTGTCAGCCTCGGCTCGGCGAATTTCCCGCTCTGCTTTTCGCTCCTCCTTGGACTTGGGACGTTCTTCAGTGGCCTCCGATTGTCGTTCTTCTTTCGATTTGGCCTTTGCAGGTGCATCAGCTTCATCCTCCAGCTTTCTTCGTTTCTTCCCGAGCATTTCGACTTTAGCCTGGGCATCTACATCGGAGTTGTGATCATTGACAACTGGCCTATTCGAACTCGAGCTGCTCTCCCGTTGTCGTTTGTCAAGCGAATGGTCACGTTTAGAAGCATGCCTCTCGGGATCGACGAGTCTTTTCTTAGGTCGAGGGGCGTCGGGCATCTCGATATCGTCCTCGTCGATCACAGCCTTCTCCTTCTTCTTTTTCTCTTTCAACCCAACATCCTTTTCCTTGTCCTTTTCTTTCTCCCGCTTGACGGGGTGGTCGACCTCCATTTCGTCAGAACGCTTCCTAGAAGGTTTTTCGTCCTTTGTTTTCTCCTTCTTGTCGTCCTTTTCGATTTTTGGGGGCTTGTCTTCCTTCTCGGATTTAGCAGCAAGGTCTTTCCCAAGCACTAGTCGCCGCTTCTTCGTCTTGGTCCCATCAACAGTAGCATTACTATCGCTGATGGCTGAGTAATCGGAATCCACGGCTCTCTCCTTGCGTTTCTGCTTGTCAAGATCCTTCAATTTCGACCTAGCGATCACAGGGGATATCTCTCGTTCGGATGGAGCTGTGTCATCCATAGCAGAGGACGCTGCAGGAGATGCGGACCTCCGGCGAAGACGCTTTGTCTTCTTCATTTCGTCTGCTTTGGCCTCCTTTCGCTCAGATTTACGATCTTTGTCCTTGCTGCTGTCCTTGTCCTTGTCCTTGCGAGAAGCGACCGGTGAAGAGGAGTCAAGCTTGTCCCGGGCGGATTTCTTCGATTTCTGTGGGCCGGCGGAGTCGTATGCGGCTTGAAGGAGCTTGACCTCTTCCTCCCAATTCTCGCCACCTCTTTGTTTGGCAATTTCAGCGTATGATCTTCCCCGGTTGTCAAGACGTCTCGGTTCCTTCATAGACTCGCTTCTAAGGAGTAACTTGAGAACCTCGATATTGTTACGACCGATGGTTGCAAGAAGGGGTGTTTCTTCGCCTGGGATGAGGGGAAACTGCGATTTGTCTTTTGTGTGTTGTCGAATTACATCCTTCGGGTCTGGATCGCTATCACCTCCAAATGCCACCAGTAGGTTTAGAACATCCAAATGCCCTCCTCGAGCAGCTAACATCATCGACTCCGGATCAGGGTTTATCCCACTTTCTAGTAGTTTGCCAGCCATTTCCATATCTCCGTCTCGAGACGCCTGCTTGAGCTTCGCTTGTCCACCCTTGCCGGCATCGAGCCATAGAAACTCGTTTCTGGTTGGTTCCCCACGTCCTCCTCTTCTTCGGCTGCTTGTCATTTGATTGGATTGCGGAGGTGGTGAGAAATGACTCGGGCTGGCAACCGAGGCTGCCCGGGAAGAACAGCTTTCATTAGCCGTTTTCCTCGCCTCGTCGTCTGCTCTCTTCTTGTTTTTCAGTTTAACTAATGCTGCTCGCAGGGCATCCTCTATTTGGCTCATCTTAGCCTCCTCATCGGCTTCATCGCTCTGCTGGCGAATCGTCGACGCTAGATCTATCGATGACTGCCCTGCTTTATTACGGTGGCGTGGATCCGCTCCGTGCTCCAGCAGAGTATTGACGACAGCAACATGCATGTTTTCGACTGCATCTAATAGAGGAGTTGATAAATCCTCAGCGGGCTTATCAACCAGTGCACCTTCCTCGATCAGCCATTCCACAATATCGTCATGACCGGCGAGTGCTGCGGCATGGATAGGAAGATAGCCTGCATTATCAGCATCGTTTAGAAGGTCAGGTTCAGCCTCTAGACACGCTTTCGCCTCATCCAAAACACCTTTGGCACAGACTTTGTGCAGCTGGTTCCTGCCGGTTTTGTCGCGTTTCATCTTGTGTCCGGGGCCTATTAGACGTGCAGGTGACGCGGCAGGGCCCGAAATTGAGGGTCGTCGTCTTCTATGATTCGTGATATGCGGAGAATTCGATCTTGAGGATGATGTTGATTTGACTTCATTGTCAGAATCTTGAATGCTAAGAGCGGGTGGCCGACCGGATCTCTTGGTTTTATGAAATTTCGACACGTTGGAATTGATCCCGCTAGGCGTTTTACCGCTAGAGGGCCCAACATTCGGAACACTTCTCTTGCGGGAATGCCCAGGACGAGACAGCAGAATTGTCGAGGATGTATTGTTGGTGGATGTGTGAGACTCCCTGGCATGTTTTGTTCCATTGCTCTCACGAGGAACTGGAGGAGGAGACATCGGGGGCGAGGATTTTATCCTAATGCCCCGAGGAGATTCGTCCTCGCTTTTGATACCTCTCTCATGGGAAACCTCTCGGGCCTTCCTTTTGAGAGAACGGCGTTTATCAAGGTCATCTTCTTGGATCTTCGGTATTTTCCTACGAGGAGGAGAATGTGTTAATCTCGAAGGCGAAGCGGTTCTTTTTCGAGCTCTATCTTTAGGGAGCGGTCGTTTAGATGAAGGAGCACGAGATGAGGGAGCGGAACTGAGGTCGGATGAATATGCATCATCATTATCTCGGTCGGGTCTCGATTTCGAGTCACCGTTTGTCCTCCTCGGGTGGGAAGACGGGGCTAAACGGTCATCATCGCGATTATCGTCGTTTTCGGGGTAGCTTCGGGGTCGATTGCTGCGGCTTCTGCCTCGACTTTGAGGAGCAACTACAACAGTTTCTGCGTCGGAATCACTGTCTTGGTGTGCAGATGAAGAGTTCGGTGGCTCGTTGAGGGTCGGAAGGTGCGATGAGGAAGAGGAACTGTGAGCCTGCTGCCCTGTCCCGCCGTTAATTCCCACTGCACTACTCATGGACAATAACTTTCCATTACGGGTACTATTCAAGGACTCTGTTCTACCGTCGGACGAGTTGATGCCCGAGGAGGAGCAGTGACCTGATGAGGAGATGGAGTTCAAGCCGGTTATACCATTCATGCCATATACTGGAGAGGACGAAGAGAGAGACGGTGGTGCCGGTGGAACGGGAGTCGGGACAGGTAGGGAAATGGTCGAAGTCATATAGCTGATGAATACCGATGCCCCCTTCGTGCCCACCGCATAGTGCTACTCCTTTGGAACCCGGGGCAGTCGAATTATGTGTAAGTCGACGCCGAAATTTTTTTAAAAAATATATAATAATCCCGTTCAATAAAGTTGACTATTAACGAATTTCTAGAAGAAGAAAAATAACGTGGCAAGAAAGTGGTTGGAGAGAAAGAAAAAACGTTGTCGCTGATTCGAGACAGATTCTGGCCAGGAAGTGCCTCAGACGTGAGTGAAAGAGTCGTGCGTGGGAATTTTGCACGTTTTGGAGCGATTACTACGGAATGAATACACAAGACGAAATAACAACAACGGAGTCTCTAGTCCGTCTGTCTGTCTCGAAGAGCTAAAGTCGGAAACGTGGGTGAGAGTTCGATCTCGTAGGAGGATTCGGGGGGGTCGGATTTCGATAATGTCGACAGCCGGCGGAGAATAAAAAGAATAAAGGGAAAAATCGAGAAACTAAGGATCTAATTGAAGGGAAAAAGAAGAAGGAGAAGAAGAAGGGAGAGAAGAAGAAGGATGGGGGAAAAAGGATGGTTGGATGGGAAAGGGTAAAAAAAAAAAACACTACTACTAACGAAGGACTAGTATTTCTCAGACTCAGATTTCAGTCCACCCTCAGTTGGGGAAGTCTTGGACAGACGGCCAGTTTGGGGGGTTACTTTGGCAGCAGTGATTATGATTCGAGGCTGCATTCACAGGCCTGACCGAATTAAAGATGCTACATGCTACGGTGCACTATGGCAGAAAAGAGTGGTGGGAAGGGTAGTAATTAACAGGAAGAAGGAAGAAGGCAGTGCAGCTAAACTGCAAGGCACTGCGCTAGACACCTTATTCGGCCCTCACAGAACGGACATATTAACATGCCAACATTATGTGATCAAACCATCAACATTCTCGACGGCCGGACCCATTAATAGACAACATGGCCGTCTGGATCCAGATATACTGGCTTACATACGTACATACTTCTTACATACATAGTATGTGAGTAAGTGTACATGTACAGAGGACTAGGAAGTAAGGATCTATGTACCGATACATCATCGATGCCTTTTGAGGCCAGAGTACGCCTCCTGCAATCTCGATATCGAACCAATGCAAATTTCAGCAGGACCTCTGGCTTGCGTATCAGCGCCCATGCTCAAAATGCAGGCTGCAGTCCTTGTCCTTGTCCTTGCATGTCCGTTCCAGGCCCCCAAACTACGCCCGGGGCCTCCGTAGCCTGCAGTACAGCCCCCTTTTCTCACTGGCAGAAAAACCAAAACAATGACCTTAATATTCGCACGAGACCCCACAATTGTACCTTCTTACCCCGGAATCCTTCTCTCTTCCACGCACAACCTAGACACTCGCATTCAACTACTTGTCTGCTACCAGGGAGTTTGGAGTCTGCTATATGATATGGGGTGGAGGCGTTAGAAAACGGTGTTATTCAAATATCGATTCGGATTTCTGTCATCTTAGCATGTCGTATGATGACGGTTGTAATTGTTGTGTTGGAGGCCAGCATGGTCTGACGACGTCCTCCTTTCCAACGTTCCCGTTGTCGCACGACCGCCCGTCATGGAATTCATGAACACTCTAAATCTCGCCGAGCTGCTGGCAGACATCAACCTTACCAGCGTCGTCCAGTTCTTCTATTTCAACGCTATTCTCATTGTACGTTGTCGTGGTTAGTGGACCAAAATGCATTACGTATAAGAGCTGACGAAAAGATCCAAAAAATTGCCCATCTCAGACAATAACGCTGAATGTCTTCCCGCCGTTCGCCAGAAAGCTCTATACATACGGAAAGAACGCCTCTGATACCAAGCCTACCAAGGCCGCTACCAAAGATGTGGACAAGAAACCCAGGACCACTACGGAGCCGAAGTCGCCGCTGGACGTTCTCTTGGATCTAGTGGGGAAACTACAGGTCCCTCACTCTTGGTTTATGCATTTCTACGCCTTCTCCTTCGCCGTCCAACTCTTCTGGCTGCTTCAAGTAATCTTTCATGGTCGAATCCTACAATTGGTCTTAGACAACCTCCCAGGAAACCAACCACCAAAGGATGCTGTCGTGGAGCCTCAAATCGTCCCGGGTCCAGACGGCTCACAGAGCCTAGAAACAATCCTACTATGCATAATTTGCATGACAATGCAAAGCGCCCGGCGCCTCTGGGAGTCCATATATATTCAAAAGTCGGGTAACTCCAAAATGGGTATCCTGATCTACATCGCCGGGATTACCCACTACACAATGATGGGATTTGCAACTTGGTGTGAAGGTATCGAAACCCTTCGACTAAACACCAATATTCCTATATCCCACCCTTCCGACCTCTTAAAACCGCCCAGGATAAACACGCTTTTGGCGATTCCGTTCTTCTTTCTTGGGTCGGGCCTCCAGCACGATGCACATGTCCATCTGGCGTCTTTGGTAAAGTATTCCCTCCCAATACACCCGCTATTCTCGTACACTTTATCCCCCCATTATTTGCTTGAGTGTGTTATCTACGGGTCATTCGTAGTTATCGGGGCACCTAAGGGCCAGTGGTTGAATAAGAGCCTGCTGTACGTTTGGATCTTCGTGTGTATAAACCTAGGATTCGGCGCAAACATAACCAGAAAGTGGTACGAGGGGAAATTCGGACGAAAGAGCGTCGAAGACAAGTGGCGGCTGGTCCCATATGTATATTAAAGTCCAGAATGTCGTCGGGGAGGGCTTTATCAGTAATGTGGGGGGGACGGAACCTAGCATGTCCTCTCACCCGCACCTAAGAACAGCCTCTTCGTAGCCACCTTCGAAAGCAAAATACCATACTTCTTGATCTCCGAAAAAACCCGTCCGTTTCCCAGATAAGAACTTTAAACCCTTAGTCCATCATGAATCAATATCCTCCCACTTCGAATAGCCAAAATCCGTAAACCGTTCCAAGATGTTAAACTTCGTGAACATGCATGTGTTGTGCCAGATATAATTTGTTAGGGTTCCGCAGCCCTTCCCCAGCAAAAGCGCCTGTTTGCCCGCAAAGTCACGTGATGCTACAATTCCAACAGGCATTTTTGTGTGTGGAATATTTTTCCCCCCATTTTTCTTCTTTTTTTTCTTGTTCTCTCTTCATGAACACCACACATAACTAAACATCCATCAACACCGGGGACACCTTTAAGGAACTCTTGACATCAAACTCCATCTTTTAGTACTCTTAAGTACCTTTACGAAAAAAAACTAAACACTACATTCCAAGATGGTACGTTGAATTCGAGCTTCAATTCGAAGAGTGGAAGAGGTAGTGGTAAGTGGTTTGATATCATATGAAAGCTTCAAGCTTCAATTGATATGAATGAACCACTACCCCTCCATCCCCTCATCGAGTCTCAAAAATACCACACAAACGTTATGCTAACTTCCTAACTAGTCGGACGGAGAAGAGGTCCCCGCCGTCGAGGTTGCTGACGAAATTGAAGTCGCCGCCGACACCAGCGCCGGTAAAGGCCAAATGTCCGTTGAGGACGCCCTCAAGGGAGTTCTCCGCCACGCCCTGATCCATGACGGTCTCGCCCGTGGTCTCCGTGAAGCCTCCAAAGCTCTCGACAGACGACAAGCTCACATGTGCGTCCTGAACGAGAACTGCGACGAGGATGCCTACAAGAAGTTGGTTGAGGCCCTTTGCGCAGAGCATAAGATCCCTCTGATCAAGGTTGGAGATGGCAAGAAGCTCGGAGAGTGGGCTGGTCTCTGTATGTTTAGATTTCCCTTCCTTTCGTTGGTGTACTTGAGATGCTTTGGTGCTGGTAGTGGTGCTGGCGGAGTGTGCACACGATATATATATATATATATATATATACCAAGGTTTCAATCACAAATTCCCAAAACATGTGCTAACAGAAATAACCAACAGGCACTCTCGACCGTGAAGGCAACCCCCGCAAGGTCGTTAACTGCTCTTGCGTCGTCGTCCGTGACTGGGGTGAAGAGTCCACCGAGCGCAGCATCCTCCTCGACTACTTCCAAACCCGTTAAATTTTTAAATCAAATCTAAAAAAAGTGAAAATTTAAAAATTTAATACGGAAATATGGAAGGAAAGAAAAGGGCGATGGCGGAAGAGGAGGAGAATCTTTTGAGAAAGGGAAGGAACTAAGGAAATGAAGAAGAAAATCCGTGGGAGGAGAGGAGGAGATAGAGGAAACGAATTGGAAGATTTTCGCTTGACACTCTTTTTTTTTATAATCACACGACCGCCTCACTCTCTTTCGACTTCAACTCTACCTCTACCATTACGTCCTAATCGAAAAGAATCGTCTGGTTAATAAAATAACAAGGAGGATAGAAAACTTGACCAACTCTTTCCCCACATCCGCTTTTTTTTCTTTCGTCTTCACGGATATTTTTTTGTTCTGCTTCTCCGTCTGTTTCTTACTCGTGGATATCAAACTTTTTTCTTCTTCTTTTGAATGTTTATATATATTCTTAATATCACGAGAGAAGGAATGGTGGATGGTTTCTTTACCGCTCTACTTTTCCTCCTTTTCCCGCTCAACCATTATTATCTTTTTTCCTTCTTTATGACAGCTTTCAAACTGTACATATAGGGATTTTCTTTTTTCTCATTTTCTTTTAAGCCAGTCCTTCGATTCACGAAGAAGTGGAAAGAGGATCATCAAAAACAGGGTACTAAAATATATTATTTTACCAACAACTTGAGATTCCCAGGTTTATAAATGTAAGCTGTGGCACACGATCGATCAGTAGCTCCACAGCAAAACCTTGTGGCAAGGGTAAGCTAAAGTTTGGTCCCACGCTAATTATAATTCCGACAAGGGGCCGGATCGTATTATGAAAGTTACCACTCCAAATTAAGAGTCGATTGGATTACGAAAACTCTGGACTCGATGATATAAATCTTAATCTTGAATACGACTATCTGTTAAATGTATATGCTTGCTGGGCGGTCGATCGATCGGCGAACCGGACTTCGCGGCATTAATCTTGCCATAAAGACATAAGTATCTTCAAAGGAGTGATGAAATTCGAAACCTAACCCGATTCCCAAATGCAACATCTCAACAAGCATCACATTTGACCATATGGCCACAGCTAACCCATGCATAATCTCATCATAACACACAAATGGAACCGGAAAGTTTCCTTAACTATTCGAAATTAATAGATAGATGAAAATCGAATCCCAAAATCGACAGAGGTGGGTGGATTTTTGGTGGGCTCGAGACGATCTAATCGCCTAAGTACTATTTAATTGTCAAGGCCTTAGCTTGCATGAGTTGGGTGACCCAACTACACATCGGCCATGCATGGACGCAGAAGTGCTAGGAGGAATATATATCTTGAACTCATGCAGCGTACTGCGTATAAGTTTGTCTCTTGAGGAAATATCTCAAGATAGATACGTCCGTTAACACGTCATGCATGGCAAGGCTCAAGAGACTGACATGTTGCAATGTAGAGCGGCTAGATTCGCGCCGCACATTGGCTATGGTAAATGCATGCAAATATTGAAAGCCTTGCGCAAAATTTTTCAAACCCAGCCTTGCCCAAATTCTTGAAAGAGAAAAAAAGGGGCTGTAGACAAAGTGGTCTCTCCGGAGTTTCGTCCTCCATGCTTAATCGACTGTGCTTTCAGTTTATGAAACGATCCTAACCCGCCATCATCGCTTTGGGCTCGTCTCAGGATAATATATTCCATCAAGCTGGAATAATGTCCGGAATCTATAATGGCGGAGCCTCATCGGAACCCGAAAAACGACGCCTTGGCGTCCAGGCTTACACGGTAGGATGGGTTTGTGCGCTTCCTATCGAGTACGCAGCAGCAACCATGATGTTGGATGAGGAGCATGAGGACCCACCTCACGATGATAACGATACAAACATATATACTTTGGGTCGCATATTCGGTCGCAATATCGTTATTGTATGCCTTCCAGCAGGTCTAATCGGTTCGGCGTCTGCTACCGCAGCGGCAATAGAAATGAAAGCCAAGTTTCCCCGAATTCAGTTCGGCTTGCTGGTTGGTATTGGAGGCGGCGCCCCAAGTGGAACAACGGATATACGACTTGGTGATGTTGTCGTTAGCCAACCTCACCTACAGCATGGCGGAGTTGTTCAATACGATTTTGGGAAACAGCATCCGAAGGGTTTCCTGCGGACAGGGCACCTCAATACGCCACCGAAATATTTGCTCAATGCCGTCTCCAAGCTCATATCCAATCATATTCGGGGCAAAAATACCCTCCTAAATCATCTCGCGGCAGCTACCTCCCAGCCGGACTTCGCACGTAAAAACGCAGGGGAGGATATTTTGTTCGAACCTACTTTTATACATGTGGAAGGTGCGATGTGCGAGAATTGTAAAATTCAAAAGGAAAAAATAATCCAGCGTGCCCCCCGAATTGGCCAGGAATACATGATTCACTACGGTACAATAGCGTCTGGAAGCTCGCTTATTAGAGATGCTCAAACTAGGGATAGGTTGAGCTCGGAACTCGACGGTGCAATATGTTTCGAGATGGAGGCGACTGGGTTGATGAACCATTTTCCATGCCTTGTTATCAGAGGTGTATGTGACTATGCGGATTCACATAAAAATAAGTTATGGCAACCCTATGCAGCCGCTATTGCAGCCGCTTGCGCTAAAGAGCTTCTATCAATCATTCCTCTAACTTCAGAGTCTCAAGGTAAGTGAAGGTACTAGGAGAAACAAATTTTATGTAAAAACCCAAATTAACTAACTCCTCTCCGCTAGCAAGATGTGATACTGTGCTCCACAGCGACTCGATCTTTCTTCAACCAAGGCTTTTAGTTCGTGAGGATATACTATCATTTCTCACTGGGGCCATTAACGGAGATGGGAGTGCTAGGGTGGTCTTGCATGGTCTCCCAGGCATTGGGTATGCTTGACCGCACAGAATATACCTAGTTCCCACAGCCCACTAATCCATCATGTTAGAAAATCGACAATGGCGCGGTATTTCGCCTACCAGAAACGAGACGAAATGACCGTTCTTTGGATAACGGCGAGCTCGAAGGAAACGATGGCCAAGGGATTTGAGCAATATGCAAGGCAGATTCGTGGAGACGGACACGCTTTATCCCAACCAGTGTCAATCATTCGTCAATTTCTTTCAAAAAGTTTTGATGGCCGTTGGCTACTGATCCTCGACGGACTAGACGATACAACTATTGACGTCGAGCAATATATTTTTAATGGCCTACCAAACGCCAAAATTCTAGTGACGACAAGACACACAAAAGTTGCTAGTCATATCGGGGCCACTTACGTCCTGCAAGTCAATTCATTGAATCAGAATAACGCACAGCAGCTCCTTTCCCAATATATAAACCCCATCTCGACAGATACAAACCTAACAAAAGGTAGCGAGCCACCCCAAGAGGAAACAAATGCCAGAGCCCAACTTGTAGCTGAGCTCGGCGGTCTTCCCCTTGCGATATCTATAATCGGAGCCGCGCTGAGGGACGGAACCGGCGTGTCGAGCATGAACTGCCAGACATATCTTAAATGGCCAGCTGAAGTTCAGGCTGGTTTCTTAGCACAGGACCCCGAATTCTCCAGCTATCCTTACTCAGTCTGGAATGCCTTTAAATTCGCATTTGAGAGGATATTGTCTAATACGGAGAAAGACCAGCATGTATCTTCTACGGCCTTTTTTATTGCATCTTGTGAAAGTGCTCGGAATATTGCTGAATACCTCCAGCTCTATCGCCAAATTTCTAAGAATTTAACCCTGGAAAACATTGACTTTCTTAAAGATGGGTATTTCGAACTCGCAATACAAAAACTTGTAGCAACCAACATGGTTACTTGTAGTTTGGTTCCTGGCAGGCCGCCACATATCGAAATGCACTCACTTGTGAGAGGTTGGATCGGACATATCTATAGCGAGCGAATACATAGTTACACGGCCTCAAAAATATGGCTTATGGGATTCCATATTTACGACAGCGTTACGACAGGCCGGGTTAAAGAAAGTCGATTTGCAGGTCTTGTGGGTGAACTCGACAGCCTGGTTCAACAGAATTCTGACACATTACACGAAAGCTGGAAAGACATGCCAGACATAGTTTTCCCACTACTGTTGGTGTCGCAGAAGTACTTACTACAGCCAATCGATTATGTGCCCGCCGGAAACCCGGAAACATTGCGATTTTCTAAGCTCTCAGAGGCCCTGCAGCCGGAAATCAATGCTGCTTGCCATTCTACTCTCAAGGGCATCGACTGGGGAATTTTATGGAGGGAGTTCATCCAATATCTGGAATATAGCGCCCGCTTCAACTCTAGACTTGAACCTGTAGGGATCGAAAGAACGCCAGTGGGGCTAGAGTTTTATCCCAGTTCCGTGGGTATATCTAATTATGAAGGCATCGGAGCATTGATAGAATCCCTCTCGGACCTCCGGCCATGGGCTGCTATCGGTCATACCAACCTTGTTCAGGGTATCAAGATGGCTATTACGGCAGAAATGGAACGCTCCATAGATATTCTAGACCCCGAAGCAGTCAATCAAGCATGTGGAGCCATCTCCGAGGGCTCCGACCCTGCCATCCACGAGTGGATGAATACATGGATTCTTGATGTCGAGGAAGTCCTTCGTCGCGCACTTAGGAAGGTATTTACGAAATGCCCCGGGACAAGCAATGAGGATAAATACCTAGAGCACCCTTTTGTCAATCCAGGTCCACAGGACCCCTTAAAACCTTTCTTTGCTGTCCTCTACCAGGCAGCGAAGGTAGGCGCTGGTAGCTACCTGGAATCTACACTAGTCTCCCCTACCTCCAGTGCAAAACAGACTAACTTCTGGAGATATTGGAACTTATGGTAAAAGGGGGGTTTGGTAGCCAAGGAAAAGATATACTTAACGACCGATGTCCTGTCCTGGAGGAGCCGGTTCGATTAGAGCAGCTAAGAGATTACATCGCGAAACTGGTGGTGATTAGTGTCTCGAAGAGTTTTATTGAAGCCGCCCAGATCGGGTTCACGAGAGCGTTTGAACGATTACGTTCTCCATCTGCCGCTAAAAGATTAGCAAATGCAGTCTTTTCAAATGCAAGGGTTACATATACATTTCTCGTTTGGGGTTCTTTCAGCAACACCGACAACCTGGATCTCATAAAAAAACCGCCTCATGAGATTTGGGATTCGGATTTCACGCGGGCGGCGAATATTGTACGGTCACGTGTACTACGTGCGATGAAAACTTTATATGGTGGCCAGGTCTCCAGCGCGGATGCGAAGGACTCCATAGTGCAGGCCGTCTATGCGATGCATATATGTCGCACGATAGTTTTACGCACCCTTGATACCCGACCTCAACACCACTTGGACACTATCGAGACGAAACTATTACCACTACACCATGCTGGAGACTATCATACAAATATTGTCTGCGCCCATGGTTTTCATAAACGCACGGAGGTACTATATCCTTACAATATCATCAAAATTTCAACAGAGATTGCTCTGCTGAGCATGCAAGAAGCACTAGTGTTAATAATCGAAGAGATGAAGCGGGAATTCCAGGAAGCCCTAGAAGAACTCGAAAGGTCACGCAAAATGATCAAATACTATGAAGAACAGTTGGAGCTGACCGAACGTGTGAATTCCATAATGCCTGGTGTCGACGAGACCAAACTGCTACAACAAATTGAAGAAGCAAAAGAAAAAGAAAGAGTATGGACTACAATTTTATCTATCGGGTCGTCAATATTCTGTCTATTTAGACTTTTCTTTGTACAGGAGCACGCCGACAGCTGGGTCCAAGATGAGAAGTTACTGTCGGAAGTATATAGGAATGTTTTGTCTGCATCGATTTTTTTTGCTGCATTATTCTGTTATCTTGTCTGGGTGGGCGGGAGTCTTTTTTTTTAGTCTATTCGGTCAAATAGATATTGAACAAGTAGTAGGTATATAGGTAGGTACTTCGATTTTAATTTTATAGATAGCTGATTTCACTAGCGATTTTTGTCACCATCGACGGTATGATTATCTTGTACTCAGTCCTAGAAGTCAACCCATGTTAACATTAAGCAAGACAATACTTCGAGTTTGATATAGTTATATATATATACATAAACATTCATCTACTCAAATGACCTTAATACCCTGGGTACGTACATGTACATACCTCTCTATTTTGGGGCGGATATCGGGTCCGGATCCCTTATCTTCAAATCTTATCCCTATTTATTTCTATCTAGATACCAACAAAAAGCGTGTTGGTTTTGTTGTATTTGGAAAGTCGAGATATATAATCGACGGTGCCCAGGGATTCGAACCACATGCCAGCTGTATACAGCCTCTAGCTTTTGTAATACTTTCTATAATATAAATTAGACGCCCTAGTATAATAAACAGACGGCCTCTTGTAACATAATTAGTTAGTTAGTTAGTTAAATTACAGGTAATAATTCTATTAGAAAAATAAGTAATAAAATTTTTTTTTTACTTCGTATATACGTACTAATGTATAGTCACCTCATTGCAGGCAGGGCAAGCTAATTATATATAATTTACAGCAAGCTAGACAGGCGTAATACATTACAGATTTAATATAGGGAAACTCACAGATTCAAGGCTACACACACTATACTCTATAGGTTCATGAATTCACGAATGGAAAGGCACTATACATGCATGCAACATACTCAAGTAATAATAATAAATCTTCCGTCCCAACCGCCAGGAACATCTTTTCATTGTCATCCACGCCCTTCATAAGTAATAATATAAAAAAAGAATAAAAATTTAAAACTACAGAAATCAAGCTGATAAAAAGAAAAAAGAGAAAGGGAAAAAAAAAAGACAAGGTTAGCAATCAACGCCGTAAATAAATGAATAAACCTCCGCTAACGCCCTTTGATACGCGTGGAATAAGAATAAGAAGAAATAGGAAAAAAAACAACAAATTGATGAAATAAAGCAAAAAGAATAACGCAAACCGAAAAGAAGAGGAAAAGAGTAAAAAGAAGAATAAAAAGAAGACCCGTTTTGCCCGTTATTGGTTTTTGTTATCCAACTGCCGTAAAACATGCAAGAATAGAGAAGAAGAAGAAAAACGTAAATGATAGGAGTAATAGAAGGTAGTAATTTGGAAATAACACGTTAGAAGTAATAGTGAGTAAAGACGCTTCTATGTAAACAAGAAGACTTCGTTCATCGAAATGGTGGTGGTGGTCGTAAAAGAATTAAATATGGATAATAGGCGTGAAGCGGTGAGGCTAAAGAGTATATCGATATGCTTAGAGCGTAAAGAACAAAATCCTTAAGATCGTATCTCAAAGAAACTGTTGTCCCAGCCGCTGAGAGTGCTACTCCCACTAGTAGTTCCAGGCGCATCAACCAACTCCCAGTCGATATCTTCGACCAACCCACGAGGCCCAGAGTTGCGAATACCAAATGGATTCCAAGATTCAAAGTCCTTCATCTCTTCCTCACTCATGGCCAACGCGTCCCCACCGTTTCTAGCTTCGGGGATACCTGCGGTGCCAAATGGTGGAGTGCCAGGAAGCTTCTCGCCGGACTCATCCAAGTCGTCACCGTCATCGGGAGTCAGGATCATACTGATGTCGATTTGGTCGATGACAAGGTCTGTGATCTCATTGAGTCCTTCGAAGGCTTGTTGGATGACTGTTGGACTGATCATGGAGTCGTCCCAGCCGCTGAATGGTGGAGTTGGCTGGCTGGTTGGCCTCTCTTCCTTAACCTCCACAGGGCGAGGTGGAGAAGACTGGATACCAGATGGGGTCGGAGCAGCCTTGGAAGGAGTCTTGGTGAGTGGCGTTGAGGTCCTAGGGGTAGGAGCTTTAGCGGTGGCAGCAGCAGCTTCCTTATCTTTGACCTCTTCCTGCTTATCCTCCTTAGCCTTCCTTGTTCCATCTCTGGCCAAACCCAAGGCTTCAGCAACACTCCCGAGCGTGTACTCGAGTGGGTTAGTGATCGTCCTGTTCCTCTCCTCGATCATACGCTCCTGTTTCTCTCTAAGAGCTTGGAGGTCTTGTGGGGTCAGAACTTTTGGAGGTTCACTTTGTGGTTGCTTCATATGCCCAGCAACGGCATCCTTGTGATCTTCTTTAAGATGGCGAAGGAGGTCTTGCTGGTTTTGGAAACCTTTGGTATGGTATTCGCAGGCTTTGACAATACAAAGGTGGGTGTATTGAGCTGGCAGGGTACCTTTCCCTGGAACACCTTTCTGTCCTGCCGCCTGAGCCATGGCTTGAGACTGGGCCTTCGGGTCAGGTTGTGCTGATTTGGGAAACGAAGGAGACTCGGAGCCCTGCTTAGCTTTCTTTCTAGGAGGAATCTGGCCGAGGTTGAAAGGCGCGGCGGGGGGTAGGGGAGCTGTAGGAGCAGGAGGAGCTGCAACCTTGTGAGCAGCAGCGGAATGAGGGATGTTGGTTGGTTGCTGAAGATTCTGAACGGGGAGCTTTTGTTGCTGCTGTTGCTGTTGCTGCTGCTGCTGCTGCTGTTGTTGCAGAGATTGAGCCGAGAGATCAGTTTGAGTGAGGTTAGGGACAGGAGCTTTAGCAGCAGGTGGTTGAACGTGCAAGTTCTGTGCTTGCTGGAACTGCTTTTGTTGCTGAAGTTGTTGTTGTTGGACGGCTCCCATGGGGATTGGGGGTTGACCCTGCTTCATACGTTGCTCGTTCAACTTGGGCACTTGAGCCTTCACGTAATTGAAGTATCGAAGAATCTGTGACTTGGCAGCGTCGAGCTCATCAGGTGTAATGGTAAAGTTCTCCTTCGGTGTCTGGAAATGGGTATCTTCAAACTGAGTAGCCACTACGGCTCTCGTTTGGAAGAGCTCTCTCACGATACGTTCAGAGGGTAAGAGCATCAAGAACATCGGGATCCACTGCTCCATCCTGACGAGAGTCAATGATACCTCTTTAACAGCTTGCCTAGTCACTGCTTTCACCTCCTCGCTCATCTGAATAATCGGCCGTGCCAATGCCTTTTGGGTTTCTTCTTGTCGGATCAAATGAACTTGTTCCTTGTTCTTCAAGAGCTGCTTTGTAGGATCCATCTGAGCCGCGGGGGCGCCTTGAGGGCCTGCTGCAGTTGGAGCAACAGCCTGTGGTGCTGCCGGAGCCTTCTGTTGAACCCCTTGGGCCGTAGGTGGCCTTGCTGGGGCAGGTTCAGGTTGCTTAGCCTGATTTTGATTCTGGTTTTGATTTTGATTTTGGGCCTGGGTTGGTGGTTGAGCAGCAGCCGGGGCCGGGGGCTGGATAGCATTTGGTCTTCCAGCTTGAGCCTGTTGAGCGAGCTTCGCCCTACTCATAGCGATCACCTTGTGAATGTCCATCTTTCTCTCGGGAGGAAGTTGTGCCATTCTTGGCTGATTGATGAGTTGAGCTTGCATATCCGGCGGCATAACCATTAGCCTTTGCAAGAACGTCTGCCAATCACCGGGCTTTCCAGGCGGCTGTCCCTGTTGTCCCTGCTGCTGTTGCTGGGCCGCCTGCTGCTGTTGCTGCTGGGCTTGCTGCTGGGCTTGTTGCTGGGCTTGTTGCTGGGCCTGCTGTTGGGCTTGCTGTTGAGCCTGCTGTTGAGCCTGCTGCTGGGCCTGCTGCTGGGCGGCATTAGAAGCTGCCGTAGGAGCGGCTTCATCAGCCTGAGCGGATCTCTTAAGGCCCCTTGAATTAGCGGCCTGCTGCTGCTGCTGCTGCTGCTGTTGTTGTTGCTGCTGCTGTTGTTGCTGAGCAGTATTCGGCGTCACCCTCCCACCTTCAATCGACTGCTGTGCCATCTTTGGTGTGGGCGCAGCCGTCGGTTTAGCCGGTGGTTTAGGTGGTGACATATTCACTTGCTGCTGTTGCTGCTGCTGCTGTTGTGCGGCAGCCGCCTGAGCTTGTTGAAGATGAGCTTGTCGTAGAGTATTAACCCGAGTAGCAAACTCCTGATAGTGAGCTTGCATCGGTCCAACAAACTTCTTTGACATTTCTTGAACATGCAGGAAATGCAATGACCGAACCTAAAATCATCTTTGTTAGTATATATTCTCTTTCAACTCATATTTTGGAAGCACGGTTGGATTCATACCCTAGTCGCCAAATCTGGATTAACCTGTTTCGCCCATGCCTTGAACGCACCCCAATCTGCAAGATTATTGACCGGAATATCAATCGACGGAAACTGACGTTTGATATATGCAACCGCTGTTTGTGGGAACTTGATCCCATCAAAGCTAGGCGGGAACTGAATGTCGGGAACCGGCATCGGGGGTGGCCTCTGGGGTTGCTGCTGCTGCCCAGGCTGCCCCGGTTGCCCCGGTTGGCCGGGCTGCTGAGCTTGAGCAGGTTGTCCCGGCTGTCCAGGATGTTGTTGTCCCGGCTGTGGAGGTTTGAGGCCCAACTTCTGCTGCTGCTCAAGTTGGAGGTTTCGTAAGTTTGCCGCTCTTTGCGCCTGAAGCTTCTGAGCCTGTTCGACGGTTAATCCAAGAGGCTGACCGCCGGATAAGTTTTGCAACAAAGCATTTTGGGCAGCTTGGATCTGCTGTGCCGATGTGCCTCCCATCCCATTTCTAATTCTCTGGGCTTCAAGGGCCGCCTGCTGTTGCTGTTGCTGTAGTAGATTTGCAGAGTTCTGACCAGCTTGCTGTTGGGCTAGAGCTTGGGCTTGAGCCTGTGCCTGAGCGGCTTGCTTAGCTTGGAAACTTTGAATGAGATGCTGCAACTTGTCTGGTGGCAGATCTCGGAAATTTTGAATAGGAAACCCAGCAGGGACGGTAAAGCTCCCAGGTGGACGTAGACCCGCGGCCTGCGCTTGCTGTTGCTGCTGTAGTTGGGCTTGACGCTGCTGTAATTCCGCCATTCTAGCTTGGTTAAGCTGGGCTTGAGCCGCTTGAGCAGCCTGGGCAGCTTGCGCTTGCTGACTGGCAGCAGAACCAGGTCTGTGTGTTTGATTGAGTAAGTTTAGTTGTGGAGAAGGATGCTGCCCCACAAGATGAGGCTGCGGTTGTTGCGGAGAAGGCTGTGGTTGCTGTGGTTGTTGCCCGATCCTCTGAGCAGCCTGTGCAGCTTGAGCTTGCCTTTGTAGCAGAATGAGCTGCTGCTGCTGCAGGGGGGTAGGGGCAGACTGCGGAGTACCCTGGGGTGGCACCGAACCGGGTGGCATGGTGACATTCGGCATCCCTGGTCTGGCCTGTGGAGGCTTTTGCCCCATAGCTTCGGCCTGTGTGACAGCAGGTTGCTGCTGCTGCTGCTGCTGCTTGAGATATGATTGGAAGTCACTCATGAACGCCTTATTATCAAACGGCTGCTGCCCTTGGCCGAGGTTTTGGCCTCTGCCGAGTGCCGCAGTCTGGGCAGCAATCAATCTCTGCTGCTGAGCGGCCTGCTGCAGCTGTTGCTGCCGTGCTGCGAGCTGCTGCTGGTTTGCAGCCATTTGCTGCTGTGGAGTAAGCTGCTGTGGGTTCCCGCCACCGGGTACACCCTGCAGAGCACCAGGTGGGATAGCCTGGTTTTGCAGAAGTTTCTTCGCAGCGGCATTCCTGAAGAACAACTCTAAAGGCGATATTTTTAGACGTTCACATTGAGCCTTCTGTTCCTCCGTCAGTCCCCCGAGCTGTCCCATGATAGTCTGTATGTGTTGCGGCTGGGCCTGTTGCATCATGGTACGCGCCAGGTGTTCGATAGCTTGGTCTTTAGGCATGCCACGGTACTGGTGAAGCGGGTTCTGGAGCTGCGGTTGGCCGAGTTGAGGACCTCCTTGGATGAGACCTGATTGTGCTTGCGCGGCCATGGCCATCTGGGCTTGTAACGTCGGGTTCGCCATGGCGGCGGCCATGTTGATATTCTGGGGCATTAAACCGGACATTCCAGATTGCTGTTGTTGCTGTTCCATCTGGTTGGCTTGGATGCCCATCCTCTGGGCGAGCAGCAACTGCTGCTGTTGTTGGGCGGCCATCTGAGGGTTACGACTGAGGAACTGTAGATCTCGAAGATGTTGTTCATTATCTGCTTGTTTCCGCATACGAGTTTCTTGGATCTGCTGCATCTTCCCCCGACAGGCGCCAATGTAATCAGCCTGTTAACATGAAAAAAACGCGATGTTTTGCGTTCAAGTCAGCGTGCCATTCTAACGAGGCTTTAAGCAAGAAGAAGAAGAAGAAAAAAAAAGAAAAAAAACATGGCCAAGAATTTAGATGAGAACGAAAAAATTTTGAATCCGGAAGGAGAGTGAGAGTGAGAGAGAGAGGAATAAGGCTACGAACTTTGGAATTTGCACTTCGGAATGTATGATCCTCGAAAGCCTCGGCCATTTTCACGGCGTGCGGGGCTTCCATATTACTCTGAACTAGGCGCAATGAACTAGCACTTGGGGGGGGATGATCAGCAGGCCTGGTTTGTATTATGCGGCGGTCCCAAAACAAAAAAAAAAAAAAGAAGTGCAATTTGAAAGCGTACATCTGGCTAACTATCATGGCACGTTCACCGAGAGGCATCTCAGCCTGCCAACCGCCTTGAGGAATAGGTTGAGATTTTATTTTGGCCATGATCTGGGCGAGAGCAACTTGAGGTCCTCCTCCTCCTCCTTGAGCGGCTGCCGCTGCTGCTGCCGCCGCCGCTTGACCACCGGACATTTGCATTCCGGCCATCATGCCAGGAGGGAGTTGGCCTGCTTGATTCATGGTTTTTTTCCTCTTCCCTTCTTTTTCCTTTTCTTTTTTGGCCCGGCCCGAAGCGGCCACCGGAGGAGGAAGTTTTATATTATCGTCGTCGTTCTCCTGTACGGGTTATGAAACGGACTATATCATATGAGGACAGACTGGGGTTTGTTGATATGTGGTGGTGGTAGTTGTGGTAGTGACTCGACTGACGAGAGACGAGACGAGACGGGACAAGACGAGGCGAGACACGGTACTCGAGGAAGAGAGGTTTAATCGGACGACGGACTGATGGTTGGAAATCTAACTAATCTAACAGGAACTCGGGAGAGCTTTTTTGTCTCGGCTTTTTATCCGGGAGATATATATGACTAGATGGTTAGTATATAGTGCTCCTGGAGGGAGTTAAGTGAAGGTGTGAAGTTTAATGTAGATGGTATGGTATATAGTAGAGGTTGTGGTGGTGGTGGTTGTGATGATGGTGGTGATGGTTGCTAATGTTTGGCGTTGTTGTTGTGTCTGGTTAGTAATTTGGGAGAAGGAAAAGGTGGTTGAATGTTAATATGTTGTTTCGGAGCAGTGTCAGAGCAATCCACAGGATTATAAAACAGCAGCCAAGCTTCCTCTTTTGCTTATCCGCATGCACGTAGAATATAATATAATAACATTCAATGGAAGGGATAAAAAAGAAGAAGGAGAGGGAAAAAAAGAAGAGGAAGAAGAGAGGAAGAAAGTAAAGAAATTAAATTAAATTAGACAAATGCAGGGCCGTTCTTAAGTAGAGTACATGCTGAGATAGCAGATGGACTGTATGTCAGAAAGTACTTCGGTTTCTCTGAAGTCCGAGAAGGAAATCAGGGAAAAAAGAAAAGAAAAGGAAAGAAAACAGTCGAACAGGATCTGATCGAGACCCTCTTTAATTCTGACTGACTGACTGCTGCATTAAGTATATACATACTGACATACCTACCTACATACAGATTACATGTATGTAGTATGTATGTGTGACTGAATTGGATCAGACTAATAAGAGTTCTCGAGGAATGGGAGTCTGCCTTGCCAAGCACGGACCAGTTTTTTGATTCAAAAAAGGTACCCGCAACATTGTCACCAACCAATCCTGATTCGGTGGGTTCCGCTTTACGATCTCAGAAAATATCCATGGACACATACCCTGCTATAACTATAATTCTAATTATACCTGGGTATTAATTAGTTTACCGTGTATAAACTATATTATAAAATCTGATATTGCTGTGTACTATGTACTCGGGTGGATGTATGTATGTCTGTACGTATGTGTATTATGGCCCAAACCTCTCATCCCACACCCAAATCACACTCTCCGTATAATACCTCTCCAGAGCCCTCCTCACATCCACCCCCATCCCCTCCGGTCCACACACGAACACCCCAATCCTCTTCTGTTTCTGGTTTGTCCCCCTCGCATGATCCCTACAGAATTCTTCCGTAATCCTCGTCAAATTCGGCCTTCCCGTTTGTATCCGAGGTGTTATCTGTGTCCTGGCGTATCGATATCTTAATGATTCGATTTCTTTTTCCATCTTTTTCTTCTCTTCTTCCTTTATGACCCTTCTTCTGTTCATGCTGTCGCTGTTATCGTTATTATGCAGATTACCATTATCATTATTCGTCGCTGATTGGCGGTGGCGGTGGTGGCGATGTGTAGGTTCCGTCGTAGGTAATAAACTCTGTGAATCCCCTCCGACCAATTCATCCAATTCCATCGATGGTCTCCCCCCGTCGTCCTTATCTTCTTCTTCGTTGTCTTCTCCTTCATCATTTCCACTTTCCCAATCCCCTTCTCCCTTCGAACCTGATATATAAATATCAACTTCAGGCCTACACCTCGTCGGTCCGGCCCTCAAGAGCTCCGATAGCGGCCATGCAGCATCATCAGTCCCCCCAACCGCCCACACAAACCTAACCCCCACCTTCTCCTCCACCCTTTCACTCTCTTCAATCTCCACCACCAATTCCCTTAACACGCTCAAAGTCATTGTAATCCCTATGCCCCCCGTAATAAACAAAAAAGAATCGAACCATCCAAACCCGGGGAAAACTTTGGCAATCCCGTAAGGTCCTTCGATCATCATATTCAAACTGGCGTCTAATGCCGATTCCTTGAGTTCTCTCGTAAACCCGTCTCTGACTCGGACCAAAAATTTGGCTTCTCCGCTTTCTTCGTCCACACTGGATAAGGTAAAAGGGTTTCCTCGGCTTTGTACCATGCTTGGTACGGAGATGTAAAAATGACTTCCGGGAGCGACTTTCTTAGCTTTTGATCCCATTCCCGTTGTGGTGGTGGTGGTGGTAGCAGTAGTGGTACTATTGGTAGTATCGGTCACCATCCAACCCGCCGTTCCCCTCAAATCCAATGCCGTAGAAGATACAGCCGTGACTTTAACTTTCAACTCTCTCGTCAAAAAATACCTTCCGACGCGATCGATAATATACACCACCCCGACAAGTAGTACATACCGTCCGGTATCATAAACATGAACCCACGCAACCGGTAATACCAAAACACTCAACAACTGATGAACGCTGAAGAAAGTTTTATAAGCCACCCTTCTATACTTCGGAAGACTGGCGATGAACATCGTATTCATGATGATTAACCCCAACAACCCAAAGATCACATCCCAATTAAGGAACCTATGGATCCTGTCCGTTGTGACAAAATAGTTGGTATACAGGATCCCATGGAAGGTGAGAAGAGTGTATATCGTCCGTCCGAGCCATCTGTGTGCTTTATTCAAAGTCTCGTGGGTTTGATAACTTAATATGGACGTCTGTTGGAGTATAAACCGTGAAGACAGTAGATATTGCGCAGGAAGTAGAGAAGTGGCGATATGACCCAATCGTTTGGTGAGGTGGAAGTAATCATCCCCGGTATCGGAAATACTCATAAATCCCATAAACCCGATCCATAGAAATCCCAACAACCAAGATTTGCGAGATCCCAACCATCTGGCTCCGAACAAGGGACGACCGAGGTACCAATGCGACAAGTACACGAACCGTGCGAACCTGGAGTATATTGTCTTCCTTTGGTATTCTCCTCCTTCTTGTTGTTTGATAACAACGAGGTTGTAACGGTAGACATGTCCGAACCAGCAGACGACGGTGGGGATGATAATGAGTGTTGTGAAAACGTTTAGGATGCCGTAGAAATCGAGGATTGCACGACGCAATTCCTTTTCTTCCTTCGAGTGGACTTTCATATGCCAGGGGAAGAAAGCCATGATGAGGACGCGGACATCAAAAACGACAGCAGCAGCAGCAGCGAAAACGGTGATGGCGGTGACGGGGTCGACGTCATTCTATTCTATATTTTTGGGGGGTTTGAATAGAAGGGGGGTGGTTCGGATGGTCCTCCGCAGGTTCTTGGGAGGTTTGCGCGGCATTCTGGGCCATGGCACTTGCTTGCTTGGTTGGTGTTGTCAGGTCAAGTCGAACCAGGGCCGAAGAGCGCGTGGCAGCAGCGATGCATGGATGGAGCCCGGTCGTTGCATTTGGCGGGGGGGACCTGCTTTGTTCGGACGGTCTGAAACTAGCATCTGAAGCAGCAGCTCGATCCAGGTAGAACCCAGAAAGAAAAGAAGGAACAGAACGAAAGAAAGAAAGAAAGAAAGAAAGATGTAAGACATCAGCTTCTCCTTTCTTTTTCGTTTATAGTTCAGCTGATCAGTTTGGCGATAAACTTTACTTCTACTTCTACTTCTACTTCTACTTCTACTTCTACTTCTACTTCTACTTCTGATTCTGATTCTAATTGGAGCTTGTCTTGATATTTAATATAAGTATTCATTCCGCCTCATCCGGTTGGATAACATATAAAACCACTACCTTCCCATCAACTACCATCTATCAGTACTTATCGATATACCCCATATTACACTTCTACTATCCCCAGATTCCTCAGATTAAAAAAAAAGAGAGAATGGCCCCGGAAAGAATCCCCGTCTGGCTGGATTGCGACCCAGGTACCTACCAAGTATCTATCTATCTGATATCTTATTATATATGATAGCTGACATAGTATCTACCGTTGCCAGGCCACGACGATGCCTTCGCCATCCTCATCACCGCTCTACACCCATCCTTCGATCTCCTGGGCATCAGCACAATCCACGGCAACTCCTCCCTACAGAAGGTCACCAACAACGCCTTATCAATCCTCACCGCCATCGGTCGTCCCGATGTGCCCGTCTACCCGGGTGCCAATAAACCCTTCATGCGCCCTGCCGTGCATGCTCCCGATATCCATGGTATTATATACTTCCCAATCCTACATCAATATCCAATATAAAGGCAGTATTAGGAGGTGGAGATACTAAACAGTGAATGAACAAATAAATAGGAGACACTGGTATCGACGGAACAACCCTTCTGCCCACTCCGACCCGAAAACCTCAGACGGTACCGGCCGTCGAAGCCATGCGCAAAGCCATTATGTCCACCAAACGGGGCACATGTACTTTGGTCGTCACGGGAACATTGACAAACGCCGCTCTGCTCTTCGCTGCGTTTCCCGAAACCGCTGAACATATCAAAACCATTTCCATCATGGGAGGGGGGTTCACCTTGGGGAATATCACCAAGAGTGCTGAGTTTAATATCTACGTATGTCTTCCTCTCTCTATTCCATACTTACTTCTTAAGCAGTAAGTAAGTAAGTAAGAAAGTAAGTATATAGGGTAAAGATGCTAATTGCTGGTTGATATAAAAATAAAGTGCGACCCCGAATCCGCAGCTTCAATCTTCACCCTCCCCTCTCTCTCCAACAAAATCATCCTCTCCCCGTTAGACCTAACCCACACCGTCCTGGTCACCACCTCCGTCCGCCAAACCCTGACTTCAACCCCATCAACCTTCCGAACAATGTTATACGAACTCCTAATGTTCTTCGCCGAAACCTACATCAGAGTATTCGACATGACCGAAGGTCCACCTCTACACGACCCCATTGCCGTAGCCGCTTTGATGGACGAGAGCTTCGGGATGGGGTTCGAATATGTGGAGACGGGGATTAAGGTTATTTGTAACGGAGAGGAGATGGGTAAGACGGTTATGGTGGGGGTTGATGAGGGGGTTATGGAACATGAGGGGAAACAGGTGCTGGGGGATTGTGGGGTTGGTGGTGGAGGGGTTAAGGTGAAGGTTGGGATGAAGTTGAATGTTGATAGGTTTTGGGAGGTTGTGATGGGGGTTGTGGAGAAGGCGGATAAGATGTCGCCATTGAATACTTAAGTAAACCCTCTTTTTTTTATATATATTTTGTGTATTATATTTTTTATATTTTTTATATTTTATTTTTTTAGATAGTTTTTATTAGAGGTATATAATAGACTATTCCATTTTTAGATATTTTTGATTGATTGATTGATTGATTTTGATTTTTCTTTTTCAAGATATGGGGATTTTTTTGGATGACAGGGGTGACACATGGCGGGACCGAATATTCGAAGAATGTGATTAGCAGGAAATAGCAAAAAGGACACATTCTTGGTGCCTAGATAGCTAGATTTTCACATATTCAGAGATCAGGAAAATACCTACGAACCTTGCTATATATATATATGATTTATCTCGTGTGGCGGATGGAATCCCAAGATCTGGTTCTGGCCGTTCTGCGTGGGGGTACTTTCGGTATAAAGTATATAAGCAGGAAGAATTATAATTACTTTGGATCGATTAATTACGAACGAGAAAATGGAAAGAGCATTATATTACACTTAGAATTGCAAGTAGCAAATTTTAAAGAGCACGGAATACTCCAAACATTGATATTTAAATATCCAAGCTGAATCACATCAATCAGCCATTTGATTTAATATCAAATTACTGTAGGACAGTGCACTGCACCGACACTAGTTCTGCACGCTAGCAGGTATACACACAAGTAGTGCGGTAGTGTAGTGCATATGCGGGGATCTTGTAGATAGCGGGAATTGTTTAGTACGTGACGTCTTTGATGTATATGTGTGTACCGTATGTACCGTATGTACCAATCACGACCAAGCTGCACCTGCATCTGCCTCTACAAGTTACATTTACATCTACATACGAGCTAATGCGCGTGCACGAAGGTTAACGTTGCGGGGAACAAGGGAGAGAATAGAAACTAGTGTTCGCAACGGCAATTGACAGGGAAGAAGGAGGGGAGGATAAGAAGTATGCACTAGATATGCAATGTATGGATGTTATGGATGGAAGCACAGGCCGGCTCTTGCATTGTGCAGCGCGCGCGATAGAGCTCGGGATGCCGTGTGTAAGTACGTAATCTAGGTAAGTATATACTGATATACACAGCTGTAATCGGTTTATTTTCTTGGTTGGATTAGGAACTGAACTGAACTGAACTGAATTGAATTGAACTGACCCGAACTGAGGGGAATGGTTTTGATACTGGGGGGATAATTATAAGGTGGAAATAATTGCTCAAAAAATTAAAACCGGTCCAACCAAGTTGGGAATCCTGAGATGCGAAGGGTTATGGAATTCTCCTTTGATATGATCCCTTCGTATGCATACTTCTTATTTGGTGTATGATACATGTACATGTATTTTTTTTCAACTTGTCTCGCAGGGGAGATTAATATTAATTGGATCGTTGGAATTGGAATCGAGGGATTTGAACCACCACCACCACCACACACTATCAATCGCGAATATTAATGCATGCTCCGAGCGGCCCGTTCGCTGAAACTTCAAACCCAACATACCTACACTCCGTAGCTAGTATGTATATTATACCGGTCGGAAGAGATAATGGGTGGAAGAGTTCTCGGAATCCGGACGTCACAACTTAGCTTAGTGCCGAATTTCGGAAACAGGCCCTGGCTTTTGTCATCCCGCTTCGACATATTTCTGAAGATGTTTGATGAGAAAAAGATAAACTGCAGCTTTGGCCGAACCGTTGAGGATCTAACCCGGCCGGTCAAAGGAAGGAAGGAATATCGGATTCCCATATTTCCCTTTCCACCCCCTCTTTCCCTTCCCTTTCTTTATCCCTTCCCCTTCCCCTTCCCTGCTTCCCTGGCTAGCTTTTTCGTCTTGAACCAAAACCCTGTCATTCCTGCCGTGTCTCTGAGGCATGGTGAGAATTAACGAGCGAAAGAAAAAGAAAAGAAAATAAGAGAAACAGCAGAAGAAGAAGAAGAAGAAGAAGAAGGAAAAGAAGCTGAGGAACCCGAGCGCTGCAGGGTATCGAAAAGAATCAAGCTTCGTATCATTTTTCATGTATCATAAGTATCAGCGCGGAATTCAAGAACCGTGCCAGTCGTTATACAATTGATCATAGGTACTTACTTATGTGCTATTGCCTGTCACGTCCTTCATTCTTTTCTCTGTTCACTTTTAACTCTCTCTGTCTTTGCTTCAATTCTATTCTATTCAATTCTATAAATCTATTCGAAGTATCTATCTATCTTAGCTATATCGCGCGAATATTTAAATATTTCGCAATCGGAACGTTTCGCTATTAAGTTTCTACCTATTACAAGTCGTTATCACCACGACTTTACCAGCATTATATCATATCATATCATATCATATCATATCATATCATATCATATCATTCGCGAATTATATTAATCAATCAATCAATCAATCACACAACTATAGCTATTTTGCATGCGGTATTAAACTTGATATACCTCCTCTAAATTTGGTATATTCGTTTATACATTCGTACCGCTGTCGGTTACATCGAACGGGAACAATTACGAAGAAGTGGCGCCCGTTGTTATCAATCGACATCCCACTAACCAGTACTTACAGTCCGGTCTAGTCTACTCTAGTACGTACCGTTATCCATCCATCCATCCATCCCATCCCATGGTCACCCCCAAATTCAAATGCAAAATGCGATAGTATACTATACTCAGGACGAGGGATAAAAAAATTAAAATAAACTGCCACTAGCCTGGCCTAGCGGGCTTCTTGTCTTTTATTTTGAATTCTATTATCAAAAAGTATCGTGATAATTTAGTTCCCGCTCTTCCCTTTCCCTTTTGAAATCCCTTTCCATTTCCCTTCCTCAAACTTAACTGGTGAAAAAAAAAAGAAGAAGAAGAAGAACTCCACCGATATCGCGGTTACATACGAGTCGCATCTCATCATAATTAATAATTTATACTGATTGATTGTTTATTAGGCCTGCCGCCGCTTTTTATTTTATTTTACTTCATTGCATTGTCAGGTCATATCATTCCGGGTTCTCGCACTTCTACCTCTTTTTTTCTACTCTCTTTCTTCATCCTCCCTCTTTCTTACCCTCCATCTTTCTTCCCAACAAAAAAAAAAACTCTTTCTCTTCTTTCTCTTCATTATCTTCTTCCTCTTCTTCTTTCCCTTCTTAACTATCTTCTTGATTTAAATTGGAAAGGTTGGTCGATTCTGCTCAAAGGTCGTACAGTGTTTCTGCAGAAGACGTTGGGTTAACTAACGAACGGGCGAATCAGGAAGAGTACCAAATACGGCTCAGTGGCGGCATCTCACCAATCACTCGACCCACTCTGACGACATACCGCCTTCTCTCTATTCTCTTCCCATTTACTCCGACTGGCACCCCCAGCGAAATATCCGGGTAAATTGCTTCACAAGCGGAAAAAAAAAATATCATACTCTTTATCAGCATGAGTATCGGATTTTAGGCATTTTCTGCTATCGAGAGGGGTTTTTCTGTTCTTTCTTTCTCTTTGTCCAGGGGAAAGATAGAAAAGGAAAAGAAAGGGCATTGAGCAGTAGCCCTGCAGCCCTGAGCAAGCAAGCAACCAAGCAGCAAAGAGCTTAAGCTTAAAAAGCTTCAACGGTTTCTCTTGCCGAGACTAAGCTTTCCCACTTACGTTTTCCTTCCCGTTCACCAAAAAAAACCTCTCGACAGAGATCGAGTACCAACGGTCAAGATGGAGGTTTATTGTACTGTACGTATTCTAATATTTATCTTCCTCATTCGCAATGGCTTTTTTTTTAATAGCAATAACTAATTTTATTTTGGGGAATAGATGCTATTGACGGATGGCTACCTGCCAGGTACGACCCTTATCGATACACCCCACCATACCCCCCCTTCTAAGCCATAAATATATACTGACCCATTGTATGATTCACAGGCGCACAGGTACTCGCACATTCGCTCCGCGATGGCGGGGCGACCAGAAAACTGGCGATTCTGGTAACTCAAGATTTTTTGAGTGAAGCCACTATGAAAGAGTTAAAGGTAACCCCACTTACCCCATACATGCACATATGCATCTACCCCGCCATGCATCTGTTACCCCAAACTTTTATCACTGCATCACCACTTACTTACAAAAAACATAATGCTAATTAAAAAAAATTAAAAAATAGAGGATATACGATTACATTATTCCCGTGGACCGAATAACCAATAAGTCGCATGGGAACTTGTTAATGATGGATCGGTTGGATCTATCGTCGGCGTTTACTAAGATCCATCTGTGGAGGATGACGCAGTTTGAAAAGATTGTGTATATTGATGCTGATGTGGTTGCTTTGAGGGCACCCGAGGAACTGTTCGAGACCAAAGAAAAGTTTGCGGCGGCGCCGGATATTGGGTGGCCGGATTGTTTTAATAGCGTAGGTTATTCTATCCGCATCTTTGATCTTGTTCAATTGATTCTCTTAGGAGAGTGGCTAATCTTCGTGGTGATTATATAGGGTGTCATGGTACTCAAGCCGGATCTGGGGACATATCACGGCTTACTCAATCTTGCAAACAGGGGGATATCATTCGATGGTGCTGATCAGGGTTTGCTGAACGAGTACTTTAGAAATTGGAATAGACTCTCGTTCGTTTATAACGTCACACCATCGGGGCACTACCAGTACGTTCACTCCCCTACAATCCTTTTATACTCCATGAATAGCATTCTAATAGTTTAATAAATATAGATACGCCCCAGCATACAACCACTACCGCTCCAGCATCACGATGGCCCACTTCATCGGTTCCAACAAACCATGGGCCATTGGACGACACGCAGGACAAGAAAATACCACATCAGCATACGGTGAGCTTTTGGGAAGGTGGTGGTCTATTTGGGATGCTCACTACAGACCCGTTACGGAACAAGACCCGGCTTTGACATGGTTGAGCAAAGGGGTGGGTGAACAGCTGACGATAGCTGAGATTGAAAGACCGAATCCTATGCCCACCGAGTATGATCCGAATTTTAGACGGGAACATACGAGTTTCGATGAGAGGAAAGATGAACCCGTGGTTTGGCATCCGCCGCCGGTGGGAGGGCCGAAGCAAGAGCGACACAGGAATCAACAGGAGCATCAGTATCAACCTCAGAACTACCAACCACAGCAGCAGCAACAGCAGCAACAGCAGCAACATTATCATCATCATCATCAGGAATCACCACCACCACCACCGGTCTTTCTACCAAAAGAACATGTTCCGTACGTGCCTCGAGATTTGCCATATAATGCTTACTCGCAGACACAGGGACCACCACCAAGTTACTCTTATCACGCACAGAGACAGCAGCAGCAGCAGCAACATTATCAACCCCAAATCCACGCACCTCGACCAGTACATCCGCAATGGGAAGAACAAGGCCGAAGATTCTCCAAAGAGATCCCAGCCAGGATCGAAAATAGTTTGCCACTACCCCCTATCCCCTCAACCACTGAAGAACCACAAGCCTCAGAACCAAAGGAGAAGAAATCCCCATCATTCGAAGCCCCCATGCAACAATGGGATGCCGGAAGATCCTCCCCTCCCCCAAATTCTCGACCAGAGGCAAGTAACTGGCCAGCTCAACTTTACGAGAACGAATGGGATCAGGCAAAACAAGACACGGGACTCTTCGTCCCACCGAGGGTAGCCTCACCACCAACGGACCTCCTCAATTTCGAAGTCCCACCAAAACCCCAACCTTCCCCACGTCCTTCCCCTATCTTCCCATGGGAACACGGTAACACCACACCGGCGACCCGAGTCTTCGCCGGCGAAGGAAGCCCCTCCCCAACCCTTCCCCTCGCGCTCCCAGGTTCCGTGGACGATGAATTCGAAACCGAAGAAGCGGCAGGAGGATACTCGGCCCGCGGGATGGCAGCATGGGATAGCTACTCGAGAACAAATGCATGGGATAGCATCCCGTCCATAGAACGCTACGTAGCTTCCTTCCAACAATCCACACAACCCCGTAGAACTGTACGAAAAGGGGATGTGACACCTAACCCTCAGATCCGCGGTGCTGACGAAAGAATCCTCAGGACTGACGGGGAACATTTTGACGATGAGACGACGACGACGACGACGACGATAACTTCGACGACGGGTTTGCTGCCGCCTGAAATCTCGGTTACGCCGACGCCGTTTAAGTCGCTGAGGGGGTATAGAAGCCATGCGATGGACGATGAGACTAAATTCCCGTCAGCGCAGGGGATTCCAGACCAGCAGCACTGGGATCCCATGAAATCATTAGCAGAACTAAGAAACGCACCAGGAGAGTTACTAAACAGAAGTCCACCATCACCACAGAGTTTAACCCGAGGATCTCCTCGATCACCGGCATCGTCGGTACAGCAACAGCAACAATTAGTATCATCGTCGATGCCGGTTCCCGAGAAGGATTTCCATATCACGGCTTATAGGAAACGACATGAGATGAGTGTTTCTTCGGGGAATTCGTCGGTGACCGGATCGCCGGTTAATACTTTTAGTGAGAGGACTTATGCTTCTAGTTCGACGCAGACGGATGTGGTGGAGTTGAGTGATGCTGGGACGCAGAGTGATCCTGAGGATATCGATGCGGAGATGGTGATGGTTGGTGTGCATTGATATCTGAAGGACGGTGGTGGTGATGATGATGAATACATTATAATGGTATAGTATGATATGGGTATGTATGGTATATGGGAATGGGTATGGGACAACGGGTACGGGTTCGGGCATCAGTATGGCTACTATTATCTTCCTCTTTCTCATTGTTTGGAATAACATAATATCTGGATATTTGGACTATTTTCTTCTTCTTGTAATGTTTGTCAGATTATGGATTTTCTTTCTTTTCCCTCATTTTCATTTTCATTTTCACATCGGTATTACGTATATTCCTTTCCTACCTTCTTCATCATCTTCATCTTCAAGTGTAACATATTCAAAAACCCTTTTTTTCGATTTCTTTCTTCTTTTAATCTCTTACTAGCTAAGTAACTCGACGGGGAAGCTACTAGCAAAAAAAGAAGGAAAGAAAAAAAATTGTAATATCACCACTATCATAATACAATCAATCAATCAATGCATCAATCCTTGCGTCCCCTGGGCCCGAGACTACCGATACTTTACGTATACCATCATACCAAGCGGGCAATATATAAACCATATTTTACTGCCTACATAAACAATTCTGCCTCATCATTAAGCCTTATTACGTAGGCCTCATGACGTTCCATTCAATTCCATTCCATTCCATGTGGTCCGTGATATATACTTACTCTTAGGTAGTTATTGAAGTTTAACCTTGCATTGGAATATGGGAAATGATAAACGTGGCATATATTTTATCGGATACCTTATCTTAGGCACACAATTGATGATTCGCAAGCTAGGCAGTTTCTTTCCCCCAATAGTATAGTATAGTAGGTATATAGAAGCGTACCTTACCATGCCCATGCCGTGGCTATTGGAATATTCGTTTCATTTCGTTTCGCGGGGCGCGAAAGGAGGGGCGTTTAAAAGAAAGAAAAGTCAACCTAGTTTCCCACTCCAGAAGCCCCCCCGCCTACGTAAGTATCTTTGCAAATACTTAGTAAGAAACGGATAGCGGAATGCAAGAATCATCCGAAGTTCAGGAGTTAGTTAACGACGACGTTTTTGTTTAGTTTTGTTTTTTTGGAACCCGGGAGAACGGGAATAGCATGTTAACAGCGTGGTAGATAGCTTTGGTTCGAATTCGTCTTGTGGGTACGGAGGCCTGGAATGCGTACGCACGCTACACAAAGAGGAACTACTAACTAGTGGTAGCGAGAGGAAGTACAGATACTATCTTTAGAGATTTATGAAAGCCTCATTTTATTTTATATAAAAAAAATCAACCGTGGCCTGTTTAAGATTTGAAGCGGGAGAGAAAGACAAAAAAAAAAAACAGGGCGCAGCAGATCAGATGTATAACATAAGTCCCGTCGGTCGTTTTGATGAGATCAGTTATTGAGGGGGGGGATATGGTTAATCCGGACCGCGCGGACCCGGGTGTTCAAATGGACCTTTTAAACCGGCCGAAAAACTCCAGAAGGGGACGAAAATGTCGGAGTGGAAATGATGTCCGACGCCGGTTTGGATCCACTTTTTTCTATCTTTTCTTTTTTTTGTTTTTGAAGTAGGTAGGGGTGTCATGGATGCACATGATCTGATTCATCCTGACTGATTCTTTTTAGCTTGACGGGTAGCTCGTTCGTCGTATATCTGCGTATGTAATGTGAAGAAAAGAAGTTTGGATTTGATTAATTAGGGAAATTTGGGCCCGGTCCGCGGGCTTAGCTTTACATAGCTTAGGTAAGTACACCACCGTACGTAAGGTACATGGACATAGTACATACAAGAGATTATAGCTCAGAAGGGAGATGAATCCGATTTGCTGGAATACGCGTATTCAGGTTTCGAAGTTTTTTGAGGTTTAAAAGCGGAGGTCGGAGTTTAGAAGCTGGGTCGGATTTCTTACATAACCTTCTGTGCTTCCCCCCGCCCGACCCCTCCAGATTGATTCTTTTTTTTTTTTTTCAGAATTATAATTATATTGTATACATACTTCTTTATTTACTTACTATTGTCTACTACTTATCTACTTATATACTTGTCTTATTAGGCGGATGGAAATAATATGGGACTGGGAGTGTAACGGGTACTTTCGATTGAATTGAATTGAATTGAAGCGGGAGAATTGTTATTTGCCATGCAGGCTGCTTACATGATCCTCAACCAGAACTCGAACCAGGGCAGGTCTTACTAATTAATTGAGTATCACTGCGGTACGGTACATAGTACAGTTGATTGAAAGCTAAGCTCTCCTGCATTCGATTCGATTCGAATTATTCGGCTCTTTATTTTATCACATTCCCTTGTGGGTCCTCCGAAACCCGTTCGATTTCAACCCGTCGCTGCTCGTTCGCTCTCTCTCTCACTCTCTCGCTCTATCTATCTATCTATTACATCCTTACAGACCAACTTTTTTTCTCCTTTTCATCTTCTGGGGATAGTAGTATATATATATATACTTACTTGTATATATTACTCAGCAAGTCCTCTTTTCTTCTTCTTCTTCTTCTTCTTCTTCTTCTTCTTTTCTTCTTCTTCTTCTCTTTTATTGGAAATGACTGGAATCAGCTGCTAGTCGGTCAGTAGTTCAATCCCTCACGGAACTCAGCGGATGCGTTTCGTCCCGAGGCCCTAACACTAAGCTTTCTCGAGACCCATCCCATCCCATCCCATCAAATCCAAATCCCCGTATTGTTATTATACCGACATACATCCCTACACAGTACAGTACAATACATTACATTACAATACTTGCACGATCACAAGCCGATTTGATCTGATTTTATATATTATCATTCCTTGTCCATTTTGTATTTTTTTTTTTTTTTTTTTTGTCTTTTATACTAGGCTGTTGGGTTCGAAGGGTTTGGTCTACTGATTACATTATACATTATACAACATCACCATCTTCTTTACTTGATTCAACTTACCCTCCGGTCTTGGGTTCCCC